GTGCCAGATGTATTGCTCTGCTTTCCTTTGGACCATATCAGTGAGGCTGAGACAGGGGTCTTGTCATCTGGGCAGCCTAGAACCTCCATACACACTGCCCAGGCTTGCCCACAGAGAGGTCACTTTGGTTCTGCTAACGCAGCAAAAACACACAGGAGGCAGCAGTACCAGTCTCTGCAGCCAAAGCAGGTACTGTGATTCTCCAGTGGTTCACTGCATTGTCTCTTGAGGCAAATGCCAAAAACAGGGGGATAATAATAATAATAATAATAATAATAATAATAATAATTTATATTTATACCCTGCCCATCTGCTTGGGTTTCCCCAGCCACTCTGGGCGGCTCCCAACAGAATATTAAAAACTTCCCTAAACAGGGCTGCCTTCAGATGTCTTCTAAAAGTTAGATAGTTGTTTATTTCCTTGACATCTGATGCAAGGGTGTGCCACAGGGTGGTCGCCACTACCGAGAAGGCCCTCTGCCTGTTGGTATATGTATTAAATTGTGTATTTTACAAAGAATAAAACAGAGGTCCCGTGACAGAGGCGCAAGCCTGGACCCAGTTGCTGCCGCAGCGCCACCATGACATCATAAGGTTGATATAACGTCACGTCACAACATCATGAAGTCATGGTGCAGCACACTGGGCACTCGCAGTATGGGGCTGGAAGCAGTGTTTCTTGATAACAGCAAGGAATAGATGAGCATATTGATCTCATATTTCAAGTCCTAAAAGAGTTTGAGGAGTCTCTGGGCTCATAACCCCCAATGTGGTGGGAATGGGTGATGCCACTCTCTTCCCAGATTGGCAGAAGTGGTTGAAAGGTCTTGTAGTGCTTTCGTTTTTAATATTTCCATTCATTTTTGCTGAATCAAATTCTGCAAAAGAAAGTGGATTTCCCCAAGTCCCATGAATTGGCTGCTTTTTGAATGGTTAAGATAGTTGAAAATGGATGTGTGGGGGTAAGAGAAAAGGAGAGGTAAAGAGTTAGGGGTGACGTTAGCATCATATGATGCTCAGTTGAGTACCAGAAGGGTGAGTGCAGGGATTGAAATGGTTAAAACCTTTTAGTTAAGTTGTCTTGAAGAGATACTGCTAGACGGAAAGAAAAGGAGGCCAAACATGAAGGTAAGAAGCAAGCTGTGTTACAGATCAGAAGTGATGGAGAATGCCTACAAATCATGCTGTAAAAGCTTCAAAGGGAATTGCAGATTAAGCACTTTGGCGTAGCTGATGGTGTAAAATAGGGTTGCAGCAAAGGGAATGAAATGCACATGTCAAAAGATGTGAACTGCTAATTGGTTCCTGTCCCTGAAATGATGCTTTATGACTAGCATAATGAAGGAGTGGGTTTAATGATCTTACGAAGCCATATGTAAATGGCGTTTGTGTGCGCTCTGGTTTCCATCACGGTGTTCTGTTGTGCCAGAAGCCGTTTAGTCATGCTGGCCACATGACCCAGAAAGCTGTCTGTGGACAAACGCCGGCTCCCTCGGCCTGAAAGCAAGATGAGTGCCACAACGCCATAGTTGCCATAGTCGCTGGAGGCATGGGAGATAAGGGCGTATTTGAGAGTAAGCCTTTAGAAGTCCAGCTGAGTCAATAGCAGCTCGCCCCTTGTCTATGTAAGCATAAATCAGGCTACCACTCCCCTTTGGTATGTTGGTTTTCAGTTTTTTAATCTATGTAGGCTTCAGAACTTGAATAAGAAGCAAGGGGCCCTGACACATCAAGGTCAGGCCGGGCATCACAAAGAGTTGTATCCAATGAGTTTCTGCCAGCTACACTCTGCAGATGCTTAGGAGCTTCTGACTAGAATTTATATGATTTCTTTGTGTGTAAACCCTATAAAAAGGGCTCCGAGGTGCAGGCATAGGGCAGCGACACCGAGGGCAGGAAGAAAGGGGGAGCAGAGTGGAATGCAAGGAGTCTTGATTTTTAACCAAAATGCTATGTGCACCCGCATCTAATCTTGCCCTTTTCAAAAAACTATTTCTTGGTGTGTGTTTTCCTTTTTGTAAATCTACCAAAGAATAAGATTAGATAAATTTGGGGGGTTGAGTAGGGTCAGTTGCAGGGGGGAGAGAAATATCCCTATTTTCATCAGGAATGTTGGAGGGGGTGAGGGAACCTAAGATTCCCGTACAACCTTTCTGGCTCGAGCAATTGCTTGTTAGAGAATTCTCAGGTGTCACTCGCTGCGGCCGGTGGGTGATAAAGAGACTTGGCTGTGCACCAGACCTCAAGTGGAGATTTCTTACATCTGCACACTCAACAAACTACTGCTCCCAGGATTCTCTAGGGAAGCCATCATTGTTGGTTTAAATGTGTGGTGGCTGGAGTGTAGTGTTGGGGTCAGACCTGGGAGATCAGGGTTCAAATTCTCACTCAACCATGAGTTGGGCCAGTCACTGCCTCTTGGCCTAACCTACTTCGCAGGGTTGTTGTGGAGGCGGGGGTTCTTCCTTGAAGAAAAAAGGTGGGATATAAATGCAATTAATAAATAAGATGTGTAAATGTGTAGTGCAGATGTAGTCTTGTTACCGGAAAAATCTGAGGGCTCCCTTGGACAAAAAGTAAAGACACCAACCAGAGTAAATTGGAGCAAATCAGCAGCCTGTAGGCTTGGCCTTTATTGAACTGTTGCAACAGGGTGTTCCCCTCACTTGCAGGAGAGAAGAAAAGACACAGAAAATGGTGTGCAAGACCTTATAAAAACTTTTGAAATTCCCACCCTGTAGATCAAGCCCACCCCCAGAAACATCATGCATACATTACAGAAAGGAGGGGTTGAGGGAGGAGTTGTGGTGGTAACCTGAGTGTCCTGTCACCTGGCTGGTTCCCCTCTACTCCTCCCCATGAGTCATTTTCTGAAGACAAAAGGTAGTCGCAGTTTCCTGCCCCATGAGGGAAGATCTGATCATTGTCCTTTGTTCCAGTCCATGCAGAATCCACTCCCATATGCAAGTTCTTTGTGATCTTGATTGTCTTCTGTCTGGGATTGAAGGGAGAGGGAAGGGTTAACCTCTCCATGCACTAGGGCCCCAGCTAACAGCTATTCCAGTTATGCAAGTTAACAGTTGCTCCAGTTATGACTGCACAGTTGCTTCAGCTATGTAGGCCAGCAGTGGTTTCCTGCCTGGTTTCCTGCTTCAGTTATGCTAGGTATGCACACATATAGAATGCAAGCAACATATAGAAGGTGGGGGGAAGGGGGCTTAGCTAACCTAATAAGGTAATGAATTGTATCTCTGCCTGCTGATTGGGGAGCAATTGAGGACACAAGCTTGCAGCTGGGTATAAGAATGCTTGTAAGACACGATAGAGGGGCTGCCAGTTTTTGGAAGTTATTCCGCTGGCTGCCTCTGCGCAGACTTTGCAATAAACCTTTTTTCTCTGTGAAACCTCACCCTGGTGTTGCTTAACTCCTTCACACTCCCGGCGAGGGTACGAGGTGACTGGATCCGGACCTTGGAATCAGATATCCCAACAGGACCATCAGGGTTGGCATAGCAACTGGGCAGGGCTCCTGTGGATGTGCTGGGATGTTCAAGGGATTATGGCTGGCCTGTATCAAACCTTCCCCATTTTGTAGTCCTTCCTTCATGGAGTAAAATAAAAGTGGAACAGTGCAAATCAGATGTATGGTTGATTTTCTATGAATTTATAACAGAAGTGTAGCGTATGTAGTGTGTGAGTGTGAGTGTGTGTGAAGTTTGTACAAACTGAATGATGGGGGGGGGGTGTTTCCTGCTACAGTCTAAAGAGAGGGGGTGTCAAATAGTAATGCTCATGGAGAAAGAGGGGATATTGTAAGGGTGGCCCTAGTTCTACAGACCCTCCAAGTGCCCCTATTTTCCAGGGACAGTCCTGGATTTACAGAAGCCATCCTGGTTTCTGATTTGATCGCAGAATGTCCCACTTTTCCCTAGGATGTCCCTATTTTCATTGGAGAAATGTTAAAAGGGTATGGTGTTATGTCACTCCCAAGTCAAGGAGATAAGTACTGTACTTTTCCATGTATAAGGCTATGTTTTTTATTTAAAAATTATGTTCAAAATTATGGATCATCTTATACACAGATACAATCTCCCCCCATTTTCTTAAACCGGAGTCCCCCAAAATAGGGGGCATCTTATACATGGGGGTGTTTTATAGATGGAAAAATACAGTAAATATCCACCCTTTAAAAGACATCTGAAGGCAGCCTTGTATGGGGAATCTGTTTAATGCTTAATGATTTATTATGTTTTTATAGGTTGGAAGCTGCCCAGAAGTGGCTGCGGCAACCCATTCAGATGGGCACGGTGTTAATCATCATCATCATCAGTGCTTTTTTCTAGGGGGACGCAGGGGTACACATACCCCTAAACATTTTGGGAATCTTTGTACTTTTGTTCTTTTACTGTATTTATTTCCCCTCATTTGAAATGGTGATTTTCTTGAGTCAAAATGTTAGTACAGTGGTACCTCGGGTTACAGACGCTTCAGGTTACAGACGCTTCAGGTTACAGACTGCTAACCCAGAAATAGTACCTCGGGTTAAGAACTTTGCTTCAGGATGAGAACAGAAATTGCACGGCGGCAGTGGGAGGCCCCATTAGCTAAAGTGGTGCTTCAGGTTAAGAACAGTTTCAGGTTAAGAACGGCCCTCCAGAACGAATTAAGTTCTTAACCCGAGGTACCACTGTACCCCTAAACATTTTTTTTAAAGAAAAAAAGCAATAATAAAAATAAACTTTTCATCGGAAAAATGTTGGAAGGTATGCTTCTATAGGATGGTCTTATTTAAATTTAACTTTCATATATTAAAAGCTGGAGAGCATGCGCAATTGTGCCTTTCGTTAGAAACAAAATCAGTCCAAATACCTAAGAGTTAAATAGATAAAGTACTTTCTCCTAGAGAGACAAAAGAATGTGAGAAAGGGGGGGAAGGAAAGAGTGTCGTTCCTGTCTCTTCCTGATCTTTCTTACTCTCTGTGTCTCTCTCTCTCTGTTAGAGAGACGGGAGGAGAGCTGGCTCTTGCATTCCTGCAGGGAGAAAAAATAGGTGAGTTGCCAAGGAGTCTTTGAACAATGGGAAAATGGAGTCCCCAGGAATGCTGGAAGTTGCTGACTGGAAGGGAGCCCACGGTAGAAAATGTGAGGGGGGGAGTGTAACTCAAGGTCTTTCTCTCCCCCCACCCCCCAAAAAGCAAAAATTACTTAAGCGCAAGGCACCAGTGTCTTTTATCATTCCTCCTCCGCGTTGCCAGCTAGCAAGAACCAACCACCTGTCCCTGTGGATATATTTATATAAAACCATTATTAAATTTTATAACCACCTGTCCCTGTTACTGTTTGGCATTTGAAGATTAAACGTGATTGCCTTGTCCTGTATAATGCAAGCGATTGCTGTTAAAGGGGCAGCTAGGCAGACTGGTCCAGAAGCTGGCCAAGCTGTGTTTACAGTCTGAATTGCAAGCAGCGGCAGGAGGGCAAGTCTTTTAAGGCGGTTGTGGGAAACCTGCGGCTGTCCAGAGTTTTTCTTGGGCTCCTTTCATCCCTAGCCAGCACAGGAGACGGTGTCAGGCATGGCTGGTAGGCATTTGGAGTATAAGAATAGCCAGAGGGTCACTTTTTCCTTCCGTGTCCCATTAAGAAAATAAGAAGAGCTTGCTGGATGAGGCCAGTGGCCTATCTGGTCCTGCATCCTGTTCTCACACCGGGTGACCTGATGCATTTGTGGGGAAACTGGCAAGTAGGAGCCGAGAACAAGCCTATGCTTCCGTCCTGTGGCTTCCAGCAACTGGAATTTGTGAGAAATGATAATGTTGCTTTTTCACAGAAGCCACAATGCTGCAACTACAGATAGCCCAGACTTGCTCACACTCATCGTTAGAACAGCTTATGGTTAGGATTAGGGGCGTAGGAAGAGGGGGCGGTGGTGGTGGTCCGCCCCGGGTGTCATCCGGGGTGTGTGACAAAATCCCCCCTGGGCGGATCACCGCTGCGCCAATCGGCCAATTGGCCCCCCAGGCAGATCGCCCCACCCCTGGGTGCACGGCACGTGTGCCGCTCTGGGTGCCCGAACGGCTAGCTCCGCCGCTGGTTAGGATGCTTGTAAATAAGGCAGCTTGTGGCTGGAATATGGTTTATTTGTAGGCTTCAGCAGGTATAGAACTCGCTCACACCTGTAACTGGGACAACTAGTGGTCAGGATGTGGCTCCGTCGCTTGTGTCAATGGGTAAACGCATAGGAATCAGGTAAATATGGGGGGTGGGTGTCGAGATCAAGAGTACAGTGGTACCTCGGGTTAAGAACTTAATTCGTTCTGGAGGCCTGTTCTTAACCTGAAACTGTTCTTAACCTGAGGTACCACTTTAGCTAATGGGGCCTGCCGCTGCCACTGCACTGTGCCGTGCGATGTTTGTTCTCATCCTGAAGCAAAGTTCTTAACCCGAGGTACTATGTCTGGGTTAGCGGAGTCTGTAACCTGAAGCATCTGTAACCTGAGGTACCACTGTTGTGGGAGATTTAAACATGGGTGGGAATGTTAGTAGGGTAATTAGGCAGTCGGGATAGACTGTAAACCTTGTAGTACCTGTGAGATTTTGATCAGCTCCTGCCCATCTGGAGTTGATACAGGCTCGTCTTATCTTGAGCCCAAGCAGAGCGTAGTCACGCAGCAAAAGGATAAGCAGGTAATGTGCTACATGATGAAGTTTATTTACAGGTTATGCTGAGAGCATACAAACATACATCCTGCCTCTGTGAGAGCAGAGAAGCAACTCCCGTCTCTAACAAAGAAATCGAGAGAACACTGAAAAACAGGAAACCAGTGTACGTCACATCCAGTCTCCCATTCCCGTGGGAACCCAAGAGTAACTCTGACTGTGGAATGCAAAACAATGTCTTGTGACATGCATTCGCTGCTCAGTGAGGAAGCAGAAACCAACAGTACCCAGCCAATGGGGAGACTGTTAGAATTCCTGCTCCATGATTGCAGTCAGGGGATTGTTGTCTTTCACATGACGGTATATGTTTTGACTGTAACAAAATCCCCCCGGGCAGATCGCCGCCACGCCATTCGGCCCCCCGGCTGGATCGCCCCACCCCCAGGTGCACAGCATGTGCGCCGCTCTGGGTGTCCAAGAGGCTAGCTCTGCCGCTGGTTAGGATGCTTGTAAATAAGGCAGCTTGTGGCTGGAATATGGTTTATTCGTAGGCTTCAGCAGGTACAGTATAGAAATCGCTCACACCTGTAACTGGGACAACTAGTGGTCAGGATGTGGCTCTGTCGCTTGCATCAATAGGTAAATGCATAGGAATCAGGTTAAATATGGGGGGTGGGCGTCGAGATCAATGGTAATGGGAGATTTAAACATGGTCATTGGTAGGGTCATTAGGCAGTCGTGATAGGCTGTAAAACTTGTAGTACCCAGCCAGTGGGGAGACAAGGGAGGGAACCTGCGCTTTGGGTATAGGGAATATAAGCTAATGATTTGCCAAAACCAGGTGTGCCTACTTTGGACCCCCGCCCTTGCAAGAACGTTTTGTAATCAATAAATCTTCGCTGCTTCACCAATTTTGTTCAGATATTAATTTGAGGGTCTCAAGACCCACTTCTAACAGTATTCAGAAGCATTTGCAGCCCTCAACGGTGGAGGCAGAGAAGAGCTATCCTGGCTAGCAGGTATTAGTGCTGGGTGATAACTGGCTTTCAATATTGTGATATGTTGTTGTTTAGTCATTTAGTCGTGTCCGATCAGCCTTCTTTATGGTCCAGCTCTCACTTCCATACATCACTACTGGGAAAACCATAGCTTTAACTATACGGACCTTTGTTGGCAAGGTGATGTCTCTGCTTTTTAAGATGCTGTCTAGGTTTGTCATTGCTTTCCTCCCAAGAAGCAGGCGTCTTTTAATTTCGTGACTGCTGTCACCATCTGCAGTGATCATGGAGCCCAAGAAAGTAAAATCTCTCACTGCCTCCATTTCTTCCCCTTCTATTTGCCAGGAGGTGATGGAACCAGTGGCCATGATCTTCACTGGCTAAACATTGTGATATTGCAATGTCTGAAATAAGGATGGAGATATGTAGAGGCATTGGCCGGCTTCACGGTTTCCCCATGTTGTGATCTTTGCATAGCACACGAGCACACACATCGTGATTCACAATATATTGCCAGGTCAAAAATTATGAAACCAAAACCACAATAAGGGCTTCAAACTGGTTTTAGACAATATATCATTATACAGTCGTACCTTGGTTCTCGAACAGAATCCATTCCGGAAGTCTGTTTGACTTCTGAAAATGTTCGAAAACCAAAGCATGGCTTCTGATTGGCTGCAGGAGTTCCTGCACTCAATTGGAATATGCATAAGCAGTTCAGGTTCCAAATAACTTTCTTTGGAACTTTCAGGTTCCAAAGAACATTTGCAAACCGGAACACTCACTTCCAGGTTTGCAGTGTTTGGGAGCCAAATCATTTGCGTACCAAGGTACAACTGTATCACCTGGCCCTGGTAGACATTGATAGCACAGATAGTGCCATATAATCTCATTAGTAATGCTGTCTTCTGTCTTGCCACTCACCTGGTGACAGCACTGCGTATAAGATCATAGAGGAGACGTCCCTGCCCTGCTCCTTTCCCCCACCCTGATGAAGGAGATTGTGAGCTTGTGTGCTTTCCCCAAAGGGTCCAGGGCAAAGTTTCCTTGAGGCCTACAACCTGTGGGAACGGGCAGACCTCAGGGATGAGTCTACAGGAACATACACGGAAAACCCACGCTGGAGAAGAGGATGGTCTCTTTGACCCTGCAGCGCTTAAAAACGAGGGCAAGCTCTTGAACTTTGGCCAAATGGAAGAGGAGCAAGGTAAGAGAAATCCCACAGTTGCCACTTAAATTTAGGGAACCGATGGTTTTCAAACCTTTGGCCCTTCAGGAAGTATTTATTGCATCTTCTTAATAGTTGCAGTTCTTGTGACATTTATTTCACCTAAAGGTTTCCAGGCACTGTCCAAGGATTAAGCAATCATATAGGGCAGGGTTTCTCAAACTTGGGTCTACAGCTCGTTTTGGACTACAGTTCCCATCATCCCTGTCCACTGGTCCAGCTGACTAAGGGTGATGGGAGTTGTAGTTCAAAAACAGCTAGAGACCCAAGTCTGGGAAGCCCTGGGTTAGAGTGTTGGAGAACGAAGGTTCAAATCCCTACTCAGCCGTAAAGCTGGGCCAGTCACTTACGCTCAGCCTCACCTGCCTCACAGGGTTGTGAGGGATAAAATGGGTGAGGAGGAGAACTATGTTTGTCACCTTGCGCTCGTTGGAGGAAATGTAATAAATAAATCAGTGTGGTTATCCCCATTTTACAGATCTGGGGCATGGATTTGTGACAGAGGCAAAGTCTGAACCGGGGTTCCCTGAATTACAAACATAGTCCCTTAGTTACTATGCTGTAATCTTGTTTTTCTCTGACTTGTGAGCAGCCATGGAGCCAAATGTCCTGTAAGTCTTTAAACTTGGCTAGCGCATCCTGGTGTCAGATGTGGCTCCACTTCTCTCATTTATTTACATGATTGATATGGCACCCTTTGCACAAGGCGGCTAACAGGCAGGGGTGTAACTAGCTGCTCTGGCACCTGGAGTGGCGGGTCAATCTGCCCACGGGGGTGCCGCGGCGATCTGTGCAGTGGGGGGGGCACTGTGCTGAGCTGCCCATGGAGTCCACCTGGCAGACACAAGCCGCATGCTGCCATTTCAGGCAGCGCAGGGCCCCAAGCCACCCTGTCACTCCCAGGAGAGCCATGTGGCTCGGGCATGCTGCAGGCCCTGTGGTGAGTTTCACCCACTATTTTGTCACCCCCCTCAGTGGGGACACCTGGGGCGGACCGCACCTATCGCACCCCCCTTTCTACGCCCCTGCTAACAGGAAAAGCAAGTGAATAAGAGCTCATAAAATCCATAAAAAGCAAGTCCATTAAAAAAACAGACACTAGAACAAATCACTGAATAATTATTACTAATTGTAGCAGCAGCAGATAAATCAGCCGTAGCTGAGTTAGGACACTCATGAACCAATGAACTAGGCAACAAAGAGTGCGAAAGTTGGGCTGCATATACACCATGCATTTAAAGCATATAGGCTCCCACCAAAGAATCCTGGGAACCTTAGTCTACCCCTCTCAGGGCTACAATTCCCAGCACCCATAACAAACTACAGCTCCCAGGGGTAAGTAATGTGCATTAAATGCATGGTGTGTACACAGCTTTAAGTCCATAGCTAGCAGAGTCTTCTTGCTTTGTCTGAGTGCTGATTTCGGAGCTTTTATAGGGACCACCAGGAAACACCTGAGCATCTCTGGCCTATTGGTGTACAGAGGATAATCTGGCTGGTGCGTTTCTCCTCTCTGAGCTAGAGCTGCGGGGTGGTGCACAGGCTAAGTCCCTGCCTGGCATCTGTTGAAACATAAGCCTGTAGCTGGTCTTGAAAGAACAACTCCCTTTCTCAGGAAATCCCTTCAATTCTTCAGGGTTTGTCTGTTTTAAATCAATGTGCCCCCTAGTGGCAAAACAGCTGCATAGCTAGGGAAACGACTTCCTTATCTATATTTAATTGCACTTTTATCCAGCTTTTCAGCCGGAAATCTAACAGCATTGAAACCCATTGCAAATAGCAATTATAATAGCGTGGAAAGAAAATATGCTGTTCAGAGCGGGTTCTTAACGGACATGAACCAGACATTATTTATTTATTGCATATCCCACCTTTCCCTCCAAGCTTAAGGTGGTTCTCCCTTTCTTCAGTTAATCCCCATGACAACCCCGTGAGGCAGAGCTTAGGCTGAGAGAGGCAGAGTCTGAGCCAGGGTCACCCAGTGAGCTTCATGGCCAAGTAAGGATTTAAACCCTGGTCTCCAGGGTCCTAGTCTAACACTATAACCACTAACACTAACACCACACAGGCTCTTCAGACCTGCTGCTTCCCAGCCTTCTGATGGTCTCATGGTGGCAATTGGTAGCTCCATGGCTAGAGCTCACAGAGAAGGGTCTCTGATACAGGCTGGTTCATATTGGGAGGGGTTTATGGCTTTATAGTTCAAAACCAGCACTTTGAATTGAACCCAGAAACTATTGGAAAGCTAGTCGGGCCAGAATCTGTGCAATACGTTCAGTCCTTCAGGTCCCTGTCATTAATCTGGCTGCACTAGCTGTAGTTTCCAAACTGTCTTTATTTTTCAAATTATTTTTTATTTTTTATTCGTTTTCCAGAGTATTACAAATCAAATTTCTTTAATTTAATACAATTTCTTAAAATATCAGGTTTCCCGCTCCTTTGCAAACATATGTCAATCATTTCCTCCTGTATCCGCATCATCTTTTATTTAGTGTCCAATTGATCCTTCACTTCACGTTGTTAGTTCATTCTTGTAGCTGATGACTCCACCCCCCCTTAAAAAACAGCACCTCTGTTACATCGTATAATTATAAAATCCATTTCACGTGTGTAGTCCTTCATATGCATTTTTGTTTCAGACCCAGTGTGCTGGGAGAGTTCATTACTATCTTCCATTGTTCAGTCTTTGCAGTACTTGTCTGGATATTACCAGGTCACATTCCATTCCTTCTGCTGATCACCAACTAGCATACTGGTTGCGACCACAAATAACTCACAAACTGTCTTTAAAAGCAGCCCCACATAGAACACACTGGAGTAATCTAACCTAGACCAGTGGCTAGACTGTATACAAAGTGTGTTCACTTTGTAGTCTCTTTCTTCTCCCGTCAGGTGAGGGGAGCACAACTGAGAGTATAGATCATCCACGGCAAGCCTCTGAACAAGGGGAACTCTGTGCAGCCGAGAAAATCCCTGAAGAGAATGTTTCCGAAACTCCAGAAGCTGTTGAAAGTCCCCAAGGACCGTGGAGGCAACAGGAAAACTGTTTGGAGAAGAGCAGAGGTAAATCTTGGCAAAATGAGATCGGAGACCACGAGGGAAGCTGTGAAGGTCAGGGTCAAGAGACACTGACTGAATTGGGGAACAGCTCAGGCAGAACCCAAGAAGAGAAGATATACCAGTGCTTATACTGTGGGAAATCCTTCAACGCACACTTCAAACTTGTTAGACATCACAGAATCCACACGGGAGAGAAACCATACAAGTGCTTGGATTGCGGCAAGAGTTTTGATCAGAAAGGAAACCTTATTGCTCACGCGAGGATCCACACAGGAGAAAAGCCGTATGTATGCTCCGATTGTGGGAAAAGCTTCAGCCACAAAGGCAGTCTTGTTTTGCATGTGAGAATCCACACTGGGGAGAAACCCTACAAATGCCCTGATTGCGGGAAATGCTTCAGCCGTTTAGGGTCCCTGAAAGAGCACAAGAAGACTCACACAGGAGAAAGACCATATGCCTGCTTAGACTGTGGGAGGAGCTTCAGAAAAATATCTGAGCTCACAACCCACCACAGGTTCCATACAGGAGAGAAGCCGTACAAATGCTTGGGCTGTGAGAGATCCTTCAGCACAAGCTCCAATCTCATTGCCCATCAGAGGACCCACACAGGAGAGAAACCTTATAAATGCTCAGATTGCGGGAAAAGGTTCAGCCAGGCTGGGAACCTTAAAGAACACGAGAGAACCCACACTGGAGAGAAGCCATATAAATGCCCAAACTGTGGGAAAAGCTTCAGGCAAATATCTTACTTTATTAAGCACCACCAAACCCACCTTGCAGATGAAGGGATGCATGTGGAAGAGAAACCATATAAATGCTCTGATTGTGGGAAAGGTTTTGGTGAGAAAGCGAGCCTCAGCAGACACCAGAGAATCCACACTGGAGAGAAGCCCTTTAAATGCTCAGACTGTGGGAAAAGCTTCTGCCTGAAATCGAATCTTGTTGTCCACTTGAGAATCCACACCGGTGAGAAGCCATATAAATGCTCTGAGTGTGGGAAGAGCTTCAACCAGACGTCAAGTCTTCATAATCACGAGAGAACCCACAAAGGGGAGGAACCATATAAATGTTTAGAGTGTGGGAAAAGCTTCAACAGACCTTCGCAACTTAAGGGACATGAGAGAATCCACACTGGAGAGAAACCATACCGGTGTTCACTGTGTGGGAAAGGCTTTATTTACAACCACCACCTTGTGAGACACCAGAGAAATCACTCAGGAGAGAAACCGTATACAGTAAATGCCCAGGTTGTGGGAAAGAATTCAGCCTCAGATCGACCCTTATTAAACATCAAAGAATCCACATGGAAGGGACACAATTAAAAAATACATAAGGTGGGCTTTGAGCCTACTAAACAGTTGAGAATCCATTAAGGTGTCGGAAATCCCATTCACAGCAGGCCTTGAAAGTAGGCCTGAGGGGGATCAGGTTGGGAATGTTCAACCTGTATGGCAACATTGCACTCTGGTCAAAGGACTGGACCAGAAGGGCATTTACTCGGATGACACTTCTTATGCTCTTAATAAATTGGTCAGATAGACAAAGGTAGGCCGGGGCAAGCCTTTAATTCTGTGGTGCATGAAGATATTTTAATTATTTTAAGGTTTTTTGTTTGGCTCTTTGAACAGTATTCATCCTTTTGGATGCACTTGGATCCTTTATTTTTTTAAAAAAGTGTTATCCATATTGTGTATTAAGTAAACTCGAAAAGTATTCTAATGTATTGATGGAAATTGCTGTGGCCTGGACCTAGGCTAATGTGTAAAGTCAGTGAAATGAACTTTGAGCATAGGAAATTGCCTTTTATTGAGGCCTTTTCATTCTTCTTTATTTATTCATCTTCTTACATTTATACACTGCTTTTCCCCCATAGCCTTTGGCAAGGTGGCAGTTTAGGACACGGTGGGTGGGGGGAGTCCAGTAAGTGGGGAATATGGTAAAGGTTTATAAACTTGTGCATGATGTGAAGAAAGTAGATGGAGAGAAATTATTCTCCCTTTGTTGTGATACTACTGTGTGTTTTTCATTTGCCACTGAAATGAAAGTGCAGCAACTTTCCTTCATGTATCCCTTGCTACTCTTTTCCTGCTTTCCTGATCCCCTTTCTTCTCTTCTGTCCTACATTCTCAATGTTTAGTTTGTAAGCTCCTTGGCGCACAGATCTTTCCTCCTCCCCCCTGCCCTGCCCATGACACATATGCATATACCCTGCTTACATTGCTCTGCAAAGTGCTTTGCATAGAAGGGGCACAGCTCAGTGGCAGAGCATCTCTTTTGCACACAGAAGGTTCCAGGTTCAGTCCCTGTGTCAGAAGTGAGCCAGCAGTAAATCACACTGTGCAAGTTGGAGTTAACTCTTTATTAGCAAAAACATGATCTGCACAGGAGTGTCAGGCCCAATGGGCACATTAATTCATCTCTGGTTGGTCTAGCCTCCATGAAGTACTTGCTGAGATTGAAGGTCCCCACCTCCCCACAGCTGCTGTAAGGATGCTGTCAGCGGCTCCTGGCCTGTTGCCCAGGAAAGTATAAAGACAAGGAAAAGTTTCTTAACGTCCTTTTTTATTTCAATCCTTACAGAGAGAGGCTATAGAACCCAGCCTCTGTGATAATGGTGTTGTCCTGAGCAAATCTGCCCCCCCCCCCAGTCTCTCCCACGTTCTCATTTGTCATTCTCATTTTTCCTCTACGGGTGCCACTAAGTACCCTCTGCCTTTGAGCTCTTTGCTCTCCTACTTTTATGGCTCGCTGGGTTCTGGGAGATGAAGAGTCTGGAATGCTTTCTAATGACAACATGTCAGCTGGGTGTTGTTCCAGCTATCCCATGATTTCCCTGCTTTCCCCCTCATCTGCCTCTGAGCTGCTACCTTCCTCAAACCCTTGTTGTAAATCTGTACTGTCTTCCTCTTCCTCCTCCGTGGAAGGGTCAGGATGGGGACGCGGTCTCCACCACTCCTCCTCTGCCCAGTCCCCGACAGCTGCCTAAGTTCCCTCCTCTCCAGGGTTTTTATCCAAGCAATTGGAGACTGAGTCTTTACGTTACCAACCTTTTCATGCAGGGCAGGGCAGGAGAGATGGTCACAGCAGGAGGGTGAGACTGTTAAGATATTCCGTTCCACCCTAAGAGGAACAGGCTGTTGTGTGTCACATGCCTGTTTACACTCCAGCACAGCTTGCTGGGAACTTCCGTTTTGTGTAGGGCTCAGTCAGCCTGCTTATATAGAGCTCCAGTACCACGTTACTGTAACAACTTTCTAAAACTATCCAATCACTGAACGTTACTTTCGATCCTTCATTTGCATAACTATTTACAGTATCCCCCTGCTGGTCCAGGGTGAGAACTTCAGTACATAACAGACACATCCTAACAGAGGCACCCCTGACTCTTCCCCAGCCTGACTCATCTCTGCCTCTTGGTCTCCTTCCTCTCTTGCTTCAACTTCTGCTTCTGATTCTGGACTTCTCTCTGCCACAAACTCCGCCAGCTCACTAAGCACTGTTACCCCTTTGGCTCCCAACACCTACCCAGTCTTCTCTCTCTGACCACGCATTGTTGTCCCATCACTACTCCCTCTGAGCTTTTTTTCCTTGGAGGGTCCCCAGCTGGTTCTTCCCACCATTCCTCTGTATCCAAATGGTTCATGACACCCTGGCATCTCTAGGTAGGGTTGGGAATATGTCTGAATCAGTCAGTGTTGACAATACTGAGCTAAATGGATGCCTGGTCTGACTCAGTACAAGGCAGCTTCCTTTTTTCCATTGGTAGTGATATATGAATTATAATAAATTGGTAGTGATATATGAATTATAGTAAATTCATGTGAATATTTAATGGGTGATTCATGAGTTCTTTTGATTCTTTGCTGCAACTTCTGCCTTATTGCTGCCATGGTATTATCCCTATTTCACCAGCAGTGCCATAACTATGCAGATTAGAGGATGGAGCCTTGCTGCAGAAACTTATTTGTGTTCCAGCCCTGAAACAATGAACAGGTTAAATGTTTTAGCCCACCCCCAACTGCTGTTTGCTCTCATCCTAAATGCAGCCGCTCTCTGCACCTCCCACAGGATGCAAAGGATGTTAAATTGTTTGGCCAAAATGGCCCAGTCAATTTTACAAACAGTCAATTTCCCCAGATGCTCCAGCCAGTTTCAGAAAGCACATACTGGTAAATGTTTGCCCAACTGCAGCTAGTAGCTGTAGCGCAAGAGTGAGGTCAGAGCAGGAAATGTGACTCTATAGACTACATAGACTACAGTGTAGCAGAAAGTAAACCCTGGTTAGATTAATGCCTAATGAAGCCGGCCATATCTTCCAAATACTAACACAATAAAAAGTTGCTTGTGTGCTCATATATTCACATGGGCACATGGAGTCCCTTGTTGACTGCAACATCCGAGGGCAACCATGTGAATGAGACACTGCAAATCAAATATTAGGTATTCTACCAGTGTCTATAGATTCTCCCTGCAGAAAGCTCTCTCATGCACCCGAGCCCAGCATTGAGCAACATCCTTCTCCCTTTGCATCAGCTGATAAGAGGGGAAAGCCATCCTGCATAGTGCTGGGTTTCTGCTCTGCACAACACCTCAAAGGCTCCACCAGCTGGTCCTCAGGTGCTTTGGGAGCTGCACCAGGCAGGTTTGGGTCAAGACCCACCCTTACCTGTATGACATCAGCTGTAGGGTAGGTGGACAGTGGCTTGCCCCAGACAGCCTCAGAGGTCCTTCCAATATTGACCAACAACTAGCTACAAGAAGATAACAAATTAGAGGTTTGAAATGACAACCCGTTGTTTCCAAAAAGGTTTTGCAGGGCTAATTCTGGAGGTTTCAGTAATTGCTGTCCAGTCATTTTAGTAATTCCTGCAAAGACCAGAGTCCAAAACTGGGACACTTTTCCACTATCCACCACATAAATTGGAATGAACCTGATTCCTTACATCTCTAACATAGTCTCAAATATCTTCATTTGAAACAATCTTATAGGGGTCTTATATAATCTTTATGCTATTTTTAATGCTTGTTCTCTCATAGTAGATGATACTGATTTAAATTGCAACTTTAACCATGTAGGTTTCCAGCAATTTTTCTTCAATCAAAATATTCCGATCTAACTTCCACATTCATTTCAGGCCCTCTGCAGAGCCCATGTCAACACAAAGAAGTAAAATATAAATACAAGACACCAAGCCCCCCTACTTGCCCTCAGAGATAAGAAACAACAGCTCAAGTGGTGTGAGATCTTGCAGAGCTTGCTGCTTAATATGCTCCTGTCTAATAAAGAAACCTGCTTGATACCAACTCAACCAGGTTATGTCTGAGTCCTGTAGTCCCTTTCAAATGTCTTGGTAACGGTTGAGAGTCTGGATAAAAATCCTTCAAATGAAAGAAACCACCCAACATTTGGTCTTCACAATTGTGAGGGCACCTCAGTAGTGATTTGTTTATTATTAAAAATATTTATAGCTCACCCTTTGTGTGAACTGATTCCAGGGCAAAGGGGCAAACCATAAACACAGAAAAAGGTAGAATAGACACTAAGGCTAGTTGTATTTAGAAATACATTTATTTATTTATTAAATATAAGCTGCAATTCTCTTAATTGCTAATATTAAAAATACGGCACTTATTAAGAAACGCAGCTTGAAACAAACAAGTTTTTATTGTCCTTCTGGCTTGTAAATAAACATGGAATGGTGGGAAATCTCAAGGAGGATTTTCTTCTAGTTCTGCTGGGAAGAGGGTTTTTGTTTGTTTGTTTGTTTGTTTGTTTTTAAAGGCTGGCCATCTGCCATGGATGCTTTAGTTGAGACTCCTGCATTGCAGGGGGTTGGACTAGATGACCCTCGGGATCCCTCCGACTCTACAATTCTATGACTCTATATTTTTATTTACTTTTTAAATTAATAATGCACGCATCTGTGACCCAGCTTAGAAGCCATACAAAATTTAAAGGGCAGCTACAGTCACAGATTAATAAACAGACGAGCAAACGAGAAACCCCAGCTTTAAAATTCAGCTCAGCTCAGGCAGCCAAGGAGCCGCGCGCAGAACTGAGCTGAATCCGCCTCCTACGAGTTAAATCGACCGAGCACCTGTTCCTAGAGCGGCCTGGTCTCTTTCTCGTCCTCCTCTGCTGTTTAAAGGGGAAGCACCTTTTGTCTGCGCCCGTCCCTTTTCCAGCCCGTGGCTGCGGGAGAGGTAAGTCGGAGGAGCCCAAAGGTCCCTGTGGCTCTCCCGTAGCAGAGCAGCGTCCCCTTTATGTACACGGCTGGATAATGCCCGTCGCACACGTGAGTGGGCACGTGTGCAGGGGTTGGGAGTGTCAGGCGGAGCAAGTCCCTGCGCATTTTACTGAAGAGTAATCCCACTTCAACCCAGCGGGCTTCATTTCAAAGCAGGTATGCCTGTGGTTTTCGGTGGGAGGGAACAACCCCCTGTGCATTTTACTGAGAAGTAAGCCCACTTTATTAAGTAGGGTGCATTTCCATATGAAGGTGTATAATCTTGCAGTCTCGCGTATTTATTCAGGATCAATCCCACAACTCGGTGGGGGCTTTACTTCCAAGTAGACACAGATAGAACCATAGAATTAGTAGAGTTGGAAGGGACCTTTGAGGATCATCTAGTCCAGCCCCCTGCAGTGCAGGAATATACAGCTGTCCCTTGTGGGGATCAAGCCTGCAACCTCCGTGTCATCAGCACCACGCTGTAACCAACTGAGCTCTCTGGTGAATGAGATCAGTACAGTTTATTGGCACACTTTATTACAATTGGGAAAGATTGAGGGCACAAGGAGAAGGGGACGGCAGAGGACAAGATGGTTTGACAGTGTTCTCAAAGCTGTGAACATGAGTTTGACCAAACTGCAGGAGGCAGTGGAAGACAGGAGTGCCTGGCGTGCTCTGATCCATGGGGTCACGAAGAGTCGGACACGACTAAACGACTAAACAACAACAACAATTATAATCAGGGTGGCCAAATGCTAAGGAGAACAGGCTTCTTTAATAGTTGTACAGAAGGAATTTCAGCATGTGAAGTGTCTTGGGCTTTTTTCGGGGGGGGGGCGTGCAGTGGGGTAGGAAGTCAGAGAAAGGAGGCTCCCCCCTGTTGAACAATTGTGGGTTTGAACTATTTAAGATCATTTGTTGTTGTTTTTTTGCACAGCACTGAAAAACAGCATCAAAACATTGCAATCCAGAATATTTATACATGGGTGATAGGTAACGTTAGTTAGAGTTGAAAACAATTGATTTATTTAGGGCGTTGATTTTAATGGCTTGACATTATATATCGCTGATAATGAGGAGGATTAAATGTGAACAATTTCTCTTCCCAGTATGTTTTGACATAAGCCTGGCTATGACTGCATTATGTACAGACTAACTTGGGAGTATGTGCCACAATCCTATCCATGTCTCTTCAGATGTGAATCCCATTGAACAAGAGGAGACTAGAGAGAGCTAAATAAGTGGTTTACAGAATTTTTTTATTTCACACACAAACTAGACAGTAATCTCCCCATATTTGGCAGCTTTTAAAACTTGGAACTTATGAAATCCAGTTTAAGGGCCTCCATAGCTAGCTCCCTTGGTATAGCTGAGAGAGAAGAGCAAAATAGGAGTCTAATTACTAACCTTATAATCAGGATTGTGCATCGTAGTAACCAAAGAGCTCTAATGATAGGATTTCCTGTCTTTTTTATTATGATTGTGAATCTTGTGCTTACTTTACATTTTTTGTACAATATAATATGCTATTTGTATTGTATTGTATTAATTTGTTGCTTTGGTGAGGAGTGAAGGAAGAGAGTGGCTTTGGTGAGGATGGCTAGTGGACAAATTAAGTGAGCAGGGGACAGAGTCTCATATTTGCTTCATTACATGCTTTATTTTGTAGCTCAGTTAACATTATCATCAATCATCATGTTTCAGGCATGATTCACACTGTCTCCTCTCTTCCTTCCATCAGATAATGGAGATGTGAAGAATAATCTCAAGGTAGAAATGTCTGAACAACAGAAACAGATTGAGATATTGGTGAAACCACTGGACGAGAACATGTCTCAGTGCCATGTCAAGGCAGAAGCTGCTGAACAGCAACATGGATTGTCAAGCCAACAGGGGAAGCCCATGGGGTTGGGAGTGGATGAGTCCACCCTGGGTGAGGAAAGCTTCAAGGACCAAAGCGAAATCTCAGCCCAGGGAGAGATGGAAAAAGACAAGGGACTAGTAATTTTAGAAGAAGAGAAGAATGCAAACCTCATTACTTGTGGGAGGAACCTTACGGCAGTGAAATTGTATGGATGCTCAGACGGTGGAAACTCCTCCTGTATGACCTCTGAAAATCAATGGGATCATACTGCAAGGGAGGAAATATACACATCTTTGGACTTTGGGGACTCCTTTGGTATGGATGCTGGCTTTATCAAGCATTGTGGAACCCACACAGGAGACAAAACGTTTCAATGCTCGGACTGTGGGAAGAGCTGTGAAACAAAAACCCAGTTGCTTGCGCATATGAAGATGCACACAGGGGGAAACCCACTTAGATGCACCATCTGTGGGAAGAGCTTCTCTCAGAACAGAGACCTCTCTACTAATGAGAGAATCCACACAAAAGACAAAATGTTTATGTGCTCAGAATGCAATAAATCCTTCCCCAACAACACTGAATTTGGACGTCCCCAACCCCAGAAAGGGGAGGAACCATATAAATGTTTGGACTGTGGAAGATCCTTCACTCTGAACTCTGACTTTCGTAAACATCACAGAACCCACACGGGAGGGAAACCACATAAATGCCCAGACTGTGGCAAGACTTTTGATAAGAAATTTAAGCTAGTGACGCATGTGAGAATCCATACTGGGGAGAAACCTTTTAAGTGTTTGGACTGTGGGAAAAGCTTTGCTCAGAAGGGGAACCTTGTGGTTCATGAGAGAAGCCATACTGGCGAGAAACCATACAAGTGCTTGGATTGCGAGAAGTCCTTCAGTGTGAATGCAGACCTTATTAGACATCACAGAATACACACAGGGGAAAAGCCATTCAAATGCCCAGAGTGTGGGAAATTCTTCAGGACACACTCTGAAATGTTCAGACATCAGAGAACTCACCCAGGAAACAAACCATACGACTGCTGGGACTGTGGCAAAACCTTTAGTCAGGAAGCCCACCTCGTGGCACACCTGAGAATCCACACTGGGGAGAAGCCCTACAAATGCCCAGACTGTCGGCAAAGCTTTGCCCAGAAAGGGAACCTTATTCTTCATCAGAGGACCCACATGGAAGAGAAGCCGTATAAATGCTTGGACTGTGAGAAATCCTTCCGTGCAAAATCTAAGCTCATAGAGCATCAGAGGCTTCACACCGGGGAGACGCCCTATGATTGCTCAGACTGCGGTAAAAGCTTCAGCCGGAAAGGGAGCCTCCTTGCCCACATGCACTTCCATTCCGGGAAGAAGCCATATGAATGCTCCATTTGTGGGAAATCCTTCATTATGAACTCTGATCTCCTTAGACATCAGAGAACTCACACAGGAGAGAAACCGTACAAGTGCTCAGATTGCGATAAAAGCTTTAGTCGGAAAGACGGCCTGCTCAAACACCTGGTGATCCATTCTGGGACAGAATTGCACATTCAGGAAAAGCCATACGAATGCTTGCACTGTGGCAGGAGTTACAATTACAAACAGAACCTCATTGTGCATAGGAGAACTCACACTGGAGAAAAGAGATTTAAATGCACAGACTGCGGTAAAACCTTCAACACAAACTCTGAACTTACCAAACATCGGAGAATGCACACGGGGGAGAAGCCGTACAAGTGCTCTGATTGTGGGAAAAGCTTCGCCCAGAGGGGAGGCCTGGTTGCCCACAAGAGGACTCACACGGGAGAGAAGCCGTACAAATGCACCGTTTGTGGGAAATGTTTTAGTCTGAGCTCTTGCCTGATTAGACACCAGCAAATCCACACAGGGGAGAAACCCTATCAGTGCCTAGACTGCGGACAGTGCTTTACTCACAAAAGGAACCTTGTCAAACACGCTGCCAGCCACCAAGAAGAAAAACCATATAACTGCTCAGAATGTGGGAAAAGTTTTGGGATAAGTTATCACCTCGTTCAGCACCAGCAAATCCACTCAGGAGAGAAACCGTATAAATGCTTGGAATGTGGGCAGAGTTTCACTCGCAAGAGAAACCTTGTGGTACATGTGAGAAGCCACACGTCAGAGAAGCTCCACAAATGCCCAGGCTGTGGGAAAAGTTTCCCTCACAAAAATAATCTTGTCGAGCATATGGGAATGCATGCAAGGGAGAAACCGCAGGAGTGCCCAGAATGTGGGGAAAGTTTCACTGATCTCCTTGTTCTTATTAAGCACAGAAGAATCCACACAGAGACAGCCTTGGAGGAGTCTTCCTATTGGGAGAAGATACTCTGTTGAAACGTGCATGATCTTTTACTGCATATTAGAGAAATTATACTGTAGGAGATGCTTAGACTCAAGAAGGCCGTTAGGAAGTGTGAAATCGGAACCAGTGAGGGTGGTGAATGTCCTGCGTGAGTGTCTGGAGGAGGATGGAGGAGGGATGGTGGTTGATAGGTTGAGGCTGAATCCCAACGAGATAGAAGTACTGTTTCTGGGGGCCAGGGAGCAGGCAGATGTGACAGACACCCTGGTCCTGAATGGGGTAACTCTGCCCCTAAAGGACCAGGTGGCCAGCCTGGGGGTCATTTGGTCTCAAAACTGCTCATGGAGGCACAGGTAAATTCTGTGTTCAGGGCAGCTGTCTACCAGCTCCATCTGGTACCCTGGCTGAGACGCTACCTGCTCGCCAACTGTCTTGCCAAAGTGGTATGTGCTTTGATTATCTTCCGCTTGGACTACTGCAATGTGCTGTACGTGGGGCTACCTTTGAAGGTGACTCAGAAACTACATGTAATCCAGAATGTGGACTGGTGTCTGGGAGCAGCCACTGGGAACATATAGCACTGGTTCTAAAGAAGAAGAAGAGTTTGGATTTGATATCCCGCTTTATCACTACCCGATGGAGTCTCAAAGCGGCTAACATTCTCCTTTCCCTTCCTCCCCCACAACAAACACTCTGTGAGGTGAGTGGGGCTGAGAGACTTCAGAGAAGTGTGACTAGCCCAAGGTCACCCAGCAGCTGCATGTGGAGGAGCGGAGACGCGAACCCGGTTCCCCAGATTACAAGTCTACCGCTCTTAACCACTACACCACACTGGCTCTACGTGGTCTCCCAGTATGTTTCTGAGCACAGTTTAAAGTGTTGGTGTTGACCTTCCAAGTCCTAAGCAGCTTCTGCCCTGTATACCTGAAGGAATATTCCATCCCCATCATCCAGCCTGTAAACTGAGGTCCAGTACGGAGGGTCTTCTGGTGGTTCCCTCTCTGTGAGAAGTAAAGTTACAGGGAACCAGGCAAAGGGCCTTTTTTTGTAGTGACTGGACCGCCCTCCCATCAGATGTCAATGAAATACACAGCTATATGACATTCAGAAGGCACCTGAAGGCAGCCTTATATAGGGGATGCCTTTACTGTTTGATGTTTTACTGTGTTTTTATATTCTGTTGGAAACTGCCCAGAGTGGATGGGGCAACCCAGTCAGATGGGCAATGTACAAATAATAAAATTATTATTATTATTATTATTATTAGTGCTCCATGAACACAGTCGTATAAACATGTGTATGCATATATTTCCTTGGTTAATGATAAAATCAAGTAATATAATTTGCCTCCCACCTTTGAGTCCTAATGGAGTTCTGCTGGTGGTTTATATGGTGCAGGGATTGGAAACCTATAGCCCTCCAGATATGGTTGGCCTCCAACTCCCATCTGCCTCATCCATTAACCAGAGATGATGGGAACTGTAGATGTCTATCAATATCTGGTGGGTTCCTGATCCTTGATAAAGCAAATAATACACATTGAAACTGCTGTCCTAGGCATGTCTACTGAGAAGTGAGCCCTGCTGGGCACAATCGGGCTTACTCTCAAGGAAGTGGGTAGAGGATTGCAGCCAAACAGCCAAAACCCTTTAATAAAGTAAATGCAGACATGCTTTAATCTTTTTTTCTTTTTTTTTAAAGTAAGCTTCTTTCTGGCTTATGTAGAACACATTTCTGTAATAATGTGCCAGATGTTTTTGTGAGTGGATCTATCCTGTATTGTCATCCCTCGTCTTGAAATGTTTTAACAGCAGAGTCAGGGCTGGTTCCATCAGAAATTGACGGAGTGGGGAAGGTTGAGGGGACCTATGGTGCGCCACCTGTCTAGGAAAAGGGCTTGGCCTCCATCACTGCCTCCTGTGGCAGTGAGTTCCATAGTTTAACTATGCTCTTTGTGAAAATGTGTTTCCCTTGGTCTGTCTGGAATCTCCTTCCCTTCTGCTTTATTGGCTGCCCCCAGTTTTCAGTGTGATGAGAGAGGGAGAAAAAATTATCCCTAACCAAATTTCTCGACACCATGCCTTTTTTTCTAAATGAAGCAGAAGTCCTTGCACCTTTTGCTCTGGCCTCTTGACCCTTTTGATTGTCATTTTCTAAACCTCTTCCACCTCTGCTATAGCTTTTTTCCGGTGAGGCAACCAGAACTGTATGCAGTACTCCAAATGCAGTCACACCACAGATTTGTATGATGGCGTTGTGATGCTAGCAGTTTTATTTTCAAAATCTTTCCTAATGATCCCTAACATGGAAATCAGCCATACACTGGGTTGACATTTTCATTGAGCTATCCTAATTTCCATTTCATTATCTTCATTTGTCTTGAGTCACCTCCGGAATGCCTCCTGTGCATATTCCTGCCTTATGGGAGTGGGGTGAAGAAGAAGAAGACTATGATGCGGAATAATATCAGCAGTTGCCATTTGTCGTACTTAATTCTTTATTTGTCTGCCACCTTTCTTGCAACATCAACAAAATGCTCAATTTTTCGCTCGATAGCTTGCAGCGTCAGGGAAAAAAATAACACAATTCACACTCACAGTCACAAAAACGTAACAAAATTTAAGAAGCCGTACGTAATAAATGAAAATGTATCAATAAATGTACAGTAAAATGAATCCTTGTGTAATTCCAAATTAGGTGTAACAATAAAAATACAAAGCAATAAAAATACCAAGCACATCAAAAATAAATCATCTCCTAAATTAAATCTTGACTTCCAACAAAGACTCCTAAACCAAATCCCACTGTGATAGCTCGGTGACAGGTATGGGGTCTCTCAGCACCCTTAACAAAAACTTGGATTGTTTGGGGGAAGCCATGACTGATTAAAAGTGTAATAATGCTGCTTTAAATGTATAGTGCAGATGGGGGCCTTTGAGACCCTGAAAAGAGTTAAAGTGACAGAGGCTTGTTCCTAGAGAGGCTTTGGAATGTGGAATGGGAAAAGAGCCTCTTCCTGGCCCCGCCTCCTTGGTCCAGACAAATTTTGAACAAAAAAATTCCTTCCTGTAGCACCTTAAAGACCAACTAAGTTAGTTCTTGGTATAAGCTTTCGTGTGCATGCACACTTCTTCAGATACACTGAAACAGAAGTTGCCAGATCCTTCTATATATTGAGAAGGTGGGGAGGGTATTACTTAGAAGGGTGGTGGGAATCGGAGATTGGCAGATAGCTGAGATGAGCCTGTTGACGACTCTTAACGACTGTAATAGGTCTTACAGGAAAAGGCAAGGGGTGAGAAGGTGAGAAATGGCTTAGTCATGTATAATGAGATAAGAATCCGATGTCTCTGTTCAGACCAGGTCTCTCCATTGTTTTAAGTTTGGTAATGAGTTGTAATTCAGCAGCTTCTCTTTCCAGTCTATTTCTGAAATTCCTTTGTAGTAAAACAGCTACTTTGAGATCTTGTATAGAATGTCCTGGGAGAAATTTTGAACAGCTGCTGGAGGAGGTGAGTTGCACAGCAGGAGTCTATTTAGGGAAAGCAGAGCAAGAGGGGAAGGGAAGGGGGAAGGGTGCCCAGAGGGGACAAACTTAGAAAGGGAGTGAAGGTGGGTGATCTTCTGGAACACAGCTGCTGGCAGTGGGTTTTCCTCCTTCCTATTCTTTTGCATTCCAAGTCCTGCTGAGTGAGTACATTACATTTACTTTGGTTCCCAGGCAGCTTAAAAAGAAAAGAAAAGAAATCCAGGGTCTTGATATCCATTGTTTGAAAGTCCAGAAGTAGATGCTGCTGAACTCAGTGGGGCTTCCTTCTGCATGGACACGTATAGGTCTGTCCTGTTTTGTTTTGGGTTTTTTTGCAATATATAAAAAATTTCAAACAGTTTCACAATTGTCTTCATATCAATAATTATATTATTTCATAAATTGACTTCCCACCCCCACTTCCACAGTGTTTGTTTTTACTCATACCTTTTCACAGCATTACCGTATTTTTCGCCCTATAGGGCGCACTGGCCCATAGGACGCACCTCATTTTTTGGGGGGGAAATGAATAACAAAAAATTATTTCCCCCCCCCCCAGCCACGGGGCTGGGGCGGGGGAAGCCCGAGCTTCCCCCGACCCCAGCTCCCAGAACAGGCTGCCGCAAGGCTTGCGGACACCAGCGCGAAGCATGGGGCATCCTCCGGAGGGCGCCCCGTGCTCCGCGCTGCAGGCTGCTGCCCGCAAGCCTTGCGCGCCCGGGGGGACCTCCCACCAGGCGCGCAAGGCTTGTGGATAGCTTCCTGAAGCCTGGAGAGCGAGAGGGGTCGGTGCGCACCGACGCCTCTCGCTATCCAGGCTTCAGCGAAAGCCTGCATTCGCCCCATAGGACACACACACATTTCCCCTTCATTTTTGGAGGGGAAAAAGTGCGTCCTATAAGGCGAAAAATACGGTATATCTTTATCTATTACAAAAACTTTCTCTGTTTACCGTTATCTAGGATTGCCCTGTTAAGATGCTTACATTTAGAGGTAGGGGGCATATTTTGGATTGTATTGTTTTCCTCATTTATATTTGGCCTTTTCCTCCAAGGAACTAGTGGTGGAGTGTTCATTTATTTTTATTTATTTAATTGAATTGATATACCACCCTTTCCCCGGGGGTCTCAGGGCGGTTCACAGAATAAAATCAAGATATAAAACCACAAAATACATAATAAAAATGAAAACAACAACCCAATAGCCACCCCCTCTGTTTTATCCTCACAACAACCCTTGCAGCGGTTCTCAACCTGTGAGTCCCCAGATGTTGTTGCACTACAACTCCCATCATCCCTGAGCTCTGGCCTTGCTAGCTAGGGGTGATGGGAGTTGTAGTTCAACAACATCTGGGGACCCACAGGTTGAGAAAAGCTGCTAGAGGAAGGCCAGAATGAGAGACCGTGACCGAATGAAGGTCTCTCAAGCCCCATCTGCACTATACATTTGTATCAGTAGGATACCACTTTAAACAGTCATGGCGTCCCTCAAAAGATAATTGGAACTGCATTTTGTTAAAGGTGCCAAGGGTTGTTAGAGTACCTCGTATTCTCCCCACAGAGCTAAAATTCTCAGGGTGGTTTAACGAGAAACACTTATTCCCAGGGAACGGCCTTCTCCAGATGCCTTCTTATCTGGAAGTCCACTCCTGTGGTGGTGATGCAGTTGATGGAGAGCTGGACTAAGACCTTGGAGACCACTCAGCCATGATACTCACTGGGTGAGCTTGGGCTCAGTCACAATCTCTCAGCCTAAATTATCTCACAGGTCACATCCCCTTGAACTTCTTGGGGAAAGGTGGGATTAAAATGCAGCAATAAAAGAGGAGGAATAATGAAGGAATTGGGCCTTTAGTGCTGTGGCACCTGCTGTTTGGAATGCCTTCTTGTTGATTATTATAAAGGAATAATGAAGGAATTGGGCCTTTAGTGTTGTGGCACCTGCTGTTTGGAATGCCTTCTTGTTGATTATTATAAAGATGTTGCCTCTGTTGTCTTTTCGGCATCTGCTGAATATCTTTCCCAGTCTGCCACTGGATTGGATTTTGCTGGACTTGTTGTTTGCTGCCCTGGGCTCCTTTGGGAAGAGGGATAGGGGTATAAATTTAATAAAGCAAAAAATTAAAATAAATAAATTCTTCAACTCAGCAGGTTAAGACCCAACATGAAAGAGGTTAAAATGGAGACCCATGAAAAAGGAGCCAGGTTTCCTTGAGGTCTGAGGCTGGTGAGGGTGGACAGACTCTTGCTGTGAGGACGATCTCATGTCCCCTGACCAAACTGCAGTCTGTGCAGGTAAGGGAACGGGGAGAACCCACAGCTATTTCTCAAACATTTTTTGATGCCACAATATTTATAGCTGTTAAGAGATGCTGTTCAAGAGACTAGGGCTGTGTGAATGCTACACCTTTAAAGCACCGTCTTTCCCTCAATGAATTCTGGGCACTGTAGTTTGTTAAGGGTTGCTGATAATTGTAACTGTGGGGTGGAAACTGCAATGCCCAGAATTCTTGGGAAGGAAAGAACGTGTCTCTCCTGTTTAGTGTATACACAGCCATATGCAATAAATGCGCCTTAGAGAGCCCTGAAGACCAGGCTACATACACACCATACATTTAAAGCACCTTTAAGGCACACGACTCCCTCCAAAGAAGTCTGGGAATTGTAGTTTGTGAAGAGTGCTGGGAATTGTAGCTCTGTGATGGGGAAATTACAGTTTCTGCGATTCTTGGGGGGAAGCCATGTGATTTACGGTAAATGTATGGTGTGTCTGTAGCCTTTAGGCGTCTTAGTACCATTGGCTTTATTTAAAGCAGAATCATACTAAAGGGTTATGCCTATAAGGAACTTCCAAAAGAAACAGCTGTGGCAGAATCATGCTCCAAGGCTGCAATCTCACTTTAAGTTACTTCCAGCTAGAAACCTCCCTTGCTCCTTCTCTCTCTCTTTCTGTCTCACATACACAGACACACAATCTATCAAATAGATATAGAAATAGCTCTGCAAACACGTCCCATCTAGCCACAGTAGGAAGCACCACTTCTGCCTTTGAACACCACTTGTTGGGAATCACATCTGGTGATCACTGTGAGAACAGGATGCTAGACTAGATGGATCACTTAACTTTAAAAATAAGTAAGTCCCTAACTGGTATAATAAAATAACACAAAAACAATAAAATAGCTTTATGAGAACAGCAAATCAACAATACTGAAAGAGGAATGGTAGGGACTGATCTTATGGGTCAAGGAAAGTCTGGGCGAAAAGATACATATTTGCAAGATTGCAGCTGCTTAGAGATAACGAAGTCTTATATAAATTGTCTCAATAAACGAAGTGGCAGAAGTTACTCATAGTTGTTGTTGTTGTTGTTACCACATCTGGCTTGGTTTCCCCAGGCACACTAGGTGGCTTCCAGCAAAATATAAAAAATAATAAAGTGTCAGAATTATGCTTTATGTGTGGTGGGGGAAGAGTCTTCCACAGTGCAGGGGCAAAGTCAGAAAAATGAATGTTTTTGGCTCACTGCCGTGTGATACTCTGTAGAGTGCAGTGTCATGAGTTAAAATTTCCTCAGATCGTTGATGTGTTATTACAGGGTCTCTTCAGGAGTAGGCAGTCTTTTAGGCCTCCAAATTATTCAGGGCTTTTATGTGTGTGTCACAAAAGACCTTGCATGTGGCCTGGTAGCTGATGGACAGCCACTGCAGCTCCCTTAGTGTGGGTATAATATGCATAAAAATACTTAATAGTATTGTGAATTTCTATGACAGTGGTGTTTTATCCCTGAAAGCTGGTTTAAAAAGTACAGTGGTACCTTGGGTTAAGAACTTAATTCATTCCGGAGGTCCGTTCTTAACCTGAAACTGTTCTTAACCTGAGATACCACTTTAGCTAATGGGGCCTCCCGCTGCCGCCGCACAATTTCTGTTCTCATCCTGAAGTAAAGTTCTTAACCCGAGGTACTACTTCTGGGTTAGCGGAGTCTGTAACCTGAAGCGCCTGTAACCCGAGGTACCACTGTAATTAAAAACAAATAAATAATAAATACCACTCAGCAATAGTCCCTTCAGAGTAGCTTGACTGTCTCACCTTGCCTCAGGCTTCATGGTTGCTAGGCCAAGGCTGCGTACACATCTTTTAAAGCACAGGGTCCTACACACCCCAAAGAATCCCAGGAACTGTAATTTATTAAGGCTGCTAGGAATTGTAGCTCTGTGAGAGGCAAACTGAAGTTCCCAGGATTTTTTGGAGAGGAAAATGTACTTTAAATGTATGGTGCGTATTCAGTCTCTCTCTCTCTTTGGCAATTGTTTCATGACCTCTGGATGTAGGGTGACGACTCACAGTTGAATCTCTCTTTCCTTCAGATATGGAGTCTATGAATGAGGAAGCTAACAAGATCCCAGAGCTGAAGAGCTCTGAGCTGAGGGAGCCACTCCAGGCAGCAGTGCAGACAGCCAAAGAGCAAGATACCCAGTGCGTTGTGAAGGTGGAAGCTGTTTTGAGACAACGGGTGAGAAATCCGGGCGGGATATTAAATAAGACGATTAGATGTTCAGAAAGCAGCAAAGACTTGGATGAAATCTCAGCCGAGGAGGCAAAAGGGAAGGATGAGGGACAAGTAACCTCAACAGAATGTGAGAACAGCTCCTACATTGCAGAAGAGAGGCCGTATAAGTGCTCAGACTGTGGGAAAACCTTCTGTAGGAATGCTAACCTTATTAGACATTATAGAACCCACACAGGGGAGAAACCCTATGAATGCATCGTATGTGGGAAAAGCTTCTCTCAGAAAGGAAATCTTGCTATGCATGAGAGAATCCATGCAGAAGAGAAGCCGTACAAGTGTTTGCATTGTGGGAAATCCTTCTGTAAGAACGCCGACCTCCTTCGACACCAGCGCAATCATACAGGGGAGAAACCGTATCAGTGCTCCGTGTGCGGGAGAAGCTTCAGCATGAATTCTGACTTTATTATACATTTCAGAACCCACACGGGAGAGAAGCAACATGAATGCTCAGAGTGCGGCAAAAGCTTCAATAAGAAATGTAACCTGGTTGCACATGCCAGGACCCATACCGGGGAGAAACCGTACAAATGCTCAGAGTGCGAGAAATCTTTCTCTACAAACTCGGAAGTCTTTAAACATTACAGAACCCACTCAGAAAACAAACCTTATGACTGCTGGAACTGTGGCAAGAGGTTCAGGCAGGAATCACATTTAGCCACACATAGGAGAATCCACACTGGGGAGAAGCCATACGAATGCTCGGGCTGTGGGCAGAAATTTACTCGGAAAGGAAACCTTGCTCTTCACGAGAGAATCCACACAGAAGAGAAACCATACAAATGCTTGGAATGCGGCAAATCGTTCCAAGCAAACTACAAACTTATTGCACATCAGAGACTCCATGCAGGAGAGGCTCCATACGAATGTCCGGACTGTGGCAAAAGCTTCATCCGAAAAGGGAGACTCACAGCACACCTACAGTTCCACTCAGAGAAGAAACCATATGAATGTTTGGATTGTGGGAAATCCTTTGTTATGAACTCCGATCTCCTTAGACATCAGAGAACCCACACGGGCGAGAAACCATATGAATGCTCAGACTGTAAGAAAAGCTTTAGCCGGAAAGATGGCCTTCTCAAACATATAATCATCCATTCAGGGGAGCAATCGCAGACATATGAGAAACCCTATGGATGCTTGCACTGCGGCAGAAGCTACAATTACAAGCAAAATCTCATTATCCATATGAGAAACCATAGCGGACAAAAGCCCTATCGGTGTTCAGACTGCAATAAGGCCTTTAATACAAACTCCGAGCTTACTAAACATCGGAGAATGCACACAGGAGAGAAACCGTACAAGTGCTCTGAGTGCGGGAAAAGCTTCAGCCAGAAAGGAGACCTCATTGTCCATGTGAGGATCCACACAGGGGAGAAACCATATAAATGTACCGACTGCGGCAAATGTTTTAGCCTTAGTTACCTTGTGATCCGCCACCAGCAAATGCACACAGGGGAGAAACCATTTCTGTGTTCTGAATGCGGGAAATGTTTTGGTATACGCTCAAAACTTGCTCGGCACCAGTTGACTCACACAGGAGAAAAACCATACAAGTGCCTGGACTGTGGTCAGTGTTTCACTCGTAAAACGAACCTTTTCAAACATATGGCAGCCCATTCAGTGAAGAAGCCATAGAAATCCCCTGGAGCAGGCGTTGGGTTAGTCCATGATTGCTATAGTTGTATTCCTCACAAGTGAATGCACACAGAGCAAAGCAATTCGTATTAATTTTCCTAATGGGAAAAAAGTTTCAATCTCTCATCAGCCTCAAAGTAGCTTATATGGCACAGTTAATTTTCTAAGAGCAATAAGATCCTTCAGGAAGCACTTAATAAGCAAGGGTCAATTAAGGAATTGTGTACTCAAAAGGGAGGTAATTGAAATACAGAGCATAATCATAATAAAATACAGTCGTACCTTGGAAGTCGAAAGGAATCCATTCCAGAAGACCGTTTGACTTCCAAATCGTTTGGAAACCAAAGCGCGGCTTCTGATTGGCTGCAGGAACTTCCTGCAGCCAATCGAAAGCCCCGTTGGATGTTCGGGTTCCAAAGAATGTTTGGAACACTCCAAAGAAAACTGGAACACTCACTTCCGGGTTTGTGGCATTCGGGAGCCAAAACGTCCGAGTACCAAGGCATTTGGGATCCAAGGTACAACTGTATGTTCTATAATGATGAAATTATAGACCTTAAAACTGAAATATTTGTGTGAAAATGAGAGTTATTCAGCAGGGACTAGCTTTGGAAGGCTACAAATGGATCTGGGCTAGGAGACCACCACAAATTATATCTGTAGATTGGAAGGAATATACATATATATCAATACAGTGTGCAATATCAACAGTATCTGATTCTTTATTGACTTTCTCATACACACACATACTGCACAGGATATATGTTGAAGATATGGTGGTCAACATGCAGGTTGTTTACGTATATTTTTGAGTTAACTGGTAATTCAAACTTACTGCTTTACTGCCCAAAATGTTATCTTAGAATGACCGGGTATTTATTACCAAATGAGCCAATAATATTATTACAGTATTGAGCTATTTACAAGGGTTAATAGTGGAGATGGATCTGGCTCTGGTTTCGTATTTGCTGAAAGCAGCAAAAAGAATAATTGCTAAAGCGTGGAAGACGAAATTGGCACCATCGATTCTGACTGGTCTGGAAAGTTAGTGAATATCGTAATACTATTATTACCGGTCATTTATTACTTGCTCTTCACCAGCAGGACCAAGGGTAGGTTACAACAATTTAAAATTCTGAAAAACAGTCAAAACAGATTGCAATCACAGGAGTAGGGAAAAACACATTTTGAGTGTCCAAGGCTGGTGTAAAGAGATGGTAAGGAAATACATGAACAAACATTTATAAAGAAAAAGGGCTCCTCCCAGAAAGAAGAGGGCAAGGAGAAAAAGGAAGTGCAAAGCCCGCTGAGGGGAAGTTAGAGCTGGTCCTCTCCCCAACCAGGGCTGGATTAACCATTAAGCAAAATAAGGCCATGCTTAGGGCATCAAGGTTAGAGAGGCATTACAGAAATTTTCCATTGCTGGATTTACCATGGGCCATATGAGGCAGCTGAACCAGGTTCCACAAAGAAGGCTCTTGCAACAAATGGAAAAAAATTCATATTATATATACAATAATAAAAAATAAATATAAAGTGGAAGTATGCAAAAATAAACATTATTCTCCATCTTACTGTAGGCTTTGTTTCATTTCAGAATTATTTTTTTACAGTTTATTATTGTTCATATTGTTTATGAAGGACCAGGTGCGCAGCCTGGGAGCCATTCTGGGCTCACAGCTGTCCATGGAGGCACAGGTCAATTCTGTGCCCAGGGCAGCTGTTTGCCAGCTCCATCTGGTACGCAGGCTGAGACCCTACGGTCTCGCCAGAGTGGTGCATGCTCTGGTTATCTCCCGCTTGGACTACTGCAATGTACTCTATGTGGGGCTACCTTTGAAGGTGACCCAGAAACTACAACTAATCCAGAATGCAGCAGCTAGACTGGTGACTGGCAGTGGCCGTCAAGACCATATAACACCGCTCCTGAAAGACCTACATTGGCTCCCAGTACATTTCCGAGCACAATTCAAAGTGTTGGTGCTGATCTTTAAAGCCCTAAATGGCCTCGGTCCAGTATACCTGAAGGAGCATCTCCACCCCCATCGTTCTACCCGGACACTGAGATCCAGCACCGAGGGCCTTCTGGCGGTTCCCTCATTGCGAGAAGTGAGGTTACAGGGAGCCAGACAGAGGGCCTTCTCGGTAGTGGCGCCCACCCTGTGGAACGCCCTCCCACCAGATGTCAAAGAGAACTGCTACCAGACTTTTAGAAGACATCTGAAGGCAGCCCTGTTTAGGGAAGCTTTTAATGTTTGATGGATTACTGTATTTTAATATTTTGTTGGAAGCCTCCCAGAATGGCTGGGGAAGCCCAGCCAGATGGGCGTCCTGTTCTCATGGTGGCCAACAGTATGACTGTGGGAAAACAGCAAGCTGGACCTGCCTGAGCACAAGGGCCTTCTCTCCTGCAGTTTCCAGCACTTTGCATTCAGAAGAATTAGTGCCTCTGACAGTTGAATGCAGAGGACTTTGTGGAGGAGTCTGGTTGGCTGTGGTGAGAAGCAAGAGGTTTTGGGTTGGATCCAGCAGCGCTCTGGACACATATCCCACCCCCCGAATTCTTACCTGTGTTTTTGGGGACTGCCGTGCCATCTCACTTTCTTGTGTCCTTTATTTATTTATATGTATCTGATAAATATGGTTATTTATCTCCTGCCTTCCAAGACAGCTCAATGATGATGATGATAGTAGGCTTCAATAATATCAAAAGTTGAAAACCTGTGGAGGCAAAACATCTAAAACCAGCAAAAATGATTCATAATAGCCTTGGAGAAAAAGGAAGAATCTCCCATGACCTTTTTTAAAATCAGGAAAGTTGAGAGTTTCACACAAATGAGGCCGCCATTGAGAAAGATTGCTGCCTGTCAAGCTAATACTGAACGGAATAGTCTTGACTCTGAGTAAGGCAACTTCTTGCGCTCTAATGCTACATATCTCTTATTATTCTGATATTTTATCAGATTCATTAAGTATGAACTTCTAAGAATTGTTGAGAAAAAATAATAAAACGTTTGAATTTGCAGCTTTAAATTATGACCGCACAAAAGTGGTGACATATTAAAGTGTGTTTATGATGCTGGTCCACTTTTTATTATTATTATTATTATTAAAGTAAAGTCATTTCATAATGTTTTGCAACATTGGCAGACCTGGTCAGTCCAGGATTGCCTCCCTGCAGCCCCACCCCCAGAGACTCTGTAATACTGGAACCCATGGAGATATGTATTCAAAACCCCACTACACCATGAAGACCAGTGGGTGACCTGGGTCCAGATGCAGTCTCAGCCTGGCCTACCTCACAGGGTTGTTGGTTGGATAAAGTTGGGGCAGAGCATGAACCTCAGGCTTGTTGTAGGAAGGGTCTATTATCTATCTGTCTGTCATCTATCTATTCTGTAAACCACCCTGAGACCCCCAAGTGTAGGATGGTATATAAATTCAATATCTATCTATCTATCTATCTATCTAACAAATAAATGCAGTGAATCTTAATTAGGTGCCTTAGGTCCACATAAGGTTTTTTTAAAAAACCTAGAATTTCCCCTTTTGCTTGTGATGCAAGAGTTTAAGGCATTTTTGGCTGCCGAGTTGTATACACAGGCGAGAAACTGCTCATGAAGCCCAGAGGGTCACAGAATCATAGAATTGTAAAGTTGGAAGGGACCCCCAAGGGTCATCTAGTCCAACCCCCTTGGCAAAGCAGGAATCTCAACTAAAGAAAAACAAAACCAGCACTTCTGAATTTTGCTTGTTTTTTTTTTTGGACAAGAAGCCATAGACAAACTAGCACGGGGCGCAGAGTGACAGCACCAGCAGCGGTGAGCTTTTTAACCATGCAGACTTCCAGAAGGCGTTAAAGTGAGAGAGATGCTTGTTCCTAGAGAGGCCCGGGAATGCTAGGCAAGGCAGATGGGGAAAGGGCCTATTCCTGGCCCGCCTCCTTGGTCCAGGGGAGGGCAACTTTTGAATGGCTGCAGGAGAAGGAGGAGGAGGTGAGTTGCCCGGCAGGAGCATGTTTAGGCAAGGCAGAGCAAGAGGGGAAGGGTGCCTGGAGGGGACAAATTAGGAGGAGAAAGAGCTGCATTCTGGTTTCATATCGATAGGGAATAGGCGCCTCTCTCCACTCTTTCTTTTGTAAGCCAGTGGCAGAGCATCCGCTTTGCATGCAGAAGGTCCTGGTTCAAGCCTCGGGGGCACATCCTGGTAGGGTTGCCTGAAACCCTGGAGTGACCTTGCCAGTCATTGTCCTGAGCTACGTGGACCGGTGGTCCTGTGCTCCTTATCAGGGTTAGAAACTCCAATATATAATCTGGGTGCCAAATGGCTCCTTAAACCAAGGTTGCAGTTGCCAAAATGGAATCTTTTATTTGCCCTTTTGGGGGCAAGAAGCCTCTAAAGTTTTATTTTTCAAATGATGAACTGACTGTGACTGATTCTCAGATAAACATCTGGCTAGTTCCGATGACAGGCTAGGTTAAGAGCTTTGAGAACTTAAAGAAGAAAAGCCATTTGATCCAGGGACAGGCCACAGAGATACAGTCAGACCTTGGGTTACAGACGCTTCAGGTTGCGTTTTTTCGGATTATGGACGCGCCGAAACCCGGAAGTACCAGAACAGGTTACTTCTGGGTTTCGGCGGCCGCCCATCCGCAGAAGCGCTAAATTGCGCTTTGCGCATGCGCAGAAGCGCTGAATTGCAACCTGCTCGTGCACAGACGCAGCGCTGTGGGTTGCGAACGTGCCCCCCGCACGGATCCGTAACCCAAGTGTCCACTGTATTGGCCTATTCCGACCTCTTTTTCTTAAGGGTGACTGCTCCTGCTCAGGCTGCACATAAAAAAAGCAACTGGGTTCCAGAAAGTGATTCTGATGGTGCAGATAAAATATAACTGATAGAATTTCACAGTGTTGGGTGAAAACAGTCCCGATCCAATGATCCCCAGGTGGTGGAGATGTCAGGCACCATCCTCGTGTCCATATGTTGTTTGTTTGTTTGTTTGCTTGCTTGTTTGCTTCATTTCTATACTGCTTTATATTTTTAAGAAAAATCTCAAAGCAGTTTACAGCATATTAAAATCTCAGTAAAATAATCCAGAATCAAACATTTCTGAAGAAAGTCAAATATAGAGTATACAGCCAAAGCAACATAATTAACAGAACTAAAATATTATCTTAAAGATTTCAAAATAAAACATTACAAAGGAGGTCAACTACAGAATACATTTAACAGAAACAAAATTAACAAAAAAAATTTTTTTTAAAAGAAAAAACCAGTGCTAAGTGAAGTCAGATATAAAATGCACATTTAAAACAGCACAACTAACAAGAGAATAAAATATTATCATAAGCATGATACGGCTGTTTGGCAGGCATAAAAAGATGGGGCAAAAGAATCCAATAGGGGTTTGTTGTCAGGCATAGCGACGTTCCTCCGGTCTCACCAGGCACCTCTTTAGTAGAGCTGGTGAGTCTGGGCCCCGCCCCCTAGGCTAGGTGGAAAGGGCCTTGCAGGGAGTGGCCTTCAAGACTCAGGGCCAGCCGATGTTGTTGTGACTACAACTCCCATCATCCCTGATCACTGACTGGGGCTGATAGGAATTGCAGTCCAAAGCATCTGGAGGGGAAGGGTGCTAGCTCAGAAAGCAGAGAAAGAACATTTCCTTTGCATTCAGAAGGCACCAGGGGCAATCCCAGGTGGGGCTGGGAATGTCCCCTGCCTGAAGCTCTGGGGGGCAACTGCCACTCACATAACAGCACTTGTGAAGCAATTGGCATTGTGTCTTTGGCTAGAGCAGGGGCAGGCAACCTAAGGCCTGGGGGCCAGATGCGGCCCAATCGCCTTCTAAATCCGGCCCGCGATGGTCCAGGAATCAGCATGTTTTTACATGAGTAGAATGTGTGCTTTTATTTAAAATGCATCTCTGGGTTATTTGTGGGGCATAGGAATTTGTTCATTTTTTTTTCTTTTCAAAAATATAGTCTGGCCCACCACATGGTCTGAGGGACGGTGGACCAGTCCACGGCTGAATAAGGTTGCTAACCCCTGGGCTAGAGGCAAAGCATAGCCATCAGGGTGAGTAGCTACTGATAGCTTTATCCTCCCTGAATTTACCTAACCCTCTTTTAAAGCCATCCAAGTTGGTCCTACGCATATTAACTTGGAAATACCTCCCAGAGCAATTTCCCAAGTTCTCTGGGAAGGAAGATTGATTGTTTTAACTTCTCGGGAAATTGTAGTTCTGTGGGGGGAACAGAGGGTCTCCTCTAACAGCTCGCCCCACCATGGGCAGAGGACAGTTCCCATGATTATTTGAGAGAGGCCACAGCTGTTGTTAGGAGTGGCATGTGTGGTGTGGATTTGGCCTTCAACTCCCATCATAGCATCATAGCTATGTAGAGTTGGAAGGGACCACAAAGGTCCAGCCCCCTGCAATGCAGGAATCTTTTGCCCAGCGTGTGTCTTGAATCCCTGACCCTGAGGTTAAGAGTCTCATGCTTTACCAACAGACCTTATCAGCATTGCCAATGATCAGGGGTGACAGGAGATATAGTTAGCAACATCTGGAGGACCTTCGGTTTTGCAACCTCCAGATTTAGGACTCACTCAGGAATTTTTCTTTCTTCTATAAGGAAACTCTGAGCAGAGAAGATGGCCAGGATCCTGTGCACAAAAGCCCTTGGCTAAGGAAACAAACATGGGACATCTACCAAAGAGAGGGTCCCTCAGCATGGAGTGAAGGCAGAAGGCAAAGGCATCCAGAAACAGACATGGATGAGCCCATTCTGTGTGCAAAAAACTTTAAAGATTTAGATGCCATCGCAGCCAAGGAGGAGATTGAGGAAAATGACAAGCAAGTGGCTTTGACCGAATGTGAGATGGACTCTCCAAGGTCTACATGCACCCACATGGAAGGGAAACCACATAAGTGTCCAGACTGCGGAAAGTCTTTCAGCATGAATTCTCACCTTATTAGTCATCAGAGAACCCACACGGGGGAGAAACCGTACGGATGCTCAGCGTGTGGTAAGAGCTTCTCTCAGAAAGGGCACCTTGCGGTCCACAAGAGGATCCACATGGAAGAGAAACCGTACAAATGCTCAGAATGTGGGAAGTCTTTCTGTAAGAATGCTGACCTCACCAGGCATCACCGAAACCACACCGGGGAGAAGCCGTACAAATGCGCTGATTGCGGGAAGTCGTTCAGCATGAACTCTGACTTTGTTAGGCATTACAGAACCCACACGGGAGACAAAATGTACGAATGCTCGGACTGTGGGAAGAGCTGTGGAACGAAGAGCCACCTGGTCGCTCACCTGAGAATGCACACTGGAGAGAAACCGTTCGCCTGTGTGGTCTGCGGGAAGAGCTTTTCTCAGAAAGGGAACCTTGTCATTCATCAGAGACTCCACACCGAGGACAAGCCCTATAAGTGCTCGGACTGCGGGAAGTCCTTCTGTAAAAACGCCGATCTTGTCAGACATCGCCGAAACCATACAGGGGAGAAACCGTACACATGCCTGGAGTGTGGGCGATCCTTTAGTATGAACGCTGACTTTATCAGGCATTACAGAACCCACACGGGGGAGACGCAGTACAAATGCTCCGAGTGCGGCAAAAGCTTTAGCAAGAAGTGCAACCTGGTGACACACGTGAGAAGCCACACGGGCGAGAAGCCCTACAAATGCTCAGCGTGCGGGAAAAAGTTCTCCCTCAAAGGGAACCTCGTAGCCCACGAGAAAACCCACACGAAAGAGAAGCCGTGCAAGTGCTTGGACTGCGGGAGATCCTTCAGCGTGAACTCTAAACTCGTCGAGCACCAGCGACTTCACACACGAGAAAAACCATACGAATGCTCGGACTGTGGCAAAAGGTTCCGCTGGATCGGAAACTTCATGTCGCACATACAGTTCCACTCGGGGGAGAAACCCTACGAGTGTTCGCTGTGCGGGAAATCCTTCATTATACAACACGACCTTGTTCGGCACCAGAGGACCCACACGGGAGAGAAGCCCTATAGGTGCGCGGAGTGCGGGAAAACGTTCAGTCAGAAGGGGAGCCTTGTTGTACATGAGAGAATCCACACGGGAGAGAAGCCGTACAAGTGTGCGGATTGTGGGAAATGTTTCAACCTCAGCTCTTGCCTCATCCGACATCAGCTAACCCACACGAGGGAGAAACCCTACAAATGTGCAGATTGCGGGAAAAGCTTTGGCGTCAGCTCTCGCCTCCTCCAACACCAGCAGATCCACACAGGAGAGCAGATTCATAAGTGCTCGGAATGCGGGAAGAGCTTCGCTCACAGAAAAACTCTTGTCAAGCACATGCAAACACACACACAGGAGGAGAAGCCACAGACTTGCTTGGTGTGTGGGGAAAGTTTCATGGACCCTCCTGCTTTTAGCCAGCATAAGAGAGTCCACGCTGAGGAGAACTCCAATGAAATCGCCATGTTGTGACAAGCATTTGCGTATCGGCCTTTATAGAGGAAATAACCCAGAGGAAGAATGAGGATATCATATCAGATAATATTCATTAGAAGGGAGGACTTTTAAAGGCTCTGATTGTGGAAAGAGATCATGAGGGATTTTTTCATTTATTTATTAGGGAACAAGTATCTTTTCTGTGGTAGATGAGATCATAATTCTTTCAATCTGCTCCCTCACCTGAACGCCACCACAAGGGCTAATGGAGAACCACCTTGCCCTGAGGGGAGAAGGAAGAAAACAGCCTGAGGACTGCTGTCACTCCAGTCAGGGGAAGTTACGGTTTGAAGCTGTTGCGTCACCAGTGATTCCATTTGGACTTAATTTAGATATTTTGCTAAACATCTCAAGTATTGTCTGTCTTGTTAGAAATGACAAACTGGTGGTTTTAAGACGACTTCTAAGGTATTCCTGATATTGCTGTGGCATAGGAGCCAATTTCTAGGGGCCAAGGTGCCTTCGCCCCCCCACTCCATAAAATATTTCAGGGCGCCGGGTCCCCCCAGAGTTGATGGGCATCGCCATTGAAATGGTGTGTGCACACCACATCATGTGATCGATTATGTAGGGCAGGGCTTACCTGCCTCCCCCATGTTTTATTCAAGCTAGAACCCCTGTGCTACAGCGAGGAAGCCCTGAGGCCTTTGAAAAAAATATGCTTTTTATATTATAAGACTGCCTTCTGAAATAGCTTTGTTTTTACTCACTTTTACAGGTAGTTGGGGTGGTTCAATTTTAGGTAACGTCCAAAACCTTACCTGTTTTAATCTGTCATTTGTGTGGATTGTGTGTGCGTTGACACAATTTACGGTAGTTCAGTTTAGGGAAAGAGAAATTGGATGCAACCTCCTCATTGCATAGCTGACACAGGAAAGACGTTACATTGAATAATTGGGTATAATGTGTCCTGTAACACCATTAAAAGATTACTTCCTTTTTTATTTATATCAAGGGTCATTCTAGAGATCAGGCTGCAATCCTATACGCCAGGGCTTTCCAAACAGTGTGTCGCGACACATTGGTGTTTTGGCTGCAGTGTGTAAGTATGTCGCACAAACGCTCCCTGCACTCCTCCCAGGGCTGGAAAAGGGTTAGTTTAACCTCCGGTTTGCTAGTAAAGCTGAATAATCATATCACAAAATAATGCATGTCTCAAAAGTGTGTCGCCAACATGAAAAGTATCTGGAAAAACATTCCACTTTACTCAGTGGTCTTTACCTCTGAGTAGACATGTAAAAAACTTGGAAAAAACAAACAACCCTTCAGCCACTTTGAAGAACCGAAGGGAAAGCAGAGAGGAGGAGGAAACGACAGTTTCACTGACTACGGACAATATAGCTTAAATTTCTGGCGCAGGCTGGGGAACCTGTGACCCTCCAGATGTTGTTGGACTATAATTCCCATCATCCCTGACCGTTGGCCATGCTGGCTGGGGCTGATGGGAGCCTTTGTCCATCCTCTGTAGTTTGTTAAGTGTGCTTGAGAGCTGGTAGGAGACCCCTCACATAGCCACAATCCCCAGCACCCTTAAACTACAGGTCCCAGGATTCCAAAAGGGAAGCCATGACTGTTGAAAATAGTGTAAGGGGGTTTTAAAGTCATGGTTGTGGATGTGACCACTGACATATTAGCGGTGAGATTATCTTGGATCACTCCATAGTATGAGTTGTTCTGGGATACTTCCCCAGTGTTACTGCATTAATGCTGTCTGGAGGGGCACTTGCAAAAAGGAAAAAAATGGGGTCCGAAAATAAATCAGAACATATGGCAAAAAAATCTTCTTCTTCTTCTTCTTCTTCTTCTTCTTCGTCTTCTTCTTCTTCTTCTTCTTCTTCTTCTTCTTCTTCTTCTTCTTCTTCTGACAGGATTTCAGCAGGAATCTGCACCTACCGTATTTACCCGAATGTAATGAGCACCTTTTTTTGGCCAAAATATGTCGCAAAAATTAGGGTGTGCACTAGATTTGATGGAGCATTTACATTCGCCAGCAAATACTTTTTGGGTTTCAAAGTGCTCATTAGATTCAATATTGCATTAGATTCGTGTAAATATGGTATTCCATATGCAGCAGTATGTCTACCCCTAAACATTTGCAGATGTAAGCTTAAGTGAAGGTCTGATCGTGTTTAACCGCCCAATACCATCATGAGCAGAAATAATCAAGAATGCACAATAAGGAGGATGGCTGGAGGCGCCCTTCTTCTTGGCTTACCACTCATGCTTTGCTTGAGGGAAACATACAGCGAGCCAGAACCATGGTTTGTTTCCCTGGCGGCAGCTGGGATGGGGGAGGAGCAAAGCTCCTGTTGTTTAAACCATAGTTTAGTTTAATTGTGGTTTAAAGGAATGTGTGAACCAGGCTGCCAGCAATCCCTGGCAGACAGCTGATATTCTGAGGTGTATGGCATCTGGACCTGGAGTTGGCAGAACCATTGTCTTCCATTGGCCCTTCAGATGCTGCTGAACAACAAGGATGGATCTGCGGCGAGTTGGAGCCTAACCAGAGCCTCACACTGGGCTTAAAGCTCCTGAATGGTCAGATGCCAAGAGGGTAATATTAAGTCTTTGTATAAATGCATGAAATAATAATAATAATATATTTATACCCCGCCCATCTGGCTGAGTTTCCCCAGCCATTCTGGGCGGCTTCCAATCGAGTGTTAAAAACAATACAGCATTAAATATTAAAAACTTCCCTAAACAGGGCTGCCTTCAGAAGTCTTTTAAAGAGAAGATAGCTGCTTATTTCCCTCACATGTGAAGGGAGGGCGTTCCACAGGGTGGGCGCCACTACCGAGAAGGCCCTCTGTCTGGTTCCCCGTAACCTCACTTCTCACAGGGAGGGAACCGCCAGAAGGCCCTCGGTGCTGGATCTCAGTGTCCAGGCTGAACGATGGGGGTGGAGATGTTCCTTCAGGTATACATGGCCAAGGCTGTTTAGGGCTTTAAAGGTCAGCACCAACACTTTGAATTGTGCTTGGAAACGTACATGTTTCGGAAATGTTTCTTGTTCAAGCTAAAGACCAGGCAAATGCCTACAGGAACAAACACAAATATACTATTTACCCCCGTCCTTTCTTCTGAGAAGCTCACAACAACCCTGTGAGGTAGGTCAGACTAGGAGAGAGACAATGACGGATTTGGTGAGCTTCCCCCAGGTCCTAGGCTCCACCTACACTAGACATTTAAAGCACTACCATGCCACTTTAAACAATCATGGCTTCCTCTAAGGAATCCTGGGAACTGTAGTTTGTTGAGGGTGCTGAGAGTTGTCAAGAGACACCCTGCTCCCCTCACAGAGCTACAATTCCCAATGTGCCTTAACAGTCAATTCCTCTTCCCAGGGAATTCTAGGAATTATAGCTGTAAGACGTGAGCCAGGGTTTCCTAACATAGCATCCTTAACAAACTACATTTCCCAGGATTCTTTGGGGGAAGCCATGCCTGTTTAAAGTGGTATGATACGGCTTTGAATTTACAGTGCAGATGGAGGCCTTATTAGTGCAGCCCTGTAACCTTGACTTTTTAAATACAGTGGTACCTCTGTTTACGAACTTAATCCGTTCTGGAAGTCCGTTCTTAAACCGAAACCGTTTTTAAACCGAGGCATGCTTTCCCTAATGAGGCCTCCCGCTGCCGGTGCCCTTCCACCTTTCGGATTCTGTTCATAGACCGAGGTAAAGTTTGCAAACCGGGACACTACTTCTGGTTTTGCGGAGTTCGTAAACCGAATTGTTCCGAACAGGACTGTTCTTACGGGGTACCTCTGTACAAAGTTGGCACAGAGGTGCAGAGAAGCAGACTTTAATACAAATTAAAATACAAATTATTCTGCCTTGGTTAAAACACACCTGGAATTTTAAGAAGGTTGTCGACAAGCTGGAATGTGTGCAGAGGAGGGCAACCAAGATGATCAAGGGCAGGGGTCAGCAAACTTACTGTGCCTTGGGCCGGTGTCTCCAGCGCCAATTGCGCGGCAGGCAGGATGGCGGGGGAGCACGTGTGCACACGCTATTTCCAGCACACTTCCAGGTCGGAGGAGCACCAGAAATAGCTTGTGTGCATGTGCACAGGCCTCCTCCGACCTGGATTTGCACCGGAAATAATGCTTGCGCATATGCAAATAACACTTGCGCATGCGCACATGCTATTTCCGGTGCTCCTCCGACCCAGAATTGGGCAGCCGGGGGTCGCCACGGGCAGGATAAACAAGTCCTTCAGGCCTTATCCAGCCCGCGGACCTTAGTTTGGGGACCCCTGATCAAGGGTCTGGAAACAGCCTTATGAGGAAAGGTTGAAGGAGCTGAGTACGTTTAGCCAGGGAAAGAGGAGACTGAGAGGAGATATGATAACCATTTTCAAATATCCCAAGGGCTATCACATGGAAGAGGGAACAACCTTGTTTTCTGCTGCTCTGGAGGGTAGGACCAATGACTTCAAGTTATAAAAAAGGAGATTCCAACTAAACATCAGGAAGAACTTTCTGACAGTAAGAGCTGTTAGACAGTGGAACGATCTCCCTCAGAAGGTGGTGGACTCTCCTTCCTTGGAAGTTTTTTAACAGAGGTTGGATGGCCATCTGTCATGGATGCTTTAGCCGAGCTTCCTGCAGTCCAAGGGGTTGGACTGGATGACCCTTGGGGGATCCCTTCCAACTCTTAAGATTCTGTGATTCACTGCAGCAATTGACAGCGATTTTTCTCTCTCTCTCAAAAGACCTAACCCGCTTTTGGAGGAGGCACCAAACTATACAAGCAGTATAGATGCTCTGTTGTGAAATGCAAACGAAAACAAACCCATGCGCCAAAGCCATAGATGTCAACGTTTCCCTTTCTTTAAGGGAAATTCCCTTATTCCGAATAGGATTCCTCTCAAGAAAAGGGAAAAGTTGACAGCTATGGCCAAAACGCATCCGTGAAGCAGGCAGGAAAAGAACCACCTGGGATCTGACCCACCCAGAGAAGGAGCTTCTTGTGTTTGGTCCTGTAATGGTTAAATCCAGCAGTCGAGATCGGGATTCCTAGAGAGGAAGGGGAGGGGGGAAATTTGGGGAGGGGGGAGTAGGTGGGATGTCGCTACCATAGAGAGGTCGGGGGTGGGGAGCTCGTGCCTTTTCCGTCCCCTCTATCCGGAAAGCGAAATGGCTCTCTGGATGCAGGCGGGAGTTGGAGGCTGCTGAAATCCAAGCAGCGGTGAGCCGAAGGTGCAAAAAGAGAAATGATGTCGGATATATATATATATATATATCCATCCAGCTTTTATATTGGGGGGGGGGGAGCGTAGGGATGCAAAGAGGTTGGAGGGTGGAAGAACAGAGAGGGGGACCTTTGCAGACCCTCCGCCTAAGGGATAGGAAACTGGGGAGACTGGCTCTGGTTGTAACCTGCCATATGCATATTATTGCATTGCCGGGGTTGGACTAGATGATCCTCAGGGTCCCTTCCAACTCTGTGATTCTATGTAGAAGTCAACTGACTTGTCCCTCCAGCCCCTGCCTTCGCCAGCCTGCTGTCTTCCGCTCCAGGCGTTTTGGGCTACAACTTCCATCAGTCCAAAATCCCTTGACAGAGGAACGGTCTCCCTTGGGAGGTTGTGTGTGTTCATATCTTTAAAAAACCCATTGGAAAGTAGGATCTCGATGATTAATTGCTGCTTATTGCCCTATGCAGCCTAGGACCCACGTCCCTACGGGACCGCCTCTCCTGGTATGCCCCGCGGAGGACCTTAAGGTCCACAAATGACAACATTTCGGAGGTCCCAGGTCGCAAGGTGATTAGATTGGTCTCAACTAGGGCCAGGGTCTTTTCAGTACTGGCCCCGACTTGGTGGAATGCTCTGTCACAAGAGACCAGGGCCCTGCGGGACTTGACATTTTCTTTTCTTTTTTTTAAATGATTATTATTGAAAAAATTTTAGAATTACAAAAAAAGACAAAACAGAAAAAGAAAAAATGAATCCATCATTCCCAAATTCTCAACTTTCATTACCTTCTTTCTTTGACCTCCTCCTCCTCCCTTTTCTTGTATCCTAATTAATAATTATCGCAGCAAATCCTTTCCATAATTCATAATATTCTGTCATTACATTACCTTAATCTATTTTCATCTTATCTTATAAAAAACCTTAAAGCTTAAAACTTAAATCTTATTTTTACCAACTTCTCATTACCATAATATTCTTACCTAATTCTTTAAACATTTTTGCTAGAGCCAAGTAATTTCATTTCAACATTTTTCTAACATTCATCAATTTTATAAAACAATCCTAATGATAGAAAAAAGAAATAAGAACAATCCAATCTTCATCCAGCATCCCTTCCTCCTGGTCCCGGGTTTTGTCAGTCCTTTTTATCCCATCGATCTAGCGCATTAACCTGGTAACCTTATATCCGAGGCCCTCAAGTCTCTTCCATGTCCCTTCCGTGGCTCTTCTTCATATTTTCCTTTCACTCGTGGGAACTCCAGCTTGGTAATGTTTTTGACCCTTTTCAACAAATCAGCCCCTTTTCCATAGTCCAGACTAAACTCCATGTGGTATTTAAAAACATGTTTCAGATTCCCTCCAAAATTGAGAGCCCCCACAGCTCCAAGCATCTGACGGCCCATTGCCAGACTCGGAAAGTCCAAACATCCCTGCATGGGGGGGGGTCAATCCAACCCCCCATTTCCAAACCGATCCAAACTTTATCTTTCCAAATCTGGTTTTTTCCAAGTTCATTTGTCAAATCCAAAGGCTCGTGTTCCTGCAGGGCCGCAGCTTCCTCCATCTCTGGCGCCCAAGATTCAGCAACGTCCTCTTCTCTCATCTGTTCTGTCAGGGCACACTCCTGTTTTAGTTCCTGGGTGGGCTCCATATAGTTTCCCACTGCCTGTTCAAAAGTTCTGACCGCATTAGTCATCAAATCCGTCTTCTGATTTAACTGATCCAGTAGGGCATTTATTTTACAGAGAGCACACAACAGAGCTTCTGAAAACATTGTCCTGCAAGGTCACAAGTCCTTTCCCATGATTGTAATCTGTGACAGCTGCAAGCTCCCTGGAATTAGTTACAGTTTCACAGTCTCCCTCTAGGGGGAAAACTTCTGTTTGTTCTTTCTTTTAAGGACAATAGCAACAAAGTTTCTTTTTTGAGATATTTTGTCAATATTTGTTCCTTTAAGATGCGAAAGGAAACAGTGGAATCACTATGTTACTCTTATTTTAGCTATCTGTCAAAAACATTTGTCTCTGGTCAATGAGCTTCAAACGTCAGTCCTGACACCCTGCTCCAGGATCAGGACGGTGGAAAGTTACTTTACTTTAAACTCACTTCTGCAGGTTTAAACAATCCAAAAAAAGATCCCCCTTCTTCTCCTGCTACCGAAGGGGGGTTCAACAATTTTAAATGATGAAAGCCAATCCTTTAGAAGTGATTTTCTAAGCTCTAGTTTACATTGTCTTTGCTTTATTCTGTCTACAAAGAAACGGAAGGCTGACTTCCTGTTTAGACCTTCCCATTTCAGTACGAAATTGAAGTAAATTTTTAAGTCCAATTCCTTTCTGCTCGCCAGTCCTTATTTAAAGTCCAATTGTTCAAAGTTTAAGTACTCACGGGTGATTATTTTAGATGCCAAATTGTCCCAGGAAAAAGGCACCGCTCTCTGGCAACGGCTATGCGGCTTCGTTCCACGGAAAAAGCAGTTGACTCACAGCACCGCTCCACTTCCCCCTCTTCGCTTCGGAGCCCGTTAATGGGTTCCTTTGCGGGTTGGGGGGGCGCTAAGGGTGCCCGCCGAGTCCCATGGTCACAGGCTTCCTCCGCCTGTGATTTCTAAAAGGGTCCCCGCTTCGCCGTAGCGGAAAAGACCCGTTTCGGAGCTGGTCCCTCCAGTTCAGAGGGAGTCCGCCATTGCCGATGGCGCCACCCCGGAAGTGGGACTTGACATTTTCTGCAGGGCCTGCAAGACAGAGCTGTTCCGCCTGGCCTTTGGTTTGGACTCAGTCTGGCCCTTATGTTTCCCTCCCCTTAAGGTTTTGATCTATGGGCTACTTTTAAAATGAGGCTGCATTTTAAATTGCATTTTAACCTACATTTTAAATGCCCCCCATTATGTTTTTACTGTAATTTTACTGGTGTTAGCCGCCCTGAGCCCGGCTCTGACTGGGGAGGGCGGGGTATTAATAATAATAATAATAATAATAATAATAATAATAATAATAATTACTTTAACGTTGCAAACTGTCCTGTCAGCTGAAGCATTTACCCTCCAGCTCAGTATTGTAATGGACTCCCTTCAGAAGAGGGTGGACTCCCCTTTCTTGGAGGTTTTAAAGCAGAGGTTGGATGGCCATCTGTCATGGATGCTTTAGCTGAGTTTATTCCTGCATTGCAGGGGGTTGGACTAGATGACCCTCAGGGTCCCTTCCCACTCTACAGTTCTATGATCTGGAGGGCACCAGGTCGGTGATTATGGGCTCAGCTATACAGCCACAAATAAAACATTTTAAGTGTGTTTTAAATGCAATATACAGTGTGACACTAGATGGCGATGCTGAGCCTTATGGAAAATTCAATGTATTTCTTTTAAATGCTTTAAGAAGAAAAAAAGCTTTTGAAAGCAGGAGGTCCCAGATTCAATCCCCGGTGTCCCCTGTTAGGGCTGGGAGAGGTGCCTTGTCTGAAGGAGGCATGACAGAGGTGTGTAAAATTAGGCATTTTGCAGAAAAATTGTGGCTGGGAGCGGTTCATCTCACTCATAAAGCTAGAAGTCAGGGGCATCTAATGAAGCGGAATGTTGGAGGTTTCGGAACGGGCAAAAGGAAGGACTCGTTTACACAGCTCATCGTTAAACTGTGGAACTCCCTCCCACAAGCTGTAATGATAACCACCAACTTGGATGGCTTTTAAAAAGGGTTAGGTAAATTCGTGGAGGATAAGGCTATCTATTGCTACTAGCCATGACGGCTGTTTCCTACCTCCACAGTCAGAGGCGGGATTACTGAAGTTCAGCTGCTGAGAATCGCACGTGAGGAGAATTGTGCTCCGGCGCACTAGTCCTGCTTTCAGGCTTTGCATTGACCGCTGTGAGAACAGGATGTTGGACTTCTTTGGCGATCACTCGTAGCCGAGTAAGATTGTCTTCCATGAACACAGTCTTAACAGTGAGTCCGTAAGTCACTGGGGAGGCCAATTCTGGATCCTCACGTCCTTCCACAGTGGGGACATTGGTTTCCAGGCGGGAGTTGATCACGGTGTGGATTTGCCAAACGTGCCTTCCTCCTAGCACGTTTTTCCCTTGCGTCAAAAGACACCTTTGGTAGAGGCTGTTCTCCAACTGGAGCACTCGCAGGCCAATGTTTCCCAGTTGTCAGTGTTTATACTGCATATTTTTTTATTTGCCTTGAGAGAATCTTTAAACCTCTTTTGTTGACCACCAGCATTACGCTTTCCATTTTTAAGTTCCCTTCCAACTCTACAGTTTTATGAATAGATGGATCTTTGGCCTGATCCAGCAGGTTCTTATGTTCATTATTGTATATATGATTTTTATTTTTATTTGCATTACTTTCACCTGCTTGCCTTACCAGTTCTGGTGTGTTGTGGCTAAGCACTGGACTCAAAACTGGCATCCAGTTCCCCCTTCACTTCCGAAGCTCACCAGCCTGCCTGGGGTAAGTCACCATCTCTCAGCTTATCCTACCTTCTCAGCTTGCTGTTAAGATAAGGCGGTTTTAAACAGCTAGATTCCAGAGAGTTTTCACCAAAAATGTGTTTTCCAGAGATCCCCACTTCCGTTACTTTGTAGGGAAACATTCTGCACTATTATTATTATTATTAATATTATCTGTCCTTCATGCTAAGGTCCAGGATGGGTTACAGCAACAATATTAAAAAACAGTGGTAGGAAGTAGGGGGAGGAGAGGTGGGGAAATATTGTTAAAAAGGTGTAGTCATAGGTATAGTAAGGGTAAAGGGACCCCTGACCATTAGGTCCAGTCGTGACTGACACTGGGGTTGCGGCACTCATCTTGCTTTACTGGCCGAGGGAACAGGCATACAGCTTCCGGGTCATGTGGCCAGCATGACTAAGCCGCTTCTTGCGAAGCAGAGCAGCTCACGGAAATGCCATTTACCTTCCCGCCGGAGCGATACCTATTTATCTACTTGAACTTTGACATGCTTTTGAACTGCTAGGTTGGCAGGAGCAGGGACCGAGCAACGGGAGCTCACCCTGTCGCGGGGATTCAAACTGCTGACCTTCTGATCGGCAAGTCCTAGGCTCTGTGGTTTAACCCACAGCGCCACCCACATCCCAGTCATAGGTATATCAGTATTCAAATATGAATTGTCAAATTGTGTTATTAGTGTTATTATGGTTTTTGTTGTATGTGTCTTTTGCGGTTGTTGTTTGAATTGAAAAAGTGATTAAATAATTTTAAAAAAAATATTAAAAACAGTTTGAAACAACTTAACAGATTGCTCTTGTTTTCTTCTGACAGGAGGAAGAAGCGCTTGGATATCCCATCCGTGGCCAAGGGTAGCTCCCAAGCGCCGTTGCGGAGATAACTTTGCCCTGTATCCCTCTGAACTCTCCCTGTCATACTGTAGTAGCTGGGTGCACTAATCCGATTGGCTGGATTCCTCTCCTGCATTAGCCCTCAGGGGCGGAAGTGCTGCTCTGAGTTCGAATTCCATCTACCCTTCCCAACTGCAAGAGCCCCAGTTCCCAAATGGCGGAAGGGAGGGAGGGGGAGTTGCAGGCCCCAGATCTCCGCTTCCAGGCGGCGCTGGAGCAGGAACTGAAGCTGGGCGTGAAAACGGAGAGGAAGGACCCAGCGGGTCCCAAGTCTGAGATGGGATCCAAGGGACTGAGGAAAAAGCCCCACCCTTCTGCTCAGGCGGGACCTGCGGGGTGCGAGGACCTGCAGCAGGTCTGGGAGGCCCAGTGGCAGGCCTTCCTCAAGGCGATGGAGTCACCCCACTCTGAAGCGGGGAGCTCGCAGCTGGCGGAAATGGCTCCCTGGGCGGACCTGAGGACTTCCCTAGCCCCTTTTGAGGCCATCACTGGAGCCAGCCAGCCTCCAAAAGAAGGGTACCTCCTTCCGATCCTCAACGGGGCGAGCCGCCAGGTCCGCGTCAACCTCGATCTGAGAGAAAAGGGCCCCTACACCAAAGTGAAGGAGGAGAAGGAGGCCCTCAGCACAGAGGGCCACCGGCAACGCTTTAGGCAATCGCACTGCCACCAGGCTGAGAGCCCCCGCCAGGCCTGCAGCCGGCTCTGGGAGCTTTGCCGCCAGTGGTTGAAACCGGAGAGACGTACCAAAGAGGAGATCCTGGACTTGCTGGTCTTGGAGCAGTTCCTGGATGTCCTGCCTCGAGGGATCCAGAATCGGGTGAAGGATCAGGCTCCTGAAACCTGTGCCCAGGCGGTGGCCCTGGCAGAGAATTTCTTGCCGGCTCAGGCAGAGGCAGGGAGTTGGGTAGAGCAGGTGAGGCTGTTTCCTTTCTTTTTAAAATAATAATAACAATAATTTGTACTTTGAAATATGCACAAATCGAAGTCAACAAAGTTCCCAGTCTAATATTTCCAAAATTTGTGTTGCAGTGGTTCACAAAAAACGCCCCCTCTCAACAAATGTGTTGTAAAATATACTGCTCCTCTTATGAGTCAAATCAACTGATTTGTGCATTTTTGCAAATTTAAGACATTTCCATAGGCATTCCCATATAATTGGAACCTGATAATCTTTACACTTTCAAGCCCAGACTGCTCTGGCTGCCATCACAAAGGTTGCTTTTGTTTGTTGGTTGGTTTGTTAAAAGGCTGTTGTTTTGCAGATATTTCCCTCTCAATCAAATAAAAAATAATCAACTGGGGGAGAGTTTTCTTCTGTCATTGAATTTATATGATGCAGGATTTGTCTCCAAAGGCATGCTGACACTCCCACAGCATATACGTTATGTTTGCATTGTCTGTTAAAACAACTTCAGACATTTAAACCAAGTATCCTTATAGGAGGCTGTTTGCATCCTGGGAATCCTGAACTATCCATAGCTAGTAGCGAGATCAAGAACCAAAGGAAGCTACCTTATGTCGTGTCAAACAGTTAATACATCTTGCCCAGTTATCGCAGTGTTCTTCAAAACGTGGGCCTCGGACGTTGTTTGGACTACAAATCCCATCATCCACAGCCATCTTAGCCAACAACGAGGGATGATGGGATTTGTATTCCAGCAACTTCTGGGGACCTAAGCTTGAAGAACTCTGGTCTACACAAAGTGTGTCTAAATGCTGTGAATAACACAAGTCATTGAACAACATGACCCCTGCTGTTTCAGGGCCCAGGTCTCTTTCAGAAGGTGATTGTGAATGTCCCAGGTGAGGCAACTACTTTGGGAGATGCAGGCAGGCAGATCTGGAACATGGTGAAACATGAGCGTGGAGGAAATGCTGGCTCAGGGGGTAAGTAATATAATAATAATAATAATAATAATAATAATAATAAATATTTATACCCTGCCCATCTGGCGGCTCCCAACAGCTTAAAAACAGAATAAAACATCAAACATTAAAAACTTCACTCAACAGGGATTACTCCATGCTAACTGTAGAGCATTCTATAGTCGGGTAGCTACCATGGAAAAGGCCCGTTTTCTTGTTGCCACCCTCCGAACTTCTCTGGGAGGGGGGACATAAAGAAGGGCCTCAGCTGACAAGCGCAGGGTCCAGGTTGTTTTGTATGGGAAGAGGTGATGATGAAGAAGATGGTGATGATTTATACCCCGCCCATCTGGCTGGGTTACCCCAGCCACTCTGGGCGGCTCCCAGCAGAATATTAAAAACACGATAAAAGATCAAACGTTAAAAACTTCCCTAAACAGGGCTGCTTTCAGATGTTTTCTAAAAGTCAGATAGTTGTTTATTTCCTTAACATCTGATGGGAGGGCGTTCCACAGGACGGGCACCACTACCGAGAAGGCCCTCTGCCTGGTACAATACTTGATACTTAAGGTGTTGATGTTCTTATATTTCATCTCTCTCCTTCTTCCTTCAGGTAAGCAGTATGTGATGCAGAAAGAGGATCATGGGCAAGAAAGCTCTGAGCAAGAACCGCAAGGGATGCTGGAGGAGAGAGAGACAGCCAATGGGCTCAAGCCCTGCAAGCAGGCAGGGTCGAATGAGGGTCTGTGTGGGCCATGGAGGCAAGAACAGGCAAGCTGTCCGAGGCAGAGGATGGATCAGCTCATTCCTAGCATGGGCCTTTACCAAGAACTGAGTGGACTTCTTACCAGGGAGAGGCCTGTGACCCTGACCGAATACAGACGGACTTCCAGCTCCAAGGCAAGCGAGAGGACCGAGGCAGAAGAGAAACCCTTCAAATGTGTGGAGTGCGGGAAGGCCTTCCGCACAAAGGACAAGCTCATCCGACATCACAAGACCCACACGGGAGAGAAGCCGTACGGTTGCTTGGACTGCGGCAAATCCTTCAGCACTAAGTACGGGCTTTTCCGGCACTACCGAATCCACCGGGGAGAGAAGCCGTACGGATGCTCGTACTGCGGCAAGTTCTTCCGGATGAACTACGACCTCATCCGCCATCACCGGGTCCACACAGGGGAGAAGCCCTTTGAGTGCTCGGACTGCGGGAAGTCCTTCGGCATGAACTCCGACCTCGTCAGACACCAGAGGATCCACACGGGGGAGAAGCCCTTCCAGTGCTTGGACTGTGGGAAAACCTTCAACGTCAAGGGCAGCCTTGTCTCCCACGTCCGGATACACAAGGGCCTGAAGCCGTACAGGTGCGGCGAGTGCGGGAAATGCTTCAACCAGAGTTCGAAACTGAAGGCCCACGTGAGAATCCATGCAAGGTAGAAACATGGAACAAACGTCCCGGACTCTGGTAGTCCTAGACCTTCAGTAGTCGCTCCGGTCTCTGACTGCACGGTCGTCTCCTCCTGTATGGATTTTTCCGGATGCGGATGGAGGCATTACTCTGAGCCCCTCTAGGAAGTGAAGTGGTGCAGTGCTGGGATTCAGACCATGACAACTGCGAAGTGCTCTGCCCCAAGAAGCCTACTAAGCCTCTTTGCTAGCTAGCTGGTCTAGACACTCCTATTTCTGAGGGCTGGTGCCAGTGGAGACTAGTCCGTCAGGGTGAATGGGGCACTGTCCCACCAACCTCAGTCTAGCCTTTCTCATGAGAACGTAGTGTCAGGAGCGAGCCAGCAGTCAATCACACTGTGCAAGTTGCCATTAACTCTTTAATATCAAAAACATGATCTGCACCAACTTGGCAGAGTGTCAGGCCTAATGAGCACAGCAACGCATCCCTGGTAGGTCGTGCTCCCATGAAGCAGTTGCTGAGATTGAAGGTTCCTGTCTCCCCATAGCTGCCAAATCCCCTCCTCTCCAGGGTTTTCCCCAAGCAATTGAAGACTGAGTCTGTGCATCACCACTCTCTCCTCCGCCCTTTTGGTTCTGGGAAACTAGGGGAAAAGGGCGCTCGTTGCAGCAGGAAGAGGAGAAACCCGTGACACTTCCCCAGCCTTCTCTACTTCTTGGCTTCCGTCATCTCACCCTCCTGCATCGGCTTCTGCCCCTGATTCTGCACTGCTCTCTGCCTCTGCCTCTCCCAGCTCACTAAGCCCTGTTGCTTCCTCAGCCTCTGACACCTTCTCTTCCCAGTCTTCTCCCTTTGACTGCTCATCGTTGTCCCACCACCACTCCCCAGGCTCTGGGTCTTCTTCCCACTACTGGAGCATCCTGTTTCCGAAGCGGATGCCACTGGGAAGCCCATCAGCCCTCTTCCAATTGTTGCTTTCCAGCAACTAGTGTCAACCAGAGGAATGTGGCCTCTGATGCTGGAGGTGGAATTCGTGTCTATAAGGTCTATAAGATGCTGGATTTCGTGTCTATAAGAACAATTACCCCTAAGTGCACCTCGAGCAGCATAGACTCTGAAGTAGCATTAATTGGGGAAATCCTGTGGCAGGGGAGCCATCACTTACTAAGGCCAGGAGAGTGGAGGGCGGGGGCTAATAGGTGGCCCTTCAGCGGCTAAGAACATAAGAAGAGCCTTCTGGATGAGGCCAGAGTGGCCAATCTTAGTGCAGCATCCTGTTCTCTCAGTGGCCACCCAGATGCCTATGGGAAACCTGCAAGCCGAACCTGAGCACAAGAGCTGTCTGATAGCCTTGTCAATTTGTCCCATCTTTTAAAGCCATCCATTTTGTTGTCCATCACTTCCTCCTGTGGGAGCAAATGTCATAGTTCAACTATGGTGGTATTCAACTACTGAAGTTAATGGAACTAACTTAGTCATATTTATTCATTTTAATAGGTCTGCTCTGAGGGAAAGTGAATGCCAACCATGTATTTTTAACTCCTGGTTTAAAAAATAAATAAATGCTTGGGTGTGGTGGGTTGGTGTTTTTTTTATGTCAACTTGTTTTTGACTACTGACTTTGGCTGCTAATTGCATTTTATGTTCCATGTAAATCACTTAGAGGTTTCAACAATTAAGTGACATGTCATTTTAAATAAAGAAACAAATACACTGTTCCCGAGCTGTTTTTTAAAAAATGCAATATGTTTGAATCGTGGTTTTTTAATGGAAGTTGTATATGTAAGGTGATGAATAAATCCATAATAAGTAATAGGTTGGGGGAAATGGATAATTTTAGCATTTTTTCTTAGGGTTTGGCAGTATAGTTTTAATTCGCAATCTTGCCACTTTGGCGGCAAGTCCCCTTTCTGAAGTTATCCTGAAGGATGAGAGATCTCTGGTCCTTTAGATAATATCTGGCTCCACACTACACATTTAAAGCACTATGTTGCCACTTTAAAGAGTCAAAAAAATACTGGGAACTGTTGTTTGCTAAAGACACTGAGAGTTTGTTAGGAGACCCCCATTCCCCTCACAGAGCTACAATTTCCAGAGTTCCCTGGGGAGACAGTTTGGTTGTTAAACTGCTCTGGGAATTATAATTCTCTTAGGTGAATTCAGAACCCTGAAGAAAACTACAGTTCCCATAATTCTTTGCGGGCAAAGACTTGGCCATTTAAAGTGGGGTCATTGTGCTTTAAATGTATGGTTTTGAATGTGGTCCTTAAGATGTTGGAGAACAAACGGATAGCTCAGTCGGTAGACCATGAGACTTTATCTCTGGGCCATGGGTTCAAGCCCCATATTGGGTTAAAGATTCCTGCATTGCAGAGGGTTGGACTAGATGACCCTCACGGTCCCTTGCAAATTTATGGATCTAGGAAATAAATAAACAAGAAGTCATCATGCAGTAATGAGAGGGCCTTTCCCTGAGCTGGACCAGCAGAGGGCTCTAGTGCAGAGGAGCTGGAGGATAATTTGGTTCCCTCTGTTTGAAAGTTCCTCTTTCACCCATCTCCTGCCCCAGCTTCCTAGGTCAATCCCCCAAAGAATCATGGGAACTGTAGTTTGCTAAGGGTGCTGGGAATTGTAGCTCCATGAAGGGGTAAACTACAGTTTCCAGGATTGGGTGTGTGTGTTGAATGTGCTTTAAATGTGTCTTAAGTGCATGGTATGTATGTAGCCCTGGGCACAGCTTTTCATAGCAAAACATAATCCAGTTCTGTAGCAAATCACAGAGGGGCATTTTTTTTTTTTTTAAGTTGAGAGATGCACCCAATGGGTTAAACCTATCGAGTTCTGGTCTGAGCCCTAGAAAGGAAATTGTGGGGGAGGCGAGGAAGGGAAGAAGGAATCCTTTTTCTTTGTTATGGAAGAAACGTGCTGGGTGATGTCATTTCTGGTGCCCTTTCTTCCCTCCTCTTCCTGGTGGGAATCTGACTTTTGAAATTTCCTCCTCCTTCCTTCTTTGTCAAAGCACTGTGGAACTGCAGCAGGTGCTGCTCAGGCAAATTGGTGGTGCACTGCTTAGCTTATAGGGAGAGGTGAGTTGTATTATTATTATTACTATTCTTATTATTATTAGTTCCAGAGTGCTGCAGAGAAAAAAAAGAAATTGCAGATAAAGTAGGAGAAACCCTGCTTCAAAAAATAATAATAATAATAATGAACGTGGACACTGAGCTGAAGGTGGGCAGAGTAAGCTAAAAGCCAGTTCACCTTTAAAAGCTAAGCTGTTCTTCATCAGGATCTCAAAGGTAGCTTGCTTCTGGACTTGGAGGTTCTATGGAACACAAGAGTAGCCCTTCTGGATCAGAGCAGTGGCCCATCTAGTCCCACACCCTGCGGCCAGTCAGATGCCTCTTGGAAAGCCTCCATGAGCCACTCTCCCCAGCATTCTTGCCTCTGGGCACGGAGGCAGAGAATGGTCCTCATAGCTTGTAGCCACCAGTAGCCTTTGTTATTGTTGTTTAGTTGTGTCCGACTCTTCATGACCCCATGGACCAGAGCACGCCAGGCACTCCTGTCTTCCACTGCCTCCCGCAGTTTGGACAAACTAATGTTTGTAGCTTTGAGAACATTGTCCAACCATCTCGTCCTCTGTCGTCCCCTTCTCCTTGTGCCCTCCATCTTTCCCAACATCAGGGTCTTTTCCAGGGAGTCTTCTCTTCTCATGAGGTGGCCAAAGTCTTGGAGCCTCAGCTTCAGGATCTGTCCTTCCAGTGAGCAATCAGGGCTGATTTCCAGCCTTTACCTCCATGAATTTGTCTAATCCTGGGCCACATTCAGGTCAGTCTCAGTGCTATAGCCAGGTTCTCCTCCTCTTCAGTTGATTTGATTTGTTATAATTCTATTCCACTTTTCATTCAAATGAATCACAAAGCAGCTTACGAACAATAGAATCAGAGTTGGAAGGCACCACAAGGGTCATCTAGCCCAACCCGAATCTTTTTGCCCAGTGTGGAGCTTGAACCCGCAACCCTGAGATTTAAGAGCCTCATGCTGAGCTATCCCATGGATAGATAAGTAACAATAACACAACAGAATATCACAAATACGTGGCATATAGAATGAGCAACAAATCACCAGCAAAAGAATTACAAATAATCAGTAAAACAATTACAATATATAAAACACAATTAACACCACCACCACCACCACCACCACCACCCGAAGAAACCAGCACAATGCCAGCAAAAGTCTTACAGGATTCACAAAGTACTACAGCAGTCATAATCTATAAAACCATATTGACAACACTGACAAAGTAACAAGCAAAAAATAAAATCAGCACTGTTTCCTCTCACTTATTTTTTGTTTCTTGCTGTTAGGAGGAGGAGCCTCCCTCGCTGGCTTGGCTTGAGAATTTCTGGCCGTCGCTTAGAAATAAACCACTTCTACTGATTTTGCAGATCCCCTTGAGGGTCTTGGACCTCCTCCATTTTTGACAAGAGACGGGAGAGAAAACGAGAGGCGGAGGAAGGGGCAGTCCGGTTCTCAAAATGGACATGCAGAACGTGACAGGCTCCAAAGCATGGGAAGAAATGGAAGGTGTAGCAAAAGCCCCACATCACAGGGGCACAGGGCATTTCCTTATTGGGACACCTTCCCATTATATAAAACGTGAGCCGGAAGAAGGGGCGCTGGAACGCTGGGAAGCCCAGTTGCAGGAGTTTCTGACGATGCTGCAGGCCCCTCACTCAGGATGGGGGAATCATCAGGTATCCCCCTCCCCATGGGAGGATGCTAAGGCCTTCCTGGCCTCCTTTGAGCAAGTAGCCTCAGCCTGCCGGTGGCCTCGGGACAAGTGGGTGACCCTCCTCCTGCCGGCTCTCAGCGGAGAGCCTGAGCAGGCCTTCAGTGGCCTCAGTGCCCAGGACAAGGGAGACTACAGGAAGGTGAAGGCGGCCATCTTGGAAGGGGAAGCCATTGCGAGGGAGAAGCAGCGGCAGCACTTCAGGCAACTCCGCTATCGGGAGGCGGAGGGTCCGAGAGGCGTTTATGGCCGGCTCCGTGAGCTTTGTGGCCAGTGGCTGAAAATAGAGAGGCACACGAAGGATGAGATTCTGGAGTTGTTGATCTTGGAGCAGCTCCTGAGCATCCTACCGGGAGACATGCAGAGCTGGGTCAGGGAGCGAAAGCCGGAGACCTGCGCCCAGGCGGTGGCCCTGGCGGAGGGATTCCTCTTGGGGCAGGACGAGAGGGAGGGTCCGGAACAGAAGGTGAGAAATTCTGAAGGTGTACAGCAGCAGTGGGGAAGCCCTCTCTGGCTGGTTCATTTAGACCAGGCGCCCCCAAACTCGGTCCTCCAGATATTTTGGGACTACAACTCCCATCATCCCTAGCTAACAGGACCAGTGGTCAGGGATGATGGGAATTGTAGTCCCAAAACTTCTGGAGGGCCGAGTTTGGGGGTGCCTGATTTAGACCTTCCAGGACTCCATTGGGCCTGTGGTCAGCTAATGGTGAGTGTTTGCAAATGACGATCACCTGGTTGTTAGAACTTGCACATGGCTGCATGTGTGGGCGCCTCATCATGTCACTGTGATGTCAGGGATTGACAGGTGGGCAGCCCCGCCTACCTGTCAAATTTCGCCTGTGGGGTGGGAGGGGGGGATAAGTATCCAGAGTGCTAGACACATCCAGTTTTTCACCTGCTGGCATATGGTGTCTATGATATATATGGTGCTGAAATTGATTTCTACTGGTTACCGTATTGGCCCGAATATAAGCCGCACTTTCCCCCCAAAGTCTGATCGTGAAAGTCAAGTGTGGCTTATATTCATGACTTTTCCTGCCAGCAAAGTGGCGCAGTCCCCCCCCCCCCCGAAGCAGCCCAGGAGCGCAGGACAACGGCACCCAGCCCGCCCACCGCTCCCAAGTCTCCCCCGAGCCGTTGGAATGAAGGGGGGTTGGGGCAGAGGCTGCTGGCAAAGCTGCCCAGCTCCCCCCCAAGAGCAGCCCGGGGGCAACGTGGCGCGTCCCATCCGCTGCTCTCAAGCCGCTTCTAAGCCGCTGAATTTTAACGATGCGGCTTACTTGCAGGTGCGGCTTATATTGGAGCCAATACAGTAATTTGCTATTTCAAGTGTCTGGGTCTTAAGTAACCCATGGAAATTAATGTATTTGGAGAGATTTGCTCTAGCCCAGATCTTGGTAGCCAGAAAGTATATGTCATGTTGGGTTCCTTCAGACCATTGCTTGTTATCCAACTTCAGGCTCATGATCTTCCTCACTGCTGTTTCAGGTACCTGTGCCTTTTGCAGTGATGGCTGCGGATCCTTCTGAGACGGGCCAGCTTCTGCCACGGGACACCTGGGCTGGGCAGGTCTTCAGAGAAGCCGCGGACAGGCCGAGTGAAGTGACGAGATTGTCGAGTAAGGATTCACCATGCTCAGGTTTTCATGAGGCGGTTTCTCCTCTCACTCCTCCCCCCCCCCGGCAAACATGCACTTGTCTGTCATTGTTATTATTATCATTATCCCGCGTCGGTCCCTACAGCCACAGCAGGCGCTGCAACTTCCAACAGGTTGACTTCACCCCTCAAGGCAAACTCCTCCATTGCCTCCCAAGACAGATGGGTGCCAACAATCCTATCATTGCTGCTGCTGCTACTTCTAGGGGCTGACACTCATGCTAAGTTCTGCTCACCCCCCTACCCCCCCACTTTAGCTCACTCCATGCCAAAGCCTCCCACCCCAAGCTCCTCCTCACCAAACCTCCACATAGGAGCCAACTCCTAGGGGATGAGATCCCTCCGGTCTCCCAATAAAATAGTTGAGGGGTGTCTCTACCCCAAGTTGATGGGTGTTGCCATTCAAATAGAGTAAGTGCACTGCATCATGTGATCTATTATGTGGGGTGGGGCTTACCTGACCCCCCCCAATATTTTATTAAAGTTGGCACCCCTGTCCACAGTTCTCCCTCACCACGGTGCTGCCCCTGTCGCACAACACCCTCACTGCCACAAGCCCTTGTTCAATTCCATTGGATGTCTCCAGGTTCTAATATTATGAGATGTAGTGTTCCCAAAGCAAGGAAGGATTGGACTCTGATTAATAAAATACACGCAAGGCTTGACCAGCAAGACTCTGGGAGGAGTGCCAATAATAATTCTCTCCACCCCTCGGCCCAGGTCGTTTTATTCACAAAAGGACTTTTTACACAGTGTTCGTAAGAACCAGTCAGATTTCCTCTAAGCATTTCAAAAAACCCCACATGGGACAAAGTCAGATGAGAGAAATTCTTTTAACTACAAAGAAACTATTTCCTACTTGAGCATGCATATGTCATTCAGAGTAAATAAAAGAGGAAGCAAGGAGGAATGCTTTTAGGAAACCCCAGAGGTCATAAACAGGAGTAAACAGGAGAGGCAAGATGGCAGTATTTACCATCTCTTTGTGAACTCTCTTCCTGGCCCTTAAGATCTATCTAAAGATTAACAAACTACATCAAAGTAACCTACTATCTTTATGTACTGAGGATGCGCAGTGAAGCAACTGGCCTGTGTTTAGAATGCTTATACTCCTGTCAGGCGTAGAAAATGAACAGTAGAGAAAATGGGCAGAGATGCAGAGGCTTGTGGGATTTGATCAGAAATTATTGTCAATGAATCAAACCCAGTCAATGCAATGCTTTCATTGCTGACACAATGGCTTGCTCCATATTTCATAATTCCTCATAGTAATCCCACCTGACCACTACAATGAGATAAGGTGGAAAATGTCTCTGTTCACTTTCTCCATATCACAATCACATCCCTTACTCCTCTTTCTTCTAAACTAAAAAGTTCTAAAAGCTGTAACCTTTACTCAAGCTGGGTTTATAGGCCTCAGCCCTCTATTTTCTGGGTTGTTGTTGTTTTACTCTAGCATCTGATATTCATAGCTGGACAATATTTGACTAGAGAGATCCAGTACAATATGACTGACCTGTTTTCCAGTGTGGTGTAGTGGTGTAAAGCCAGTGTGGTGTAGTGGTTAAGAGCGATAGACTCGTAATCTGGGGAACCGGGTTCGCGTCTCCGCTCCTCCACATGCAGCTGCTGGGTGACCTTGGGCCAGTCACACTTCTTTGAAGTCTCTCAGCCTCACTCACCTCACAGAGTGTTTGTTGTGGGGGAGGAAGGGAAAGGAGAATGTTAGCTGCTTTGAGACTCCTTAAAGGGAGTGAAAGGCGGGATATCAAATCCAAACTCTTCTTCTTCTTCTTCTAATTTCTCTAATCCGTAAAAAACTCCCATAAACTAAGCCAGCAGCCATTGCCTTGTCTAGTAGTTTTAAAATTTAATTAGAAGTGCTTTCTATTGTCTGCACTGAAGCTACGACTACACAGTTTCAGTGGAAGACTTTAATTCTCGTATTATGAGGGGGAAAGAGAATATTCTCACATATTCTGCCTGCAACAGCTCTGATACTAAACTCGGTTGATTTTCTGTTTGGAATAATCACTCCAGAACAGATAAGATTCTCTGGGATTTTTTTATTCCTACAGGTAATGAGCAGGTATTGGAGAATGAGACAAATACCCTCCACCAGCAAGGTTCTGTGCAAGGAGAAGCAAACAATGCCTGTTTGGGAAGAGAGGAGGATTTCCATGACCATCAAAAGCGAATAATGTTTGAGAATCAGCCAGGGTTGTTGAATGATGAAGAAAGAAGCTATGAGAGTGGTCTGGTGGAAAAATCCACTTTCTATGCAGAAGTTAGCAGAGAGGAGAGAGAATCCGCTGACTCACAAATAATAGAGTGTAGTGAGGTACAAAAAGCATCATCTGACTGTCGAAGAGACTTTGAACGGAGCTCAGACCTTATGGTACAGCAGAGCATTCACATCAGAGAGAAGCCGTACCTGTCATTCTATTGTGGAAACAGTTTCATTAAGACGCAGGGCCTTCTTGCACATGAGAGAACCCACACAGGATTGTGGAACACATATAATTACTCTAACGGTGGGAAAAACTTCAGTTGCAGTTCAGGCTCCATGCAGCACATGAGAATCCACACAGGAGAATCTCTGTACACGTGCTCTCACTGCGGCAAAAACTTTGACAATTGTTCAGTCTTCCAGGAACATGTCAGGCTACACACACTGGAGACACCGTACAAGTGCTCAGACTGCGGGAAGAGCTTCGACAAAAAGCGTTACCTTAACAACCACGTGAGGAAGCACAGAGGGGAGAAGCCGTATGAGTGCCTGCAATGTGGGAAAAGCTTCCCTATAAAGTCCAAACTTGTAAAACACGAGATAATACACATGAGGGAGAAGCCATACAAGTGCACCCTCTGTGGGAAAACATTCGTTCGGAAGACAGACCTTTGTGCACATGATAAAATCCACACAGTACAGTAGATATTTCAAAATTTATCTGGCAGGGGAAGAAGCCAAGAATAAAACACAAATCATTAATAGATTCTAAGGATAGAGGTGGCTTTTCCCTGCCAGATTTAAGGTTATATTATGAGGTGTCCTGCCTTTGCTGGCCCCGAGAATGGATACCACTACAAAATACAGATATTTTAGATTTGGAGGGTCACGATAATAGATTTGGTTGCATTCATATTTATGGTATGAAAAAGTCAAAGTACACAGAGATTTCCTGAACCACTTAGTAAGAAAGTCACTATATGTTGTATGAGAAAAATACAAAAATCTCTTCGAGCAGAAAACACTATGGTGGCTCTCCCCGCTAGAAGCGATTTATGTGAAAAAATTGAATATGAGAAAGGGTTGGGCAACATATAAGGGATTATTAGTAGAAGAAGAGCACCAGTTGAAATTGAAAAAATTGAGGATATAAGAGATCTTTTAACGGATTGGTAACAGTATCACCAGTTAAAGAGATGTTTTTAAAACAGATAAAAGAAAGGGATTTTCTAATGAAATATTGAAGTCTGAGAGAGTATTGTTGGAGAATAATGTGAAATTACTCTCTAAAATGTATAAATTGTTATTGGAATGGTTTACTAAAGATGAAAAAGTTAAACTGGTTATGATACAATGGGCAAGGGATTTTGGATACAACACACAGCTTTCAACATGCGGAAAACTACGTAGAAAGGATTTGAAATTTACAGTGTATTATACATTAAAAGAAAACTATGAAAATGATGTACCACTGGTATTTAACTCCAAGTAAATTAGCAGCAATGTATAGGACAAGCTCAAATATTTGCTAGAAATGTAAAGAAAAGTTAGGCACCTTTTACCATATGTGGTGGAACTGTAAAGTAATAAAGGAATTCTGGGAAATGATATACAATGAACTGAAAAAAAGTTTAAAATAACGTTTGTTAAAAAAACCCAGAAGCCTTTTTGTTAGGAATTGTGGGTGCAGAGATACTGAGAACACTGTTTATGTATGCTACAACAGTGGCAAGAATGCCACTGTTGGAAAGAAAGCAAGGTCCTACCAGAGTGGACTGGCAGAGCAAAATATTGGCTTATGCAGAGATGGCAAAAATGACAGGGAAAATCAGAAACCAGGAGGATCAAAACTTCAACAAAGAATGGGAGAAAATTATACTATACTTGACAGACCACTGTAAACACTTGAACACTTTGGCAGGTCTTAAATAACTCTTGTAATGTTATATAGACTTTGGATACAATGGAGGGCTGAAAATTAGGAGGACTTATAGTATACAATTGAAAAAGTTAACTAAAGAACCCACAGAGGGGAGTGGGGAGGTCTTGAGATTTGGAAGAATCTTGTGTATTTTTTATTATCTGTGATTTTGAATGTGAATGAATTTGTAAAATCAAGTAAAAATTCTTCCCCCTCCCCCCCAAAAAATCCACACAGGACTGGGAAAAGGTTATAACACTGGATGCGCAGCTTGTGCGTTGAAAGCGTCAGTAAATTTTATTTTATATATTTAGGATATATAAAGAAATGCCTTTCCTGGGGGGGGGGGGTGGAAATCAAGGCAACTAAAAGAAGTAATTTTCAACAATTAAAGCTTTTAAAATAAAACTAGTCTTACAGAAATAACTATGCAGGAGTCAACCCCTCCACATCGGTGAGCAAAAGCAATGAATGCTATCGCCCATCTCCAAAATGTTCTGAAAAAGCCTGTGTGATGGACAGTGAGCAGTGGCATAGCTACATCTGTTTCTCTTGGGAGGGCATTCCACAGCGAATGGTGCCACGCTCAAAAAGACCCCGTCTTTCCCACCCACCCACCCAAACTCAGGCAGCATGGGGGGATAGGAAGAAGGGAATGGATTCAGCAAAGCCAGAGCCTCACCCCACAAGAATGATCCCACACAGAAGGAAACGTGTGTAAGTGCTCTCTGGACTTCTCCGCGACCCTTCCCCTCTGCAGGGAGGTGGGACCGATTCGGATGGTCCGCCCCCGCCACTTAATGGATCCAGTTGGCTTCCAGAGAGTGGTAGGGGATGTTTTATCCCACGTTGATGGCCTTTCAGCCGATTCCCTGGTGGCCCGCTGGAATGTGGAGTTAACCAGGGCTTTCGACTGTCTGGCTCCAAAGTGCCCTCTCCGATTGCATGGAGCCCGGACAGCCCCGTGGTTTTCCCCGGAGCTGAGGGCGATGAAACAATCGCTGAGACGGCTAGAGCGCCGGTGGCGGAAAACTCATTCTGAATCAGACCGGACACGGGTTAGAGCTCAGCGTTGAGCCTACCAAGTGGCAATGGCGACGGCGAAGAGGGCCTTCTTCGCCACCTCCATTGCATCTGCAGAAAACAGCAGCAGGAGACTTTTTCAGGTGGTTCGCAACCTATCGGAACCACCTGCACCACCGGGGCCTGGTAGGGACCCCAAGATCTCCTGCAATGCTTTTGCAAAGTTTTTTGCAGATAAAGTCGCTCAGATTCAGAAGGAGGTAGACTCCACCGTGGGAGCAGGGCCAGGGCGGGAGAGTGCTAGAGTTCTGTCTAGTCCTGTTACATGGGATCAATTCCAATCTGTTACCTCCGAGGATGTGGACAGGCTGCCTGGACAAGTGAAACTGACCACCTGTCTCCTTGATCCTTGCCCATCCTGGCTGATAAAAGCGAGCCGGGAAGGGCTGGGCGATGGGCTCTTCGGTGTGGTGAATGCTTCCCTCTGTGAGGGAGCCTTCCCAGACCCGCTGAAAGAGGCGGTCATTAAACCGCTTCTTAAAAAAAACATCTTTAGACCCAGCCAATTTGGCCAACTATCGCCCAGTCTCAAATTTACCATTCTTGGGCAAGGTGATTGAGCGGGTGGTTGCCAAACAACTCCAAGCATGCCTGGAGGATGCGGACCATTTGGATCCCTTCCAATCGGGATTCAGGCCTCACCATGGGACTGAAACTGCCTTGGTCGCGCTGGTTGATGATCTCCGGCGGGCTAGGGACAAAGGTGAGAGCTGTTTCCTAGTTCTGCTGGATCTCTCAGCGGCCTTTGACACCATCGACCATAACATCCTTCTGGACCGTCTAGAGGGGCTGGGAGCTGGGGGCACTGTTATACGGTGGTTCCGCTCCTTTCTCCTGGGCCATGTCCAGAAAGTGGTGGTGGGGGATGAGTGTTCAGACCCCTGGGCCCTTACTTGTGGGGTGCCTCGGGGTTCCATCCTCCCCTTCATGCTTTTTAACATCTACATGAAGCTGCTGGGAGAGATCATCAGGGAGTTTGGGCTCGGTGTCCATCAATATACGGATGATACCCAGTTCTACCTCTCTTTCAACTCAGAACCAGTGAAGGCGGTGAAGGTCCTGTGTGAGTGCTTGGAGGCGGTTGGAGGATGGATGGCAGCTAATGGATTGAGGTTGAATCCTGACAATATGGAAGTACTGTTCTTGGGGGACGGGGGGGAGGGACTGGTGTGAAGGACTCCCTGGTCCTGTATGGGGTAACTGTGCCCCTGAAGGACCAGGTGCGCAGCCCGGGAGTCATTTTGGACTCACAGCTGTCCATGGAGGCACAGGTTAATTCTGTGTCCAGGGCAGCTGTCTACCAGCTCCACCTGGTACGCAGGCTAAGACCCTACCTGCCCGCAGACTGTCTTGCCAGAGTGGTGCATGCTCTGGTTATCTCCCGCTTGGACTACTGCAACACGCTCTACGTGGGGCTACCTTTGAAGGTGACCCGGAAACTGCAATTAATCCAGAATGCGGTTTCTCTCTGGTCGGGGACAGAGGGTGGCGCTTGGGGGGGAACTGTCATCCCGCCACTCCTTGGTGTGTGGAGTGCCCCAGGGTGCGATACTCTCCCCGATGCTTTTTAACATCTTTATGCGCCCCCTCGCCCAGCTTGTCCGGAGTTTTGGGCTGGGCTGCCATCAGTATGCTGATGACACCCAACTCTATCTGCTGATGGATGGCCATCCTGACTCGGCCCCAGACACACTGATCAGATGCTTGGAGGCTGTGGCTGGATGGTTACGTGGGAGCCGGTTGAAGTTAAATCCTTCGAAGACAGAGGTCCTCTGGCTGGGACGGGACGATATGGGATTGAGGGGCAACTCCCATCTCTTGCGGGGTGCAATTAGTGCCAGCACCGTCCGTTAAGAGTTTGGGTGTAATCTTCGATACCTCCCTCTCCATGGAGGCGCAGATTGCAGCTATAACAAAGGCGGCATTTTTTCATCTCCGCCAAGCTAAGCAGTTGGCTCCTTACCTCTCTCGCCCTGACCTAGCCACTGTGATCCACGCGACGGTCACCTCCAGACTGGATTATTGTAACTCGCTCTACGTGGGGCTGCCCCTGAGACTGACCCAGAAACTCCAGCGGGTGCAGAATGCCGCAGCGAGACTCCTTACGGGGTCTTCGCTGCGGGATCACATTCATCCGGTGCTATACCAGCTGCACTGGCTCCCGGTGGAGTACAGGATCAGGTTTAAGGTGCTGGTTTTAACCTTCAAAGCCCTATACGGCCTAGGACCCTCGTATCTACGGGACCGCCTCTCCTGGTATGCCCCACAGAGGAACTTACGGTCTTCAAATAAAAACATCTTGAAGGTCCCAGGCCTCAGAGAGGTTAGGCTGGCCTCAACTAGAGCCAGGGCTTTTTCGGCTGCGGCTCCAACCTGGTGGAACGCTCTGTCACAAGAGACAAGGGCCCTCCAGGACTTGACATCTTTCCGCAGGGCCTGCAAGACAGAGCTGTTCCACCAGGCCTTTGGTCAGGGCGCAGCCTGACTCCCTCCTTTGGCAATCTTTACAATACTTTAGTTTATGGTTGCCATCAATTTTGATTTTAATTAATTCTTTGATGTTTTTATAATGTTGCACTATTTTAGTGTTGTTAGCCGCCCTGAGCCCGGCTTCGGCTGGGGAGGGCGGGATATAAATAAAATTTATTATTATTATTATTATTATTATTATTAGCTAGACTGGTGACTGGGAGTGGCCGCCGGGACCACATAACACCGGTTCTGAGAGATCTGCATTGGCTCCCAGTACGTTTCCGAGCACAATTCAAAGTGTTGGTGCTGACCTTTAAAGCCCTAAACGGCCTCGGTCCTGTATACCTGAAGGAGCGTCTCCACCCCCATTGTTCAGCCTGCACACTGAGATCCAGCGCCTTCTGGCGGTCCCCTCATTGCGAGAAGTAAGGTTACAGGGAACCAGACAGAGGGCCTTCTCGGTAGTGGCACCTGCCCTGTGGAACGCCCTCCCAGTAGATGTCAAGGCAATAAACAACTATTTTACTTTCAAAAGACAACTGAAGGCAGCCCTCTTTAGGGAAGTTTTTAATGTCTGATGCTGTATTGTTTTTAATATTCAGTTGGAAGCCGCCCAGAGTGACTGGGGAAACCCAGCCAGATGGCCGGGGTATAAATATATTATTATTATTATTATTATTATTATTTTGGGAAGGCAAAGTTGATGACTTGAGTCATGATTTAAGATGCTGGGTAGCAGAGAAGATACAGGCCACATTCACACCATACGTTTAAAGCACTGTGATGTCACTTGGAACAGCCATGTCTTCCCCCCAAATAATCCTGGGAGCTGTTAAGGGTGCTGGGAATTGTCAGGAGATGTCCTAGTCCCATCACAGAACTACAACTCTCAGAGTGGTGTAACAATATCTCTTCACAGGAAGCCTTGAGAATTGTAGCTCTGACAGAATAGTCTTCTCAGGAGTTTGGACACACTCATTTTGCAGGGTGGCAGCAGGTTTAAATTCATCCAAATGAAGTTGGGAAATCTAAATAATAATACAGTGGTACCTTGGGTTACATACGCTTCAGGTTACAGATTCCGCTAACCCAGAAATAGTACCTTGGGTCAAGAACTTTGCTTCAGGATGAGAACAGAAATCGTGCTCCAGGAGCGCAGCAGCGGGAGGCCCTAAGAATGGACCTCCGGAACGAATTAAGTTCTTAACCCGAGGTACCACTGTAAATAATAATGTTGTTGTTGTTGTTGTTGTTGTTGTTGTTGTTGTTGTTGTTGTTGTTTAGACATTTAGTCGTGCCCGACTCTTCGTGACCCCATTGACCAGCGCACACCAGGCACTCCTGTCTTCCACAGCCTCCCGCAGTTTGGCATCAGCAATAAAAACAATGGCACAATTTTATTTCTAAGCCATTACAATGATTAAAAATGTATATGTAAAAAACGCTTTCAGCTCCAAAAACAATTTCGAATCCGATACAGAGAGGGATAGAAGTCCAAGAACAGCTCTTTCCAGTGACCCTCCAGGTGTTAATGAACTACAACTCCCATCAGCCTCCAGCAGGAATGGCCTAATGGCCAGGACTTCTGGGAGGTGTAGTCCAAGCAACATCTGACGACCCGCAGGATTCCCCAGCCCTCTTCTTGCCCGAGAAAGCTCACAGAAAAGCAGCCCAGGCCTGTTTGGAAAAGGTTAAATCTACCGAGTGCAACCACGATTCCTAGCAGCGCCTGGCAATGTCAGAAGGGAAGTATCAGGAATTGCGAAGCCACTTCCTCCCCCCCCCCCAACAAACCCCACTTTCTAAGAGAGCCCTGGTGGGAAACATTTTTTAAAAAATGAAATAAAATATAAATATAAATTTCTCAGCTGCTGAGAGTGAGTCTGGATCAAAAGTGCCCTTATTCATGGGCCATGCACAGCGCAGATTGCATTGCTAAGCCAGCCAAGGAGAGGTGAGTGCAAAAAGTGGGGGGCGGTGAGCATTGAAAGCTGAGAAATAATTTCCAGGGGGGCATAAAGGAACAGCACCAGCCACTGCAAAGGGGCGAAACCACTTTTGCAGGGGGAGAGAGGAGAACAGCCTGCTGAGAGATGCAACAATAGGGGCGGGGGAGGAACACAAAACCCTGACACTTCAATTTCGTTTGGGTCTGACCTCCACATCTGTGGCTTCTTGCTAGTAAGGGTTGTTGTTGTTGTTTAGTCGTTTAGTCGTGTCCGACTCTTCGTGACCCCATGGACCAGAGCACGCCAGGCACTCCTGTCTTCCACTGCCTCCCGCAGTTTGGTCAAACTCATGCTGGTAGCTTCGAGAACACTGTCCAACCATCTCGTCCTCTGTCGTCCCCTTCTCCTTGTGCCCTCCATCTTTCCCAACATCAGGGTCTTTTCCAGGGAGTCTTCTCTTCTCATGAAGTGGCCAAAGTACTGGAGTCTCAGCTTCAGGATCTGTCCTTCCAGTGAGCACTCAGGGCTGATTTCCTTCAGAATGGAGAGGTTTGATCTTCTTGCAGTCTATGGGACTCTCAAGAGTCTCCTCCAGCACCATAATTCAAAAGTATCAATTCTTCGGCGATCAGCCTTCTTTATGGTCCAGCTCTCACTTCCATACATCACTACTGGGAAAACCATAGCTTTAACTATACAAACCTTTGTTGGCAAGGTGATGTCTCTGCTTTTTAAGATGCTGTCTAGGTTTATCATTGCTTTTCTCCCAAGAAGCAGGCGTCTTTTAATTTCGTGGCTGCTGTCACCATCTGCAGTGATCATGGAGCCCAAGAAAGTAAAATCTCTCATTGCCTCCATTTCTTCCAGTTCTATTTGCCAGGAGGTGATGGGACCAGTGGCCATGATCTTACTTTTTTTGATGGTGGAAACCTGCAAAGGCGAGATTTTGCCCCCCCCTTGAAAACCAGTGGGATAGGGAGCTGGAGTCTAGGAGACAGTGACACTTGGAGGGCTTCAACAGACGATTAGACAAATTCATGGAGGAGAGGGTCTTGCTTGAAATCTGCAGGCATTGTGAGCAGTGTTAGAAATTAGCCAGCTGCCTGGCGCAGTTTGCTACTGGCATAGGTCCAGTCATGACTATGTGGAGATCTCTGGGTGCCAGACTGACGACTGACATCTCCATCTGACTGCCCCCCCCCAGCTTTCTTAAGGAGAAGAGCTTGTTTATTGCATTTATATCCCGCCTTTTTATCCAAGGAGTACATGGTTCACACACACACCCTCAGTTGATCCTCACAACGACTCTGTAAGGTAGGTAAAGAGGCTGCGACTGGCCCAAGGTCACCCAGTGAGCTTCATGACTGAGTGGGGATTCGAACTCTGATCTCCCAGGTCCTTTGCCGACACTCTAACCCAGCGCCTCCCAAATTTTGGTCTCCAGCTGTTTTTGGACTACAACTCCCATCATCCCTAGCTGGCAAGACTAGTGGTCAGGGATGATGGGAACTGTAGTTCGAAAGCAGCTGGAAACCTAAGTTTGGGAAACACTGCTCTAATCACAACAACATCCTGGCTTCCTGGGGAACTTCTGCTATGGGGCAGATCTATAAATTAAGTTGGTAAATAAATATGGGCAGAACAGAATGTCATTTAGAGAAGGATCTGAAATACTTTCCTTGAAGCTTGAATTTGTTTTACTCTGAATCGGGCATAGGCAAACGCCGGCCCTCCAGATGTTTGGGACTACAGTTCCCATCACCCCTAGCTAACAGGATCAGCGGTCAGGGATGATGGGAATTGTAGTCCCAAACATCTGGAGGGCCAGAGTTTGCCTATGCATGCTCTGGATTGGTTTATTTGGTGTTTTAATGCGTTGTAAACCAGAGCAGGATTCTTCCTTTTTTAATTTTAATTTTTGATTTTCAGCTTTTACAAACACTTCAGGCAGAAAAACAAAGTCTTTACAAATCCACTTCTTATGTTCTTTTGCTCTGCAGCTATCACTGCCCTGTGGGGCTTACTATTTACCATTCTTATTCTCCCTCTCTCTCCCCCCCCCCGCCTTTGTCTCTCTTCCTGTTTAGGAGAAGCGCATCTTCCTTCCTGAGAACCAAACGGGAGACCCTTGATTGTGACTCCAAGAGAAGCCCCTTATCTCTAGAGGGTTAAGACATCGAGGCTGTCCCGCGTTGGAAGCGGGAGACTGGAATAGTTTGAAAGAGAAGCAGGGGAACGCAGCTAGCTGCAGGCACCCCAGAGCCTCTGAAAATGGAGGAGCAGGACACGGCCGGCTCCAAATTGTGGCAGGGGATGCAGGGGGAAGGAAAGAGAGTCCCGCAAGTGGTCCATGTGGGGAGCATCGGGACCTTCGTGAGCAAGGAGCTCCCACCACAGATCAAGCGGGAGCCAGAGGAGGGGCTGCAGCAGCAGCACTGGGAGACCCAGTGGCAGCAGTTCTTGCAGAGCGTGCAGGCCCCAGACTCCAGATCGCAGCCTCATTCCGTCTCTGGGGAGGAGGCCAAGGAGATCCAGGCCTCATTCCAAGGTGTTGCCAATGCCGTGCAGTGGCCGAAAGGTGGATGGGTGACCCAGGCAGTGCCGGGCCTCGGCGGGGAAGCCCAGAAGGTCTACCGAAGCCTGGACTCCTTCGCGAAGGTGAAGGAGGAGGCCGTGAGCGAGGGGGCCCTGCGGCCAGAGACACGGCGCCAGCGCTTCCGCCACTTCTGCTACCAGGAGGCCAAAGGGCCCCGCGAGGTTTGCCAAAGGCTCCGGGAGCTGTGCTGCCAGTGGCTGAAACCGGAGAGGCAGACCAAGGAGCAGATCCTGGAGCTGCTGATCCTGGAGCAGTTCCTGATCATCCTGCCCCTGGAGATGCAGAGCTGGGTACGCGAGAGCGAGCCAGAGAGCTGTGCCCAGGCAGTGGCCCTGGCAGAAGGCTTCCTGATGGGGCGGCAAAACGGCAAGAGATGTGGCCAGCAGGTGAGAGGCCTCGATGGCGGGCAGATCGCAAGAAGGAGTGTGGGTTGGGTTTGGAGGCGACCCACTTTGTGTGTTGCTTGATTTATTATTTACTAAATTGATCGGTTGCTTTTTTGCCGTAGAAACTCAAAGCAGCTTACAGCATTTTAAGCAACACAACGAAACATCCTTCCCATGCATAAAGGCCATAGATAGTTAAAAGCCAAAGGCCTGGGGAGAGATAAATGTTTTTGTCTGGTGCCCATAGGAGCCAACGTCTAGGAGCTAAGGTCTTTTTGGCCCCCCATAAAATATTTCAGGGGTCTGGGCCCCCCTAAAGTTGATGGGCATTGCCATTCAAATGGTGTGTGTATGCCGTGTCTTATGATCAATTATGCGGAGCAGGGCTTACCTGACACGCCCCACCAATATTTTATTCAGGTTGGCACCCCTGCTGCCACCTAAAGATATGTAAGGAAGGCACCTGGCAAGCCTCCCTGGGGAGAGCATTCCACAAGCGGGGAGCCACCGCAGAAAAGGCCCTCTTCTAGTGTTGCCATTATTACTTCAGTGGTACCTCGGGTTAAGTACTTAATTCATTTCGGAGGTCCGTTCTTAACCTGAAACTGTTCTTAACCTGAAGCACCACTTTAGCTAATGGGGCCTCATGCTGCTGCCGCACCGCCAGAGCACAATTTCTGTTCTCATCCTGAAGCAAAGTTCTTAACCCAAGGTACTATTTCTGGGTTAGCAGAGTCTGTAACCTGAAGCGTATGTAACCCGAGGTACCACTGTATTATAGTAACACTCACACATAACAGGCAAAATGTAGGTTAGCAGCAGCGTCTGGTTCCCCATCGCATTTACTAACAGCCTGACGGCCACCAGGGAGTGGGGGTGGGCAGGCAAATAGTGGCTGTGGTGGTGAAGGCGCCACACGTAAAATAGTTGCTTTCCCAAATGTGGCCTCAACAGTGTCCGTAACCCCCCCCCCTTGGAGCTGTCTACCAGTGCACCTGGAGGAGCAACGGTGTAACAATTCTAAATATCACTTCATTATTATTCACGTACCGCCGGTTGTAAGGAGGAGAGGCAGAGGGCTCTTGTGTTCGAATCCTGCTTGCTGGTTTCCCACAGGCATCTGGTGAGCCACTGTGAGAACAGGATGCTGGGCTTAGATGGGCCATTGACCTGGTATCTAGCTGCGTTCTTAGGCTTTTAATGTATGTTCTTAATGTCTGTCCATCCGTCTCCCCGCTCTCTTTCAGCTGCCAGCACCTTTTGCGGAGGTGGCTGTGAATTCCTCTGAAGTGGACCAGATCCTGTCCGACACTTGGAACAGGCAGTTCTGCAGAATAGCCAAGCAGGATCAGAGCAAGGAGGAAAACCAACTCAGTAATGGTGAACACGGAGGGTCTGTTTGATCAGGGGGTGGGAAAACTTTTCCACCCTGGGGGTTTGAACTCTCTCCTGGGCAACCTCTTGAGACCTGCATCCCAGTGGTGGGTGGTGCCAGCGGCAAAAGAAGTGTATTATTATTATTATTATTATTATTATTATTATTATTAGACATCCCGTCATCTGTAGATCTCAGGGCGGTTCACAACATAAAATTACGATATAAAAAACCACAAAATACATTATAAAAAGAACAACAAAACAAACCAATGATCCCTGCATTTATCTCAGATTTTAATCTTCGAGCTGTTGTTGTACAATGTTTTAAATGTATTTTTTATTCTTGTGAAAGCTGTCCCAGTTGTGCTTTTTGAGCTGGTTTTTGACCGTAATAAAATTAGGTATGTATGTAAGTATGTAATCCCCGCTCCCATAACACATTTAAATAGGCATCGGATGTCAATCAGCCAAAGGCCTGGCTGAAGAGGAAAGTTTTTACCTGGTGCCTAAATATGCATAATGAAGGCACCAGGTGAACCTCCCTAGGGAGAGCACACCACAAACAGGGAGCCACCACAGAAAAGGCCCCTTCTCATGTTACCACCCTCTGGACCTCTTGTGGAGGAGGCACACGAATAAGGGCCTCAATTGACGATCACAGGCTCTGGGACGGTTCATATGGGAAGAGGTGGTCCTTGAGATACTGCAGTTCTGAGCATTTTGCCTCTGTGTAATAAGCTCTTCTTATCTCCGCAGCCGACCAGCAGGTGGGAGATAACCATCGCCAGGAAGGCTCCGAGCAGGTGGAACCACACGATGCATCCATGAGAATCGGCTTGGTCTTCCAGAATTACGAGGAGGGAACTGGGTTGTTGGGTCAGAAGGCACTGGCAGGCAAGCAGGACCCTGAAAGTAGAAGGGGTGGAGCTGTAGCCTGTTGGGAAGGCGGCTTCCGCAGGAAGGAACCCAAAGCCCAGGATTGTGTGGAGGTGAAACCGCACAGCGACACCAATGGAAGCTTCCGGCCGAGCCAAGGCATCCTTAAGCAGGAAGCAGTCGCCGGGGACGAGAAACCGTTCAAGTCCTCGGCCTTTCCTCCGAGCCCAGGCCTCCTCGTCCCACATGAGAGGAGCCACGCGGGGGACAGGCGATATAAATGCTCCGAGTGTGGGAAGAGTTTCAACCAAAAGCGGTACCTGGCGGGGCACCGGAGAATCCACCGAGGGGAAACCCCATACAAATGCTCAGACTGCGGGAGGAGCTTCAACCGGAAGTGGAACCTCATTGCTCACAAGAGAATCCACTCGGGGGAGAACCCGTACAAGTGCTCGGACTGCGGGAAAACATTCAGCCAGAAGGGTAACCTTATGACCCACGTGAGGATCCACACGGGGGAGAAGCCCTACAAGTGCGCTGAGTGCGGGAAGCGCTTCAGCCAGAGGGCGGGCCTCACCTCACACAGGAAGAGCCACATAAAAATCAACAGCGTAGGAAAAGCCACCTTGGGGTATCTGATTTTCCTAAACCTCAGTGAATCTGGGAAAGAGGGGAGCCCCGTAGAAGCTTAGGAGTTGGGCGGGAAGCTCCGTGCAGAGCTCGAAAACATTCTTTGTCCGGGAAAAAGGAAAGGAAGGAGGAAACCCTTAGAATTCCCAACTGTGATAGAAACAGGCTGCGGATGCGTAGGATTGAGAGGAAGTTCTGTAAATGCTGCGACTGAATGACACTGGGACAGAACTATCATTCGCAACTCATCAAACGGCAGGCTGTGTGGCACGAGACTCTTAATTGTAGGTTCGAGCTGCATGTTGGGCAAAGGCCGGGGGTTGGACTAGATGACCCATGTGGTCCCTTCTGACTCTGCAATCCTATGAAAAGTGTTCTGGGCTGTATGGGAAGGGCTGCATCTCAGTGGTAGAGCATGTGCGTTCAGTTTCTGACATCTCCAGTTAGCGTCAACGATGCTAAGCTCGATGGACCAGTGGTCTGCCACAGAATGAAGCAGCGTCCTTTGTTTAAGCAGCTCTCATTTAGAAGGACTGGGATCTCACTTAGTCTTTAAGAAAATAGACCGAAACTCAGAAGTAGAGCATCTGCTTTTACATGCAGGTCTCAGGTTTGATTCCCGGCCTCTCCAGGTAGGGCATTTCTCTGCAGAACCAATGCTCAGTAAAGGCCAGGCGTAGTCTGACCTCTGCGTAAGCAAATCGGAATGAATGCTGAAAAAACAGGTTGCCTGGAGGAGCCCAGGTCTGACCAGGGTTTACGTGGGTGGAGGTGGGCAGATGCCCTGCAGTTAAACTTGGTGGGCCTGTGGACTTTGCTGCAGAACAGCATGTCTTAAAGGCACACCAACAGGCTGCTTCAAAAGTTGACAGTCGTAGTTTATGGCCCTGAGGGTCTTGATTCAGCATCAGAAGGCTCTGGGTAGGGGATACAGTGGTACTTTGGTTCTTGAACTTAATCCATTCCTGGAGTCCATTCGACTACCGAAACTGTTCAAAAACCAAGGCACAGTTTCCAATTGGCTGCAGGAGCTCAAGCGGAAGCCACATGGGATGTTCGGCTTCTGAAAAGCTTTCGCAAACCGGAACACTTACTTCCGGGTTTGCGGCGTTTGGGAGCCGATTTGTTCGGGAGCAAAGCCCTTCAGGAACCAAGGTACCATCGTATTCTTCTGCAAGCCAGCTGCTATGTTTTCTGCAAGGTATTAACGTAGTCAAGGGCACCCTTGGAATCTTTAGGCACCCCACACAATTATTCTCTAGGCTGCCTCCATGGTGCAACCGGCGCAGACCATTTGTTTGTGCTGCATTCAAAATGATTTTTGTTTTTTATAAAAAAAATCAAAAGCCAGAGCACAGCTTCAAAAGGTTAGTGGGAAATGATTTGGTTTTTTTTAACGAACCACCTTCTAGAATCCAGTGTTTTCGGATTGTAGTTACATATACCAAATAATTACAAAAACAATCTATGCAGACCATGAGAGGGTTCCATGCGATTAATGCGCCACAACATTCACCAGCTTGATTTTGCCCATCTCTCATCAGCCCCAGCTGTAGTCCAAATCATCTCAAGGGTGCCTGGTTGAAGAAGACTGACACACTGAACAGATTAGACTAGCCTCTGTGCTTTGCCTTCCCAGCCTCCAAAACTCACTTTCCCTCCAGAGCTTCACACCATTCCTGTTCCCTAGAATTCCTGTTCCCTAGAATTTTCTTACAGCCCAGCCGACATCCTGTTCATCATCTCAGCAGAAGTTTGATTATTGCCAACGATCTGTAGCTGGTCAGTCCCCCTCTGTGACCTCACAGGGGCTCAGCCAATGGCTGCAAGGAGGGAATGGGCACCAAAAAAGCAAAATGGGACGCTGTTAATGTGGGAGAGGGAATAATAAAATCCCAGGAAGATACTTTAAAAATGTAAAGATACTTTAATTGGGAAAGGGCACAACAAAGGAAGGAAAAAAACCTGTGTTGTAAAGCTTAACTCTCAAAAGTTTGCTCACATTGCAATAAAATTTGTTTGCCTCTTTGTTTTTCTTGCATTGGTGGATTAACATATTTGCTTATATGAAATTGATATCTGGGCAAGGTCTATGTTGCAGTTTTCTAGTATTCCCTTTCTAAGCCCTAGATCGTGGGTAGGCAAACTAAGGCCCGGGGGCGGGATCAGGCCCAATCGCCTTCTAAATTAGGCCTGCGGACGGTCCAGGAATCAGTGTGTTTTTACATGAGTAGAATGTGTCCTTTTATTTAAAATACATCTCTGGGTTATTTGTAGGGCATAGGGATTCATCCATATATATTTTTTTCAAAATATTGTCTGGCCCTCCACAAGGCCTGAAGGACAGTGGTCTGGCCCCCTGCTGAAAAAGTTTGCTGACCCCTGCCCTAGATTCCAGGACGGTGCAAAGGAATTGATTGGCAGAAAGAGTCCAAAGCAGACAAAAGCTTCAGAAAAGTGGAGCAACCATATTCCAAGGCAGTGTACCTCTGCTGATTGGTTGATGCTGTAGCCCAAGAGGGTGGGATTTTTTTCTGGCCAGAGGGCTGAATTCCCTTCTGAGCAAATTTATCAGGAAGTCGCATGCCAGGGGTGAGTGGGCCCAGAGGCAAAAGTAGGGGGGGGCGAGTAGGCTAGTTTCTACAGCTGGTTAGAGTGAGGGGCTGATAATGCCAAGGTTGCAGGTTCAATCCCCGTCAGGGACAGCTGCATATTCCTGCATGGCAGGAGGTTGGACTCGATGATCCTCAGGGTCCCTTCCAACTCTACAATTCTATGATTGTAAGACTTACACCCCACTCTAGCCTCCTTCCAGGGTAGCAAGCAACATCGTCCGAGTTCAAGGACACATTCCAGCCAGGCATAAACACTCAAGGAGGGTGTGGAGCAAGGTGGCTCAGGGGTGTGTTGAGGGAATGTTCAGAGCAGCAGGTGGAGAGGCCTAGCAAGCCACCTTTGCCCATCCAGCATGGAGCCAGACAAGGGAGAGCTTCCACCTGGAAGCCTTGCTTGCGAGTTTCCAGAGTTACCTGTGTATTTGCTCTTGGAAGAAAACCATGGCAAGGTGTGCTCCAGAAGGGCTTTATACATTTTTATCCCTCTGTGGGCACCTCACAGCCCCGAGGTAGATCTGACCAGTGCTTCATTCATGCCACAAGTTGCAAAACCTCCAGCAGGGAGCTTTAAAAATTGTCTTTGATCCTATTGGTAAGGGGTTTGTTTCCATAATAAAAATACAGCATTTCCCCCTCCGCTACTCTGTATGTGGAGCATTATTTTGGATGCATCCAGCAACTAGGGGTTGGGGAACATCTGGACCTCAGGTCTAATCCAGCTGCCCAGGTTTCCTTGTTTAGCCTGCTGGGTCTTTGGAGCAAGCCCCACCCAGCTGTCCTACAGCCGGATGTCTACCGTGGAGCAGGTAAAAGGGTAGGTAGCTGGGAAGGACGTAAAGGGGTTTTGCAAAGCTCCATTGCCCAGCTCTGCCCCTCTGCCCAGAACCCAACTGGATGTTGGGAAGAGCTGCACAAAGGACTTTTGGCAGGTGTCAATCACCTGACAACATTACAACATTGGATGGTGGAGAGCTGGGTTGTCCCTAAGAGGCAGAAGCCAACAATGGGGAGAAAAATCTGTAGGACTGGAAGCTTAAAAGAAATGTTGAGCTAATAGTAAGGCCAGTTTAGATAAATGCTTTTATTATGCTCAATGCATGCATATAAAAATTGAAGACAGCATGCGCCATCTTTCGAGAGGCATTCCTGAAATGCCTCATATATATGAATAATCTCAGAACAAAGATTGTCTTTTCTCCCTTTAGAGCATTTCTTTTTCTTCTATGCACATTTATTTGATGAATGTGATTCATTGAACAACTTTGCTTTAAACTCTTCGCTGTGCACCACCCCAGTGCCAATTTATGAGGTAACACGGCCCTTGCCAATGGTGTGTGACCAAGTGCTTTCATTTACATGCCCCAAATCTTTCTGCGTTCAGCTTCCTTGGACCTCGTGGATGGAGAACAGAGGCAGAACGCTAAGAAGCATAAGTTTTACTTTGACATTTCCAGAGCCCAAATCACTTTAGATCAGGGTCTGTGGAACCTTTTGGCCCCCCAGATGGTGCTGGGACTCCAACTCCCATCAGCCCCTGCAGCCACCATGGCCAATGATCAAGGAGGATGGGAGCTGGAGTCCAGCAACATCTGGGGCGCCAGGGGTTTCCCGTCCCTGACTTACACTATACCGGTGGTCAGGTTAATGGAAATAAAAGCTATTAGTTTGGACTAGGGAAAAAGCAGTGTTTGTTATGCCTGTTATACAGAAGTATCTTTAAGCCAGGGACGGGGAATCTGCAGCCCTCCAGCTGTGGCTCCTAGTTTCCATAATGCCAAACTGCAGGTTATGCTGCCTAGCGGCAGATGGGAGGGCTGCCCCATCCATGAGTCTTGCCTCAGGATGGGAGGCTCAGAGGCGGGGCAGAAGATCCAGGCCCACGAGGAGTGAACCATTCTCCTGATCTGCCACTGTTGCGGCCTACTCCATTGTGCCCCATCCGCCGCAGCCTTTTCAGTCTCCATTTTCTTCCCTTTGTCTTGGGGGGGGGGGGGGAGGAATGGCACCATTGGAGTTGGCAGTGTCATCTGTGGGGGACACAGGGAGTCACCCTCAGCAGGTGTGTGGGGCAGGACTCGTTGAGGGTGAAGCAGCACCGCTGTTTTGCCTCAGCGGCAGCCCTGGGAGTCCAAATATCGTCTGGAGGACTACCAGCCCCTCACACCCACAAGCCATACCACACTACTATACCCATAAGTGGCTAAACCAGACGTGGCGCCTGCCACAAAATGTCGTACTGTGTAGTGTGGGTATTCCCTCCCGTTCGCAGACCTACAATCCCCTGAGTATTTTAAACACTCAGTCCCTCTTGGCAGAAAACTATGGGCATGGTAGTTCTGTGAGGGGGTTCATAGAAGCTGTCAATGTCCTAAAAGGACAGTTCCCAGGATGCTTTGGGGCAGCCAGTGTACACTACTTTGGAAGTATACACTAGATTCTGACCAAACCAAGCCTCCTGGAGCACAATATACTCCCATCAAGTATAGTTTGGTTCAACAGATCAGGGGCTGGGGATCAAGGAGATTGGGCAAGGAGCTTCCACGGGTTATTGGGATGCCAGCTCCCATCAGCAGCACCCAGCACAGCCAATGGCCATGTGCTCTACCTATTGCCACCCAGGAGAAGGAGGTGAAATTTTCATGGGGGAAATTTCCAGCTCAAAATTGACACAAGAAGAATCATGTAGGATCAGAGCAAAGGCCCATCTTCATGAGAATCTTGTTCCTCACAATGGCCAAGCAGATGCCCCAATGAGAAGCCCAAAAGCAGGACAAAGCAACAACAGCTCCCCGAAATCATTCCCCAACCACTGCCGTTCAGAGTCATGCAGTTTATCCTCTCACAAATTTGTCTTAACCTCAATTCTCCTACAAAACCTACGTAGTCCCCTCCGTTGTACCAAATGCTTCGGTATGCATTTTTTCGTGTACAAGGAGTTTGGCCCTCTGAGAGAAGCTTTTCATGCAAAGCAGGCATTTGAAAGGCTTCTCTCCGGTGTGGATTCTCATGTGTGTCCTAAGGTTCCCCTTTTGGCTGAAGCTTTTCCCACACTCAGGGCACTTGAAGGGAGTCTCTCCCGTGTGGGTCCTCTCATGTATGATGAGCTTGGACTTCTGGGAGAAACTTTTGTCACAGTGACTGCATTTGTACGGGATTTCCCCTGTGTGGCTCCGCTCGTGGGCAATGAGGCTGGCCCTCTGAGAGAAGCTTTTCCCACAATAAAGGCACAGAGGCGGGTTTTCCCCCGTGTGGATTCTCTCATGAGTGATAAGGTAGCGTTTCCGGTTGAAGCTCTTCCCGCAGTGAGAACACTTGTAGGGCCTCTCACCCGTGTGAGTTCTCACGTGTTCCCTGAAGAGTGAACCGCGGCTGAAGCTTTTCCCACAGTAGGAGCACTTATATGGGGCCTCCCCGGTGTGGATCCTCGTGTGTACCAGGAGGTCCCACGTGCGAGTGAAGCTATTCCCGCAGAAAGAGCACTTATAGGGTTTCTCTCCAGTGGGGATTCTCTGATGGTTAAGTGTGGGCCGGAAGCTTCTCTTGGGATCCACACAGGTTGTTTGCCTCTCATGAAGCTGGACCCTGTTTTCTTCCCCATCCTCGTTATCCTCCAGACAGGGAACAGTTTTCTCTAGAGTTCTCTTTGGTTCTCTTTCCACTTCCTGCTGACTTCCAAATGTTATTCCCTTCCTGTACATCTTGAAACCTTTTTCTCTTCTCAAGGTTGCCGCCTCCTTCTCATGCACTTGCCTGTCACCTGCAGCAGTAAACAATGGTCAAATGAGCAATTCCCATATTGTGTCCATTTTTACACAGCTACAATAGCTAAACTGACTCATTAGATTAGAGTTAAGGGTGTGGGGCAGGGAAGGGAACAGAGGCGTGATAGTTTTGTGACAAGACGGGGGGAAAGTCATTGATCACAGTAAAAAAAATTAAGACCTTACCAGAAAGGAATGATCTAAATATAATGTTTTCAAAGAATAATGTTTAGAACATAAGTTGGTATTGTCTTATTATATTACAGTGTTGTTTACTGGACAGCATTGATAACCATTATGTCTCTAATTAGACATGTAATATAACTCCCTGTTTATTTTTTATTTATAAAAAAATAGTTGTATACTGCTGGATCATACAATAAAACTATTAAAAGCTATTGTGAATATATCATTTATTATTATTATTATTATTATTATTATGAATAATTACTAATTGTTTTATTCATAAAAATGACTTAAAGTGACTTATGAACATAATAGAAGTAGTAATTAAATTATGAGGTATGTTACGTTTAAGTTTTGGGGTATTCCCCTCTCCCCACCCCGGTAGTCTTAAATATTATTTTTATGTATGGAATTGTTTTAGGTTAATACTTTTACTGTAACACTGCATAAATATTTTTTGGGGAACAGATTCAGAAATGGAATCTAATAAATAAAGAAATATTGTAAATAAATGAAAACACATTTTTTAAAAGGAAGCCATTTCCTCTTTTTTTATTTTGTCTTACACATGTTCTGAACTGATGCAGGCAGGCTGCCTGAGCTTAAGAAACAAGAGAGACGAGGAAATTCCTGAAGGGGGAAATTCCCCAGGGGTTGAAAAGCATCAAGTAGATTCCATGTGTGGAGATTCCTTACCTGTCAAGTCTGCAGCTTTGTCCTCTACCTGACCAGCCGCTCTGCAGAGTTGCCTTTTCCAAAAGTTGGGAGGAACCTGGCTTGCCTCACAGGAATTCGCAGCAGTTTCTCCAGAAGGCCTCAGCACCTGAAACAGCCACGGGAGTCCCGTTGATCCACTTTTATTTAACAAAACGCGTCTACCGCTAGATTGTACACAAAACATCTAAGCCCGGGGAAGCCAACATGGTGCTCTCAAGATGCTGTTGGCAGCGTACAGACCTTACCTGCTGATCCCAACTCCTGGCATCTTGGACTTCCTGCCTCATCAGGAAATCCTCCACGAGGGTCACCACCTGGGTGCAGGTCTCTGGGTCCTGCTCCCTGACTTGGCCCTGTATTCCCTGGGGCAGGACGGCCAGGAACTGCTCCAGAACCACCAGCTCCAGGATCTGCTCCTTGGTGTGTCTCTCCGGCTTCAGCCACCGGCGACAAAGCTCCCAGAGTCGGCTCAAGACTTCTCGGGGGCCCTTGGCTTTCTCATAGCGGAACTGCCTGAAATGCCGGCGTCGCACCTCCAGGTCCACGGTGTCCTTGTCCAGAACCTCTACTTTGACCTGTTCTCCAGAGGAGTCCAGGATCTCATCGCTGCTTTCTCCTCGGGGCCGTTGGCCAGCTTTGGCCACTCCCTCAGAAGTGACCTGACATTCATTGATGTCTTCCCTCGGTGCAGGCCGGGGCACCTGCAGATTGATCCCTCCCAAGCAAGGGGACCGCACAGCCTTCAGGAAGGCCTGCCATTGGCCTTCCCAGCACTGCTGGAGCACACCCTCGCTCGGTTCCTGCTTAACCCGCTTCAACGCTTCCTCTGTCAAAACCAACTTGGCTCCGCCGGCCAAATTTTTAACGGCTGGGCCTTCGCTTGTGCCTTCCTCCATGCCATCCCATAACCTGGAGCCTGCCGGATCCTGTTCCTCTGTTTTCTGATTGGCTATCCTCTCCCCTTCGGCCATTTCCTTCAGCGAGGTGAAGCACAGATGGATTAGACCGAGGATCTGGACACAAAAAGAGTGCAAGTCTGTCAGTGGTGTTAGTGCTACTCAAGAGTAGACCCACTGACATTAAGCAAAAGGACAAACTTAGGTTTATTCATTTCAAAGGGCCTACTCCAAATATAGTAAGCTGTGGGTTAAACCACAGAGCCTAGGACTTGCCGATCAGAAGGTCACGGTTCAAATCCCCGCGACGGGGTGAGCTCCCGTTGCTCGGTCCCAGCTCCTGCCAACCTAGCAGTTTGAAAGCACGTCAAAGTGCAAGTAGATAAATAGGTACCGCTCCGGCGGGAAGGTAAACGGCATTTCCGTGCGCTGCTCTGGTTCGCCAGAAGCGGCTTAGTCATGCTGGCCACATGACCTGGAAGCTGTATGCCGGCTCCCTCGGCCAATAAAGCAACATGAGCGCCGCAACCCCAGAGTCGGCCATGACTGGACCTAATGGTCCCTTTACCTTTACTCCGAATATCCACATCTACACTATACATTTAAAGCGGTATCGTGTCACTTTAAATAGTTGTGGCTTCCTGCAAAGAATATTGGAAAATGCAGTTCTTTTATAGTGCTGAGATGTTAGGAGGCCCCTATTCCACTCACAGAACTCCCTGGGATGATGGATTGATTGTTAAACCACTCTGGAAAGTGTAGCTCTGTGAGGGGACTTTCCTAACCACTCTCAGCACCCTTAAGAAACATACATTTATTGATTGATTGAATTTATATACTACCCTATACCCCGAGGTCTCAAGGCAGGTCACAAAGAAGATCACAATATATAAAATAAAAATAAAAATAACCCAATAAGGCCCCCCCACCAAAAAAGTCACTTTTTAAAAGGGTATAGGATGTTGATCAGGTCAATCAAAGGCCTGGTTAAAAAGAAATGTTTTTGCCTGGTGCCTAAAGGTGTATAATGAAGGCGCCAGGTGAACTTCCCTGGGGAGAGCATTCCACAAACGGGGAGCCACTGCAGAGAAGGCCCTGTCCTCGTGTTGCCACCCTCCGAACCTCTCGAGGAGGAGGCACACGAAGAAGGGCCTCAGAAGATGATCTCAGGGTCTAAGTGGGTCCATATGGGAAGAGGCGGTCCTTGAGGTGTTGCGGTCCTGAGCCATTTAAGGCTTTATAGGTCAAAAACAGCACTTTGAATTGGGCCTGGAAACTAACTGATTCTGGTGAGCAACCTGACCACTCAATTCTGCACCAACTGAAGTTTCCAAACCATCTTCAGAGGCAGCCCTACGTATAGTGCATTGCAGTTATACTACAATTCCCAGGATTCTTTGGTGGAAGCCATGACTGTTTAAAGTGGGACGATACGGCTTTAAATATACAGTGAACTTGCAGACTTAGCGGGCAACAACCCAGTGGTTTTCTGTCCCACTTCCAATGTTAATAACAGTACTTACGATGACTGCATTATCAACAATTACAGTTGTTGTGAAGAATTAACTGTGTCATTTCATCTTTAATTGCATATACATAAAACTTTTCAATTGTCACATTTTGCATTTTGCCCATGTGTACACTGTTGTTAGCTTTCAGAGGTTGCCACAAGTCTCTTCTGTCACTCTGCATTTACTCAAAGATGCCCTTGTCTGTACGGCAGTCTGCTCTGATCTGCCAATGAGTTTGCCAACTGAAAAACAACAACAGCAACTGAAAAGCGCCCCATGTATTCAACATTTCCAGACAGGAAGAAATTCAACAGGCAGAGCTTCCCAAGCTTAGAGAGGCAATTAAGAAGGCTGTACCTGTTGAATTCCCCTCCGCATGCCATGCAGCGGTTTCAAAAGCATGAAGACTGCTCTATGCATTAAACAACAGTATATTGAAACTTATCTCAGAAATGAGAGGGCTGATTTGGACTACAGGATCCAACGCTTCCTCTTCCATACTTTTGCATTCCCCTCCCCAATCCGGGAGAGATTTTCCTCCCTCCCTCCTCCCTACCACCCTCTCCCCAAATCCTGGAAAGCAGTTACCAGACTTGATGGTCTAACTCGGTACAAAGGCGCTTCCTATGTCCTTTTCGCAGCCACTGACGCCCTCGGTCTCCTGGGATTTTCTATCAGTTTCTCCCAACTTTTCTGCAAATGGCCCCTCCCTCCTAAATTCCCCTTTAGCTCACCTCTCCCTGCAAGCTGAGAGCAGCAACCCCCCGTTTCCCCCAAGGAAAGGGCAAGGTGGGGACAGGAAGTGGCTTCATCAGCTTCTCAAATGGCCTTGCCGATCTAGGCACCACGCCTGCAGATCTCTATCAGCATAACCCTTCACGCACCGTGCTACAGAGGCTGCTTTCAGCAGTAGATGCTGTGGTTCAAGGCACCAGAGCAGGGACCAGATGCTTTTCTTTCTATCAGTTGGCAACCTTAGCTGCCACCTTTTAAAAAGAAGAAAAAAGAGTAGATGCTGCTTGCTTGAATTGTGACAGATCAGGCAAATAAGTTAACAATTCATGCAGCCATAAGTCTGTTGGGGGAAAATCACATGGGAATGGGTTGTATCAAACTTTATGGTTGGGGCTTACTTCTGAGTAAGCATGCACAGGTTTAGAACACACATCACACACCATCTTATTGCTGCTCTTTATAGGTTATCTGAGTGACTGAAAATTTAAGATCAGAGCTCAGGTCAGCTAGCTCTGGAGATTTCATTAACCTACTTTCAAGCCAACCCGCTCAGCCTTATGGACTAGAAACCTGGGTATCTCTGTGCATGTGTTTGTTTGGAATGTTTTTGTACTCAGTGTTCAAGCCTGCACAAATGCAGTGCCTCAGCTTAATTCTTACGAATGTTATAAGAATTTTATTTGACACCTGCCTGCCATTTCGCCAACTCCAGGGCATGTAAATAAATGCCTGATGATACCTCAACTCCTTCCCTGCCCTTCCTAGAATAGAACCCTGCCTCCTAGCTGTCAAGTTCCTGCTCAGCCTCTTTTGCAGAGCCTGCCTGGAGCTGCCATAGAACGCAGGGAAACAGTTTAATAAGCAGCATCTACCCTCAAACCTGCAGGGTTCCAATTGCGGTTGCTAACTTCCAGTGGCTCTGGGTTGCCCCCAAGTTTGGGGGAAGGGGGAGTGGCGCACAGTGCACAATGTCATACACATTTCGCCCAGTCCATCCTTCTGCTAGGCCCTGCCGTTCCCTGAAGCATCAGAAGATGCTCTGCAGCCCAATGCAGCGTCATGCGTTGACATTGACCAGGCCCCCTCAATATGGGGGGTGGGGCGGCCTGGGCCCCTAGAGTTGGAGCTGCCTGGTAACTTCATATTAGGTAAAGGTAAAGGGAAACCTGACCATTAGGTCCAGTCATGACCGACTCTGGGGTTGTGGTGCTCATCTCGCTTTACTGGCCGAGGGAGCCGGCGTACAGCTTCCGGGTCATGTGGCCAGCATGACTAAGTCGCTTCTGGCGAACCAGAGCAACGCATGGAAACGCCATTTACCTGCCCGCCAGAGCGGTATCTATTTATCTACTTGCACTTTGACGTGCTTTCAAACTGCTAGGTTGGCAGGAGCAGGAGCTCACCCCGTCACAGGGATTCGAACCACCGACCTTTTGATCGGCAAGTTCTAGGCTCTGTGGTTTAACCCACAGCGCCACCCGCATCCCATAACTTCGTATTAAATGCTGTCAAATAAAGGAAACAATCCATTCATGCTGCACAAATGTGAAAAAATGCCTTTATTCCAATGTTTCAAGACTGCATAAATTAAACTGCTTCTCTCTGTATATAACAAATGCATTTAACGTGCCACCTGGAAATTGGAACGACTTTTCCCTTTGTGTAAACTGTGTCCCCTGGGTGGGAACAAAACTTAATCTGCACCTTGGTTTGTATCTGTATGTTTATCTCCTGCTATGTAAGATTCTGAAGACACCATTGTCAATGTCAGCACATAATCCATTTTAAATAATCAGCCAAACCTTTCATTTCAGCCCTCGAACCTAGAGCTACAGCACCATTTTATAATGATGGCATCCCGTAATGACATACACCAACACCCACATATGTCTGTCAGCAGCAGAAGCAGCAACAACAGAAACAACAACAACAAACCCCTCAAACCGGGAACAAAGAGCGCTATGCAAAACCACTATTTATTTAAAAGAACTTTTCCTAATAATTGGGCTGCTCACAAGTTCTCTCCTGTGTGGATTCTCTGATGTCTGCTAAGATCTGAGCTCCCTTTGAAGCTTTTCCCACAGTCCGAGCACATGTAATGCTTTGCTCCAGTGTGGGCCCTTTCGTGGGCAATGAGGTTGGAGCTCCACTTAAAGCCTTTCCCACACACTGAGCACTTGTAGGGCTTGTCTCCGATGTGGGTCCTTTTGTGGGACTTGAGGTTGGAGCTGCTCCGGAAGCTCTTCCCGCATTCAACACATGGGTAGAGCTTCTTCAAGTGGGTCCTTTCATGGGCACGCAGGCTTGGCTGCTGGCTGAAGCGCTTCCTGCAGTACGCACACTCGTACGATGTCTCCCCCGTGTGGTTCCGGCGGTGCGCAGTGAGGTCCAGTTTCCGGCCAAAGCTTTCCCCGCAGTCCAGGCACTCAAACGCCTTCTGTTCCATGTGGGTCATCTCATGCAGAGCGAGGTGAGAGGCATGGCTGAAGCACGCGTCGCAAACCACGCATCTGAACGGCTTCTCCTTCGTGTGGCTCCGCTCGTGCGCAATCAGGCCCGAAATCTGGCTGAAGTTTCTCCCGCAGTCGGGGCACTTGTACGGCTTGTCCCCTGTGTGGGTTCTCTCGTGGACAATGAGGCCCGGTCTCCTGCTGAAACCCTTGCCGCACTCAGCACACTTGTACGGCTTCTCTTCCTGATGAGTCCCTTTGTGGCTGAAGAGGCCCGACTGGTTGCTGAAGCCCTTCCCGCAAAGCGGGCACTTGAAGGGCTTCTCCCCTGTGTGGATCCTCCCGTGCGTAATGAGGTTGGAGCGGAAGCGGAAGGTCTTCCCGCAATCTGCGCACTTGTACGGCTTCTCGCCCGTGTGGGTTCTCTGGTGTGTGATAAGGTTTGACTTCTGGCTGAAGCTCTTCCTGCACAAGCCACACACCTTCTGCTTCTTGACCTGTTGCGTTCTTGGCTGAATTTTGTGCCCATCAAGGTCACAGTTGTTTTCTTCACAGGGAACAGATTTCCCCGCCTCCCCTTTGTCCAGACACTTCCTCGGCTCTCTTTTTGAGCCATGTTCACCCTCAGAAGCTGCTTCCGATTCAGGAAGTTTCTCATCCTCCATTTTGCTCACCTGCCCTTCTCCTGCTAGGGAGAAAAGCAAGTTGGATACTGTTATGCAGCAAAATCTGATTGATTGTGTGATTGAAATCATTATGGCAAAAGGCTGTAGCTAAGCAGCAGAGCAACTGCTTTGAATGCACAAGGTCCCAATTTCAGTCCCCAAGGGCATTCCTAAGTCGGGCTGAGAGAGACTTGTTATGTATTCAGTGGTCTGTGTTTGCCTGAGCTTGAGTCTGGACTAAAGACTCTGAGCTCCTGTGTTCTGATTTGATACATGATATCCAATCACAGAACAATTCTGGATTTGGACCTCTGCCATTGGCCCTTAAACTTTGATTCATGATTTGCAGCTTGGAAGTTTAGACAGCCAATCACGTTGGGAGTGGGAGTGGCCCAGGCCTTCACAAATGTATATAAGCAGTTGCTTTGCCCCTGTTATCCGATAATGTAGTTCAACAAAGGTTCTTGCTGTGATCACTGTGTCTTGCCTCATGGGAACCCACCTATACTTCAAGACTCACTGTCTGAAACCCGGGAGAGCCACTGCCAATCAGTGTCGAAAATACTGAGTTAGATGGACTAACGTTTGGATTCAGTATAAGGCAATTTCCTGTGTTCCTATCTTCATGAAACTTTGCAAGATTTTAGATGTTGAACTATAAATGTGCTTATATACTATAATCCTTCCCTTCAGGCAGTAAAATATAACTGAGGGTATCTAGTATCCATATATAAAAAATTATGTATGTTAAAGTGGGCATGTACCTCCATTCTTCTTCAACTCCAGATGCAGATTTTCTAGGGAAGGAAATTAGACAATTAACAGCCTGCACCATTTTGCAGTTTCTTTCTCTCTCAGGACCCCTTCAGACTTGCTGGTGGGGTTTTGGGGGGGCAACGAAAGCTGGACAAAAAATTTAAACCGGATCATGTGCTGTATAAACAGTCACAAGATTTTAACAGGAAATTAGGGAACACGCTCAGATTGGAAACAGGTCAGTAGGTCTGTCTTAAAACCTTTTCAGGCGCAAACAGTATTGAAAGCAGTCGAGGATAACTGCCCTGAAGGACATAAAGGAGAAGGACCTCTCCACACCCTTCGCCATCTGTGGCATGGTGACAGACAAACAGCAGACAACAGTTCTCAGGGTGATTTAACAATCAATCTTCTCTTCCCAGAGAACTCTGGGAGTTGTAACTCTGTGAGGTAAACAGGGGTGCCCCAACAACTCTCAGAACCCTTAGCAAACTACACTTCCCAAGGATCTGAGATCTAGCGCCGAGGGCCTTCTGGCGGTTCCCTCATTACGAGAAGTGACATTACAGGGGACCAGGCAGAGGGCCTTCTCGGTAGTGGCGCCCGCCCTGTGGAACGCCCTCCCTTCAGATGTGAAGGAAATAAGCAGCTATCTTCTCTTTAAAAGACATCTGAAGGCAGCCCTGTTTAGAGAAGTTTTTAATATTTAATGCTGTACTGTTTTTAACACTTGATTGGTAGCCGCCCAGAGTGGCTGGGGAAACTCAGCCAGATGGGCGGGGTATAAATAATAAATTATTATTATTATCATCATCATCTTTGGGAAAAGCCATGCTTACTTCAAGTGGTATGATACAGCTTTAAATATATGGTGTGGAAGGGGCCTTAGCCCTTTGCATTAATTCCAATGGGTCTTCTTTGCATACAACTGTGAACTGTTTCTTTTCACTTTACTTACATGTCATTTTTTAAAAGATGCTATGACATGGATGAAAATGCCGTTTGCTAGGTTTGAAAAACCTTCTTATTTTCATGAGCTGCTTTGAGCTCAACTTTACTGTGGGGGAACACATGCCAGGGTGCAACCAAATCAAAACCCTTCTTCACCTTTGAACGCCAACAGAGTTTCCAGAAAAGCAGCCCTTTTGTGGGAGAAATCGCTCAACCTCTGTTCCAGCTCCCCCAAACCCGGCTGTGGTTTCGGGAAGAAGGTATCATCTCTGTGAAAAAGAAAGAAAGAATAGATGTTGCTGTTGGAGGAAGAGAAGGCTAAACATGAATGAACTGCCCTGTTGGATCCAGGCCAAATGATTCACACTGACAAAGATTGAAGCTTCTAGAATTCCCAGGATTCTTTGGGAAGGGGGAGCCATTACTGCTTAAAGTGTGATGATACAGCTTTCAATTTATAGTGCAGGTGGTAGTCAGGAAGATGCCATTCTACTCCAACTCCCATGAGCCCACAATCAGAACAGCCAATGGTCAGGGGTGGTGGGAGCTGGAGTGCCACAGCATCTGAAGGAAATCATGTTGGCTGCTCCTGGTACAAGGACATTTTAAGAAACTGTGTGTGGGCTCTCCCTCAAATTCCTCCCCCACCCACTGATCCCAGCACCTCATAGTTCAGAGAAGATTGCTGCCCAATAGCAGGAGCTAGTAAAATTGAATTCAGAGCTCACCTGCCGCCAGTGCTGTGTAAACCCTGCAATAAAGAAAAGATGAAAAGAACAGTTTATGGAGCTGCCAGAGAAGATTCTGGTTCAGGCTGAGCCATTTGAAGCCAATTCTTTCTCTCAAAGAATGACAGGTACTGTAGTTTGTTAAGTGTACCTGGCAATTGTACCCCTCTGAGGGGTTAACTGCACTGCCCAGAATTCACTGAGAGGAGAAATGTGCTTTGAACGTGTTTTAAAGATATTGTGTGCATGCAGCCTAAAACTTGATCAGAAACAAAAAGGAAGAAAACGCTGCATATTACAGCCAGCACGTTCATGGCAGATTCAACCGTCAGTCAGAGGGGTCCTAATTTTGCCTCCGAGGCTGTTTTGCTTACATGACACCAGGTCTGGGACAGATAATTGCACAGCTGACTTTGAACACCCTACACTGCCTGGCTGGTATGGGCAAAAGAAAATTTTTCACCTGGTATCATGCGAACTATGTCCTCCTGTCAGAAATGGCCCATTAGGGGAGGTCAGGATCTGAACCCACTTCTTCACTCTGCTATAATCAATTAAAAATCATAACAACAACAACAACAGCAGCAACAACAACAACACCCATCTGGCTGGGTTTCCCTAGTCACTCCGGGCGGCTCCCAACAGAATATTAAAAACGTGGTAAAACATCAAGCATTAAAAACTTCCCTAAACAGTGCTGGCTTCAGATGTCTTCTAAAAGTCAGATAGTTGTTTATTTCCTTGACATCTGACTGGAGAGTGTTCCACTGGGCAGGCGCCACCACTGAGAAGGCCCTCTGCCTGGTTCCCTGTAACCTCACTTCTCACAGTGAGGGAACTGCCAGAAGGCCCTTGGTGCTCGACCTCAGTGTCCGGGCTGAACGATGGGGGTGGAGATGCTCCTTCAGGTATACAGTGGTACCTCAAGTTACATACACTTCAGGTTACATACGCTTCAGGTTACAGACTCTGCTAACCCAGAAATACTACCTTGGGTTAAGAACATTGCTTCAGGATGAGAACAGAAATCGCGTGGCAGCAGCGCGGCGGCAACAGGGGCCCCATTAGCTAAAGTGGTGCTTCAGGTTAAGAACAGTTTCATGTTAAGAACGGACCTCCGGAATGAATTAAGTTCTTAACCTGAGGTACCACTGTACTGGGCCTCAGGTATGCTGTTAATCAACAGCAGGAGCATTGTTGGGCAATGTAACATTATTTTTACTACAACCTTATTTTTGCAACATTCTTCCTACCGGCAACGGCTGCTGTGCCTTTTCCCTTCCTGGTTCACTGTGGAGGGAAGTCTCCCTGGAGACCCGGAGAACCTCGTTCTTTAGCCAGCTCAGCAGGACCTGCTGCTGTTCGTCAAGAACCTGGTGCATCTCCTTCCACTCCTTGACAATCGTCATCCTCTCCGCTTTGATCTCTCTCTGCCAGAAGAGAAGATTATAGAAAGGGGGACGGTGAGCTTAGGAGAAGATCCCACAGATCAGAGAATCCCTAGGCCTATGAGCGTTGACCAGGCATGCTGGATCAGGCCAAAGACCCATCTAGTCCAGGATCCTGTTCTCACAGTGGCCATCCAGAGCTGCTGTCAGTGCGTGTAGATAATACCTAGCTGGGCGGACCAGTGAACTACAAGGCAGCTGTCTCTGCTTCTGCTGGAGCCCCTGGAAGGACCCTCGTACCTACGGGACCGCCTCTCCTGGTATGTCCCACGGAGGACCTTACAGTCTTCAAACAAAAACACTTTGGAGGTCCCGGGCCACAGAGAGGTTAGGCTGGCCTCAACCAGAGCCAGAGCTTTTTCGGCTGTGGCCCGATCTGGTAGAACGCTCTGTCACAAGAGACCAGGGCCCTGCGGGACTTGACATCTTTCCGCAGGGCCTGCAAGATGGAGCTGTTCCACCAGGCCTTTGGCCAAGGCACAGTCTGACCCCCTCCTTTGGCAATCCTCACAGAACTCTAGCCCAATGGTTGATATTAAACTGATCTGAACTGATTTTAGAATGAATAGATTTTAGAATGCTGTATTATTTTACTGTTGTTAGCCTCTCTGACCCTGGCTTCGGCTGGGGAGGGCGGGATATAAATAAATTATTATTATTATTATTATTATTATTATTATTATTATTATTATCATCTGTTCAACAGCTGGCAGGAACCTCAAGGTGGGATAGCATCCTGATGGGCTGTTGAAAGCGCTCTCAGGTTTGGGAAAGTGGCTGTTTGGGAGAAGTGTGTTGCTTTCAGGGAACTGCAGATTTGCAGGTGTGACTAAGGCAAACTATAACCAATGGTTTTTATTCATGTTTTGGATGATGAAACAAACCATGCTTAAATAAACCACAGTTTGATGAGCCATGGTTTAGCACAGGGGTAGGGGAACAGGATCCAGCCAGTGGCTCAGAGATTGATCTTCCACAGGACATTTTGACAGGTGGCTGGGGCTGCCCACCTTGCCAATCGCCAAAAGGGCTGTAGCTCAGTAGCAGAGCATCTCCTCAGCACACAGAAGGTCCCGGGTTCAAATCCCAGCACCTCCAGAAAGGGCTGGGAATGAACTCCTTGCTTGGAGCCCTGGAGAAATGGTGCCAGTCACTGCAGCCGGACCAATTTGGTTTGATTGACAGAATCATAGAATTGTAAAGTTGGAAGGGACCCCAAGGGTCATCTAGTCCACCCCCCATAATGCAGGAATCTCACCTAAAGCATCCATGACAGCCAGCCAGACTCACTATAAGGCAGCTTCCTATGTCCCCATGAACTCGTGTTATCTGCTCTTAAACCCACTCAAGTCTGTGACCATCACCACATCATGTGGCGGGCAGTTCCATGCATTAATGATTTCTTTCTTTCCCACTCAAGTGGGTGGTTCACAGATACCTACCAGCAGATCTTCGCTTCTCTTTTGCTCCTCGATTTTGATGTCTCCTTCCCTTGCCAGGCGACCCAGGCGATCCTGTAACAAAAGGAATGAAAGCGGGCACCTTTTGAAACATTAAAACCACTCTGACTAAAATAGTCCACTGGGAAAAGACTCTAGCTTCTCACCAGGGTTTATGGCTGGTGAAAGACCTTTTAGCGGATCTTAGTTTCTCCTCCTCCCTCCTAGCCCTTTTTCCTCATATGCTGTGTCATGAAAACATACAAAGAGCTCTAAACTATCAGAACCCGCTCCTAAAGCTCCTTATGCCTGCAACTGTTACCTCACCATGTGGTGGGGAGTTCCACACATTAATGATGGACTGTGTGAAGAAGTTCCTTTCTTTCCTTCTCACTCAAGCAGGTGGCTAACGGATGCATACCTGTAGCTCTTTGCAGCTTTTTTCTTCCTCGATTTTGACGTCTCCCTCTCCTGTCAGGAAAACCAGATGATCCTGTAACAAAAGGGGTGAAAGGAGGCACATTTTGAAACCTTAAAACTGCCGCGATTGAAATAGTACAGAGTTTGCAATGTTTTGCTGTTCTGCGGTGCTTTTGTGATTATCGTGAGCTGCTCTGAACTCAACATTTGTTGCTGGAAAAATTAGAATGGAAAAATCAAATCAAATCAATTCAATCTTTCATTTTTAGAAATTAAGCACACAGGGTGTGGGTGGGTGTAAAGGCAAGTTTGGTGCTGCTGTTGCTTTCACAAGCAAGTTGCTTTCACACATTACGTTTCTAGATGTGTGTTGAAAAGATGTGTGATCACCATCTCAGGACCTTCTCCTTGTGCCCCCTTCCATGAGAGGTCTGGAGGGTGGCAAGAACAGGCCTTTTCAGTGGTGAGCCCATAGCTGTCAGCTTTCCCCTTTTCTTGCGAGGAATCCTATTCGGAATAAGGGAATTTCCCTTAAAAAAGGGAAACGTTGATAGCTATGGGTGAGCCCCCACCCCCAGCCTGTGGTATGTTCTTCCCAGGGAGGTATGCTTGGTGCTATCTTCAGTTACCTTTAAGCAACAGCAAAACCTTTTATCTTTACCCAGAGAGTAGTGGTTAGAGCGTCACACTAAAGCCTGGGAGAACAGGGTTCGAAACCCCATGTGGGCCAGTCACTCACTCTCAGCCTAACCTACCTCTCAGGGTCGTTGTGGGGATTATAGGAGAAGGGGAGAAGCATGCAAGCTACCTTGAGTTCCATGGAGAAAAAGGTGGGATATGAATACAATAAAATAAAATGAAAGGTGGCATTGTGGCCCCTCTTGTGAGGCAGGATCAGTTAGTCTGCCTTTTAATTATAGACTACAGCTGTACTCTTCGTTTGTTTATAACCAGTGCTTTTTTCAGAGAGGGGGGTACACAGGGGTACACATACCCCTAAACATTTTGTGAATCTATGTACTTTTGTTCATTTACTGTATTTATTTTTCCCAATTTGAACTATAAAATGGTGATTTTCTTGAGTCAAAATGAGAGTACAGTGGTACTTCGGGTTACAGATGCTTCAGGTTACAGACACCGCTAACCCAGAAATAGTATCTCGGGTTAAGAACTTTGCTTCAGGATGAGAACAGAAATCGTGCGGCGGCAGCAGGAGGCCCCATTAGCTAAAGTGGTGCTTCAGGTTAAGAACAGTTTCAGGTTAAGAACGGACCTCCAGAACGAATTAAGTTCTTAACCCAAGGTACCACTGTACCCCTAAACATTTTTTTTTTTAGAAAAAAGCACTGCTTATAACAATTAACGTGAGCTGCTTTGAGTCACTCTGTCAGAAAAGCGTCTGACAAATATAATAAATTATAATCTCAGATGTACTCCTAGGAACTAAGGGAGGCTGGTCCTCAGTTTTGCCCTCTAGAAGAGAGGAGGAGGATGGGGACAAACCATTAGAATTACCGTATTTTTTGCACCATAACACTCACTTTTTCCTCCTAGAAAGTAAGGGGAAATGTCTGTGCGTGTTATGGAGGGAATGCCTACGTGTGGCATGCCTACGGATTTTCCTCCTCTAAAAACTACGTGCGTGTTATGGTCGGGTGCGTGTTATAGAGCGAAAAATACGGTAGTTGGCTCTGCTGGTCACTGGCTCTCTGGCGCCGCCTACTGTTGGGCTCCTGGTCTTCCGCCCTACCTGTCCCAAGGGGCACCAGCCACCACTCCTGGGAAGGAAAGAGGAGGCGTTTGGTGGGTCCCTACCTGCGCTTCCTCTGTGTCAGTCATTCTCCTTCCAGGGTTGGGGTTCCAGAGTGAACTAAGGTGGACAACCCGGATCTGCAGCAAAGAGAAGCAGCTGGCAAATTCAGAAGGGGCAGAGATAGACGTGCATTTTCTGAGCAGAGGAGAAACAGAAGTATATGGTATTGGGAGCGACAGAGGAACATGAAATCACAGGGACTGAACCTGGAACCTTCTGCATGCAAAGCAGGTTCTCTGCCACCGATCCACAGCCCTTCCCAAAACAGACAAAGCCTTGACATGACATGAAATTTATTACAGTCAGAGACCAGCTTGAGAAACACAAATGGAACTACAATACCAATAGCAAAACGAACATTTAAAACAATATACAACAATGGATTTTAAGTTTAAAAGTGTGATAGGCATATAAACACATAAAAACTTTAAAACAGGCTACCTTAGAGAAATGACCCAAAGTCACCCGTGGATCCGGGTTTGGGAATTTTCTTAACAAACTAGATTGAATCAGGGGATGGTCTGCGCCTACAGATCTGTGCGCAGAATCTGGCGACAATCTGGGTCGTCTTGTGGTCTTTGCCTAACAGGAGAAGATCGACTTTTTGCTTTACCGGGAGGTCAGCAAGCCTCACCAGCAGGGGGTCAATGGTTTCTCTACGTGCCTCATTGTAAAAGGGACATCTGAAAAATATGTGTTCAGGGCTTCCTATATCCCCCAGGCACAAATTATCTGGACAATGCCTTAAATTTGATAGAGGCTTTCAGGGGTGAGCTCCCTGGCAACTGCTTTCAAGTTTCCCCCTGCTCAGCCCCGGAAGGTGTGCCTTGATGAACGACACCAAGGGCGCCTCTGAGCTTGTGCAAAGTGTTTCTCTGCTCCGTAGCTGTAACGGATTGGAGGCGGAGGGGGATCCACTGAGGCATTTGTGCGTCAAAACCAGATCAGCAAGAGCATCTAATAATTTAAATCTCCCATCGTGGCCTCTTGATGCTCCCCAATCCTTCTGAAATCTGCTCCAAGGCCTGGACGAAGGCAAGGGCAAAGGGACTCTGAGCTCTCCCTGCCTGACCTTCGGTGCCTTTCCCCCCTGGAAAAAAATTCCCCTCTTCCCTCTCCCTCCCTGTATTTCTCTCACCGGATGCAGCATCTTCATGGGAAGCCCAGCCCCTCTTGGTGTTGCATTTCACAACACAGAGAGGCAATTTCAGAAGCAGCACAAAACGCCTCTGGATTTTAGGAAAGGAGAAAATACGAAAAGAGCCCTCTAGCGGCTATTTTGTATAATTTTTTTAACAGGAGGCCCTCTCAGACATCCTTTCTATTCAAGAAATAAGAAGTTGCTGGATCAGGCCAATAATCCATCAAATGCCAACAGTGCCCTTCAGCTCTCTATATTGGACAAACAGGCGAAACCCTACGCCAAAGGATAAACGGACATAAATCTGACATCAGGAATCACAAGACAAAGAAACCAGTAGAACACTTCAGTCTCCCAGGACATTCTATACAAGATCTCAAAGTAGCTGTCTTATTACAAAATAATTTCAGAAATAGACTGGAAAGAGAGTCTGAATAAAGACATTGGATTCTTATCTCATTATACATGATAAAGCTATTTTTAGCCATCTCACCATTTGCTTTTTCCTGTTAAGATCAATTGCAGGCGTTAACAGTCGTCAACAGGTTTACCACACCTATCATCCAATCACCCATTCCCACCACCCTTCTGAGTAATACCCCTTCCCACCCTCTCACTATATAAGGGTCTGGTGACTTCTGTTTCAGTGCATCTGAAGAAGTGTGCATGCACACGAAAGCTCAAACTTAGTTGGTCTCTAAGGTGCTACTAGAAGGATTTTTTAAAATTTTGTTTCAACTACGGCAGACCAACACGGCTACCTACCTGTAAATAATCCAACTGTTCAACTATTCATTTTTATTTTATATCATCATTACCAGCATCATCATCCTGACCTTCTCCTTGTAGTGCCAGTGCAGGTTGGAACAAACATAGTGTTTTAATTTATTGGAAGCTGCTGCCCAGAGTAGCTGGGGTAACCTTATCAGGTGGGCAACATAAATAATAATTTTTGATGATAATAATTGAACTCCCTTATTGTGCAACGGTAAAAATTACATTTCTTGCTCTGCCCATATTGCCTTTGGCCACGCCACCATGGGAAAGTATATCGTTTTCCCTGACTTGTACCTGTATGAACAATTAACTTTTTGCCTGTTCTGTCATTATTAAAACACACAGCTTGCTGTCCATCTAGGGATTTTAAATCAGGGGTAGAAACTTCAGGCTTGAGGCCCAAATGTGCCCCCTTGAACCTCTCTCCCCTTCGCACCAGCTCCTGGAATTATCACATTGGACTCGCTTTCTGCCCTGAAAGGGACAGCCTCAGAATGCAGCCAGTGGGCATTCAGATCTTTCCCAACCCTCGCTAGAAACTGTCTTCTAGGTTTTAACAGGAAGGTTTTAACTTGTATGTGCACACATGATGTTGCAAAATATCTGCCCGTGTTTGTGTGTGAGAGAGACAGAGATCTTGGAAAATATCTGGCCCTGTGTAAGGTAAAAGGTAAAGGACCCCTGGATGGTTAAGTCCAGTCAAATCCAACTATGGGGATGCGGCGCTCATCTCGCTTTCAGGTTGAGGGAGCCAGCATTTGTCTGCAGACAGCTTTCCGGGTCATGTGGCCAGCATGACTAAACCGCTACTGGCGCATGGAGGACCGTGATGTGTGCCAGAGTGCATAGAAACACCGTTTCCCTTCCCGCCGCAGTGGTACCTATTTATCTGCTTGTACTGGCATGCTTTTGAACTGCTAAGTTGGCAGGAGCTGTGACAGAGCAACAGGAGCTCACTCCATCGCGGGGATTCGAACTGCTGACCTTCTGACTGGCAAACCCAAGAGGCTCAGTGGTTTAGACCACAGCGCCACCCGAGCCTGGCCTGGTGTATGGGCACACAAGGGCAGATATTTTGCAAGATCTCTGTCACACACACAGGCAGATGTTTTGCAAGATCACATGCACAAGTACACTGATATTTTGCTTCCTGTAAAAACCATATGTAGGTGAAGCCCTGCGGTTCCCTTAGTTCCCTGATAAGAGGGAGTGACGTTAAGCTACTTTGGAATGGCAGTTCTGGGAGGGCATTAAGCAGGGTCTCCTAACTGTTGGTGAAAGAGGTTTGAAAAAGATTATTATTCTCTCGTAGCAGAGTTAGCACAATGGCCGATTGCTCCAAGTACATTAAAACTTGGATGAGATTTTACATCTGCTCTCATCCGCCTTTAAACGTTGCCCATGAAAATACTTAGATTAGAATACATCACAGACACTTAGCTTTGCAAATAAGGGAATGTTTTACTTTCAAATAAGGGAATATCTTACTTTCAGAGTTTTGGCTGTTACAGTAAACAAGTCCCCATCCATTGGGAGTAAAAGTAAAAGGTGGGGGGATGGTTCCAAATGATTTAAAAAGAAGAAAACTTTGTTTCATTAGAAAAAAGAATCACACAGTCCATCTGTTAGAACAATATGCAGGTTTTAAATGAGCGGGGGAAGGGGGGGAACCATGTATGCCAGCTTGAGCTCCCTGAAGAAGAAGGTGTGATATAAATATATTATGTTCCATAATAATAATAAAACAATGTATGCAGGGCTGCAGGTTCCCCATCCATGGTCCAGAGGAAACTAAGAAGGAATTGTCTGAGAAGGGGAGTGAAATGAGGATGAGAGAAGAACACTGGAAGCTGTAGAGGCAAGGAGAGTGGACCTATTCCATTTTAAATAATCAGCCAGACCTTTCAGCCCTCTTGCTTGAGCCTAGAGCTACAGCACCATTTTATAATGATGGCATCCCATAATGCCATGCACCAACACCCACATACGCCAGTCAACAGCCAACAGTGAACAAAGCCAGCACTGTGCAAAACCACTGTTTATTTAAAATAAGTTTTCCAAATAATTGGGCTGCTCGTGAGCTCTCTCCTGTGTGGAATCTCTGATGTCTGCTAAGATCCAAACTCCCCAGGAAGCTTTTCCCACACTCCGAGCACCTGCAAGACTTCACTTTGGAGTGGGCCCTTCGGTGTGACTTCAGGTTGGAGCTGTTCTGGAAGCTCTTCTCGCACTTGACACACAGGTAGAGCCTCTTGCCCAGGTGGGTCCTCTCATGCGTACACAGGCTTGGCCTCTGGCTGACTTTCCACAGTCCACACATTCGTACGGCTTCTCCGCTGTGTGGTTCTGGCAGTGCGAAGTGAGATCCAGTTTCCAGTCAACGCTTTTCCCACAGTCCAGGCACTTAAAATGGCTGCTTTTCCACTTGGGTCATCTCAAAGGTGCGAGGCACGGCTGAAGCTCTTGTCGCAAACCACACATTTCTACGACTTTTCCTCTGTGTGGGTCCTCTGGTGCACGTTCAGGCCTGGCTTCTGCCTGAAGCTTTTCTCGCAGTGAGGGCACTTGTACGGTTTTTCCCCAGTGTGGGTCCTCTCGTGCACGATGAGATCCGTCCTCCTCCTGAACCCCTTCCCACACTCCGCGCACTTGTACGGTTTTTCCCCCGTGTGGGTCCTCTCGTGCACGATGAGGTCCGGCTTCCTCCTGAAACCCTTCCCACAGTCTGCGCACTTGTACGGCTTCTCTTCTCGGTGGGTACGTCCGTGACTGAGGAGGCCCGACATCTGGCTGAAGCTTTTCCCGCAGTCTGCGCACTTGTACGGCTTCTCGCCCGTGTGGATCCTCTCGTGGATGATGAGCTCCGGCTTCCTTCTGAAGCGCTTCCCGCACTGAGGGCACTTGTATGGCTTCTCCCCCGTGTGGGTCATCAGGTGGACGAGGAGCTCTGAGCTCCGGCAGAAGCTTTTCCCACACTCGGAGCACTTGTACGGCTTCTCTTCCTGGTGAGTCCCTTCATGACCTTTGAGGGCCGACCGCTGACTGAAGCCCTTCCCACAACGCGAGCATTTGAACGGCTTTTCCCCTGTGTGGATTCTCTCGTGTGCGATGAGGTAGGACCGGAAGCCGAAGCTCTTCTCGCAGTGAGAGCATTTGTACGGCTTCTCACGCACGTGGGTTCTCTGGTGGACGGCGAGTTTCGATCTCTGGCAGAAGCTCTTCCCGCAGTCTGCACATTCGTACGGCTTCTCGCCCGTGCGATGTGTGGTGAGGTCTGGCTTCTCATGCATGGCAAGGTGTGCGGTGTAGCTGAAGCCCTTGTCGCACACCACACACTCGTGCAGCTTCTCTGCTGTGTGCGTCCGCTCGTGCGCAATTAAGCCCGACCTCTGGCTGAAGCTTTTCCCGCAATCGGGGCAGCCGTACGGCTTCTCTCCCGTGTGGGTCCTCTCATGCACAATGAGGTCCGCCCTCCTCCTGAACCCTTTCCCGCATTGGAGGCACTTGTATGGCTTTTCCCCCGTGTGGGTCATCTTGTGGACTGTGAGCTCTGAGCTCCGGCGGAAGCTTTTCCCGCACTCGGAACACTTGCACGGCTTCTCTTGCCGGTGGGTCCCTTTGTGACTGACGAGGTTCGACCGCTGGTTGAAGCGCTTCCCGCAATGCGAGCACTTGTACGGCTTCTCCTCCGTGTGGGTCCTCTCGTGCATGATGAGGTTGGAGTGGAAGCGGAAGCTTTTCTCGCAGTGCAAGCATTTGTGTGGCCTTTCGCCCGTGTGGGTTCTCTGGTGCGAAATGAGTCCTGATCTCTGGCAGAAGCTCTTTCCGCAGTCTGCACACTCGTACGGCTTCTCACCGGTGTGGATTCTCTGATGTGTAATAAGGTTTGACTTCTGACTGAAGCATTTCCCGCACTCGGCACACATCCTTTGCTTCTTGATCTGTTGAGTCCTTGGCAGAACTTTGTGCCCATCAAGGTCACAGTCGTTTCCTTTGCAGGGAATAGATTTGTCCTCCTCCCCTTTGTCCAGACACTTCCTCTGCTCTCTTTTTGAGCCATCTTCATCCTCAGAAGTGGCCTTCGGTTCAGGGCACAGAGACCTTTCCTCCGCTGCTCCTTCCGTTGTCCTATCGTTCTGTTCCTGTTGCTCAGTATGATCCATCAGAGGTTTCTCATCCTCCATGTTGCTCACCTGGCCGTCTCCTGCTAGAAATAAGCAAGTTGGATACTGTTCTATGAATGCAGCAAAATCTGATAAATTCTATGATTTCAATCATTGTGGGAAGGGGTTTTAGCTAAGTAGCAGAGCATCTGCTTTGCATATAAGGTCCCAGCTTCAGGCAGGGACTCTCTCTCTGAAACCCATGTAAGCCACTGCCAGTCAAAGTAAACAATACAGTGGTACCTCGGGTTACAGACGCTTCAGGTTACAGACTCCGCTAACCCAGAAATAGTACCTCGGGTTAAGAACTTTGCTTAAGGATGAGAACAGAAATCACACGGCAGCAGCGGGAGGCCCCATTAGCTAAAGTGGTACCTCAGGTTAAGAACAGTTTCAGGTTAAGAACGGACCTCCAGAACGAATTAAGTTCTTAACCCAAGGTACCACTGTACTGAGCCAGATGGGCCAATGGTTTTGAGTCAGGATAAAGCAGTTTCCTGTGTTCCTATCTTCATGAAATTTATTTAAGAATAAAAGAAAATTATTATAAATTAGTTTGGAGATGGTATTTAACACCAGTCAGATTAAATCAAATAAACAATGAATATTCGGTGTTATGTTGGAGGGGATGCCAGGAAACCAGGAATTATATTCACATGTGGTGGGGGTGTAAATAAGAACAATTTTTTTGGCAAAGGGTGTTTAAGGAGATAACAGAAATCACTGGGTTAAAGCCGACCAAAAGTCCAGAGGTAGCATTATTAAACATTTACGATGGGATGGAAGGTTTGCAGGCTATGAAGGACTTGCTCACAAATTTATTGACAGTCGCACAAATTATTATAACTAGGAAGTGGAAGGGGCAAGCAGAATATAAAATGGAAGAATGGCATAAAGAGGTGTAGGATATAGCTATTAACGATAAATTAGCATGTGCCATTAAGGTAAGACAGGGAATATGCAGGAGAAATGATTGTGAGGAGATATGGAAGGTGTTTGTAGAATTTGTACTGTTAAAACAGAAAGGGGTCAAACCATGGCGAGAGTTGTTGAAATTTTGGGAGTTTGGATAGTTACAGTGGAATGGTCTCAGTGGTGGGGTGCACATTTTTATTCTTGTTTATTTATGATTATTACTTTGTCATAATAATAATAATACTGTAGTAATAATAATAATAATAATAATAATAATATAAAAAGAAATTTAAACCTTGCAAGGTTAGAAATGTTGAGCTATAAGAATACTTATATATTATCATCCTTCATTCAGGCAGCAAAACGTGTTGGTCTCTAGTATGTAATTTTATTTTACTTTTAAAGTTAAAGTGTGTATGTACCTCCATTACTCTTCAACTCCAGATGCAGATATCCTGCAGAAAGAAAGAAAAAAAATTAACATCCTTCACAATTTTGTCTTTTTTCTCTTTCTCTCTCAGGGCCCCTTCCAACTGCTGGCGGACTTTCTGGCAATTAAAACACTAATTAGCCGATTCATGCTGTATTCATACTGGACCAACCAGAGGTCATTCTCCTTTACTTGTAGCCCTGTGATGCTTTCCCAACATTACCACAATATTATCATCTGGAGCGACCCTCCTGGGTTTACAGCACCACAAAAGCAGGTCAAATAAATAAACTGGAACATGTGTGGTGTAAAAAGTTACAGGATTCCAGCAGGAAGTTGGGGAACATGCTGACTGGAAACTTCTCAGTAGGTCCGCCCTAAAACGTTTGCAGGCTGAAACAGTATTGAAAGCAAGTATAACCTCCCCAATGTCATCATGAGCCCAAATCATCATGCATGCACAATTTTAAAAGACTTATGGAGAAGCCTTGCCTCTCCATACGTCTGCGGCATGGTGACACCGATGTCACAGACAAACAGTAGACAAGAGTCCTCAGCGTGGCTTAACAATCCCTCTTTGCAGGAACTCTGAGGAGAATGGGGTACCCCAGCAACTCTCAGAACCCTTAACAAACTACACTTCCCAGAATTATTTGAGGGAAGCCATTCTCATTTAAAACAGTATGCTACTACTTTGTACAGTCAAACCTTTGTTCCCAAACGGCTCTGTTTTGGAATGTTTTGGCTCCTGAACACCAAAAACCCGAAGTAAATGCTCCGGTTTTCGAATGTTTTTCAGAAGCCAAACATCCAGGGCGGCTTCTGTTTGAGTGCAGGAAGCTCTTGCAACCAATCGGAAGCCGCACCTTGGTTGTTGGAATATTTCAGAAGCCGAACGGGCTTCTAGAACAGATTACATTTGACAACCGAGGTTTGACTGTATATTTAATTGCAGAAGAGGCCATAGTCCTCTGCATTAATTCCAATAGGTCCACTTTGCATAGGATTAACGTTAGACACAACTGTGCATTTTTTGTTTTCACTTCAACTATACAGTGGTACCTCGGGTTACATACGCTTCAGGTTACATACGCTTCAGGTTACAGACTCCGCAAACCCAGAAATAGTGCCTCGGGTTAAGAACTTTGCTTCAGGATGAGAACAGAAATTGGGCTCCGGACGCACGGCAGCAGCAGGAGGCCCCATTAGCTAAAGTGGTGCTTCAGGTTAAGAACAGTTTCAGGTTAAGAACGGACCTCCAGAACGAATTAAGTACTTAACCCGAGGTACCACTGTATGTCATTGTGGCTTTTCGAAAGATCCTAGCAAATAAAAATCCTTCTTCACCTTTGAATGCCAGCAGTGTTTCCAGCAAAGCAGCCCTTTTGTGGGAGAAATCGCTCAACCTCTGCTGCAGCTCCCCCAAATCTGGCTGTGGTTTCGGGAAGAATGTATTGTCTCTGCAAAGAAAGAAAGAGAGAGAGAGAGAGAGAGAGAGAGAATGTGTCTCTGTTGGAGGAGGAGGAGGCGAAACATCCATGAACTCTTGGATCAGGCCAAAGAGCCCGTCCAGTCCAACACCCTGACATAAGGATAGAACCTTCTAGAATTCATAGGAATCTTTGTGGGAAGGGGAGCCATGACTGTCTTAAGTGACATGATATTGCTTTCAATTTATAGTGCAGGACCCAGGACAGGGATGGCTAAGAATATGTTGTTGTCCAGGGATGATGGCAGCTGGAGTTCAACAGTATTTGGAGGACAAAATGTTGGCTGCTCCTGGTACAAGGACATTTTAAGAAACTGTGTGTGGGCTCTCCCTCAAATTCCTTCCCCCACCCGCTGATCCCAGCACCTCATAGTTCAGAGAAGATTGCTGCCCAATAGGAGGAGCTAGTAAAATTGAATTCAGAGCTCACCTGCGGCCAGTGCTGTGTAAACCCTGCAATAAAGAAAAGATGAAAAGAACAGTTTATGGAGTTGCCAGAAAATATTCTTGCTGTGTTGTGCAAGACAGGCAGGGCCATTTGAAGCTAATTTTTCAAAGAATAATAGACACTGTAGTTTGTTAAGTGTACCTGGTAATTGTAACTCTGTGCAGGGTTAACTTACAGCGCCAGAAATCATTGAGAGGGGAAATGTGCTTTTAAAATGTAGAGGGTATGCAGCCTAGAACAATTAGAAATAATAATAATAATAATAATAATAATAATAATAAGCATATTACAGCCCAAATGTTCATGGCAGATTCAATTGTCAGTTGAAGAGGTCCTAATTTGGCCCCCGAGGCTGTTTTATTCAAGCCACACCCACCTACCCCATATGACACCAGGTGTGGGGCAAGTAAGGACACAGCTGACCTTCAACTTTGCCAGGTGGTTTGGTTACAAACGGTACGGGCAAAAGAAAATGCTTCATCTGATGTCATGATAACTATGTCCACTCGTCAGAAATGGCCCCTTAGGGGAGGTCAGGATCTGAACACATTTCCCCACCCCTGCTATAATCAATGAAAAATCCTTTTAATCAATAATAGGAGCATTGTTGGGCAAGGTAACATTTTTATTATACTAAAAGCTACAAGGAAAACAAATTTATTTTTTCTTCAGAACCATTTTCATCTGCACTTTTTAAGCAATCAAGTAACTGATTAATCAGTGAAAATACATTTACAGTGGTACCTCGGGTTAAGAACTTAAATCGTTCTGGAGGTCTGTTCCTAACATGAAACTGTTCTTAACCTGAAGCACCACTTTAGCTAATGGGGCCTCCTGCCGCCGCTGCACAATTTCTGTTTTCACCCTGAAGCAAAGTTCTTAACCCGAGGCACTATTTCTGGGTTAGCGGAGTCTGTAACCTGAAGTGTCTGTAACCCAAGGTACCACTGTAATTAATTTAATTAAGTTTTAGCTCCCATCAGCCCCAGGTGGCATGATGGGAGTTGTACTCCAGCAACAGTCAGAAGCCCACAGATTCCCAGTTTGCCACTGACTTTCCAAGATGCCACTCTTCCTACCAGTAATGACTGCTGTGCCTTCTTCTCCTTTTCCAGTTCACCGAGGAGGGAAGTCTCCCTGGTGATTCGGACAACCTCCTTCTTTCTGCGGAGAACGTCACCTTCCATGTTATGTAGCCACCTCAGCAGGAGCTGCTGCTGCTCATCGAGAATCTGGTGCATCTCCTTCCACTCCTGGACAATCTTAAGCCTCTCAGCTTCTATTTCTCTCTGTCAGAAGGCAAGATTTAAGAAGTGGGCGGTGAGCCTGGGAGAAAATCCCATAGATCAGAGAATCCATAGCTCTATGAGCTATGACTAGGGACTGCCATAAAAATAATCCTGCTGGATCAGGCCAATGGCCCATCTAGTCCACCATCCTGTTCTCACAGTGGCCAACAAGATGCCTCAGTCAAGAGGCCTCTAAGCAGCACCTGAGCATAACAGCAAATAACCCTTTACTATCATAAACATATATTTACAATATCATGCTCAGGTTTCTCCCTATTAACATTTAGGAAATCTCCTCTGTCCGATTCACTTCAGAAAGATGACACTAACACACACTGTCCTTAGCAGATCCTGAGAAACCTCTCTCAGCAGCCATTCCCCTTCACACACAGAAGCAGAAAGCCAGTTAAAAACGACAGTTACTTGAATAACAGTCACAACAGAATGGAATGCCTCTCTCATGTGACTCACAGTCAGCCAATCACATGAGAGAGCTACAAAGGAAAAAAGAGCCCATGCTAAAAATACACACCAATTCAACAGAAGCAAACATTCCCATTTCAGGCAATTAAACCGTTATCCTTAACAAATATTGCCTCAGAAGTGAAGGTAGAGAACAGCCATCATAGCTAGTAACCATTGGTAGCCTTATCTTTCATAAATTTGTCTGAGCCTCTCTTAAAGATGCTAATCCTCTTCTCAATTGGTAGCCATCTCAATTGGTAGCCTTCACTGCCTCTGGTGGGAGCAACTGCCATAGTTCAACTGTGTGAAGAAACCCTTTGGTTTGTCTGCCCTGCATCTCCCAATGTTCTTTTTGAATGGTCCTGGGTTCTAGTATTATGAGAGAGGAAGAAGAACTGCCTGCTCACGTGGTCTCTGCCCATGCCTTCTCAGTCGTATCTTGACAGCAGTGCTAGCAGTGTGTATTTTACATCACAAATAAAAAGAAAGAAGCTGAGATTCTCAGGATGTAGAATTCTTACTTCACATTTTTTGTTTGTTTAACTGGTATCCCACATTGCCCCTCTAAAAAGACTCAGACAACCTATAGAATGTTCCAGGTTTAACCCCCAGGATCTCCAGGCATGGCTAGTAAAAAATTATTGCCTGAAGCCCTGGTCAGCTGCTCCCATTCAGTGTAGAAAATACTGAGCTAGCAAGACCAGTTTGGTTTGACTTGTTATATGGCAGCTTCCTATGTCCCTGTGAACGGGTGTTATCCACTCTTAAATCCACTCAAGCCTGTGGCCGTCAGGACACCATGTGGCGGGTAGTTCCATGCATTAATGATGCACTGGGTGAAGAAAGAAAGAGAAAGAGTTTGGATTTAATATCCCGCTTTATCACTACCCAAAGGAGTCTCAAAGCGACTCACATTCTCCTTTCCCTTCCTCCCCCACAACAAACACTCTGTGAGGTGAGTGGGGCTGAGAGACTTCAGAGAAGTGTGACTAGCCCAAGGTCACCCAGCAGCTGCATATGGAGGAGCGGAGACGCGAACCCAGTTCACCAGATTACGAGTCTATCGCTCTTAACCACTACACCACACTGGCTCTCCCTGGCTCTCCTCAAGTTCCTTCCATTGTTTTACTTAAGTGAGTGGATTAAGGATGCCTACCGGCAGGTCTTCACTACTCTGCTGATCCTCAGTTTTGATGTCTCCCTCTTTTGTCGGGCAAACCGGATGATCCTGTAACAAAAGGGGTGAAAGGGGGCACATTTTGAAACATTAAAACCTCTCTTGATTAAAATAGCCTCAACTAGCTAGTCCACTGGGGAAAGACTTGAGTTCTCATTTCTGAGCACGGTTTTTGGCGAGTGAAAGATGTTTCAGCGGAGCTTGGTTTCCCCTCCTCCCTCCCAGTCCTTTTTCCTCATATGCTGTGTCATGAGAATGTAAGAAGAGCTCTGCTAGATTTGTCGGATGACCCATCAGACAATTTTAATAAATTACAATTTCTGGTATACTCCGAGTGTGACGTTAACATATGAGAGTGCTGGAGGTGAAATAGTTAAACAAATTACCCAATCAGAACCCAGGGGGGTGGAGTCAGAGGGACTATAAAACCAGCTCTGTGAGGGGCGAAGGGGAGTTCGTTGGGAGGTTGGTTGGAGTGGGAGTGAATTGGGATAGAGTCTGTGGGTAGGTTGAGTTAGTGTAGCAAAATAAACTGAGTCAGGAACAGTTAGGGGCTAGGAAGACAAGTAAATATCTGAGAGGTGGTTTAGTGAGTGAGAGCAGGTAGCGGAAGTTATAGGTCTGGATAGGCACCCCATGATTGTAATTGACCGATACCGTTTATGAAACCACAGGCTTGTCAAACTACAATAAATAAACAGAAGTTTATGTTCCAATTTAACCCTGACTGGACTCTGTATTGTACCAGGTAGGGCCTGGGTGGTGGCAGCGAGAAATAAAGTGGTGGCACAGGGATCAATAGACAGTGAAACGTCCGGGGACCCTGTGTGATTGCCACACCGAGAAAGCAGGGAAGGCTGGTCCATGATTAGGGTAATGAAAGGACTGCCCCATCTACCTCAGTTTGTCCTCAACCTGCTGCTCCCTGCCTGCTTGCCTTCTTAAAAATGAGGCCAGGGGGTGCACTGCTTGTTCCTCCTCCTCCCTCTCAGTTTTGCCTTCATATCAGGGAGGAGGAGGACAGGGATAAACCTAGATTAGTTGGCTCTGCCTGTCATTTGGCTCTGTGTAACCACCTCTTCTTCAGCTCCCTGCCTCCTGCACTACCTGTCCCAGGGGGCACCAGCCACCACTGCTGGAACAAAATGAGAGGGGGGGAGTATCTGTGGGTCCCTACCTGTGCTTCAGCCATTCTCCTTCAAGGGTTGGATCCAGACCAAACTATGACCGGAATCTGCAGCAAGGCAAAGCAGCTGGCAGAGGAGTAAATTCAGATGGGCCAGTGCATTTTCTGAGCAGAGCAGAAACAAAAATATTTGATATTGGAGTTTACAGAAGAACATAAGGAAGATGTCAGGCAGGGAATGTCGGGACTTTCTGCATGCAAGGGCGCTGCTGTACCATTCCAGCAATCTTAGCACCCTGTTCTCTCACCCCACCTGCAAATCCCAGAGAGTTGCATTAATGATGATGATGATGATGATAATAATAATTTATTATTTATTATTTATACCCCGCCCATCTGGCTGGGCTTCCCTAGCCACTCTGGGCAGCTTCCAACAAAATATTAAAATACAGTAATGCATCAAACATTAAAAGCTTCCTTAAACATTGACAAGGTCCTTTTTACTCAGGCCCCAGCTGACTCTGCATCACTGCATAAGGTGCTAACCTCGACTGGCAGATATTTGTACATTTGCTTGCTATATAGCATGTCTCCACTACTACAGAACAAAAAACTGGATCATACCAAAATACAGGCAGCCCAAGCTACGCGTAAAAATAAGCCAACCCAATTTAATCCTCAGTCACCTTGCAGCCTCCCTTTGAAGTTCATGAACAAAGCAGAGAAAAGAATTCATTCACCTTCTCCTCAAACTGTTTATTTTCTCTGCATAAAAAAAGAAATAAAATTAGCTGTACTGAGCTGACTCAGTACAAAGGAGCTTCCTATGTCCTTTTTGCAGCCACTGACACCCTTGATCTTCTGGGATTGTCTATCATTTTCTCCCAACTTTCCTGCAAATGGCCCCTCCCTCCTAAATTCCCCTGTAACTCACCTCTCCCTGCAAGCTGGGAGCTGCAACCCCCACTTTTCCCCCAGGAAAGGGCAAGGTGGGGACAGGAAGTGGCTTCACCAGCTTCTCAAATTGCCTGGTCGATCTAGGCGTGATTGTGTATATCTATCAGCATAACCCTTTGTGAGCCAGTGTGGAGCTTTGTTCTAAATCAGGGGTCAGCAGTCTTTTTCAGCCGTGGTCCACCGTCCCTCAGACCATGCCGTGGGCCGGACTATATTTTGAAAAAAATAAAAATGAACGAATTCCTATGCCCCACAAATAACGCAGAGATGCATTTTAAATAAAAGGACACATTCTACTCATGTAAAAGCACGCTGATTCCTGGACCGTCTGCGGGCCGGATTGAGAGGGTGATTGGGCCGCATCCAGCCCACAGGCCTTAGTTTGCCTAGCAAAGGGACCCCTGACCATTAGGTCCGGTCATGGCCAACTTTGGGGTTGCGGCGCTCATCTCACTTTATTGGCCGAGGGAGCAGGCGTACAGCTTCCAGGTCATGTGGCCAGCATGACTAAGCCGCTTCTGGCGACCCAGAGCAGCACATGGAAATGCCATTTACCTTCCCGCCGGAGCGGTACCTATTTATCTACTTGCACTTTGACGTGCTTTCAAACTGCTAAGTGGGCAGGAGCAGGGACCGAGCAACGGGAGCTCACCCCGTCACGGGGATTCGAACCGCCGACCTTGTGATCGGCAAGTCCTAGGCTCTATGGTTTAACCCACAGCGCCACCCGCATCCCTTAGTTTGCCTACCCCTGTTTAAATCTCTTCATATCTTTAAGCAGATTTGCAAAGCTGCCTTACGCAATGCTAGACCATTGGCCCATCTAGCAAAGTACTGACAGGCACTGACTGGCAGTAGCAGCTCTCCAGGGTTTCAGGCAGCTGTTTTCCCCAGCCATACTTAGTGATCGCAGGGATTGGACCTGGGGCCTTCTGCATGCAAAGCAGTTTCCCTGCCACTGGCCCGCAGCCCTTTCCAAACCAACTGACGCCTTAAATTTGATGGGAGGCTTTCAGGGGATGAGCTCCCTGGCAACTGCTTTCAATTTCTGCCCTGCTCAGACTTGGAACGTGTGCACTGATGAACGACACCAAAGGCGCCTCTGAGCTTGTGCAAAGTGTGTCTCTGCTCAGTAGCTAGAATTGATTGTAGTGAAGCTTCCAAGGCAGAGAATGCTCACACCAGGACCCTCACATTGTCTGGATGTGTCACAACACACTGGGGATCCACATAAGTGTTGTGGGTTAAATCTAGACCCCCTTCCACAACAGCCTCTTGATGCCCCAGCTTCCCCAGCCCCCCTGAAATCTGCTCCAAGGCCTGGATGGAGGCAAAGGCAAGGGACTCTGAACTCTCCCTGCCTGATTTGCTGGTGCAGAACTGAGAAGGTAAGCCAAGGATTGCATTCTTATGGAGGCACTGTGTAAGGTGCTGCCCTCAGTTGGCAGATATTTATACTTCTTTTTTTTTTTTTACGATACAGTGAATTTCCACTAATATAAAGCAAAAATCCCCTTTAAAAATCAAATCACATCAGAGTACAGGCAGTTCAAGCTAATCATCAAGCCAAGAGTAAAAATAACCAAACTGGGAGGCAGGTGCGAACCACCCCAATTTAATCCTTAATCACCTTGCAGTCTCCTTTTTATGTTCATGAACAAAGGAGCAGGAAGAATTCATTCAGCTCCTCTTTAGTCTCCTCCAGCACGCTTGCAATTACCTTGTTCTCCAATGGCCTTCCTAGTCTGTTTCCAGCTTTTGATGTGGTTGCAGAATTGCTATGGTTGGTTTTAACTCTTTTTTTTAATCAATATGCTCCTATAACAAATGGCAAAATGAATGAATTCTTTATATCCCTTTCCGTCTGCTTTCTTTTGCTTAAGCTTTGTCCTCCTCATTTGAACGAGACTTCCATTTTCTGAAGGAAGCCTTCCTGCCTCTAAAAGCTGCCTTGACTCTGATCATCAGCCATGCTGGCATCCTCTTAGCCCTGGTAGTACTTTTCCTGGTCTACATTCAATCAACTTCCAATATCACAGTTTTAAAGAATTTCCAAGCCTCTGGAAAAGATTTGACCATCTTCGCTTGGCCTTTCAACTCCCTTTTTACTACTCTCCTCATTCGGGAGGAAAGTTCCCTCTTTTGAAGTCAAATGTGGCTGTGCTGGCAATTTCCCACTTACATGGTTTGGCTGGCATCCTTCTGTCTTGAGCATGGGTAGGCAAACTAAGGCCCGGGTGCCGGCTGCGGCCCAATCACCTTCTAAATCCGACCCGCGGACGGTCCGGGAATCAGCGTGTTTTTACAGGAGTAGAATGTGTCCTTTTATTTAAAATGCATTTCTGGGTGATTTGTGGGGCCTCCATAAACTGTTCTTTTCATCTTTTCTTTTGTTGCAGGGTTTACACAGCACTGGCCGCAGATGAGCCCTGAATTCAATTTTACTAGCTCCTCCTATTGGGCAGCAATCTTCTCTGAACTATGAGGTGCTGGGATCAGTGGGTGGGGGAAGGAAATTGAGGGAGAGCCCACACACAGTTTCTTAAAATGTCCTTGTACCAGGAGCAGCCAACATTTTGTCCTCCAAATACTGTTGAACTCCAGCTGCCATCATCCCTGGACAACAACATATTCTTAGCCATCCCTGTCCTGGGTCCTGCACTATAAATTGAAAGCAATATCATGTCACTTAAGCCATTTCTCACCTTCTCACCCCTTGCCTTTTCCTGTAAGACCCATTACAGTCGTTAAGAGTCGTCAGCAGGCTCATCTCAGCTATCTGCCAATCTCCCATTCCCACCACCCTTCTGAGTAATACCCCTCCCCACCTTCTCACTATATAGAAGGATCTGGCAACTTCTGTTTCAGTGTATCTGAAGAAGTGTTCTTGCACACGAAAGCTCATACCAAGAACTAACTTAGTTGGTCTTAAAGGTGCTACTGGAAGAATTTTTTTTATTTTGACATGTCACTTAAGACAGTCATGGCTCCCCTTCCCACAAAGATTCCTGTGAATTCTGGAAGCTTCTATCCTTATGTCAGGGTGTTGGACTGGACGGGTTCTTTGGCCTGATCCAAGAGTTCATGGATGTTTCACCTCCTCCTCCTCCTCCAACGGTTTATGGAGTTGCCATAGAATATTCTTGCAAGAAGATCAAACCTATCCATTCTTAAGGAAATCAGCCCTGAGTGCTCACTGGAAGGACAGATCCTGCAGCTGAGGCTCCAATACTTTGGCCACCTCAGGAGAAGAGAAGACTCCCTGGAAAAGACCCTGATGCTGGGAAAGATGGAGGGCACAAGGAGAAGGGGATGGCAGAGCACGAGATGGCTGGATAATGTTCTCGAAGCTACCAGCATGAGTTTGACCAAACTGCGGGAGGCAGTGGAAGACAGGAGTGCCTAGCGTGCTCTGGTCCAGGGGGTCACGAAGAGTCGGACACGACTAAACAACTAAACAACAACAACAGAAACGTTACTTCTTTGCAGCTACCCAACAATTCATTTAGCCAATCTACCTATTTGATTGTCTTCATTATTATGGCTCATTTATTATTGCACCTTTCCTCCAAGGAGCTGAAGGTGTGGGGGTACCGAGCTCTTCCCCAAACCACAACAACCTGCGAGGCAGGTTGGGCGGAGAGGCTGCAACTTCTCAGTTTGAAATCTGGACCGCGCATCTTGGCCTGGGCTGAGCCTTCCCTGCGGCCAGCAGAGGGCTGTCTAAAATCCTCGCCAGGCGAGGGAGCTGGTCGCTTGCTTGCTCCTCTCTCCGTCTCTGATTTCGGCTGAGATGAACGCGGCTTTTCCCAGAACTTTGTTTTGAAGCGGCATCCGGCATCCGCGCCCACCCGCCCGGCAGCCCCCCTTCCCGGCACCCGGGCAATTGAGGAGCGAGGCGCGGCGGCGGCGGCGGCGGCGGCGGCATCTTCTCCCCATCAGCAACAGGGAGCCCACGGAGGAAGGACCCGCTGCGGCAGAAAGGCGTTGAAAAAGTCTGGGAAGGGTAAGTGTGAAGGGGGGGAAAGCAAAGATCTGAAGATCTGATTTGTTATGCTGAACGGGCAGACCGTGGTGCTCGCCGCAGCCTATTGTTCAGTTCAGCTTGCAATGCAGTCCTTTGCATTTTTACCCAGAAGTAAATCCTACCGAGTTCAATAGGACGTACTTTCTGGTATGTGCCCGATCATTCTTGCAGCTTATCATCATCATCAACAACAGCAACAATAATAATATCTTTTCCCCTGGCAGATGTAAAGTGGCTTACAGCTAAAATAGAAAGAGCGAAAAAGATTAGGGGGGGGGGGAGGGAAACAAGCATTTGAAAGCAATTAATCACTAACAGAATATCTTTCTATCTCTCTATCTGATCTATTAAAACATACCGATCATTGAAATAAAAACATCACAGCACCAACCCTTTCCTTAAAATAAGTCAGTTTCCCTGAAAGCCTGCTGGAACAAGAGAGGCAGTCTAATTTTAAGAGGCTTAATCCAAAATGAAAAGACTCTGCGGTTCTACGAAACACCCCAAAAGTAATAAAAACATTTAGTAATCCTGCTGTTCTCCTTCAAGGAAAAAGGAAGTTCTGCGAACATGTTTCACAATAACTGAATTTTGATTTTAAACCTAAATGGCACAAGCTTTCTGTCTTTCCTGGAGAGAAACCGCCTAATAATACTCCCCCCACCCACCCCTGTTGAGGATGCTGTTCAAATATTAAACTATTACTGTACTATCCATTGTAAAAGTTGCTTCATGTCACTCAGCCTTTAGGATTCACAGCAGAAACCTATGCATGCTTACTCAGAGGTCAGTCTCACTATGTTCATTTGGGCTTACTCACAGGTAAGTGTTCATAGGATTGCAGATGGAGCTGCCTTCCCAGGCCCAGGGTCTCCGTAAAATTAATCTCAAGACTGGGCATTGGATACAACTTATCTTTGTGTGTACATATGTTGATATGTACATACTGCAAGGCAACACGCAATTAATTATCAAATTGTTAGCTAGCACTTTCTCTTATTTATGTATTTATTGGGTTTAAATTTCATTTATTTATTTGAAGCGTCTGAACAAATTATCCTACTTGTAAGCAAAAATTTAAAAAATAAAAATAAAAAAAGGTTCTCCAGCAGCTTGCAAATAGAAATTAAATCAGCTTACAAATTAAGTCAGCTTACAAATCCAACAGACATGACACAAAAGGAAAAACAGGACTGGGAGGGAAGAGGAAAAACACAACTCAGGCACTAGGTCTTAGTTATGGAGTTGTTGCAATGGCCAGCTGGAATGGAGGAATTGGTGGGGAGGAGCCAAAACTTGTTAAGTCTTTCAGCAGAGCCAGTGGGGAAACAGAATTGATAAGAATTGAAATTAGGGTTCTTTTTCTTTCTTTCTTTTTGCATGTAAGGCTTATGGCTAGGGCTGGTGAGAGTTGTTCGACAACACATGGAAGGCACCACGTTGGGTAGTCCTACCGTAGGTGCCAACTCCCTGGGGCCCTGTGTGCCCAAGCACCCACAAAATTCCCCATGAAGGGGCTGGGCACCCACAAATTTCAGTGTCAGGGCCATGCACGCTGCATGGCACCCACAGCCCCGGGCACCCACAGTTGCGGGGCCAAGCTGGCACTCCCGAGCCCTAGTATGGAATCATTTAGGTTTTAGATGTCGTTCTGCTGTTTTTTAAGATACGTGTTATTTATTGTTTTAAGTTGCTTTGAGTTACTTCGTTAAAACACCCCCCCCACAAAACTACTGTAATACGTTTAATCAATAACAATATAAAGGGGTACAGGCTTTACTTCAGTGGCAAACTACACAATTTTCATGCAAAATGTCCCAGGGATCTGCCTGTAGGGTAGGAATTTTCCCCTGCCTGAAAGCTTGGAGTGCAGGCAGACCACACCGATAATTGCTTTATCAAGCTTTGTTTTTCAATTCCTTCTCTGTTCTTCTTTCTTCCGGACAGGCGGCGGAGGCATCTGGTCCATATTTCTCCCCAGAGATCCTGTTGACTTTTGCAGCAAGATGGAAGGTGATGCAACTTGGGTAAGAGAGCATTAAAATGAGCAGGCAACAAATTTATTTATTTATCTACCTATTTATTATATCTCACTTTTCCCCCAAGCAGCTGCATACACAGTTCTTCCCCTGTCACCCGCTATTTAATCCCCACGATGACCCTGTGAGGTATGTTTTGGCTGAGAGGCAGTGACTGGCTCAAGATCACCCAGTGAGCTGTGCGGGGATTTGAATTCTGGTCTCTCAGATCCTGGTCCAACATTCTAACCTGGCGTTTCTCAGTCTTGGGTCCCACAATGCTGTTGGACTACAACTCCCATCATTCCTAGCCAGCATGGCTATAAAGTGGTACCTCGGGTTACATACGCTTCAGGTTACAGACTCCGCTAACTCAGAAATATTACCTCGGGTTAAGAACTTTGCTTCAGGATGAGAACAGAAATCGTGCTCTGGCAGCGCGACGGCAGCAGGAGGCCCCATTAGCTAAAGTGGTACTTCAGGTTAAGAACAGTTTCAGGTTAAGAACGGACCTCCAGAATGAATTAAGTACTTAACCCGAGGTGCCACTGTACAAATGTAAGGGATATAATAAATGTATAAAAGATGGGATATAAATGTAACAAATAAATAAAAAAAAAGAATCCTGGGAAGTGCAGTTTACCCCTAACAGAGCTACAATTCCCAGCACCCTCTTAACAAGCTAAAGTTCCTAGGATTCTTTGGGGGGAATCATGCACTTTAAATGTGTGGTTGCGGCCTGAGAATTCCAGTTTTATTCTGCCTGTCAACAAATGACCAGGGAGGCGGGAAGCCTCAGCCAGCTGCTCCTGCTGATGCAACCCTTGCATGTCTCAGAGGCGAAGGTTAAAACACTTGTTTTTGTCCGTTCAAAGAAGAAAGGACTGAGGAAAGCACAGCTGGCGCATGGTTTTTCTGCCTCTCAAGGAAAGGATACATCTCCTTTCGCTCTGCCTTTTCAGACAGAAAGGATCAGTCTTGCTGCTGAGAGGAAGCCAGGCTGAGCAAGGAAGTGAGTTGCAGGAGGAGTTACCTATTAATATTAGTATTATTATTAATTAAATTTGTATGCTGCTCTTTATCCAAAGATCACATAAAAGTCCACATAAAAATAAAAAATGAGAACACAAAATCCTAATAAAACAAAAGCAAACCAATTACCCCCTCCCACATTTAAGAGGCTATAGAAGAGTGGTTCCCAATTAGCTAAGGACCGTGGGCCTCCTGTTTTTCATGGACCCCCTACTTTTGAAAATTTAGATATCTCTGTGGTAGTTTTTGTTATGGGAAACACTGGCCTGCGAGAGCTCCAATTGGAGAACAGCCTTTACCAAAGATGTCATGGGCTTTGAAGAAGCTTGAACTCAGGATGAAAGCAAGAAGCGTGCTAAGAGAGCCAGTGTGGTGTAATGGTTAAGAGCAGTAGATTCGTAATCTGGGGAACCGGGTTCGCGTCTCCACTCCTCTACATGCAGCTGCTGGGTGACCTTGGGCTAGTCACACTTCTTTGAAGTCTCTCAGCCCCACTCACCTCACAGAGTGTTTGTTGTGGGGGAGGAAGGGAAAGGAGAATGTTAGCCGCTTTGAGACCCTAGGGTAGTGATAAAGCGGGATATCAAATCCAAACTCTTCTTCTTCTTCTAAGAGGAAGGCATGTTTGGCAAATCCTCACCATGATCAACTTCCATCTGGAAACCTATGTCCCCACTGTGGAAAAATGTGCGGATCCAGAACTGGCCTCCACAGTCACTTACAGTCTCACTGTTAAGACTGTGTTCATGAAAGACAATCTTACTCGGCTACGAGTGATCGCCAGAGAAGAAGAAAAATAGATGATCTTGGGAAACCCACTAGTGAGACACAGAGAAATAGCCCTTTCCCCCCACAGCACAGCACCTGGTGGTCAGTGGCATACTGACCCTTTAAAGACGAAGATGCTAAATATTCTCTCATTTGCTAAGGCGATTCTTCTAGAATCCATTGCAAATATCCAAAGGTATTTTCAGCTTCCTAGTAGAATTTGAGAGCTGCTCAATGAGCTAGTTTGAGCGCTTGTTTCTGTTTACATGGACAAGCTCCACAATATATTGTTTGTGGTCCTTGGAATTTAAAAGAAAGGTTTTAAGGAAACTGTGAAGGTTCAAGACCTTTATGTGTGCCCTAGTTTGGATTATCTGTGTTATTTCATATGAAAACCATTACTCCCTTCTTTCAGATATCTCTTGAAGACTTTCCTATTTAGGCTGCCCTTTGCAAGATAAATTTTCTTTGTAATCCAATCAGTTATGTTGATGCTTTAATGATGATGACTTTTGTGGATATATTTGTTGATTTTGTTTTTATATTTTGTCTTCTGCCTTGTTATTACATTTCTTATGAAAGTGTAGCTTGCAAATTGGTAAATAAATAAACAAAACTTAATTAAAAAGCAACCCTATACTTCTATTGGGATATATGTGGGAATGTTCCTTAATTAAAATGATCATAGCCTCCCTCCCTCCACCCCTGTACCTTTAGGTGCTGCAGGACAGCGTGAATGACAAGAGAGAAGAAATCAAAGCACAACGTCGAAGAAAAAGTGAGGATTTGCTGGTAAGCAGATGAGGATGGAAATTTTTTAAATGATGCCCAGAAATTTGCTAATCCCTTTGCCTGAATCCAGTTTGGATGCAGAGGGCACTTTAGTGATCTGAAAAGTGCTGAAAATTGGGCAAAGGGGAGGCAGATTATTACTTTCATGGGGACTTCTTAACAGCCATATACTTTTCTGCCACTACTGTGGCCTAGTTCAGCGCCCCTCAGAATTGACACTGTCCTGGCATGGCGTCATTCCAGGGCATTTGGAGCATGTGGTGGAAAAACAGAGGGTGTCGGGTTGATGTTGAGCAAGCAAAACAGTTGTAACAGCTTGCCAGAGTACAGCTCCCATGATACCTGGCTGTTGGCCAGGCTTGTTAGGCTTGGTGGGAGTTGTAGTTTGGCACTTGCAGAAGGTGTTAGGGTTTCCGCACCCTCAAATTAAGGGATTGTGTGTGTATGTGTTTTATGGATGAGATTTTTGTGTCCTCTCCAAGCCTGGGGTTTTATATCAGTGAGATGGGATCCTGAAGTCTTCTTTTTCTTTGGCAATCACTCGTAGTCGAGTAAGATTGTCTTCCATGAGCATGGTTTTAATGGTGTGTCTGTAAGTGACTGTGGAGGCCAGTTCTGGATCCACACGTCCTTCCACAGTGGGGACATAGGTTTCCGGGCAGGAGTTGATCATGGTGAGGGTTTGCCAAACATGCCTTCCTCTTAGCACGTTTCTCCCTTTTGTCCTGAGTTTGAGCCACTTCAGAGCCCATAACACCTTTCGTAAAGGCTGTTCTCCAGCTGGAGCGCTCACAGGCCAGTGTTTCCCAGTTGTTGGTGTTTAGCTTACATTTTCTATTTGCCTTGAGAGCATCTTTAAACCTCTTTTGTTGTCCACTGGCATTTCGCTTTCCATTTTTAAGTTCAGAATAGAGTACAGGTATGGGGAAACCTCAGTGCTGTGGGTGGGGAATAATGCTGTCTCCCAGGTGTCTCAGGCCTGTGTCTACATCCATTTAGGGCTCTGTTTTGCCCCTTCCTCTACTAATTTTGTGTGGCTGGAATGTGCCCTTGAGCCCTAATGGAGGATGGAGAGGCCTGGAAGGCTTAACACTGGTATGCGGAGCCCCTCTTCACAATCACTGAAGTGGTCAAACCAGTCTCTTTGTGTTAAACCAGTCTCTTTGTTAAGTTAATGGCCTTAGGGAAGCCTTGAACAGCATTTTTTGTTAAAGGGGATTAAAGAGTTGGCCTGGTACAGGTGTGTTGCCATAGAAACGGCTAGCCTCAGATGCTTTTCAGGAGGAGTGCACAGGCCTTCCCTCCCGCACCACACCTGGCTAGAGGGTAGGAGAACAATAGGCGATGAGCCAGGAAACCTAATGCAGTGGGGGGGGTGACATCTTTTGTGGTGCTAATGTCATGAGCCCTATAACACAAAGGCTGCATACACACCATACATTTAAAGCAAACGGCTGCTCCCGAAGAATCCTGGGAACTGTAGTTTGCCCCACACGGATCTGCCTTTCCCAGCACCCTTAACAAGCTACAGTTTCTAGGGTTGGTTGTTTGGGGAAGGGTGTGGAGAATGTGCTTTAAAAGTGTGGGGTGTACGTAGCCGAAGACACCACCAATGGCCTTCGTTCCAAGGAAACGGATCCGAGGTATGCGGTGGTACCCCTTAAACCTCTCACCACTCAGAGACATAGCTGTCAACCTTCCCTTTTTTGGCGGGAAATTCCCTTATTCCAGCGCCATTTCCTGCTGCTATCCCGGATTGTTAGATATCCCGTAGACTGTCTCCGGGACAGGTGAGGCTGCTGATCCCTTATTTTCGAGGCTGCTGACCCCTTATTTTCAAATCTGAAAGTTGACAGCTATGCTTAGAGATTGGCCACACGCAGCAAAACTGAGCCAACTGACTGTGCCGCTCACTCTGGCACACTCCCGCTGCGGGTGTTTGAAGCCAAGTACATGTGACATTGGCCACCATCTGTAGGTATCTGGTAGCTATTGTGAGAAATACTCTTGTATGGTGAGCTTTCCCTCAAACCAGCTTCCGTCCAGCTGCGGTTAAGCTGAGGTGTGCACAGTTCAGGAAGCCATTGAGCATGTGCAGATGGCAGCTTCAGTGAACTGGATTTTAGGGCAGGGAAGCCTGAAATCAGGCAAGGGGCATCAGCTGAAGACATCCCCAACCCCTCTGTGATGTGCACAGCAACTTTTCCCTTCACAGTGCTACAATTCTTAGAGTTTCCTGTGAAAGGGGATTGATTGTTAAACCACTCTGAGAATTGTAGCCCAGTGAGAAGAACTCTCAGCACCTTTAAAAGACTTTGGCTCCTATAATTCTTTGTGGGAAGCCATGACGGTTTAAAGTATCACAGTGCTTTCAAAGTATGGCGTGAGTATGGTCAAAGAAACATCACATAGGAGGGGGCAATTTCCACCCTTTGTGGCAGCAGATTTCGGGGGGGGGACGACGACGACGACTTTTTGGACCTCTGTCAGGCTCATGGTCGCCATTTTGGATTTTTGAAACCCCAATTGGCCATTGCCAGCCTCATGTAATTTAGAATCACAGAAATTTAGAGTTGGAAGGAATCCCAAGGATCATCTAGTCAAACCGCCTACAGACACAGGAACTTCAAGAGGTTCAATGAATTTTAGCACTCTCCTCGGTTTTGCAGAAGTCCTCATTGAAGAACAAAAGGGGAGGGGGTTCCCTTTCTTTTGATCCTGGGAAAAAAATTCATAAAGTTAAAATATCACCCCCTCCCCTCAATAAGGCTGGGCTAAGCTTTCGGTGGTTTGCTTGCTTGACTAATCTGTGGAACAGGAGTTGCCAACTTTTCTGGGCCAGTGGGCACATTTGGGGTTTTGAGAAAGTGCTGGAGGTGCCTTTCACAAAATGGCTGCTGCATGACACAAAATGGCCAACACATCTAAAAGAACAGGGGGAAAAAGGCAGGAACACAAAATGGCATGGCATTTCTTCTCCCCATCCCACAAATTATTGGGAAAAAGAGAGGAACCTATAGCAGCTAAGGTTGTGCTTGCTCACAGGGACTTCTTTACTCAAAACCAGGAAGAGAGTGTCCAAGTCTTGGCAACCATTGGAGCAGGCTCACATTTAAGGGAGTGTGTTCAATGTAGTGGAGGCCAAGCCAGTGAAGCACAAACTGAGCAGTATTGTGGGTTTTTTGAGAGGATATTTAGGTGCTTTAGGTGGTGTTAGTGAGTACACTGATAGCCCCAAATTGGTCAACCCCAATAGGGAGAGTGTGACGCCACAATGATTTTCCCCCTATGAATTGCAGAGGGAGACAGAAGCTGAGAGGAAGAACATAATCCGGGAGTGGGAAGAGCTGCGAAGGTTTGTCGAAGACCAAGAAAAACTCGTGTTGAGGAGGCTGCAAAAGCTGGACAATGACATTGTTAGGAGGAGAGATGAGAGAGTTTGGGAAGGTTCTGAGCAAGCAACATTTCATGAAAGCAGAGAAAGCAACCAGAATCCACTTGTGAAGGTGGGGAATCCCTGTCTTATTTCATTCCATTTGTATCCTGCCTTTCCTCGAAGTCAAGGTGGCACACGTGGTTCTCCCCTCGTTTTAGCCTCACAACAACCCTCCGATGTGGTTTAGGCTGAGAGATGGCAACTGACTTTAGGTCACCCAACAAGCTTCATGGCCAATTGGGGATTGAGCTTTTGTCTCCCAGGCACCCTAACCACTATGCCACACTGTGCCAAGGAAAAGTCAAAAGTTTTAAACAGTGCAATTCTTTATGTGTCTTCTCAGATGCAAGCACCATTGAATTCAATGGGGCTTACACCCAAGTAAGTGAGCATAGGGTTGCAGCCATATTGGATTAATTGGCTCAGTGGTGACACCCCCCCCCTTTTCTCTCTCCCTCTATAGAAAAAATAATAGAGGATGAACTACTTGTTGCTGTGTACTTAATTAAAACTGGAAGCCACGTATCTATTTATTTTTTAAAAATAAATATTTTGTTTTATTGAAGTTTTTAGAAGATAGATGCAAACCAAAATAAGAGAATAAAAAAACCAGCTATGTTCATTTTTATGGGGAAAGTTACAGGAAGGGGTTAACCAGAATGATACAGATGCCTGATTCATGTCTTCTCTCCCCGCTTTCTCTTTTTTCCTGCAGAGCATCAGAACGGCTGAAAGCAGGTATGTTTTGCCTAATACTTATCTTTCAATGTGTTAAACTACTTTGGAACTGCCTTGGACAATGTTGTAGATAGAAGTGGAACTAGAACAAGGGGGTGAAGTCCATTTCCCTAAATTCCTTTATCATTATCAAAAGGTCCCATCCTCTGGGGATATTGAGGAGCGGGGTGGTTCACTGCAAAATATTTCTACAGCCAGTCCAGGAAGCACTGCTGCCTGTCAAAACAATTAGTATGCCCCAAATGCTTTATCACATTTCATATAGGGGCTCTGATTGGTTGGGGTCTCTGGTTGGGATCACTCAAGAAGAACGAAGCAGGAAATAAATGACATCAAAAGAGCCACAGGGAGACAAAATTGTATGGGAAAGTGGTATAGGAAAAGTAGGGTTAAAGGGGTTTAGGGGTGTTCAGCTCCAGGAAGTTGCTAATTACAAGATGACAATAAATCAGGAGAACTTTTGCAACAATACTAAGTGGGAACAATTATTGACTTACTGTCTCTTCATCAGGAAGAATGGGGCATTTCCTGAGTTCGAAAGCGGTTTTCTAGAACTGGAACAGAGGATAAGGCATTTTTCAGAGAAGAGGATGGTATTGCAAGAGGTGCTACTGGCATTTAAAGGTGAGGTCAGCCTGCTGGAGTCTGAATTAAAAGAGTTGATATCCACACAGGGTATTAATTCAATAAAACGATTATGAAATCTCATACCCTCCAACATTTCTCTGATGAAAATAGGGACGTCCCATTCCATAATGATAATCTCACTATTTATACCTCACACATATTATTGTGTTGCCCCAGGACCTTGGGCAGCTTCCAACATGTATAAAAATATAATAAAACATTAAACATTTAAAAAACTTCCTATACAGGATTGCCTTTAGACAGCTTGGGGTTTGGATAACTCCATACTCTCCAACATTTTTCCAATGAAAATAGGGACATCCTAAGGAAAAGTGGGACATTCAGAAACCAGCATGGCTTCTCTAAATCAGGGGTGTCCCTGGAAAATAGGGTCACATGGAGAGTATGAAATCTTCAGGTGGAATTCTGTCTTGAAATTCACATTTTCGGCTCAAAGTAATTCTGCCTCTACTTTTGGATTTTTGCTGATTTTGCTCATGAGATCATACGTTTGACGTTTGCAGTTGTAGCCCTCAAATATTTTTGCACAGGTGCATTTTGCTTACGCTTGTACTGCATCGTGCATTTTGTAGGCTTATGGCTGCGTAAACAGGGAACTGAATGTTTACAGATTTTTAAATGGGCCTTGCTGAAAGGCTGTCACAGGATTCAGGATTACAGAAGGTCAGCATGAGAGGAATATAACATCTTGAGAATAGTATTCGTATTGCACCATCTTTAAAGAACAATGACATTAATGTACAACAGTGGATTAAGCGGCATGGATTTGAGAGAAGGAGATCCCATTGAGTAGATGCACTCCAGTATTGCACATACAAAAATTTGGCAGACTCTTATGTACATATATGTCTCCCTGCTCTCCCCCTTTAAGGTTTTGGCAATAAGAAGCAATTCTCTAAGTGCCAATCTGTGGGACCCCAAGGTTTGCAGAAGTGTCAAGATGCCATTAGAAAAAGAGCCCTAAGGGGAAGACGAAATCTTCCCAAACAGCCCAATGAAAATAGAGCATGTTCAGTGGCCACTGAACACTGACTGGCTGTTGGGGGAGGGGATGGAATGGAGTATCCTGAAAAAGGCCTAGCTGAAACTCGAAAAACAAGAGCAATCCACCCTGCAAAATTTTGTTGCAAGTTCCATGGGTAAGGACCAAACATGGGGGAGGGTTATTATCTTTCCCATTCTTTCTTTCCTCAGAGATTTTGCAGCTGGAGCTGGGGAACGATGCAGACCCATCTTTCTTATCTGGTAAGGCAGCATGAATATTTCCAAATGGCCTAAGGCTTGTAGATTTTGACAGTACTAGGCTTGAAGGATCATCTAGTCTTGAGATGGTACGAGGCAGCTTTTTAAATTCCTGGGTGGATGTTAAACCTCAGATTATAAATTTAGTAGTCTCAGAGCCAATCTATATATACAGTGGTACCTCGGGTTACATACGCTTCAGGTTACAGACTCTGCTAACCCAGAAATAGTGCTTCAGGTTAAGAACTTTGCTTCAGGATGAGAACAGAAATCGTGCTCCGGCAGCGTGGCGGCAGCAGGAGGCCCCATTAACTAAAGTGGTGCTTCAGGTTAAGAACAGTTTCAGATTAAGAACAGACCTCCGGAACAAATTAAGTACTTAACCCGACGTACCACTGTATAGTTATGTATGCCAACAGTCTGCTATCAGTGTATATAGCACCTTCCAGACTTCTACAATCAAACCGGATTCAGCTCTGTCAACTGGAGGCTGAGGTAGCGTTAGCAGCTAGAAATGCCAAGACAGGTGGCATTTTTCCATCTCCACTTTTAACTTTTGCGTGTTTTAAAGTATGGCTGTGGATTTTTCCTCAATTTTATGTTTTTGTAAATTGCTTTGAAGTTGTTGGGTTTCTTTTTTTTACAAACAAGCAGTGTATAAATTGTATGAAATAAATAAGATGAATAAATGTGGGCTGGTCTCTGCCCTCAAGGAGCCTACAATAGAAAATCAGCGGTGGACAAAAGTACAGTGGGAGATGGAGAAATAAGGGTAGGAATGGATGAGTGCAAGCAATTGCTATTGAATGTACATTTTATTTTTAATCAAGCAGGATTCTGATCGCTTTAAATTGAGCAATCAAAAATAAAATCAGCCACTTAAGAACAATTATGCATAATGAAATTTGATTTTAAAATGACATCAAATTGCATCTGCCAAGGGTCAATGAATAAGGGGTTAAGCCAATGGCTTTGCATTGGCTTTTGATTGACTATTGTTCATTGAGGGGATTGATTATATTCTTAAAATTTGCTAAGAAGAGCATGTGGAACATCTTTCCGGAGACTGTGCAAGTTGCAAACAAAGGTATTGGTGGTGGGAAATCACAAGCTGGAATGCTCCGTAATGTCAAAAAATCTCCCTGCACATAGAAAGTTAGTATCTCAGGGAAAAGGCTGGGGAAATGGTCACAGGGGACTATACCTCCTTGGGGAGCTCCATTCCATAGGATTTCTTTTGATACTTGTTTCTGCTATTTCATGAACTGGATTTCCTGCTGGTTGGGTTCTTCCTGCCCAATGGCAGCAGGTGGGGAACCTCAGGCCCCAGAGACCAAACATGACTGTCCAGGCTTTGCTGTCCAGCCCTTGGAACTCTTTCCTAGCCATACCCCTGACCGGCCTGGCTTCGCACCCTCCTTGGGAGTTCTTGCCTGGCTGGAACGTGCCCTTCAATGTTTCTTCTTTGCTCAGATGGAAGAAAGAGAGAGTTGTGTGTGTGGAAACCACATTGGTGTACAAAGGTAAAAATTTGCATTTGTTGCTCCACCCACTTTTGCCTCTGGCTCTTGGAAGATTGCTCAGTAAAGGTTCCTAACCTCTCTGCCCCGTGATGTTTTAATTGTACTGTTTCATGTTGCTGTTTTAATGGGCTTCATTTTCCTCTCTCTGTGCAAGCTGCCTTGAGAGACCATTGAAATGGGTGTATTGCTGAGTAGAGAAATGAATGAATAGACAATGATATGCAACAGACATCTGAAAAATCACCCTCTCTTTCCCCAGGGTGCCAAGGAAGGTCATCATTCTACTCCAGATTTCTACATCTTCACAGAAGATGTGGAGGAAAAATAGAGCTGGTTCAGGTAAAGGGATTTGCAAATATGTCTGGTCTCGTGTCCTGTTCTCAACCAGCTGAGTATGGGAAGCCGCCAAGCAGGACTTGAGCACAATAGCTCCCCTGCAATTTCCAGCAGCTGGTGTTCAGAAATCTACTACCTTTGACCATGGAAGCAGACGATCGCAATCATGGCTAGTAGCCATTGATTGTCTTAACCTCCATGAATGGCAGCAGGGGAGAGACTAACAACAACAACAATTTTATTTATTTATTTATACATACATACATACATACCCCACCCATCTGGCTGGGTTTTCCCAGCAACTCTGGGCGGCTCCCAACACAACATTATCAATAATAATTATTAAAAAGCAATAAAACATCAAACATTAAAAACTTCCCTAAACAGGGCTGCCTTCAGATGTCTTCTAAAAATCAGATAGTTGTTTATTTCCTTGACATCTGATGGGAGGGAGTTCCACAAGGCAGGTGCCACTACCGAGAAGGCCCTCTGCCTGGTTCTCTGTAACCTCACTTCTTGCAATGAGGGAACTGCCAGAAGGCCCTCGGAGCTGGACCTCAGTGTCTGGGCAGAATGATGGGGGGTGGAGATGCTCCTTCAGGTATACTGGGCCAAGAACGTTTAGGGCTTTAAAGGTCAGCATCAACACTTTGAATTGTGCTCGAAAATGTACTGGGAGCCAATGTATGCCTTTTTCAAGACCAGTGTTATGTGGTCTCGGCAGCCACTCCCAGTCACCCATCTAGCTAACGCATTCTGGATTAGTTGTAGTTTCCGGGTCACCTTCAAAGGTAGCCCCACATAGAGCGCGTTGCAGTAGTCCAAGCAGGAGATAACCAGAGCATGCACCACTCTTGTGAGACAGTTCACGGACAGGTAGCGTCTCAGCTTGCATACCAGATAGAGCAGGTACACAGCTGCCCTAGACACAGAATTGACCTGCGCCTCCATGGACAGCTGAGAGTCCAAAATGACTCCCAGGGACAAGGTGATCCCTTAAGTTACCTAGTTCTGAGCCATTAAGGTTTTATAAACCAATAGTTTATAAAATCAATGCTTTTAAATTATGGTGCTGGAGGAGAGACTTGAGAGTCCCATGGACTGCTAGAAAATCAAACCTATCCATTCTGAAGGGAATCAGCCTTGAGTGCTCACTGGAAGGACAGATCCTGCAGCTGAGGCTCCAATACTTTGGCCACCTCATGAGAAGAGAAGACTAAACAACAACAACGAATCAATAGTATCACCTTGAACTTGGACCAGTAATGAAATGGCAGCTGGTGCAACCATGATATGATTGTGATACATAGTGTTCTGCTTGACCACAAGCCGAAAGGCCTCTGCATCTCTTCAGAGGTGCCGTCTTCCTTGATGCTTCACATGTCATTGGAAGGAAGAGCGCCATGTGTCAACAAGCAAGGCAGAAGTGGCCCTGTGTTCCTTCATCCTTGTTGACTGTCTTTTGTGTTTCAGGAACCTGTGTCATTCGAGGAGATAGCTGTACATTTCACTGAAGGTGAATGGGCTCTCCTGGACCCCCCTCAGAGAGCCTTATACAGGGATGTCATGCAGGAGAACTATGAAAATGTGACCTCTTTAGGTAAGAATTCCTTTATCTTCTATTTTGAGTGTGGAGTGTGTGCATCATTGAACCCAGTTGATCCCCTCCTGGTGTTATGGGATTCAAGAAAGTTTGCATGGGTTTGTTTATTTCCAAGTGCCTTCAGACCATACCTTGAGACCATGCTTACCCCTTCCAAATGTTTTTATCCCCCTCGCTCTCTATTCACACAGCTGCTTCTTTGTCTACCTGCACCTTTGATGCTGTTTTTCTTTTTTAAAACAAGGGCTTCATGGGAAGGCAATCACAGCCAATCAGAAATCACACAGGTAGCATAAGAACAAATTCATTCTGGCTACACAGTGGCATTATGAAGCCAAATCAAAGCTAGGACACAAATCAGGCCTTTACTCTGATTTGGCTTAATAACATTATAGCATAGAAAAATGTGATCAGGCCCCTAGCATTGTCAAATTAATCTGCTCGGTTAGATTTGGCTATGTTGACTGTCTATCAGTCAGATTTTCTTTATTTGTAGCCAATTGCCAATATAACATAACAAGCAAGACAATACAGGAATATGTTAAACATATACATTTTTTTGTATCCAACACTGTCATTCCACTTGCGCAATGAAATTCTGCTTGCACAACCAAACTTCCCCCTCCTCTCACCTGCAGCAAGCCTAGTGTACCCTCAAAATCTTCTCCAGAGGGTTGGAGGACTCTCTGGAGCAGATTTTGAGGACTTGTGGGGGAAAAAGAAGTCCCATTGTGTGAGCAACTTGTGTGGCGTTGAACACAACCATTTGTCTTCTAAATTTACTCCAATTCATTTACATTAAATTAAAAATAAAATCACATTGGGAGTCTCAGCACTGTTTTGGTTCAAAAAATATCTTATAGCTTCTCAGTGCCAGTGCATATAAATAACAAACCAGAAATTTCTAAATCATTTCAGTTATTGACCCTCTATAAAATCCTGACATGAATAGAGGAATCCATCCAAATTGCCGTGTGAAAGTGTCATAAAGCGAAATGATGCAGGAATAACAACTAAAGGCACGCTGTTAAATTTTATTAGGGTGGTTCAGCAAAAAACCTTCAAGTTGAATTAACAACACATTTTTTCTTCTTTCTGATTTCACTTTTGCGCCCAGTTCTTTCCCTCACCAATTCGGATCGAAACTCCTGGGTGGAGGAAGGGGACGAGTTGATCTCCCTGGGTCTTCACCCTCTGCGCTCTGAGAAAGGGAACAAACATGAAGTCACCAGAACAGGTGAGAGAAAGGGAAGTACAAGACAGACCAGCACTGGCAATGGCTACTGGCAATGGTGGCTAGGATATGCCTCCAGCGTTTGTGACTGTATAATTCTGAATGCTAGGAATTGCAACTAAAGAGAGTGCTTTTGCACTCAGGTCCTGGTTGTGGGCTTTCCATTGGCTAGCCGCTGAGAGAAACTATGGCAGAGTTGATGCCAGGAGAGAGCATTCCATAGACTAGGGGCTACTATAGAGAAGACCTGTTCTGTTGTCCTCACTCTCCAGACCCCTCTCTGAGTGGCACTCAGCTGACTGTCTCAGGGTCCAGGCAGGTTCATATGTGGAATTGCTGCAGTCCTTCAGGTATTCACTGACCTGTCTTTCCTCTCTTTATTGCAGTGCAAGATGGGCAGGAGAAAAAGGAGGAGGAGACTCCAGCAGCGGAAAATGCTAAAGGAGATGACAATCCTAAGAAAGGCAATGTAAGAAAGGCAAGGAAGAACGTAGTGCCAGGAAATCCTAAGGTGGTTGAAAAGTCTAAGGAATACATTCTTAGGAGGAAAAATCAAGTCCCTGGAAATTCTAAGGAAATTGGGCAGTCTGAGAGAGATGTTCTGAGGAAAAATCAAGTCCCTGGAAGTTCTAAGGAAACTGGACGTTCTAGAGGAGAAGTTCTGAGGAAAAATCGAGTTCCCAGAAATTCTAAGGAAATTGTCCATTCTAGGAGAAATATTCAAAGGAAGAATCTAGTGCTGAGAAATTCTAAGGAAATTGGGAATTCTAGGGGGGATGTTCCGAGGGAGAATCTGGTGCCAGAAAATTCTAAGGAAATTGAGTGTTCTAGGGGAGATGCTTTAAGAGAGAATCTATTTCCTGGAAATCCTAAGGAAATTGGGCATTTTTCGGGAGACATTCCAAAGAAAAATCTAGTGCTGAGAAATGCTAAGGAAATTGGGAATTCTAGGAGAGATGTTCTGAGGAAAAACCAAGTTCCCAGAAATTCTAAGGAAATTGGACATTCTAGGAGAGACGTTCTGAGGAAAAATCGAGTCCCCAGAAATTCTAAGGAAACTAGACATTCTGGAGGAGAAGTTCTGAGGAAAAATCAAGTTCCTGGAAATTCTGAGGAAATTGACTATTCTAGGAGAGATATTCAAAGGAAGAATCTAGTGTTGAGAAATTCTAAGGAAATTGGGAATTCTGGGGGGGATGTTCTGAGGGAGAATCTGGTGCCAGAAAATTCTAAGGAAATTGAGTGTTCTAGGGGAGATGTTCTCAGAGAGAATCTATTTCCTGGAAATCCTAAGGAAATTGGGCATTCTTCGGGAGATATTCCAAAGAAAAATCTAGTGCTGAGAAATGCTAAGGAAATTGGGAATTCTAGGAGAGATGTTCTGAGGAAAAACCAAGTTCCCAGAAATTCTAAGGAAACTGGACATTCTAGGAGAGACGTTCTGAGGAAAAATCGAGTCCCCAGAAATTCTAAGGAAACTAGACATTCTGGAGGAGAAGTTCTGAGGAAAAATCAAGTTCCTGGAAATTCTGAGGAAATTGACTATTCTAGGAGAGATATTCAAAGGAAGAATCTAGTGTTGAGAAATTCTAAGGAAATTGGGAATTCTGGGGGGGATGTTCTGAGGGAGAATCTGGTGCCAGAAAATTCTAAGGAAATTGAGTGTTCTAGGGGAGATGTTCTCAGAGAGAATCTATTTCCTGGAAATCCTAAGGAAATTGGGGATTCTACCGGAGACATTCCAAAGAAAAATCTAGTGCTGAGAAATGCTAAGGAAATTGGGAATTCTAGGAGAGGTGTTCTGAAGAAAAACCAAGTTCCCAGAAATTCTAAGGAAACTGGACATTCTAAGGGAGATGTTCTGAGGGAGAATCTGGTGCCAGAAAATTCTAAAGAAGACACCTCTTTCAGAATGTGCAAAGAAAATTTTTTCCAGGGTCATGATAGGAAAGATGCAACTTGTCATCAGCACAGATCAGAAAGGCAGCAGAAAGCTGCACAAAAGACCAGCCAGGAGAAACCAATTCCTTCTCAGGATGACGGTGGGGACATTGGTCAAACCACTGCCCAGAAGGAGATCTGCAGGGACAGGAGGCAAAAAGCATGCCCTAAATGTGGGAAAGTTTTTAGTCAGAGTATACTGCTTCTTAAGCATAAGAGAACCCACACGGGAATGAAGCCGTATCAGTGTTTGGACTGTGGAAAAATCTTCAGCCAGCGTTCCCACCTTAATATACATAGGAGAACTCACCGCAGAGAGAAACCATATGAATGCTTGGACTGTGGGAAAGCTTTCCATCGGAGCTCCCACCTTGCTTCACACCGGGGAATCCACACAGGAATCAAACCTTACAAATGTTCAAGTTGTGAGAAGAGCTTTCGTCGAGGGCCTGACCTCAGGAGGCACCAGAAAACCCACACAGGAGAGAAATTACATAAATGTTTGCATTGTGGGAAAAGCTTTGGTCTGAGCTCTAGCCTTATTAAACACGAAAGAATCCACACAGGAGAAAGGCCATATAAATGTCCAGACTGCCCGAAAGGTTTCAGCCAGATGTCTCATCTTATTGTACACAAGAGGATCCACACGAAGGACAAACCATACAAATGCTCTGTCTGTGGCCATGGCTTTAGCCAGAAAGCACATCTCATTTCACATCAGAGAATCCACACGGGAGAGAAACCTTTTAAGTGCTCGGAATGTGGCAAAAGCTTTAAACTGAACTCAGCTTGTATGAGCCACGAGAGACGACACAGAAACAACTTGGATGCTCAGACTGCTGGGAAAGTTTCTGACGAGGCTACTGCTTCACTTGACGCCACAGGACCGACAAGGAAGTCAAACCGTAGAAATGTTCAGAGAGTGGCCAAAGCTTAATTGTGCTTAAGGAAATGTATTGTGAAAGAGAGATTACATGGGTCCAGAGCAGATGTGCCATGGGAGAGTTGTGATGCAATCTCCTAGTTTCTTCTTTATCTTGAAAGAAACAGTAAGTGGTTCTGCTTTCGATTCCCTGTGACAAAAGGCAGATTCACACCATAGCTTTAAAGCATATCCAACACACAGGGGTTTGTTTGTTTGTTTGTTTGTTTACTTACAACACACATTTAAAGCAGAAGACTTCCCCATCAAGCATTCTGGGATTTCCCCCCTCACAGAGCTACAAGCATCCTTAACAAACTACAGTTCCCATGATTCTCTGGAGGAAGCAATGTGCTTTAAATGTGTGGTGTGGATCTGCTCCAAATTTAAATGCTCTCCCCCCCCCCCCGCCTGCACCACCCCCGACCACATTCCAGTTAGTGGTGCAGCTAGGCCTGTAGGATACTGGAGCTTAGCCCCTATGGCTACCCTAGAATGGCAGATGACGAGAGGTTACCACAGCATCCTTTGTTAACTATCTTATGTGGCAGGATGCGGGTGGCACTGTGATCTAAACCACTGAGCCTCTTGGGCTTGCTGATGAGGAGGTCGGCGGTTTGAATCCCCACAATGGCATGAGCTCCCATTGCTCTGTCCCAGCTCCTGCCAACCTAGCAGTTCGAAAGTACGCCAGTTCAAGTAGATAAATAGGTACCGCTGTGGCAGGAAGGTAAACGGTGTTTCTGTGCACTCTGGTTTCCGTCACGGTGTCCCGTTGCACCAGAAGTGGTTTAGTCATGCTGGTCATATGACCCAGAAAGCTGTCTCTGGACAAACGCCGGCTCCCTCGGCCTGAAGCAAAATGAGCACCACAACCCTATACAGCGGTACCTCGGGTTAAGAACTTAATTCGTTCCGGAGGTCCGTTCTTAACCTGAAACTGTTCTTAACCTGAGGTACCACTTTAGCTAATGGGGCCTCCCGCTGCCACTGCACCGCCGGAGCACGATTTCTGTTCTCATCCTGAAGCAAAGTTCTTAACCTGAGGTACTATTTCTGGGTTAGCGGAGTCTGTAACCTGAAGCATCTGTAACCTGAAGCGTCTGTAACCCGAGGTACCACTATAGTCGCCTTTGACTGGTAAAGGGGTCCTTTAGCTTACCTATGTAAATTGCCTTGTGGTGGTTGTTCAGGAGGGAATTGATGATGATGATGATGATGATGATGATGATATTATATGACTGTCTAAAGGAAGAGGCTCTCCACAAATTTTGGATCCATGGTCTGAAATTACCCTGCGTAATTATTAGGACAAAATTTTCCAAAGCTGATATGGCGGGTACATGGGACGAGGAGACAGGAACTTGTGTCATGCCTATGCTTCCTATGTATGTCTGACAGCTTCAAGTGATGATTTAATTAAACAGGAGGGGGGGAAACAGGTTATCTCTTCCCCAGTGCCATGCCCCAATCAGTGGGGAGATTTATCACAGGGATGCCTGCGCCTTCAGTGCTAATGAGTGGTGATGATGACAGAACCACTTGTCCAAAGAACCCAGGAAATCACAATTCGTTAGCCTAACAACTCTCAGCACCTAACACAGAGATGCCAGGATACTTTGCCAGGTGTGTGTATGTGGAGGGAGGCCATGACTATTTTAAATGGTATAAGAGTACTTTAAATGGGTGGTGTGGAGATAAGACAAGTTGATGTTTGACTGCAGACCAGAATCCTTCAACCAGTAGTGGACTCTCCTTCATTAGGGGTTTTTGGGAGATGGCTGGATGACTATCAGGGATCGATCATTAGCAGACCCAAGGGTCATCTAGTCCAACCCCCTGCAATGCAGGAATCTCAGCTAAAGCATCCGTGACAGATGGCCATCCAACCTCTGCTGAAAAACCTCCAAGGAAGGAGAGTTCACCACCTCTCGTGGGAGTCCGTTCTACTGTCGAACAGCTCTTACTGTCAGAAAGTTTTCTTCTGATGTTTAGTAGGAATCTCCTTTCTTGTAACACAAAGAAGAAGAAGAGGAGGAGGAGGAGTTTGGACTTGATATCCCGCTTTTCACTCCCCTTAAGGAGTCTCAAAGCGGCTAACAATCTCCTTTCCTTTCCTCCCCCACAACAAACACTCTGTGAGGTGAGTGAGGCTGAGAGACTTCAGAGAAGTGTGACTAGCCCAAGGTCACCCAGCAGCTGCATATGGAGGAGCGGGGAAGCAAACCCAGTTCACCAGATTACGAGTCCACTGCACTTAACCACTACACCACTGCAATGAAGCCATTGGTTTGAGTCCTACCCTCCAGTGCAGGAGAAAACAAACTTGCTCCTTCTTCAGTGTGACAGCCCTTGAGATATTTGAAGATGGCTATCATATCTCCTCTCAGTTTTCTCTTCTCCATGCTAAACGTCCCTAGCTCCTTCAACTGGTCCTCATAAGGGTTGGTTTCCAGACCCTTGATCATCTTGGTTGTCCTCCTTTGCACACATTCCAGCTTGTCAACATCCTTCTTAAACTGTGGTGCCCAGAACTGGATATAGGAAGATATCTGGGGTTCCTTCCAGCTCTGATTCTATGCCTTGGGGTAGGTTAGCTTTCCCTCTCCCCAAAATACACATTTCCCCTTTCCTCTAAAAATTGGTCTCTCTGTCCCCCCTTCTTCATTTGTGATTGGGGCAGACCTCTTTCACTTTTTTTTTTTTAAACATTCCTCCCAGCTACATGCCATGGAGATGGGAGGAAGTGATGGGTCCCTGAGGTAATAGAATGGACTGCATCCCCTCAGGCGTGCAGATAAGGAGGGAGTGCTTCTTTTTGAATGTTTATTTCCATTCAAACAAGACCCTGTAAGTAGAAAACAAGCCTATCACAGAGGGAGCTTGCTTCATTCATTCAGAGCGATTGCTGCCCACTCTTCAGCAGGAAAAGCTCCAAGAGAAGCTTAGAAATCAGTAATAAATAAATGAGCATGCCCTTCCTTCAAGATTTACAATCTAAAAAGGCATGGCAAAAAATGAAATGAGGGAAGAGGTTAGTCCAGGTTTTCATCTGCTGTGCTTTTTTCTGTCTGCCTCTTGTAGGAGCTAATTCTGTATTTTAACTATAGGCTGTGTTCCGTACTTTAACTATGGGCTGTGTGAAGAATACTTTTATCGGTTCTTCTAAATCTTTCAACGTTCATTGGATGTCTCCAAGTTCTCTCTATCCATTTTCCTCCCTCTCCTGCTGTAAAGAATCTTCTATTGCCCAGGATTTTTGACTGATTAGCCTAGCATTAATTTGGTTTATATGTAACATTTTAGTAATAATTTAACTGAGGAAAGTGTGTAAAGTTGTTTAGAGTTACTGCATTGCTGGTTTTTATTCTTAACTGTTGCCTTTGGCATTTTAGCTGTTTTGACAATTGTATTTTTTCATAACTACATTTTTTAATTGTTGTAATTTAATTTTGCTAGTAGAAATGGTAAAAAAGGCAAGGTATCGATCACTATTTTAAATAAATGCATAATTTTAAAGAATTCATTTATTTTATTTTAAAAAGGTTATCTGCCCACTTTGGCTATATCCACTTACCAAAAGCATTCAGTGGTATTTACTTCCCCAAACACACATTCTGCTGGTCATGCCTCGCCCCCCCCCCCCCCCGCAGGAGCAGGAAGATCTACTGGTAGAAATGGCGATCTACTGCTAGCTCTCCAGGTGATTTGCCATAGATCAGCAAGGGTTTCTGCCCATTTATTTATTTATTTATTTAAATTTGAACACCACTTTTCCATATAAACTGCTGCATTAATCAAAACAAAATGTTACCGAAGTTTGGCTGGGCTATCTCTGTCCCAGAGGAAGCAGCCTGAACCGTCATGCAACGAAGCCACTTTGGTGTCCAAAGATAAGGCTGGATTTAATAGCAACCACTCCCTGCCCTATACGGGACGCGGGTGGCGCTGTGGTCTAAACCACTGAGCCTAGGGCTTGCCGATCAGAAGGTTGCGGTTCGAATCCTTGCAACGGGGTGAGCGCCCGTTGTTCGGTCCCAGCTCCTGCCAACCTAGCACGTCCAAAAGTGCAAGTAGATAAATAGATACCGCTCCGGCAGGAAGGTAAAGTGTTTCTGTGCGCTGCTCTGGTTTTGCCAGAAGCGACTTAGTCATGCTGGCCACATGACCCGGAAAAACTCTGTGGACAAACGTCAGCTCCCTTGGCCTGTAAAGCAAGTTGAGCACTGCAACCCCAGAGTTGTTCGTGACTGTACTTAGCTGTCAGGGGTCCCTTTACCCTTTACCTTTACCCCCTGCCCTAACTGCATATTTGAGACTGCAACCTTATCTAGAATAAGACCAGAGACACCTTCTGACGAAAGGTGGGCTTCACCCAACAATATTGCGATGGCAGGCGCTTATAGGGCAAAATATGGGACAGGAGGGGGGAATTGGGGCCCTAAAATTTACTTTGCTTGGTGCAGAAATGACTTCAAAACAATCCATTACAATTGCCCACAGTTTACAGTGCTTTATTCAATGGGGGGGACGAGCCAAAATGTGTGGTTCGAGAGTGTATTTAATATTGCCACATTGGAAACAAAACTAGTGTACCTTTTGTCTCATGTAACCCCAAACCTGAGGGACCCATCTTTTTAAAGGAATAGGGAACTTCAGCTGCAGGGCCCAAATGTGGCCTTCTGGTCCCATCTAGTCCTCAGACTCTCTTGACAGACCACAAGTTTTCTGAGCTGGACCCTTCACACCAGTCTTGCTTCGCACCCACACCTGGCCAAAAAAAGGTTCGCCACCCATTTTAGAGCGTGACTCTGGGGCCATCTCCTTTTACAGAGATTGCCCAGAATGCTGTACTTATTGCCTCCTCAGGCCTTTGCTTCTTATTTGTGTTCATTATTTTCATCAACTTTCTCAGAAACTGTGAGGAAACACAAGCTATAGTACATTTTCTCCCTTAATGAAACTATTTCCATGTGCTGCTGAGGCAAGATGTAGCCCAAAACATCTTGGGAAGAGCCTCCTATTATCCTGTCATGGTACTCCAGCTGCACCCTGGATCATCTACCATGAGGCAAAGTGAAATCTGGGCAAAACAGAGCATTCCCCTCTTGTTTTTATTCCTGCTTTTTGCTGCTACCAGGTGAAATATTTTGCCAGGCTGCCTTTTACTAAACATCCTAAAATAAACAATAGTTAAATATACTTCTTCTGTCTCTTTGAGAACACTTTGTGGTAGAGTATGAGGTTTGGCTTCGGGGTGGATATAAATTAAGAGACCACACAGTTTTATGAATTAAGTTCAAAGATTTACTGTAAGTTTAGAAAAGGCTGTTCTTAGGGGGAAAGGTTTAACATAAGAATGGTTACATACAGTCAAGGCTGGACAAGCAGCGTCATGTGATAGGACTCCATCATCACATGGGAATATCGTCCTAGATTCAGGATTTTTCTGTCAAATTTTTTCGTGTTGGGGAGGTGATATATTTCCGTTACAAAGCGGCAGACCGCCACAGCATCCTAAGCTACCTTGCACCTGCCAACTGACATTCAGTGCTTTTCCAACTGCACTGGCTCCTGGTGGAGTACAGGGTCAGATTTAAGGTGCTGCTTTTGACCTTTAAAGCCCTTCATGGCCTAGGACCCTTGTATCTACGGCACCGCCTCTCCCAGTATGCCCTACAGAGAGCCTTAAGGTCCATAAATAGCAACACCCTAGTGGTCCCGGGCCCTAAGGAAGTTAGATTAGCTTCAACCAGAGCCAGGGCCTTTTCAACACTGGCTCCGGCCTGGTGGAACGCTCTGTCTCATGAGACCAGGGCCCTGCAGGATCTGATTTCTTCCCGCAGGGCCTGTAAGACAGAGCTGTTCTGCCTGGCGCTTTGGCTTGGAGCCAATTTGATTCCCTCCCCCTCTTTCTTTTTTCTTTCTCCTCCTGTGATGATTTTTAATATTGTATTTTAATCTTGTTTTTAAGTTGTATTCATTCAACTTGTTTTTATTATTGCTTGTTAGCCGCCCTGAGCCCAGCCTTGGCTGGGGAGGGCGGGGTATAAATAAAAATAATAATAATTATTATTATTAATAAGAGTGGAAGTGTAGCTGTAAGAAAGCTTCCCACAGAGCCTAGGGCTTGACCCAATCAGGTCTAGTCTGAAGCCAAAGGGGGTCCCTTGTGTACTTCGAAACCCTGCAAGGTTATAATATAGTAATTTATTAATTATGCCCTGCCCATCTGGCTGGGTTTCCAACAAAATAAAAAAGCGATTAAATATAAAATATTAAAAACTTCCCTAAACAGGGCTGCCTTCAGATGTCTTCTAAAAGTCAGATAGTCGTTTATCTGTTTGACATCTGATGGGAGGGTGTTCCAAAGGGCAGACACCACCACCGAGAAGGCCCTCTGCCTGCTTCCCTGTAACCTCCTATCTTGCAGGAAGTGAACCGCCAGAAGATCCTCGGAGCTGGACCTCAGTGTCCGGGCTGAAAGATGAGGGAGAAGACATTCTGAAGCAGCTGGCCTATAGGTTTTCATTCTGCAGCCCTTGTCACAGAGCCCAGTTACCACCTGGCCAGTGAGAGAAAGGGAGGCCCTCCTTTCCTGGGACCTTTCCACTGCTGCCAGGTAGAAGTCTTTAATGTTCTGTGATGCCTCTCTACCAAACAGCCTAAGCTCCCCTGGGTCTTCTTGAGGACACCCTTTACATAGGGCGGGGTTTAACTTTTAAGCATGGGGTGAGCAAAACAGCCGGCAGGGAAACTGCTAGGTTTCATTTGCTTTAAAAAACAAAAAAAAGGAGACTCTTCAGAAAGAGGTTTTAACATCTAAATTGTTACGTGCATACAAAACTATCTCAAAGGAGCAAAAGGGTACTGAAAATAAAACCGGATAAATACACTTAGCTAGCCCACATCTCTCTAAACTGGTTAGTAGCTCTCCTATTTCTTCAAGTGCAAGGCTTGAATTCCACCTGCAGCACAGATTGTTTAAACTGACTGATAGCTGTTTTACGGGATTTCAGGCAGAAGTATCTCCTGGCCCTCCCTTGAGATGTCAGGGATTGAACCTGTGTCCTTCTGCTTGCAAGGTGCTATTCCACTGAGCTATGACTCTTTCACTCCAGGAAGCAAATTAACAACCCAAGGCTGCTGTTCCACTTAAGCAACAGAACTCCCCTCTCCCTTCCCTTGCAACCCCACTCCCAGGCTAGAGATGTGAAGGCCTGTATAAACTCTGGAATCCGCCCTCCCCCCACCCCAACATTTGTTTCCAAAATATTGGGGGAAACCAGGGAAAAATAAGGGAAAAAACCCTATGTCATGTCCCCCCAATTTCTAAGTTCTTTTCTGGGACTTCACATCTCTGCCCCGGGCTCTCTCAAGATTTGCTCCAAAGGATTGAGGGAGCTTCTACAATAGATGTTAGGAGCAGTTGGGGAGAGGAAGGCGAGGTCCCATTGCATGAGCAGTGATGGATACAACTCCAAATTTCCAAACTGAACTGTATACAAGATTTATTTTTTTAAAAAATGTCCAATTCCTTCAATGCTATTGGGAACTTTTGGCATAGTTTCAGGTTCTCTTCCAGTTCCTGGTACTAATTGGTCTTCCATGGCATTAGTGCCTTTCCGGAATCAGTGCTGTGGATCCTGCTTTTATACCAGCTATACCCCTGATCCTGACTGAGTGCTAGCTAAGTTGGCGACTAGGTAAGAAAAATGGCACTAGGACAAGTTTCTCCCTCATGTGGGTTCTGTGAATTATAGTAAGGTTTCTGTTTTTGCTGGAGTTCTGACATTCCATGTATTTTTATGGTTTCTCACTTATGTGTATTCTTTGATGTGAAATAAGGTTACTTCTCTGAGTGAAGGCCTTTCCACACACCAAACATTTATAGGGTTTCTCTCCTGTGTGGGTTCTCTGGTGTGAAATAAGGTGACCTTTCTGTGTGAAGGTCTTTGCGCACACCAAACATTCATACGGCTTCTCTCCTGTGTGCCTTCTTTCATGTCTAACAAGATACACTCTTTCACAAAAACCTTTTCCACACTCCATACATTTATATGGTTTTTCCCCTGTGTGAGTTTTTTGATGTACAATAAGGCTTCTCCTATCACTGAAGCTCTTTTCACACTCCGTGCATTCATGTGGTTTTTGCCCTGTGTGGGTGTTTTGATGCACAGTAAGACTTCTCCTATCACTAAAGCTCTTTTCACACTCCATGCATTGATATGGTTTCTCCCCTGTGTGTGTTCTTTGATGTGAAATAAGGTTACTCCTCTGAGTGAAGGTATTTCCACACACCAAGCATTTATAGGGTTTCTCTCCTGTGTGGGTTCTTTGATGTGAAATAAGGTGATCTCTCTGAGTGAAGGTCTTTCTACATACCACACATTCATATGGTTTCTCCCCTGTGTGGGTTCTCAAATGTACATTAAGGCTTCCACTATGAGTGAAGCTTTTTCCACACTCCTTGCATTGATATGGCTTCTCCCCCGTGTGGGTTCTTTGATGCTTAGAACAAGCTCGTGAATCACTGAAGCTTTTTCCACACTCCATGCACTGATATGGTTTCTCTCCTGTGTGATTTCTTTGATGCCTTGCAAGATGTCCCCTTTCAAGGAAGCTCTTTCCACATTCCATACATTTATATGGTTTCTCTCCTGTGTGTCTTCTTTGATGCCTAGCAAGATACCCTCTGTCAATAAAACTGTGTCCACACTCCATACACTGATATGGTTTCTCCCCTGTGTGGGTTCTTTGATGTGAAGTAAGGCTACGATGCACAGTGAAGCTCTTTCCACACTCCATGCACTTATATGGTTTCTCCCCTGTGTGGGTTTTCTGATGTACAAAAAGACTTCTTCTGTCACTGAAGCTCTTTCCACACTCCAGGCATTCATACGGTTTCTCCCCTGTGTGGATTCTTTGATGTACAATGAGACTTCTCCTATCACTGAGGTTTTTCCCACACTCCATGCATTTAAAAGGTTTCTCCCCTGTGTGGGTTCTTTGATGTACAATGAAGTTTCCTCTCTTGTTGAAGCTCTTTCCACATTCTGTGCATTTATATAGGATCTGCCCTGTGCGGGTTCTGAAATGTCTATTTAATACAGATTTATCTTTGCATATTTCCCCATTCACTATCCACTTTTTCAGTTGATTTCTTTTGTGGTCTTCTGGGTTTAGAACTTCATGGTCATCTGCACCTTGAGAAATAGAATAATTCTTCCTCCCATTCTTCAATCGGTATCCTTCTAGCCTATTTCTCCCGCTTTGATGTCCAAACATCTCTTCGGCTTTATGCCGGCCTGTTTCCAGTAGCTCACTATAACTCTTGTCCCGCTGATTAGCTATTTGGAGATAAAAGGAAAACACTTATTTCCTGTTAGGACTTCAATGCTAAAAGCATCATGAGTTATCAAGCCCAATTACCCTTTTCTTTTTTCTGATTTCCTAGGTTGTCCCCTCCCCTCTCTGGACACCTTGCCAAAACCTATGTCACCTTTTGAATCTGTTACTCAACAGCATTAATGCCTTTCTTATTTATTTCCCATCGATTAAACAAGACACAGAAGTGTGTGCATGTGTGGATTATCTGATATAACAATGAAATGGGGTTCCACAAGGTTATGTAAAGTGGGGGGTGGGGGTGGAATGAAACTGCAAAAAAGCTTGGAGAAGGGACACACCAAACTGAAAAAAGATAACTGTTCTATGGATTCTATTAAATAGGCCGTAATTTTTTTAAAAAAGTAGATGGTGAGAAACAACACAGTTACATAGTCCAAAGCAGACTGTGGATATTCCGGTACACCAAATGGGCAATGAGAAAAGCAAATAAAAATGGTTATCACTGAAGGGAAGTGGTCGCCAATACTTACCTCTCCTACTCCCAATGGGCCAACTTTGACAGGTGGATGGGGCCATTCACCTGTCAATCACTTGAAATCACAATAACCCCTACGCATAGCAATTTGGAGGAGCCACTCACCAGCTGACTGTCAGGTGCAGGGAAGGTGGGCATGGTTTAACCCAAGCAGACCAATGGCCCATATGGGGAGGTCTTGCTGGCCTAATTAGGCCTGTGTGCCAGAGGGTCTTCACCTCTGTTTTAAGGTAGGGTATGAAGGGATGTGCCTTTGTTTGCAAAACAGTTCTCTGCTTTTGCTAGCTACTCTGACAAGGAAATTCAAAAGGTTGTGTGTGTGTCAAATACTCAACCCTAGAATCCGAGATCTAATGGGGAAATGGATTCTAAACACTGAAAGAGGGAGGGGAAACAGACTGTCCCGTAAGGAAGGTGAGCAGAACATAAAAGAAGCCTTGCTTCATCAAGCCCAAGCCACTGGACATGCTTGCTGGGGCTGATGGGAGTTGTAGTTCTGCAACATCTAGAGCAGGCATAGGCAAACTTGGCCTTCCAGATGCTTTGGGACTACAACTCCCATCATTCCTAGCTAACAGGACCAGTGGTCAGGGATGATGGGAGTTGTAGTCCCAAAACTTCTGAAGGGGCAAGTTTGCCTATGCCTGTTCTAGAGAGCCAGTGGTTCCCTAGTTTTAACTAAGGGAGACTTAGTGAGTGTCAAATCTACATCAGTGGGAAGGAGGAAGCCTTAAGTTATGTCTACCAGGAATTTAAACACAGAATTAAGGAATGCCCTGAACACCCAGAGAAGAACTGACCCATCACAGAGTCAATCTCTCTGCTTCCTCACAGTCCCTCAGAAGTGGATCTTCCCCTTTCTCTAGCCAGAGGTCTGATTTGGAATTTCTTTCAAAGAAACAAGGCAGACTAATAACCACGAAATATTCAGGCATTTCAAATTCACCCACTGCTCTGACCCCCTCCCAAATGTAGCGGGAGATTAGTCCGTTGCACCCTCTTCTTGTTGAGTATGACGGGGCAACTGGGCACCCAGTGTTCATTAAGTCCAGTTCATTGATAATGTAGCAGTAGCAGCAGCAACTTCAAATATTGGACACCTCTCAACATGGTGTCCAGCATTCCCTCCGTGGCCTACGAACTGCCTCTGGGAAGCCTCCAAAGCGATACATGAAGACTGTGAAATGAAAGCACTCCAAATGCTAAGGAAAGGGTTAATGCTCACAAGGTCTTTAGAGCTCTGTGACGTCATGCGCCTGAGGCAGTTATGGCAGTTGGTACAGTTAGAGCAGCAGGTCTGTTCTGTTGCGCTGCTGTCTGCCTCAGTTAAGTCAGTCTGTAACAGTATTTATCTTAGATCCAAATCTACATAAGATGCATTAGCAACAGCACTTGTCAACCAAGGGACAAGACATCCTTACCCAGAAACATTACATTTGCGTAATTTTCCAGCATCACTTCCTTGTAGAGAGCTCTCTGGCAGGGGCCCAGCAGATCCCACTCCCCCTTGCTGAAATACACGGCCACCTCCTCAAAGGACACCAGCCGCTGAAAGGAAAAGATAGATTCTCTACTCAGAAATGAACTCTTATGTAGATAAAATAATAAACGTATATCTGACAGGCTCCCAGCGTGAAAATAAAAGGGCTAACCTGGTAGCTTTATTGCTCTTGCTATTATTAATAATGTTATTTATTAATCACGTTCTACATACAGTGGTACCTCAGTTCTGAAATGCCGAAAACCCAGAAGTAAGTGTTTCGGGTTTTGAACGTTTTTCGGAAGCCGAACGTCCGATGCGGCTATCAGCTATTGTTTCTGAGGTACCTCCACCAATCAGAAGCTGCGCCTTGGTTTTAGAACATTTCGGAAGTCAAACAGACTTCCGGAATGGATTAAATTTGGTGCTTTTGTTTTTGCTATATATTTTGCGTTTTTGTTTTTGAGGCTTTTTGGTTAATTTGTTTTTGTGACTGTGTGGAACCCAGTTCAGCTACTGACTGATTGATTGATTGATTGATTGTGTGACTGTGGAAATGGATAAAAGCCCCCCATCAAAACAATGACTATCAACAGTGCAGGTAAGAAAAAAAATTATTTAAATGTTATCATCTACAATCTTATTTATTTTATAGTACAGTACATTGATTATTGCTTTCATTTTATGGATCAATTATCTTGTCAGACAGTAAAATTCATGTTAAATTGCTGTTTTAGGGGTTGTTTTTAAAAGTCTGGAACAGATTAATCCGTTTTGCATTACTTTCTGTGGGAAAGTGCACCTTGGTTTTGGAACGTTTGGTTTTGGGACAGACGTCGGGAACAGATTAAGTTTGAGAACCAAGGTACCACTGTGTTGTACAAAATGTAATGTAAAGTGGACACCGATGGCAGAAAGCTTTGCAAAATCCAGCTAGGAAAGCTTTAATTTTTTTCTGCAGGACGGTAGACATCACGCAAGAGTTCATAGTTTAAGTTGGGTCACCTAGACATTTTGTAGCAGCAACAGAGAAGGGGCAGCGCACGTTTCCTACAAACCTCGCAGCCCCAGGCTGTGCCCTGCCTGTCTCCACAAGGAACCTGCCTCTTACCTGAGATGGGTCCATGGCAGAAGTTTCCACTCCAGCTCCAGCAAGCGATGATCCAGATTGGGCCTCTGATACCATTGTTCTGTCATGGGGGGAGAGGGAGAGAAAGAAGAGGTAAACCAGGCCATCTCTGGGACACGGCTGGAAGGAAAGTCCCAATCTGGGGGCAACTGAGAAGTGGAGTTATTCACATTTCAGCTGAACGGTGAGGGCAAGACTTTCACCCTTTGGTTTCCCGGCTTTTCACATAATTAAAATGAATTTCACTTACCCTCCTTTAAATTTATTCCACATTGTCCTGCCTGGGACTCTCTTGTCTCTCTCTCTCTCACACACACCCTCAATCAATCAAAATATACTGATGTCGTATTCTATCCACTCCTGTTTCTTCAAAACCTTCCCACTCCCTCAAGCCCAGAGGGAAACATTGAAAATTTTCCCACGTGCAAAGGAACATAAGAAGCTGTTTATTTACACAAAAGCACAGGCGGAGTGGGGAGGGAATAGGTACCTAATTTGAAGCTATTCACAACATGTATCTGGGGTTATGAGCATCAACATTTAGTAGTAGTAGTAGTAGTAGTAATAACAATAATAATGATAATAATAAAAAATGACTTATACCCCACCCCAATTTGGCCAGGTCTCCCCAGCAACAACATTTTATAAATGTTGATTATGCTTGGGGGGGGTGGAGGTGGGGTGACAGAGGGAAAATTGGAGGTGGGGTGACCCACCACCACCCAAGGGCCTTTCCCTTCCCGCGCGTGCGTAAAAACCACGGTCGCCCAGAACAAGGGGGAAGAGAGGCTTCAAAGTGCAGCTCTTGGGGGGCGCCTCCTTTCGCAGCTGGATTTGGGCGCATCAGCCTCAAACATTAAGACGACTCCCCTCCCCAGCCTTCCCCCCAAATGCAAGCTCCGCGTCTCCCACCGCCGCCCGCCGCGTGGCACCTCGCCGCCTCTTTCGTCTCCTGCCCGCCGCTCCTCGCCTGGGAATCCCGACGACGAGCCTCTTTCCTCCAAATCCGAATGGAGGTGCGTCGGCGACGGTCTTCCCCCACTTTCAAAACTTCCTGCCTCTCTAGGAACCACAGCTCGGTTTGGTTAACCCTCGCAGGGCTGCATCTCTCAGCTCCTCCCTGTTCGCAAAGCGGCGCCCTGCGCGCGCGCGCGCCGTTCTTCATTCCAGGGGGAAGCAAATTTTGGGTTGTGGTTGCTTTTGGGTTGTGGTTGCTTTTGATGCATTTATACATCAAATTTATGCATCCGTCAAACCAGGGAGCAGTTCAGCCACAAAGCATATAGGAAATCTTATGCAAACATCATATGGGAAATCTTATGCAAACAGATGGAGTTATGCTTTCCAACTCAGGGTAACTGAACCCAGAATTATAAATGAGTATATAATGTAATAATTATTAAGTTTCCTTCTCCCCCCCCCAAAAAAAAACATGTTAAACCCGTAACAAATAAAGGAAAGAAATCTCTGTCTCTTACAATACTACATAAATATATTCAATCTTGACCCCCGCAAAAATCCCATCTTAGATTTTGCGCTTTGGATCTATTATGTTAAGTTTTTGCCATCACTGCATGGTCCCAATAAATTTTTGCACAGTTCTTCAGTGATGGGTCTTTTAAAAATTTTTGGCTGTAAGGAATTAAAGCCTGCTGTTCTTTTTGTGATTGGACAACATTTAGCTCAGTGAGTCTATGTTTGGTAAAGAAGCACATAAACTGCTGTTGGAAACCCAAAGAATTTTATTTTTACTTTCTGAAAATGTCAGGCAAAGCTTAATAATAATAATAATAATAATAATAAGTACTTAGCAATCATTTTTAATGATTTCTATGCAATTTTACACACATTTTGCTTACCAAGCAAATTATATCAATTTAACCAAAATATCTTTTGAATTCTCAAGTCATGTTACAACTTTTTAGCATCCCTCATTTTTTGAATTGGAAAGTTGAAAAATTCAACACACCCTAATACACCAGTATAGATGTACAGTGCAACTTCCTATGGCATGGCATGTCACAACTCTGATCTCAAAATATCACTCCCCATACACAAGTTCAGGTGTAACATGTGGTCAGCAGAAACACCATTAGGCTTGGTGACATCTGACAGTCAGATCCTTAATCTGCCCCAGTCCACAGGAAGGTTTCTGACCAGAAGCTGAAATCAGCTTGAATAATGTATTTAAACTACAATAGCAGGAAATAAGTGAATTTCAGTTTATGAAGCACATCTACATAATAATATTATCAAAAACAGTAATATGCACGTTGCACAAAAAAGGAATCCTGGGAAACTGCGAATGCAAGGGAAAAAATTGGATACAAGAATTACTGTACACAGGACACAAAATATGAAGAGCATAATAATTATACTGAAATAGAAGGAAATTTTGAAGCATTGAATAAAATGTCTATTAGAAGCCATATGGTATACAAACTAGTAATGATTTACTAAATTATTCCCAACAGGTCAAACCGGTCAGTGGCCCTGCTACATTTCCACTATTCAGTCACTTTTTAAAAAACATTCAGACATGAATTTTTTAACTGCCTATGTAAGCAGACGTTTGAAGGGTTCTGTGGATTTTTGGAGATTTAAGAGGTGAATCTAGGATCCAAAGAGCTTAGATGGGGAGGGCAAATTATATATGTATACACACAGAGACACTCTTCTTATTTCATGCTAAAAACTACAAAAAGCTAAGTCTGATCAAAATTATTCCTGAAGCCCCATATCCAAAAGGACAGGTTAAGAGGGAAATCGCAAAAAAAAAAAAAAAAAAGCTTCAAACTCTCTGAAAGAGAGGGTGGAAGGTCAGCTGGGCTCCAAAAAGCTGCAGAAGAGAAATCTAGCAGCCAACCTGAAGTTCAGCAAGCAAATGGAGTGAGCGGGAAAGGTTTGCCAACACTGAATTTGTGAGTTTTTGCCATGGATTCAAAATGTGGCCTGGCCATATTTTACTTGAAGAATGAAAAAGAGATTAGGAAGATCTGAAGGACTCTTCAATGCTTTTTACTGTTTATATTAGAGTGTGTGTGTGTGTGTGTGTGTGTGTGTGTGTGTGTGTTTGTCTAAATTAAACGGCTTATAAAAATACTATGGGACTATATAAATTAACACTGGACCAGTAGCCTCACCAGATGCGTCCATTCTGTCAAGAGAATATCTATCACTTCAGATGACAACCTAGCTCCTAACACAGGTGTGAGAAATGTAACTTAGATAACTTTCTCCCATGTATTTTTTTAAAAAATGTGTATCAAACATTTGTTCTCACGTTCTTTCAATGCGGCATGCATTTTTATGGTTTCCCTACGGGGGTTCTCTGATGTGAAGCAAGGCTTCTCCGAATAGAAGTATTTCCACAAACTCTGCATTTATATGGTTTTTCTCTTAGATGGGGAATCCCCCTCAAAGTATATAAAGGCTTCCACAGTGCCGAACTTTTTCTAGTCTATACATTCATGTGGGTTCTTTCATGTTTTCTAAGAGTTCCACCATCACGGAAGCTCTTTCCACAGGCCATACATTTATATGGTTTCTCGCCTGTGTGGATTCTTTTATGTTTAGTAAGACTTCCATTCACACTAAAACTTTTTCCACACTCTTCACACTTATACGGTCTCATTCCTGTGTGGGTTCTTGCATGTATGACAAGATTTCCACTGTCACGGAAGCTCTTTCCACATTCCATACATATGTATGGTTTCTCCCCCGTGTGCTTTCTTTCATGTGTTTTAAGGCTTCCACTCACGCTGAAGCTTTTCCCACATACCAAGCATTTATATGGTTTCTCCCCTGTGTGAGTTCTTTCATGCTCACTAAGCGTTCCACTGTTTCTGAAGCTCTTTCCACACTCCATGCACTTATATGGTTTCTCCCCCGTGTGGATTCTTTTATGTGCTTTAAGGTTTCCATTCGCACTGAAGCTTTTCCCACATTCCAAGCATTTATATGGTCTCTCCCCTGTGTGAGTTCTTTTGTGTTCAGTAAGACTACCCCTATCTCTAAAGCTCTTTCCACACTCCATGCACTTGTATGGTTTCTCCCCTGTGTGGGTTTTGCAGTGTCTAGTGAGAGTTCCCCTATCTCTAAAGCTCTTCCCACACTTCATGCAATCGTATAGTTTCACCCCTGTGGGGGTTCTGTGGTATCTGTTTAGTACTGGTTTATCTTTGATCATTTCCCCAAAGACGGGACACTTTTTTAGTTGCTTTCTTTGGTGATATTCTGGGTTCAGAAGTTCAAGGTCATCAGCACCCAGAGAAGTAGAGGATTCTTTCCTTCCATTCTTTGATTGATTTCCCTCAGCTCTCTTTTGTCCTGATGGATTTCCAAGCATCTCCTTTCCTGCTTTCTGCTTACATGTTCCTGCTGGCTGACTATAGTTTTCACTGTTGTACTGATCACCTCCTTGGAGGAAAAAAAACAGGAAAAAAGCCAATTTTGTTAGGACTTCAAAGCCAAAATCAAGGATTTCATTAGACATCAAGACTGATTACCCCTGACATGTTTAAAAAGCAAGATCATCAAGGAATCTGCCTGAATACCCAGACAAGACCAGGTCCCACCACAAACTGAAGCACATACCTGCCAAACTCTCTCCTTCCTCACAGATCCAGACAAATGGCTCTTCACCTCCTTCCAGCCGGGAGATGAGGTCTGGTTTGGGAATTTCTTTCAAAGAAACAGACAAAATATTCAAGCATTATCTCATTCATTAATTGCCTTCCAAATATATGAGTTGAGCTACAGAACATAGCAAGAACAGTTAGAAAGTGGGTGTCTTACCAACAAAAGTTGGTTAAAGGCACTCCAAGCCACCAAAGACCAGTGTCTGTAGGGGCAGGGCTGGATCCAGGAGCACCCCTAAACTGCGCACTTGCTCCTTCCGAGAAAGTGCAACAACATCCAAGGAAGATCAGTTCCTGACTTCCCAGACTCAGGGCACTCATCCACCAAGCCTCTGTCTTGTCAGGATTCAGATTCAGTTTATTTGTTCTCATCCAGTCCACCACTGTATCCAGACTCCAGACTAGGGCCTTCAGCCACTCCCAGTTAGGATGTTACAAAGAAAAAGAGTTGGGCATTATTAGGCAATTACTGAAGGATGCAATGGAAGCAGCAAAGTATGCCCTCCTCACAGTTTCACTGCCATACGACAGACACGGTTGTGTTCTCTAGCTCATAACTACAGTGGGACTTTTGCCCCTTGTGCTGTAGCCGTCATCTGGCTAGTTTCATAACATGTAGCTCCTCAGTATACCAGGTAGGCAGACATACTCCACAGCATCGGAAAGGCTGCTCATATCCATGCTCCTCTGCATTATGCCATTCCATGGCTAGTCACCAGCTCTAACCACTGAAAAAATCCCCCCAAAGATTCAGGAATCCATTGCACTCCATAGGTCTCTCGGGGCAGACGATCCTAACCGGTCCCTCATTCCTACCGGAAATTGGAAATGGAAGCCCAAACGTCACCAGGAAGTGGTCTGGCCATGACAATGGGGCTTTACTTTCTTTTTCTCAACAAATGAATAAGCATCCTCACCTGGAGAGGCCACACTCTCATAATTCTCCAGCATGACTTCCTTGTAGAGAGCTCTTTGGCTTGGACCCAGGAGATCCCACTCCCCCTTGCTGAAATACACAGCCACTGCTTCAAAGGACACCAGCTGCTGGGAAAAAGAACAACACACCATAATGGCCTGTACTCAGAAATGTACTCCCCATGTATGCAAAAATCTCTGTGTATTAAACAGGGCTCCGAGTTTGAAAGGGGAAGGACTAACCGGGTGGTTTGTGTGCACTTCCTAATTTTTTTCTGCAGGACTCAAGGCATTATGGAAGGGATACTGCAGAGTTCATAGCCTTACTTGGACAACTTGACTTCTCCTAAGAACAAAAGCTAAAGAGGCACATTCCTTGAAGATCTAACACCCCCAAGGTGTCCCCAACCTCTCTTCACAAGGATTCCACTCCTACCTGAGATGAGTGCATGGCAGCTCCTTCCGCTGTGCCACAAGGAAGTTATGGCCCAGACGGCACCCCTGATGCCATTGTTCTGCCTGTGGGGGAAGACAAAAGTGAGGAAAGAGAGTCTGGGTCTAGGGGCAGCAGTGACATTGTGTCATTCATGTCCCCATTTGCGGGCGGGGTAGAGAAGGAAAGGTGACGAGAACAGTTTCATCCTTTGGGAAACTCATTCGGGTTTCACGGCTTTAACGCTCCTGAGCTGACCCATATTTTTGGACCATGTAAATAACTGGAAAGAAGGGTCCGGAGGCTGCAGCAAGTGCACAATATGGCTGCTAGGTTGGTGAGTGGGCAGCCAATGGGACCTTGTGATACCAATCCTGAAAGCATTGCACTTGAGCTACTGGACCCCATTCAAGGTGTCAGTACCAGCACATAAAACCCTAAATGGCTAGGGACTCAAAGTACTTAAAAGAGTGCCTTTCTAGTCATCTCAGATCTTACAACTGGCAGGTGAGGCTTTGCTGGTGCTGCTGCAATCAAGGGCTTCCCTGTGACAGGGCCTTTCCAGTGGTGGTTCCCCAGTTGTGATATGACCTCCCTAGTGAGGTGCACCTGTCTCAATCACTATTAACTTTCAGGAGGAATTTGAAAACATTCCTGCTTACTCAGGCCTTTGTTGTGTGAGAACTACTATTCCGGGCAATCTTGAGCACACTGGATGAAATAAATGTTTTTAGTCATGTTTTTAACTGTAACTGCTTTTAGAAGTTTCTTATTGCAATTGTCTTCAGAACGCTTTAACTGTTTTCCAGTTTTGTTTTTGAAATGTTGACGTATTTGCCACCCTGGGCTCCTTCAGCAAGAAGGGGGAAGATATAAATTAAATTCAATAAATAAATAAAACAATTTAGTCTCTGCCTTTTGACAGTAGCTTTAGAAAACAGCAGCCTGGTTGGTTTCAACACACAAATCCCTTACTTGTGCCTTGCTCTACTCGGAACTTTTTCCACAAAAAAAGTTAGATGAAAGATTCCTTTTATTCTCTGTTGTCCATTGTAAAGGCCTTTGGTTATATACAATAAAAATTGATTGATTGATTGATTGATTGATTGACAGTGGCCAACCAGATGCCTCTTCTGGGAAATACAGAAGCGGGATGTGAGTACAAGAGCACTCTCCAGAAACTGGTTTTCAGAAGCATTGCTCCCTCCCACTGTAGAGACAGAACATAGAGCCATCGTGGCTAGTAGCCATGACAGCCCTCTCCCTCCATGAATTTATCTGATCCTCTTTTGAAGCCATTAAGGTTCATGGCTATCACTGCCTCCTGTGGGAGAGAGTCCCATAGTTTGTGCAATAGCAAGTCAAAGTAAGCAAAGATTACACAGCTGCACAAACACTTATAAAACATTACAGCTTATAGTTAAATGTTCTTATTCTTTAAATTCTTAAAATGGAGTTCTTATTTCCTTGGATACACATTTAAAGTCTACTTAATTAGTAGATTGTTAAATTCCACCTTGATAGTTTCTATTGTTTTTGTAAAGAACTATGCACAAATTTTGGTTTTAGTATGCTGGCCGTTTGGCTGCAATAATAAACATTTAACGTTCCGCAGTTTGCAAGTGAATCTGCTTCAGTGGACTTAGGAGAAAAGTGGTTTGGTGGGGGGTGGAAAGCCTTTTTCTAACCACTTTCTCCCTGCCATGCAGAATTTTCTTAACATGTCACTTCTTACCTCTCTATTTAGCTGTAATTCTAATTAGTGCTTAATTGCCTTTTAATGAATATTCCACTCCTCCCCTCCCCAATGTTGGAAAAGGCCAAGATAGAAATAAATATAATAGCAATAGCAATAGCAATATTTTTCTTTAAACTAAGGAGTCCCGAAAGCTGCAAGCTTCGCTCCTTGCAGGGTGGGGGAGTCGTTCCCCGCCCTTGGTTGTTTTTTATTGCCCTTTTCTGAATCTTTTCCACCGCCTTCCTCCTCCCTATGGAGACGAGGGGCTTCCCTTCCCCGAAATAGCAGGGCCTCGGCCTCCCTTACTCGCAAGCGGGGCAGCCTTTACCTTCCTGACGGGCCCGTTACGCGCACAAAGCTCTCCTTTCCGCGCGAAGGAATCCCAGGAATCCTCTCTCCCTTCCGGGAATAACAATCATAAAAATACTGTAATAACAACAACCATACAAGTGCATCCGATATTATCGTCCCCGTTGTGACATTTCCTGCCTCTCCAGGAACCAGGTCTCTATGGGTTTAACCCTTGGAGGACTAGAATCTCATTCTCCAGCATGGGTAGGCAAGCTAAGGCCCGGGGGCCGGATCTGGCCCAATCGCCTTCTAAATCCGGCCCGCGAATCAGTGTGTTTTTACATGAGTAGAATGTGCTCTTTTATTTAAAATGCATCTCTGGGTTATTTGTGGGGCATAGGAATTTGTTCATTTCCCCCCCCCCACCGAAATATAGTCCGGCCCCCACAAGGTCTGAGGGATAGTGGACAGGCCCCCTGCTGAAAAAGTTTGCTGACCCCTGCTCTAGAGAGTTTTGCCCGTGCACAGAACTTTTAAGCTGGCATGTAGCTGGGAGGAATGTTAAAAAAAAAAAAAAGCAGAAAGAGGTCTGCCCCAATCACATATGAAGAAGGGGGACAGAGAGACCAATTTTTAGAGCAAAGGGAAAACGTGTGTTTTGGAGGGAGGGAAAGCTAACCTCATCCAAAGGCAAAAAACCGTAAGAGCTGGAAGGAACCTTGGAGATCTTCCTATAGCCAGTTCTGGGCACCACAATTTATGAAGGATGTTGACAAGCTGGAATGTGTACAAAGGAGGACAACAAAAATGATCAAGGGTCTGGAAACCAAGCCTTATGAGGAACGGTTGAAGGAGCTGGGTATGTTTGACATGGTGAAGAGATATGATAGCCACCTTCAAATATCTCAAGGGCTGTCACATGGAAGAGGGAACAAGCTTGATTTCTCCTGCACTGGAGGGTAGGACTCAAAGTTACAAGAAAGGAAATTCCAACTAAACATCAGGTAGAATTTTCTGGCGGAAAGAGCCGTTTGACAGTGGAATGGTCTCCCTCGAGAGGTTGTGGACTCTCCTTCCTTGGAGGTTTTTAAGCAGAGGTTGGACGCCCATCTGTCATGGATGCTTTAGCTGAGATTCCTGCAATGCAGGGGTTGGGCTAGATGACCCTTGGGGTCCTTCCAGCTGTGATTCTGTGAGGACAATCACATATTGTTGCGAACAGGGTTTTTCAACTCTGACAAATATGAAAGATCAGAAGAGAAAGGCTTCTTTGTGTTGATGAGAAGATCTCAAAGCCACACAAATGGCCTGGATGAGAGGGTCAATATTGCAAAACAGTTGGAAGCCCTTGATCATTTGTTAGCTGAAGAGGGAGGGGTATGTCAAAAAACTCAGTTGGTCTGACTGCGTCTGAGGGTAGTCCTTCTAGGACGTTGTCACAAACTGTCACCTGTACAATGACCCCAAATTTCTGCTAGTTACCACTTACCGTTTTCCTTTGGTAAACAGAAATAATCTCGGGCATAAAATTACCCAGAAATGCATTGAATTTTGCCATTAGGCAAATGTTTCTCTAGGTAATGTTTCCCTCTCTTCTCAGTTTTGTTTTCTGTGTGTTTTTGCAACCTTTCATTTATTCTTGTATAATAAAGAACAGCAGCTTTTGTCCTCCACATGTAATGAATGAAATGAAATGTTGTAAAACTACACAGAATTTTGTTTGTTGCCCTCCACCCCCAAATCTCTGAGCTACAAGAGAATCCAGGCATTCCAATGCTTACCCATCCTTCCGATCCCTTGGAATAAAGACGATAGTTATCTTTAGGATATATGGTTTTATTTGCACATATATACAGCCTTAATAAAGGATGCAGGGGCTCACAGCCCAAACACTCAGATCTTGCCTTCCCATTAGGTTTCCAGGGTCAGTCTCCAGCTTCCAGCATCACACACCAAAAACAAACTCCCCCTAGGATGACTCAGCATGCAATCAGGTGAGGAGTGGGTGGTGAGGTGCTTATCCCTTCCTGGAAGCATCTTCTGTTGTCACTACGCCAACACATATCTTCCTACCTAACTCTTCAAGATGCTGATGACACCAGTGAGGGCAATTACTTTAACAAAGGACTTGACTTGTTTCACCAGGTTTTCTCTTGTAGATTCTAACCTTTCTTCACGGAGCTAAGAAGGCAGAAAACCCAGTGGGAATAATCTAGTTGCATGTCTACCTAGCTGAATCACCTAGAGCATGTGGCCCTCCAGGCCTTTTTGGTGGCCCTCAGCAACGATTGATACTCCCCCTCCCAGCCACCTAGCAAGTAACAAGGAGGGCTCATAAGGAGCAGAAATACCTGTCTCTCCTGGGCCTTTGTTGAGATAACAGCTCATCACAGGTCTTCTTTGGGCAGTCCTAGTTATTTTGGGGCCTTGGTCGCCTTTGGTGCCCCCTCTCCCTGTGCATCAGTATGTATAATAATAATAATAAATTTTATTTATACCCCACATACACACCCAGCCAAGACCGGGCTCAGGGCAGCTAACACCCGATATAAAAACAAATTGATTGAAATACAACTTAAAAACAAAATTAAAATACAACATTAAAGCATTAAAATACAGCCTCATTTCAATAGAAACTCAAATCAAAAACTTTTTGGGGGATGAAAACGTCAAGTCTTCACCAAGGCTAACTTTCCAGACTGGTCCTACATGGGCCAGAAAAAAGCCAGGGAAGTCCCCAAATAGGAGTTCCATCGCAGGAGGAGAAAGGAAAAAAGAAAGAGGGGGAGGGAATCAAATTGGCTCCAAGCCAAAGGCCGGGTGGAACAACTCTGTCTTACAGGCCCTGCGGAAAGAAATCAGATCCCGCAGGGCCCTGGTCTCATGAGACAAAGCGTTCCACCAGGCTGGAGCCAGTGTTGAAAAGGCCCTGGCTCTGGTTGAGGCTAATCTGACTTCCTTAGGGCCCGGGACCTCTAGTGTGTTGCTATTTATGAACCTTAAGGTCCTCCATGGGGCATAGCAGGAGAGGCAGTCCTGTAGGTACAAGGGTCCTAGGCCGTGAAGGGCTATGTGTTGTGAATCCTGCTTCTGTACTAGCTATGCCCGCACAATTGCTAAGGCCTAGCTTGTTTAGTCTGAAAGTCTAAGGAACAGACCTCAGGCAGGTTTCTTCATTGTGTGGGTTTTCTGATGTATTTTAAGGTTTCTGCTTTTGCTAAACCTCTTCCCACACTCCTTACATTGATAGGGTTTCTCACCTGTGTGAGTTCTTTGATGTAAAGTTAGACTACTGCTCACGCTGAAGCTCCTTCCACACTCCACACATTTATATGGTTGCTCTCCTGTGTGGGTTCTTTGATGTGCAGAAAGGCTTCCACTCACACTGAAACTTTTCCCACATTCCATACATTGATACGGTTTCTCTCCTGTGTGGATTCTCTGATGTGCAGTAAGGTTTCCGCACTGACTGAAAGTCTTTTCACATACCAGGCATTTATATGGTTTTTCTCCTGTGTGGGTTCTTTTGTGAGCAGTAAGACTTCCACCATCACTGAAGCTCATTCCACACTCCATACATTTATATGGTTTTTCCCCTGTGTGGGTTCTTACGTGTGAAGTGAGGTGTTGATGTTGACTGAAGGTCTTTCCACATTCCAAACATTTATATGGCTTTTCGCCCATGTGAGTTTGTCGGTGTGTATTAAGGTTTCCACTTTTGTTAAAGCTTTTCCCACACTCCATGCATACATATGGTTTCTCCCCTGTGTGGGTCCTTAAATGTAAAGTAAGGCTACTGCTTACAGTGAAGCTCTTTCCACACTCCATGCATTTATATGGCTTCTCCCCAGTGTGAATTCTTTGATGTGAAGCAAGGCTCCCACTCACACTGAAGCTTTTTCCACATTCCAGGCATGTATATGGTTTCTCCCCTGTATGGGTCCTTTGATGTGAAGCCAGACTTCCACTTACACTGAAGCATTTACCACATTCCAAGCATTTATATGGTTTCTCTCCTGTGTGGGTTCTTGCATGTGCACAAAGACTCCCACTGTCAATGAAACTTTTCCCACACTCCAGGCATGTATATGGTTTCTCGCCTGTGTGGGTTCTTTGATGTGTAGCAAGACTACTGCTCACGCTGAAGCTTTTCCCGCATTCCATACATCTATACGGTTTCTCTCCTGTTTGTTTTCTGCAGTGTCCATTTAATATTGGTTCATTTTTTAATATTTCCTCCTCTACTAGAATATTTTCGCTTCTCTTTCCTTTCTGATCTTGTGCAGCCAGAAGCTTGTGGATGCCAGCATCCTGAGAAGCGCTGGGCATGTTCACATTCTTTGAATGGTTTCCTTTGAGCCTCTTTTGTTCCATTTGATTTCCAAATATCTCTGTTCTGGCTTCAGCTTGGGTTGTTTCTAGTGACACCACAGGTGGGGTCCTATAATTCACGTTGTCTTGCTCATCATCTGCTTGGGGGTGGAAATCCCATAAAGAGATTAATACAGTAACCAAAGATTTCAACAAGGACAATTTTTAAAAACTCAAAAATCTCCCCTTCCTGAAACCTGTATGAATATGCTACTGTCTCAGAAAATAACCTGAGTTCCTTTTGGTCCATTTTCTACTTGAGTTCAGTAGGTGTAAAAATGGTGGGTGGGTTTTTTTCTTCTTCTTCTTCTGTGATACAACTGTGATCTCAATTTCTGCAACTTAATATAATAAGGGTGTTTGTGTGTATCAGAACCCCAGCAACATATGCACTCTGTATATTTATAAAGGACCTTGAAAGCGACTGAGAGGGTGGTGCAACTCTCCTGAGAGGAGATGTGACAATGAACCAAGCTTTATAGGCAAGAAAAATGGCAAATAAAGCAGGTACAGTGGTGCCTCGCAAGACGAAATTAATCCGTTCCGCGAGTCTCTTCGTCTTGTGGTTTTTTCGTCTTGCGAAGCACGGCTATTAGTGGCTTAGCGGCTATTAGGGCTTAGCGGCTATTAACAGCTTAGCGGCTATTAGCGGCTTAGCAGCTATTAACGGCTTAGCGGCTTAGCGGCTATTAGCGGCTTAGCGGCTATTAACAGCTTAGCGGCTATTAGCGGCTTAGCGGCTTTAAGAAAAAGGAAACAAACTCGCAAGAACTTGCAAGACGTTTCGTCTTGCGAAGCAAGCCCATAGGGAAATTCGTCTTGCGGAACGACTCAAAAAACGGAAAACTCTTTCGTCTTGTGCGTTTTTCGTCTTGCGAGGCATTCGTCTTGCGAGGTACCACTGTATATGATGCAAATAGCATAATGCATGATGGAGAGAGAGATTAAGAGAGATCTTCTCCCCTTAGCATAATACTATAACTCTGGGTCAGCCCAGGAAGCTGAATGTGGGAAGACTCAGGATGGCAAGAGAAAGCTCTTCTTCACATGACACGTAATTCCACTATGGAATTCGCTCCCGTAAGAGGCCTGGGCAGTGTGTGATTCCGGTGTGTGATTTCAGGCTGCAGGGCAAGTGCTCGCATTATGGAAGGCACACAAAAACGAAAATAAAAGAAAGCAACGCATCTGTTCACACACACAAAGCCAGCATGTCAGGGACACAGCTTGGTAAGGCTTGCTCCCTTACAGCTAGCTTTCTACATGCATTGATATTTTTCTTTTCTTTTTGCAATGGGTGTGTGAAAGGGAGGATTAAATTCCACTTGCTGTTGTTGTTTAGTCGTTTAGTTGTGTCCGACTCTTCGTGACCCCATGGACCAGAGCACGCCAGGCACTCCTGTCTTCTAAATCCCACTTAGTTCCTACTAAGAACCTGAGGTTTACCACCTCATCTACTGTTTGGAAGAAAAACGCTGTGGCAGGAGGATATAGCATTACACTCACATCCATGACTAACACTGCAAGCATCACTTCTCCCTCAATCGAAGTGTAAGTGTGTGTGTGTGTGTGTGTGGCAACAGCCAAGGCCAGGTCTAACACAGTGTAGCAGGGAAGGCATGTCCAGAGCACATAGCCCAGCCTCCCATTTCCACACTGGCATCCCTACAGGGCCCTGAGAAATATCACAAAAAGGACCAACAGTGGGTGATCTTGGGCCAGTAGCTGCCTCTAAGCATAACCTATATCACAGGGTTGCTGTGAAGATAAAATGGGGAGGAGGAGAGCTATGTACACCTGGAGGAAAGGTGGGACAGAAATATAATGTTGTTGTTGTTGTTGTTTAGTCATTTAATCGTGTCCGACTCTTTGTGACCCCATGGACCAGAGCACGTCAGGCACTCCTGTCTTCCACTGCCTCCCGCAGTTTGGTCAAACTCATGTTGGTAGCTTCAAGAACACTGTCCAACCATCTCGTCCTCTGTCATCCCCTTCTTCTTGTGCCCTCCATCTTTCCCAACATAAACATGTATCAACCAAGGAAAAGGAATCCTTACCCAGAGTGGCCATATTCCCACAATTCTCTGGCATGGCTTTCTTGAAGAGCTCTTTAGCCTGGATCAAGGAGATCTCACTCCACTTTGGTGAAATACACAGCTGCCTCCTCAAAGGATTCTAGCCCCTGAAAAAATAAAGAAAATTCTCTATTATGAAATAAACGCCCATGGACATAAAAAAATATTACTATGGTTCCCAGAAAAGAATGAAAGGGTGCTATAACTGAAGAGATTTGTGTCTAGTTTTTATTTGATTATTAATATTTCTTTCATTTCTATACTACCCTTGATCAAAGGGAGGTTTATGACATAAAAGCACAGAAATGCATACCACAGTAACAAGCAATAACAATAAGCCTCCCTGCAAATATTATTATTTCAATTGTGCAGGAGTCAAGACTTCATGAGAGAGACCTTGAAGAACATACACCCTTCTCAGCTGGTTCACCTTAACATCTTGCAGTGCCAAAAAATGAAAGAGGCAAATCCTTTCAGACACACACTCACAACAAAGCAACATGTCACCTCCACACCATACATTTAAAACACATTCAAAGCACATGGCTTTCCCCAAGGTATCTTGGGGGTAGTAGTTTGTTAAATTCGGTGGGAAGGGGAACACTACCGTTCCTAGGACCCATTGGGCGTATCCATGGTGCCCCTCACAAGGATACATTTTACAACTGGCTTAAGTATGACTGAAGAAGCAAAAATAAAAAATACTTGTGATCTATTGTGGTGAGGCTCACAACCCATGCAGAATGACAAAGCTCAAAACCTCTCAGTCACTTTGCACAAGCCAAAGCTCAAAAAGCCACAACATCTGCAGCAGCTGTGCACTGCGAAGCACAGCAGAACCATCACAGTACTTACTTTTCACGATGAATGTTTGGCAAATAGTAAATATAATAATAATAATAATAATAATAATAATAATTAATAATAATTTTTATATTTAAAAATAATAACAAAAAAATCAAAACAAAGGAAATGTACCCAGTTGATCCCTTACAGCTTAATTTATTATTTTTATTATTACAGTGGTACCTCGGGTTACATACGCTTCAGGTTACATACGCTTCAGGTTACAGACTCCACTAACCCAGAAATATTACCTCAGGTTAAGAACTTTGCTTCAGGATAAGAACAGAAATTGGGTGGCGGCGGCGCAGTGGCAGCAGGAGGCCCCATTAGCTAAAGTGGTGCTTCAGGTTAAGAACGGTTTCAGGTTAATAACAGACCTCCGGAACGAATTAAGTACTTAACCCGAGGTACCACTGTATTACTATTACTATAGAGCTTGCACGGTTAAATGCTGGTCTATGACTGTAATAAACTGACTGAATCGAATGAAGCACTAAGTGCTCTGGTTAAGTTGCCTCTGGTTTTTACCTAGTGCAAATGACATCAAGATGGAAATTGAAAAAGAAACACACTTTAAAACTAAATGAAGGAAATCCTTTTTTAAAAAAAATTGGTACCCAAACAACCTGCAGAGCTTTGCAGGGGGGGGGGGGGAAGGTTATCCACAGAATCATAGAGTTGGAAGGGATCACGAGAGTCATCTAGTCCACCCCGCTTGCTTGTTGCCACCTTCGCTCACTGCGGACAGTCCACGAGAACACCCACCCACCCACCCACCCACCCAGTCCCTGAGCTGAGCTTTGCATCCCTCTCAGCCTGCAGGTCTCCTCAGCGCCCTCTCAGTGAGGACTGAGCTAATCTTGCGGTTGGCAAGGGAGGGTGAAGCATTCAAGAGGCTCTTGCAATGGAAAGAATGCCGATATTTGGGGCCCACTTTGGATTTGGACGCATCAGCCCCCCATGACCTACCTCCCCTTGCTGCAGAGCGCAAAACTGTGGCGGGGTTGCCCCCTTCCTTGCCATTTGGGGTGTCCCCTCCCTGCCGCCTCTCAGGTTGTTTCTGCTGCGTTTGCAGCACCCAAGTGGCCTTCCGGGGGGGGGGGCGCAAGCCTGGGCCGTGTTTCTGGAGGTCCTGGGGTGCCCAGGGGACACGACCCCCCCCCCTCTCAGCCTCTCTGATGCGCTGCAAAGGAAAGCCGAGCCATGCATTTGACACCAGCTGGGCTGCGGCAGTTGCCAGGGGGAGGCATACAGGATCCAAGCATCTTTCACCCAACGCTGAGGCTTTACCTCTTTGATCTCAGGAGGCTCAGGCCCTTTCCTGGAACATAAAAAGGAGCGCGCTTTACTATTGCCTTGCCCACTTCGCTTTCTTTCCCCAGCACTCCCCACCTCTCTCTCCTGCCTCTCTAGGAATCTCAACTCAATTGATTTAACCTTTGGAGAGCCGGGCAGGACTCTCTCTCTCTCTCTCTCTCTCTCTCTCTCTCTCTCTCTCTCTCCACTCCCATGTCGCATTCTGCAAACCTTCACAATTCTGAGCGGTTTTAACAGTCAGGGTACTCCGGGAATTGTAGCTCTGGCTGGGGAATGGGAGGTCTGCCAGCACCCCTCAGCACCCAGAGCAAACTACAGGAGGAGGCAGCCAGCAAAAATTAGGGCAGGAAGGTTGGCACAGGAAAAGGGACAGTGGAAAAATCTCCCTCGGGAGGTGGTGGACACTCCTGCCTGGGAGGTGTTTAAGCAGCGGTTGGATGGCCATCTGACACAGATGCTTTAGCTGTGATTCCTGCATTGTGCGGGGTTGGACTAGATGACCCTTGGGGAGCCCCTCCCAACTCTACAATTCTGTGATTCTGTTGTAAACAAAATCTGCCCTTTTTCCCTTATGGGGTATCCAAGAGCTCGGATAGAGTCCTTACGTGGGTTCCCTATTGGTAGGAGAAAATAACAGGCCAGCCAGAGAATATTGAGAAGCAAGGCAGCTAGTAAGCCTGATCTTTATTGATCTGTTGCAGCAGATCACAGGCAAGAGAGGAGGACCCAGAACAAACGTGTTCCTGCCCTTATATAGACATTTTAAATTCCCTTCCCTGGATCTCAAGACCACCCCTCCATACATCATACATACATCACAGAAGGGGTGTAACCCAAGACCACCCCCCACAAACATCATACCTACATCACAGAAAAGGTGGTCTACAACAGAAATTTGAGTTACAGATGGGTAGCCGTGTTGGTCTGCCATAGTCGAAATAAAAAAATTCCTTCCTGTAGCACCTTAAAGACCAACTAAGTTAGTTCTTGGTATAAGCTTTCGTGTGCATGCACACTTCTTCAGATACAGAAATTTGAGTGTTGTTGTTTTTCCTGTCTGTCAGGTTATCTGATAATGTCTTATCTGATTGCCTTTCCTGAGAGTGAGAGTCTGCCCATTCCTTTGAAATGGTGATTACTAAATTCCTGTAACAAGGAAGGGTTTTTTTCATCTCCTCCCTCCTTGCAGAGAAACATTTGGTCAGCTTGGGAGTCAAAATGGTTTCAGGACTGTCTTCCTGTGCTGCTCTATGTACGTGCTTGGTTGGTTTTTTTTATGAACATTTGTTAAATATATAAGACCTTAAATTTTATTATTACTATTCTAGGGTTGCCATATTTAAAAAGCCAGGACACCCCAATATTATTTTTTTTTGAAAACCCAAAAATTGTTGCACTTTTCCCCAAGAACTCCCAAAGTTGTTGAGCTTGGGACCCTGAGCCTAGCCTTGGATGCTCTCCTCCAGTTGAGGTGAATGGGGTCTTTGGAATAGATGGGGAAAGGGCAGAATTCCAGGAGGAGCTCAGGTTGGGGAAGAGCTGGGGGGGGGGGGGCTTGGGGCAAGGGAGACTCAAAGGAGGAAGCGCCTAATATTCTCCCCTCCTCCAGCATCATGAGGCTGAACAGGCAGTTCTTGGTGTGGCCGAGGAAGAGGATGAGGATGATAATGATGATGATGATGATGATGATAATATTTTATTTATACCCCGCCCATCTGGCTTGGTTTCCCCAGCCACTCTGGGCAGCTCCCAATGAAATAGTAAAGACACGATAAAACATGAAAAACTTCCCTAAACAGGGCTGCCTTCAGATGTCTTCAAAAAGTCAGATAGTTGTTTATTTCCTTGACATCTGATGGGAGGGCATTCCACAGGGTGGGCGCCACTACCAAGAAGGCCCTCTGCTTGATTCCCTGTAACCTTGCTTCTTGCAGTAAGGGAATGACCAGAAGACCCTTGGAGCTGGACCTCAGTGTCCGGGCTGAACGATGGGGTTGGAGATGCTCCTTCAGGCATACTGGACCAAGGGTATTTCGGGCTTTAAAAGTCAGCACCAACACTTTGAATTGTGCTCGGAAATGCACTGGGAGCCAAGGAAGATTCTTAAGGACTAGTGTTATATGGTCCCAGTGGCCGCTCCCAGTCACCCATCTAGCTGCCGCATTCTGTGTGTTGCGGGGGGGGGGGGGAGAGAATCTCAGGGTGGGGAATAGCAGTCAATCTAACGCTATTCCCTACATCTCTCCAGCTTCATGAAGCTGGACTTTGGATCAGTGGTGTTAGGGACCCCCAAAGAGAGGTGGGTGCGTGGGAGGGACATATATCACCCCAGCAGCCAACCCGTTTTGTGGCATTTCTGGAGGAATCTGTGGCAGAGGCAGCTGATTGGACAGGGCTGGGGGGCAGCAGTCAGCTGGAGGGCCACCTTCTCTGAGGAGCCACCTTCTGGGGGCTGCAGGCCAGGACTGTACCCAAGGAATCATAGCTGTCAACGTTTCCCTTTTTTTAAGGGAAATTCCCTTATTCCGAATAGGATTCCTCACAAGAAAAGGGAAAAGTTGACAGCTATGCAAGGAATCAAGGTCCGTATAGTTAAAGCTATGGTTTTCCCAGTAGTGATGTATGGAAGTTAGAGCTGGACCATAAAGAAGGCTGATCGCCGAAGAATTGATGCTTTTGAATTATGGTGCTGGAGGAGACGCTTGAGAGTCCCATGGACTGCAAGAAGATCAAACCTCTCCATTCTTAAGAAAATCAGCCCTGAGTGCTCATTGGAAGGACAGATCCTGAAGCTGAGGCTCCAATACTTTGGCCACCTCATGAGAAGAGAAGACTCCCTAGAAAAGACCCTGATGTTGGGAACGATGGAGGGCACAAGGAGAAGGGGACGACAGAGGACGAGATGGTTGGACAGTTTTCTCGAAGCTACGAACATGAGTTTGACCAAACTGCGGGAGGCAGTGGAAGACAGGAGTGCCTGGCGTGCTCTGGTCCATGGGGTCACGAAGAGTTGGACACGACTAAACGACTAAACAACAACAACATGCAAGGAATCCAGGAGATGACTCTTGGAAGAACCTTGCCTGGTGCTCTAAGAGGAACTCACCTGTTCCCGTGTCCTTCTCTTGTTGCAGATCTACCACGGGTATTTTCCCCAGCACCAGTTGTGAGCATTGGAGAAAACAAGAGCTGGGACTGGATCCCTCAGACCTGCCCCCCCCCCCCGCCCTGGCTCTTTGCTTCCCACTCTGCACTCTCAGATGCGGAAAAGCCCACCCCCTTATGCGGAACTGAAAGCCTGACTTGCCATTTCAGCAACTGGAGCAAGAACAAGTTTTCTTGCTCTAGGTCATCCAGACCTGCCACGCAGCCATGAAAGGCCTCTGCAGTATTCAGTGCTCCAAGCTGTGGACGATGGAAGGAGGTGGGTGGGTGGGAGGTTTGGGGATGGAGAAGCCAAGCCTGGCGTTTGGGGTTGGAGCCGTCCTCTGGAGGCCCCTGGAGGGAGCTGACCTTTCTCCTCTGCTCTCTTCCAGAACATCCTGGGGCACCTGGAGTGCTTTGAAGATCACCCCCTGATTTTGGCCTTGACCCTGGAGGCTCTTTTCCAGCTGAGGTGAACGGGGTCTTTTGAATGGACACTTTGCAAGGAACTGACAGCCTGACTTTTGCATTTCAGCAACTGGAGCAAGAACAGCTGTTCAGCCCGGACACTGAGATCCAGCGCCAAGGGCCTTCTGGCGGTTGCCTCATTGCGAAAAGTGAGGTTACAGGGAACCAGACAGAGGGCCTTATCGGCAGTGGCGCCTGCCCTGTGGAATGCCCTCCCATCAGATGTGAAGGAAATAAGCAGCTATCTTCTCTTTAAAAGACATCTGAAGGCAGCCCTGTTTAGGGAAGTTTTTAATATTTAATGCTGTATTGTTTTTAACACTTGATTGGAAGCCACCCAGAGTGGCTGGGGAAACTCAGCCAGATGGGCAGGGTATAATTAATTAATTAATAATAATAATAATAATAATAATTGCTCCAGGTGATCGAGAACTGCCAGGCAGCAGGGGGCTCCGAACCCTCAAGCGCTCCAAGCACCTTAAGACGGAAACCATTCTGGTGAGTGATGAATGGTGTGAGGGACCCCCTCGGGGAGGTGGGGGGAGGGCAGGGCAGGGGGTTGGGGAAGGGGTTGTGCATCTGCCCAAGAGGAGGACCCTGCCAGCTTAGGGCATGGGGTTGCCATTCCCCAGGAAAGCCAAGCGTGGTGTTTGGGGCTGGAGGTTCCCGGAAGCAGCTGACTTTTCTCCTCTGCTCTCTTCTGGACGTATGACAGCCCTGGTGATTCTATTTTCAAGAACTTCACATACCACAATATTCTGCATTGGTCAGACCACTACAGATATAATTTATGACAGGGGTAATAACCCCCGGCTTGCAGGCCAAACCCATAGTCTCCAGGCCCCTCCTCCTGGCCCTGGGGATGCTCCCCTTGTCAGGCCCCTGTTAAGCCTTGCACCTGACCCACCTCAAGTGTTTTCCCCCAGAGCTTCCTAGAATTGAGATACAGTTGTACCTTGGATCCCGAACACCTTGCAAGTCGAATCTTTTGGCTCCCAAATGACTGAAACCCGGAAGTGAGTGTTCTGGTTTTCGATTGTACTTTTGGAAGCCAAACATATGAAAGGGCTTCCGCGGCTTCTGATTGGCTGCAGGAGCTTCCTGCAGCCAATTGGAAGCTGTGCTTTGGTTTTCGAACGTTTTGGAAGTCAAACGGACTTCCAGAATGGATTCCGTTCAACTTCCAAGGTACGACTGTACTGCTTCCAGAGGTGGGTTTAGAGGAGCTCCACTGGTTCGCCCACACTGGGTGCCAAGCCAAGAAGGAATTTTATTTATTTTTGTTTGAACATTATTTATATACCCCTTGATGGTAATAAAAATAATTTAAGATGCTATAAAACAATAAACATGCTTGCCTAAACAATTAAAATAATTAACAGGCTTGCCTGAACAAAAAAATGTTTTAAATAGGTGCCAAAGAGTTTGGCAAATGTGCCTTCCTGGGGTCAATAGGCAGGGAGCTTCAAAGTGTTGGTGCAACCACACTGACATGCTGAGTTCTCCCTATATGGGACAGTTGCATATTCCTGCACTGTAGGAGGGGTTGGACTAGATGATCCTTAGGGTCCCTTCCAAGTCTACAATTCAATGATTCAACAAGTGTCTCGTCAGCCACACTTTATGACTCCTTTCACGAGCCAGGTAGGACAGCTTTTGTAGTGGGTCTGTGGCAGCATCCAGTAGCTGAGGAGGGAGAAGAAAGGGGCACTAAGAGATGCAGAGGGAATGAATAAAGCTCTCTTTGAGAATTGTTTATTTCTTATGGTTGGAAGGGTAGACAGGAAAACAGGATGCCTGTACCCTAGCCTTAACTGCCTTGTCTCATACACAAATGTGGAAAGTTAATCCCTCTCCTAAACTAATTCCTCTACTTCGAGGACATAAGCTTTGTCCAGCTGCTTTTTTTTAGATAAGTACTTTAAAAAAAATCTATTGTTGGCATCCATTCATCTTGAGAGACAATGGAGTGTGCCTCTGGAGGTGAAGCCAAACTGCTGCACTAGGAGCACCAAGCCAGCGCAAGTGCGTATGGAGGTCCTGGGCTGCCCAGATGACAAGACTCAGCCATTTACTTTTTAAAAAAAAAAAATATTTATTAAAAGTTTAAGAATTACAGAAAGAAGTAAAAAAGAAAGAGAAAATAAACAATACAAATCAATACATTACAATACATATAAAAAAAAATCAACAGACACAATACATCAAAACAAAAACAAAAGCAAAAACAATTAAAAACACATCCAATATTTCCATATCTTTATCTTTCATTAACTTGTTTCATTGACCTCCTCACACCTCCCTTTTTTGTATTCTAGTTATTAATTATTTCAGCAAATCCTTTCCATCTTTCACTATTTTCTGTCATTTAATTGTCTTAACTTATTTTAACCTTATATTACCATTAAAACCCTAAAACTTATTTATACTTAACTCCTTATAACATTTCTACTAAAGCCGTATAATTTCGTTCCAACATTTTTCTAGCACTCATTAATTTTACAATATTTTTCTAAATAAATTTTTAAACTTTTTTCCAATCTTCTTCCACCGTCTCTTCTCCCTGGTCTCGGGTTCTGTCAGTCCTTTCTATCAATTCCATATGGTCCATCAACCTGGTGATCTTCTGTCCGAGGCTCTTAACTCTTTTCCATGTCCCTTCTGCAGATCTTCTTCATATTTATACATGCACTTTACTTTATCTTCTGCTGATCTTGTTCTTAATTTCCTTCCTTTGGCACTGAGGAGTAGATCTTGGGGAAACTCCAACCTAACAATGTCTTTATTCCTTCTCGACAGGTCAGCCCATTCTCCATAGTCAGAACTAAAGTCCAAAAGATATTTCAGAGCATGTTTCAAAATCCCTCCGAAGCTAAAGGCCCCCACAACTCCAATCTCCCCCTGACCCAAATCCAGATCCCAAAAGCCAGAGCATCCCTGGAGAACTGACCAACTTTCCTTCTCCAAACCAAGCGGGACTCCATCCCTCCAAATCTGGCTTTCTCTAGATTCAATCGTAGAAGGCCACAGCTTATATTCATCAAATTGCCTCTGTAAGGCCGGGGCTCTCTTGATTTGAATTACTAGAGATTCAACGACAGCTTTCTCCTTCATCTTCTCCACAGCTTGCCATGTCAAAACAGATTCCTGAATCAATTCCTGGGTAGTTTCTGTATAGGTATTCACTTTTTGTCCCAAATCAGTCATTTTTTGTCCCAAATTGTCAATTTTAATAATCCTCACATCCATCTTCTCATGAAGCTGTTCCAATAAAGCACTTGTCTTGCAAAATGCAATCACTAAGGCTTCTTCTGTCAACATTCTTGTCAAGGTCAGTCTCTGTTTCTCACGGTCTTTAATCTCTACAGCTGGAAAATTCCCCAGCTCCACTCCTGCAACAGTTTCAAAAGCTCCCTCTAGGGGAAACAATTTACATTTGTATCCATCCTTTTAATCGCAGATCCAGCAACAAAGTTAGTTTCAATTTTCCTTTTTAAGTGCAAAAGGAAACAATGGAAACAATATATTTCTCTTATTTAACTATCTGTCAACATACATTTATTCACAGTCAATGAACTTTCCCAAAACGTCTATCTTACTGACAGCCCGTTCCCAGGTTCGAAACGGTGGTAATTTATCTTTCTTCACTCTCTCTCCTGCAGGCTTAGACGATCTAAAATTTCCCCCCTCTTCTCCTGCTTCCAAGGGGGGTTTAGTGATTTTAACCGATGGAGATTAAATCCTTTACAAAAGGCTTTCCAGGCTTTAGCTTGCAACGTCTTTGCTTCAATTTATTTACAAAAGAGGAAGGCGGACTTCCTGTTTGAAACCTTCCCGTTACGATGCCAAATTAAGATGTTTAAAGATCCAATTTTCCGTTCTACTCACGGGTAGTTGTTTAAAGTCCAATTGTTCACAGGAAAAAGTCAGCGCTCTCCGGCAACAGCAATGCGGCTTCACTCCATGAAAGAAGCAGTCGATTTGAAGCACCGCGCCGCTCACCCCACGTCGCTCCGGATCCCTGAAACCGGGTTTCCCCGCGAGTAGGGGAGGCGCAAAAGGTGCCAGCCGAATCCCACGTCCAGAGGCTTCTCCCGCCTGTGGTTTTTAGTGGGTCTCCGCCTCGCCGTGGCGGTCCAGACCCTGATTTCCACGGAGCGGATTCCTCCAGATCAGAGGAAATCCGCCATTGCCAGAGGCGCTAACCCGGAAGTCCCAAGACTCAGCCATTTACCTTCCTGCCAGAGTGGTACCTATTTCTCTACTAGCACTTTGACGTGCTTTCAAACTGCTAGGTGAGCAGGAGCAGGGACCGAACAACGGGAGCTCACCCCGTCGCGGGGATTTGAACTGCTGACCTTCTGATCGGCAAGTCCTAGGCTCTGTGGTTTAACCCATAGCGCCACCCGCGTCCCTTTATCAGAAAGGATAGACCTCTTTTATTAAGGTAGCTTTGTGATCACTCAGCACCTACTAATGTCAGTGGCATCATCAAAGGTTTGTTCCCCTGCTCATCTTCCAAAATGGTATATGCTGCTAATTGCCACCATTACCACTCTGCATTCCACACGCAAACAGGTCAGCATTTACACAGAATAAAGCGATGGCAACCTGAAATCAGAAAGACCAGTGTCGAGAAATTGGGTTAGCTTATGAACTTTCTCAAGACTCTAGCCGTTCATTACCACACTGATCATGTTTTTTTAAAAAATACACTTTCGAAGTTTCACAATTCACCACTTGAATCTTTTATTGTGTATTTAAAGCATAAACGTTAGTAGTGAAGTTTTCAGGTGCAACTGATCCTATTTTCTTGATTACATCTCAACTGCTACATTAAAAATGGACCAAATATAAATCACCAACAACCTCTAATCTCTAAAGTAACTTTGACAGGAAATGCAATTTGCAAAGGATGGAGTTCCGTGACGCACCATTACAAATGTTTCACTTGCACAAGCATTCCAGATAGCTGGTTGCAACACCCCCCCTCCCCCTATGCTCTACTTTGGGGTTTCTCCTGACTGCCGCTTCAGCCAATTTTGGGGGCTTGGGTGGGGCCACCCCCATTACATACGACTTCTGCTGATGGGATTGATTAGGTGAATCTCAACCAGTGTTGGAAAGTGTGCAGTGGGTCTCAAAAATGCACCTAAGAAATAGATCAAGTATAAGAAAACTAGGGAAGATGGAAAACCAGCCACCATATATATTTTGACTACTTCTACACTATCTAATAACTGGAGCTTTTATACACTTAGTCCCCTCTCTCAAATACAGACTGGTCACACATTTCCTTCCCCCATTAATTACTGCAACGCATTATTAGTCTCACTGCTTCCTTTCTCAAATCTGCCCACTCAAATCTTCTAATCTAATCTACACTGTCCAACTTTACAACCAACTGATTATTTCCTACTATTCATATCCTCTCTTTCTAATCCACCCCGTTAACCTTGGATGTGGGTTATATTTTCCAAAGACATTTACCATGCAATGTGTGTTCCCAATAGACAACCTTTCTTACTGCACAAATAAAAACTGTAATCCAAAGAGCAAATTCTAGTGTAGGCACACTGATGGAAGGGATAATCCTCAGAAGCATGAGTGAGGAATACCTACTGTATTTGCAGGAAACAGAGAAAAACATAATCTTAATAAATCCTAAAATATCAAAGAATTTGTCACAGAAGCATGCCAGTGGGTTCTCATCTGCGTAGGTTCTCTGAAGTCTAAGAAGATTTGTGTTGATTCACAATGTGTTGATCCCAGATGTTTCTTCCTTATGTGGATTCTTTGATGTCCCCTGTGAAACTCATTTCATATACCATACATTCATATGGCTTCCTCCCTGTGTGGGTTCTTTCCTGCGTAGCAAGTCTGCTCTCAGAGTGCATGATTTAAATAATTTCACTCCTGCCTGCATAAAATGAGAAACCACGCTATCTAAATCTTTCTTAATTTATACATTTATTATTTCTTCCCTGTGTTTTTTGAATATTTCGTAATCATTTTGCTGTGCTCTTTCCACTACCCAGGGATTTATAGTCTCTCTTATGCAATTTCCTTTGATCCATACTAAGATCTTTATGGATCATGGGTCATATTAGAGTTGGAATACAACTTCTGTGGGAAACCAGGGTGGGAAAGGCTTTCTTAGGCATTTATATTATTCTCACATATTTTGCTGCCAAGATAGCTTTCAATCAAGATTGAAGCTTGGTTCAAACTCCATGCATTTATATAGTTGTTTCTTTGTGTGGGTTCTTTGATGGGTAGTAACACTTCCACTCTGACTGAAGCTTTTTCCACACACTAAGCATTTATATGGTTTCTCTCCTGTGTGAGTTCTCTGATGTGAAGTAAGGGTGCTGCTCACACTAAAGCTCTTTCCACATATCATGCATTTATAAGGTTTCTCCCCTGTGTGGGTTCTCTGATGTTTAGTAAGGTTTCCACTATCATGGAAGCATTTCCCACACATTAAGCATTTATATGGTTTCTCTCCTGTGTGAGTTCTTTGATGTGTATTAACGTGTGCACTCTGGCTAAAACATTTTCCACACTCCATGCATTTAAATGGCTTCTCTCCTGTGTGGGTTCTTTGATGTGAACTAAGCTTTTCACTATTAATGAAGCTCTTTCCACACTCCACACATTTATAAGGTTTCTCTCCTGTATGGGTTGTTTGATGTGTTTTAAGGTTTGCACTTTGGCTGAAGCACTTTCCACACTCCATACATTTATATGGTTTCTCCCCAGTGTGGATTCTTTGATGTAGAGTAAGGCTACCACTCACACTGAAGCCTTTTCCACATTCCATGCATTTATATGGTTTCTCCATAGTGTGCATTTTTTTATGTTTAGTAAGGCTTCCACTACCATGGAAGCACTTTCCACACAGTAAGCATTTATATGGTTTGTCTCCTGTGTGAGTTCTTTCATGTGTTTTTAGATTTACGCTCTGGGTGAAGCACTTTCCACACTCCCTACATTTATATGGTTTCTCACCTGTGTGGGTCCTCTGATGTGTATTTAGGTTTGCACATTGGCTGAAGCACTTTCCACACTCCATACATTTATATGGTTTCTCCCCAGTGTGGATTATTTGATGTGCAATAAGGCTATTGCTCACACAAAAGCCTTTTCCACATTCCATACATTTATAAGGTTTTTCCCCTCTGTGGATCCTTTCATGTGAAGTGAGACTTCCGCTATCACTAAAGCACTTTCCACACTCCGTACATTTATACGGTTTCTCTCCTGTGTGGGTTCTTTGATGTTTAGTAAGGTTACAGCTGACACTGAAGCTCTTTCCACATTCCATACACTTAAATGGTTTCTCTCCTGTGTGGGTTCTTTGATGGATAGTAAGGTTACCACTCACACTGAAGCCCTTTCCACATTGCATGCATTTATAGGGTTTCTCCCCTGTGTGGGTTCTGCGATGATTATTTAGTGTTGATTTGTCTTTGAACATTTTTCCACACACTGGACACTTTTTCACTCTTTCAGTATCTGGTGGAAGTTGAGGGTGTTCTGAACATGGAGAAGCAGAGTATTTCTTCCTCCAATTCTTTGACCGCTTTCTGTCCTGCCTTTTTGATGTCCTTTGGTTTCCAAATGTATTCTTCCCCACTTCATGCTTGATTGTTTTCAACGAATCCAAAGATGGCTCATCATGAATTTCATTATCCTTCGCATCACCTGCTTGGGAAGAAGAAAGGAAAGGGGGGGGGGAATGTTATTCAGTCATTCAGCTGAATTTCTCAGACACTGAGGTTCTGAGGCAATGACCTACGAGATGTTACAGAACAGAATGGAAGAATTTTGGTCCAGAAAATCACTTGTCTATAACAGTGTTTCCTAATAATTACTCTGTTTTTTCCCTGCAGAGCTGTTCTGTTCTGTGTTCCATTTTTTAAAAAAAAGAACTTAGACATTCATTTGCGTATTTTTTCCTCCCTCCTAATCCATTTCCCTTTTGCCTTTTCAAACTGCAAATCTGAGGCAGGGACTGACTCACTTCTTTTAGCCATCTGTATGGCCACTCTGAGAGGCTTTCTTTTGGCTGAAGAATAGGATAAACAAACTAACTAATGAAGGAGTATGATTACCAGTCAGCAATAAAGACATCTGTTTATATGCGAGTGTGACTGTATATTCATGGAATACTTGACTTCAGGAATAATTCTGAATTCTGTTTTATTTATTTTCTAGCTGTAATCTACAACACCTCACCACCAACAGGCAACACAGCAGATGAGACTTAGCAATGTTTGGGAAAGGAGATTGCTGGAACCTGCTGCTCTGTTTATCAGGTTCAAACCTTTAAAAAATAAATAAAGTTTTCCATATTAGCACAGTTCTATGATCCTACCTCTTATTCTGCTCTATTAGATGCAGCAGACATTTTGTGTTATGCCATGCCAAAAGAGCAATTTTACGCTATGCCCCACAGGGACATTTTTGTGACTAGAGCTCACAACACATTCTCATAATTCTGAATGTGTCCAGGGCCCCAACCAAATGCCACCACTGACCTCAAGAGTCCCTGAATGTTATGCTGATGCCTGGGCTGGTGACTCCTCCCAGAACCGCCCAGTTTGCCAAATGTAGCTTGCACCAGTGAAGAATCACAGAGAAGAGGGCTCAAGTAGCAAGTTGGGAAGCCCCATATTTATAAGTCTGAAAGGGCCTTTGAGTGGAAAGAGCCGCAGGGGAAATGCCTGAATGACTAGCAAATTAGGTGAGGAATGTCTAAAGTAACTAATGAGGATAAGGATGGAAATGTCAAAGCGGCTATTAAAGGTCAAAAATACTATATTCTGTAACAGAAACACCACACTGCACTAAGCCTGCATGATCAAGGCATTACATTACTCAATGTATGTGGGAGCTACTTCTCTCCCTTTCCAAAGAGACAGCTGCCTCCCTGTTGTGTATTGAGTCAAAGGATTTTATATCTGTATTATTATTGTCTGTATTTGCATTAGGGTAAAGTAACTGCCTTTTGGTTCCAGAGGGTACAGCTACTATTGGTTCATTTAAGCTGCTGTATTTGGATCCTCTGTCTTATTGGTTCCCTCCAAAAGGCAGGACTGTGATTGCCTGATATTGTTCCCTCCAAAATGTATCCTTTCTTGCTAGTTCCCTGTCCCTATAAATGTAGCCTTCCTCTCCCCAGTCTTTAGTCTTGTTGCTTAAATAAAGAAGTGTTACTAGAGAACTGTCTCCAGCATGTTATATCAAGAGAGCTGAAATCACAAACCCCACGTCACAACAACTGGCGACGAAGGTGGGATCCGGAATGCTGAGGAGCGGTTAAACGCAGCCCTGCCTCAGAGTCCGGATTGCAGCTAAGAACAAGACTCACTGGCCAGCTGAGAAGACGACCCTGCCCACAGGACAATGGAGAGTCCAAGGGTATTGGAGCCCTTCCAGCCATCAGAGCCCCACACGTGGGAAGACTACGTCGAACGCTTCGAGTTCTTCGCAGAGGCTCAAGGGATCACCGATGCCAGCAAAAGAAGGGCCACATTCCTGAGCTACTGTGGGCCTGAGACCTTCAAGCTGGCCAAGGCATTGCTTGCTCCAGCGAAGCTAAGTGAGACATCTCTCAAAGATATTCTTGCCTGCCTAACAAGCCACTTGGCGCCTACTGAGACCAAGATGGCTCGGAGGATGGAGTTTCATAAGAGGCAGCAGCATGCTGGGGAGTCTGTATCTGCATTTCTGGCTGAACTGCGGAAGCTCGCTCAGCACTGCGACTTCCAAAATCTGGAAGAGACTCTCCTGGATCGGTTTGTCGGTGGTCTGAGCAGCAAGAAAGCCAGAAGACGCATCGTGGCTAAAGAAGAGGTTACCCTTGCTTCAGCCTTGAAGGAGGCCACCGCCACGGAGAATTATGAAAGAGAGGAGCTTGATGCCAGTCGCAAGGCCCCTAAGCCACAGATAGAAGTTGCGCATGCCATGGACGAGCTAGAGGCTACTCCGAGCCAGAGCCCAGTCCGTGGGGTCGAGTCAGTGCGTCAGGCCTGCACAGTGCACAAAGATCACCGAGGCAGGTGCCCAGGTTGTGGCGGAAACCATGAGCGGAAGAGTTGTCGTTTCCGGGATGCTATGTGCCGGACGTGCGGGAAGACAGGTCACATCGCCAGGGTGTGTAGATCGGCGGCGTTGGGAGCGACAGGAGCACCTAGACCGGAGCATCGTAGACCGCCCACAGCAACCCATTTTCTAAAGGACTGCCACTACGTAACTGAGATCAACGGGAGGGTCGTGCAGTTCCCAGCGCAAGGCAAGGCACACATCAAGGTGAAGATTGAGGGTCAGCAGTGCGACATGGAGGTGGACTCCGGATCTGGATTCACTATCGTGTCGGACCAGACCGCGAGGACATTCTTCCCCAGGGGTAAGTTGCCCCCTCTGGAGCCCTTCCCAGCAACCTTGCAGTCATACTCAGCGGGCCGCATCCATGTTATGGGAATGTGTGCCGTGAGAGTACAGTTCCGGGACAAACAGGCTGTACTCAAACTGGTGATTGCGAAGGGCAGTCGCCCCAGTCTCCTGGGCACTGACTGGTTCCCCGCCCTGGGACTGAGTATATCAGGGCTTAATTCAATCCAAACCTGCCCTGAGATGAGCGAGGCATTATGCAAAGAATTTGCTGGTCTCTTTAATGGAAAACTGGGTTGTTATAAAGGGCCCCCAGTTGACTTCGAGTTGGACCCTGGGGTGGCCCCAATCCGACTCAAACCAAGGCGAGTGCCATTTGCACTGCAACCCAAGATCGAAGCAGAGCTGGAGAAATTGGTCAAGCAGGGAGTTCTCTCACCCGTGGACTCTGCTAAGTGGGAGACTCCAATCGTCACGCCCCTTAAAGCAAATGGGGAAGTCAGGATCTGTGCAGATTACAAATGCACTATCAATAAGGCACTCAGGGGAAACTCATACCCCATTCCAGTCGTATCACATCTGTTGGCTAAACTGGCTGGGGGCAAGGTGTTCGCCAAAATTGACCTGGCACAAGCTTACCAACAGCTGCCAGTAACCCCACAATCAGCGGAAGCACAGACTATTGTCACACATAAAGGGGCGTTCAGAGTTAACAGATTACAATTTGGAGTTTGTGTGGCCCCAGGGATTTTTCAAGGGCTCATGGAACGCCTGTTAAGAGGTCTGCCGGGGGTCTTGCCATTTTTTGATGATGTTTTGATTGCTGGAAAAGACCCACAGGAACTGGTTGCGCGTGTTCGTGCAGTGTTGCTCAAGTTCAAGGAGGTGGGGTTGCAACTGAAAAAGGAAAAATGCAGTTTTGGGGTGCCAACTGTGGATTTCTTGGGGTTTAAAATTGATGCATCAGGCATCCACCCCACAGATGCGAAGATTAAGGCCATCATCGAGGCGCCACGACCACAGAACAAGACGGAGTTGCAGTCATTCCTGGGACTTATTAACTTTTATCATTCATTCTTACCCCAGAAAGCTTCGGTAGCTGAACCATTACATAGACTGTTGCAGAAAAAGAATGTGTGGCGATGGGGGCAGGGGCAGCAGAAGGCTTTTGACTCCTTGCGAGGAATGCTGAGTAGCAGGAGCGTCCTTGCTCATTATGACGAGTCAAAGCCTCTGGTCCTGGCATGTGATGCCTCTCAATACGGCCTGGGGGCGGTGCTAAGTCATAGGGAACCGGATGGGTCGGAAAAGCCCATCTCTTTCTATTCCCGTACGTTGTCGCCCACGGAGCGCAACTATGCTCAAATTGACAAAGAGGCGCTTGCAATTGTGGCAGGAATCAAAAGTTCCATGATTATGTGTACGGTCGCCATTTCTACATTGAAACGGACCACAAGCCACTGTTAGGGTTGTTCAACCCGAACAAACAAACGCCACAAATTCTCTCCCCCAGAATGTTACGTTGGTCTATATTCCTGAACGGGTTCCAGTACACCTTGACCCATGTGCCGGGAAACGGTTGTGCCACGCGGATGCGCTGAGTCGATTGCCCCTTCCTGGCGGGAGCACTGAGGATCCTGCTCCAGCGGAGCACATAATGATGCTGGAAACACTTCCGGGGCTCCTGTAACGGCTACTGATATAGCTGAGAAAACGAGGAAAGATGCTGTTCTCTCCCGTGTGCTCACTTGGGTGGGGAGGGGTGGCCAGGTGGTCCGCATGAAGACAAATTCAGGCCTTATGCGACTAGGCAGCACGAGTTGTCCATGCATAAGGGTTGTCTCCTGTGGGGAGATAGGGTGATCATCCCAGCACCACTGAGAAACAGGGTTCTTGAGACGCTTTACATGGGACACCCGGGAATGGTCAGGATGAAGTCGCTAGCCCGATGTTATGTGTGGTGGCCTGGAATGGACCAGAACATAGAACAATGGGTACGAACATGCAAGGCATGCCAAGAGGTACGGCCAGAAGTGGCCAGAGCACCAGTCCACTGGTGGGAGCAGTCCAGATCTCCCTGGAGCCGGCTGCACTTAGATTTTGCTGGGCCATTCCAGGGGAAGGTCTTTTTGGTTATCGTCGATGCATATTCCAAATGGTTAGAAGTGGCGATGGTTCCTAGCATGGCATCAGCTGCCGTAATCAAGGTGTTGAGGCAGCTGTTTGCAACCCACGGGTTACCTGAGACCATTGTATCAGATAATGGGGCAGCTTTTGTATCCCAAGAATTCAGGGCATTCTTGGCTGATAACTTCATAAGAGGGGTCACATCCGCGCCCTTTCACCCATCCTCCAATGGGCAGGCTGAGCGCATGGTAAGAACAGCCAAAGAATCCATTGCGCGCTTAATGGAGGGTAACTGGTCAGCTCGCATCGCGCGAATGTTATTTTTGCAGCATGCGACGCCGTGTACCGCGACGGGCAAGTCGCCAGCTGAGCTGCTCTTGGGTAGGAGACTGGTAACGGTGCTGGATTATGTCCACCCGGATAAAATGCCAAACCGTAATTCAAGAGCAACCCCCCAAGCTGAGACTGACACAACAAGGTATCTCGCCCCTGAAGATCTGGTCTGGGTGAGGAACTATTCACGAGGTTCGTGGTGGGTGGCTGGTGTGGTCACCCGGGCTAGTGGACCTGTGTCCTATTATGTGACCTTGGAAAATGGGCAAGTGTGGAAGAGACATATAGATCAGCTGAGGCGCCGGGCGCTCAGCAGGGAGGAGCCAGATAATTCATCCCTGGCTAACGACGCAGAGCTGCAAGACCAGAGTGAAAATGGCCCAGAGGTGCAGTCACCAGGGGCTTTAACAAATGAACCAGGGTCTGCTAGTCCTCACGATGACGAGGTACAGATAGGGGACCCTGAGATGTCTGGGACTCCATCTGTTCCTGACGAAACCCCTAGAGCAGCCCCTCTACCACAGGTAACACCCAATCCGGAACCTGCAACACCTGTTGTCAGGAGATCAAGTAGAAGTTGTAGGCCCCCACAGTACCTGAGAGATTACGTCTGCTGTGCTCACTGGGGGGGGGTTGGGGTGTTGTGTATTGAGTCAAAGGATTTTATATCTGTATTATTATTGTCTGTATTTGCATTAGGGTAAAGTAACTGCCTTTTGGTTCCAGAGGGTACAGCTACTATTGGTTCATTTAAGCTGCTGTATTTGGATCCTCTGTCTTATTGGTTCCCTCCAAAAGGCAGGACTGTGATTGCCTGATATTGTTCCCTCCAAAATGTATCCTTTCTTGCTAGTTCCCTGTCCCTATAAATGTAGCCTTCCTCTCCCCAGTCTTTAGTCTTGTTGCTTAAATAAAGAAGTGTTACTAGAGAACTGTCTCCAGCATGTTATATCAAGAGAGCTGAAATCACAAACCCCACGTCACAACACTCCCCTCACATGTCAACAGTTCTTTTCTGCCATTTGCTCCCAGAAAAAAGTGCCAGCACTGCATTTTTTTCTGCCTGCAGCACACTGAAGGGAACCTGAGCAGTGTAGTTCTGCCTTTGTTTCCCAGAGAGAGAGAGAGAGAGAGAGAGAAAGAGAAAGAGAAAGAGAAAGAGAAAGAAAGAGAGAGAGACCAGGTGGATAGTCAGTCTCTCACTGATTGGAACTGGAATTAATTTTGATTGGTTCTCCTGTTGGAACAAAACACACACTCATAGAGTCACTTAAGTGTAATCTTGCTTATTTGAATCCTGTCATGCAATCACCATTGTAGGGTTACTTATTTAAAAATTGTTTAGATTTTACACTCTCCAAGTTTTATTTACATATAATGTACTTTTGATTTCTCTATCAAATAGTTATCCTCTATTAGGCATAACAAACCACACATTATCAAACAGACACCGTATACAAATTATGCAAAATACAAGCTCAGCATAACAAGGTTTGTCCCGGTCAGATCTTTAACTCCAGAGAAAATCAATTTGCATAAACAATACAGTACAGCACTACTGCACTACTGAATCCCTGATCAATTAAGAACCACTAATTCTCTTTATAATGACCCAGTCTTTCTACATGGACAGCACTCAAAAATTCAGCCACTACTAAAGTAATATCAGCCTATTGAGTTGTAAGGCCTCTAATACTTGTCTTCTGGCATAAATGCCAAAATCACAAGAAAAGAAAATATGCTCCAAAGTATCAGGTTCCTGTTTACTACATTTGCAGAGACACTCTGATTCTGGGAGAGCTAAATATCTTCCTCTCACTATCATCGAGGGAAACATATTAAATCTGGCTTGAAGAAGGAACTGGAGGAATTTTACCCTTATGCTTTTCATATAATCAGTTATTCATATAATCAGTTATCAGTTTTCAATATATTCATTTATAACCAGATATTTTTATAATGATTTTATAATCCATGTTTGAACCGTGAAAGCTTCTGCTTAGCTTAGCAAATTGCTTAAATCTGCAAAGTCTTAGATGAACTTTGTCCCAGTACCTCCTTGTTCTCTCTCTATCTCACCGAACAAGAAGGGAAGCGATAAATCTGATGTGCTGGCACATTTCCCCCCCTTGTCCAGACAAAGTCTGTACAGTGAAACAGGAAACCGCAGAATGTCCCTTATAGCAGATGGTCTGTAGGAGCTCAACAGCCGAAGTTCCTCTTTGCCCTAAGTTTCTATTTCTTGCAATAAATCTAGGGGAAAGGTCGGACTGGTGTTCAAACTAAAAAGCAGAAGTTGGGAGAGAACTCTTTGTACGGTCAGGAGCAAGGCTTGTATGCGCTCATTAGCTTATTTTGCTGCCGTTCGCAATTGTATCCCATTATGTCATGATCTGTGATGTATGTACTCAGGTATAAAGCCCCAGGGCAATAGGTCTCGAGGCCCAGTCTTTTGGAAAGGATTCCACTGGGTCAATTATTGCTCACTTTCTTTTTCTCCAATTGATGCATCTGTCAATTCTTGGACTCTATTTGAGTTGGTCACTGGTACCTTTTAAAATCCTTGCAACAGGCTAACATAAACAGCCTGCACAATTCATGATTCTTCAGATTTCTCATAATATTTGTCATAATATTGTCTTTTCATAACATGAGCTGCATTCACTGGTCCACTGCTGATACATTTAAAATAAAACTTTATTAAAGGGTTTTAGCCTCTGGGCCACAAGGATATAGAAAGAGCTCTGCTGGATGAGGCCAGTGGCCCATCTAGTCCAGCACCCTGTTCTCACAGTGGCCAGCCAGATACCTGTTGGGAACCTGCAAGCTAATGAGAACCCTCTCCTCCTGCAGTTTCCAGAAGTGGTTTTCAGAAGCACTAAAGGTAAAGGTAAAGGGATCCCTGACCATTAGGTCCAGTCGTGACTGATTCTGGGGTTGCGGCGCTCATCTCGCTTTATTGGCCGAGGGAGCCGGCGTACAGCTTCCGGGTCATGTGGCCAGCATGACTAAGCCGCTTCTGGCGAACCAGAGCAGCGCACGGAAACACCGTTTACCTTCCCGCCAGAGCAGTACCTACTGATCTACTTGCACTTTGTCTTGCTTTCGAACTGCTAGGTGGCAGGAGCAGGGACCGAGCAACGGGAGCTCACCCCGTTGTGGGGATTTGAACCGCCAACCTTCTGATCGGCAAGCCCTAGGCTCTGTGGTTTAGACCACAGCGCCACCCGCTGCCTCCAAATTTGGAGGCAGAGCATAGCCATCATGGCTACTGGCCATTGATAGTCTTCTCCTCCATGAATTTGCTCAATCTTCTTTTAAAGCCATCTAAGTTGGTGGCAATCACTGCCTTCTGTGGGCCATGTTTGGTCACCACTCGCTTGCCCACTGGTGTGATTTAAGAACTTCATTTTCAATACCATCCAAGGGGGAAAAGACATTCTTACCTACAGATGCCATGTTCTCATTGTCTTCTGGCATGACTTCCTTGTGAAGAGATCTATGCTCTGAATTTTGGAGATCTCACCCACCTTGGTGAAATACACAGCCACTGGCTCAAAGTACACCACCCACTGAAAGAAAGAAGGAAAGATTCTCTAATCAGAAATAATATATTCCTGAACTCTATATTTCCATTGAGTTCTTGCATTTCAATATTCACCACTAAATACCATTTCTTATACCTGCTTATTCAGAAATGTTTTAGCTGTCCATTTCAGCCGGGATCCAGTAACCCTCATTATATGATAGATGCACAGATTCTCTGGACTTTGTTTTTGAGCTGTTTACACACCCCATGCTTTAAAGGGGTTTTTGTCATATACAGTACTATACATAATTAACTTATGGAATTTGCTGTCTTAACTTGTACGAGCTGGCACGAGCTTGGGTGTCCTTAAAAAGGAGATAAAACCAGGTAACAGAGTTTCAGTATCCTGTGACCCAGAATCGCCCTGCCCCTTCACGCCTGCTTGACAGCATCAATGTCCAGAAATTGCACTTTTACAAGTCACTCTTTTGGTGAGGCAGCAGCTGTGCTTTGGGAAATTAGGCAGGTATCCTTACTATATAATTTAGTTACACATACTTGCTTTCAATTTTTGCTAATTTTAGTCAATGAAATAATAATAATAATAATAATAATAATAATAATAATAATAATTTTATTTATACCCCGCCCTCCCTGGCCAGAGCCAGGCTCAGGGCGGCTAACTTCAATAAAATTTCAGTAAAAACATAATAAGAAAAAACAAAACACCAACTTAAAATACAGGTTAAAATGCAATTTAAAATGCAGCCTCATAATTATTAACAATTATGTATTGTTTGGTTATTTATAAAACATATTTATATACCATTATATAACCAACAATATAGCAAAGTGGTTTACATCAGTAAAACATAAAACTTCAATAAAAACCATAAAAAGTTATAAACAGACAGCAATTAACCATTGTGGAAGGATGTTAACTTTTATGCTGTTCTATGTATACCACCGATTCTTTGACTGAGCCCTTTATAACTCTCTCTAAGTAACTATTATCTGGCCTAAAAAGAGGGTAGGTAATCTATTCTCCACGCTACTTCTTTCTCAGGGCACGCTCATACCCAGCGAGGCTACATAGCACACTCTAAGCTGGGCAGCACCAGCTTGGGAGCCAACACCATCAGACGCTCAAGGGGGGGTGGAAGTGGTGTTGGCCCCAGAGAGGGCCTTCTCTGTGGCAGCCCCTAAACTGTGGAAACCCCCCCCCCCCAGAGGTGCGTCTGGCACCTTCATTATGCAGCTTTCAGGGAATGCTGACGACATGCCTCTTCATCCTGGCATATATTTTCTTTTTAAAAAAAATGTTATTTCTTTGGTTTTTCAAATTACAGTCTTACAATCACATATCCAATATATAGGGGACGTGGGTGGCACTGTGGGTTAAACCACAGAGCCTAGGGCTTGCTGATCAGAAGGTTGGCGGTTTGAATCCTTGCGACGAGGTGAGCTGCTGTTGCTCGGTCCCTGCTCCTGCCAACCTAGCAGTTCAAAAGCACATCAAAGTGCAAGTAGATAAATAGGTACCACTCCGGCAGGAAGGTAAACGGCGTTTCCGTGCGCTGCTCTGGTTCACCAGAAGCGGCTTAGTCATGCTGGCCACATGACCCGGAAGCTGTATGCCGGCTCCCTCAGCCAATAAAGCGAGACGAGCGCCGCAAGCAACCCCAGAGTTGTCCGCGACTAGACCTAATGGTTAGGGGTCCCTTTACCTTTACCTTTTTATCCAATATATAACATAAAAACAAGATTCCAAAGAACCTCCTGGATTTCCCTCCTTCCCTTTGTGGGTCCTATTGTTAGCCATTTCCTCTTGCATCTTTTATAACAATCCCAATCTTTTACATCTCCATTAAATCCAAAATTCACCATTAAACTACAAGTGTTATTCCAATTCTACTAACAATTTTAACAGTTTGCAATGGTTTTTAAGATAAATTATAAATTTTCCCCATTCTTTAATAGAATTTTGGTCTTTCTGATTTTTCCGGTCACATCAACTTAAATTCGCCATTCTTCTCTGGTTGGGACATTATCTTCTCTCCGTATATTTTCAGGACCCAGGTTATTTATAGGGTTTTGTTTTCAACCGTTTTTGTTGTTGTAACCTTCCCTTTTTTTGCGGGAAATTCCCTAATTCCAGTGCCGTTTCCTGCTGCTTCCCACTGCTATCCCGGATTGTTAGATATCCCGTAGACTGTCCCCGGGACAGGTGAGGCTGCTGATCCCTTATTTTCAAATCTGAAAGTTGACAGCTATGCATCCCTGACCACTGGTCCTGTTAGCTAGGGGTGATGGGAGTTGTAGTCCCAAAACAGCTGGCGGGAAGAGTTTGGGGATGCCTGCCCTACATGCAATTCCCAGGGGAAATTGGTGTGAGGGTATTTCTCTCTCTCTTCTGCCTCCCCCCCCCCCCCCAATTCTTAGTTCCTACCCCTCTTCCAGTGTTGCAGCTGAGTACCTGTCCGGGAAAAAGGCGGGGTATTAATAAATAACAACAATTATAATATGTTGTCTAATTAATAATAATAATAATAATAACGGCGTTTCCCCGCCCTGTACGCGCACCCACCTCGCAGAGCAACCGCTCAGTCCGTCTGGCAGCCTCTCTCTTGTTGGAAGACAAAAAGGAAGCGCCCCCCTCTATTCCTCCCCCCATTAGACCATTTCCTGCCACTCTATGAAACAGAGCTCAGCTCATTTAACCCTTAGAGAGCTGAGTGAGTGGTCAAAAAGAAAAAAGGCGCTCTTATCCTTGTCTTCGAACTTTTGAAAAGCAGCATCCACAGAATCATAGAATTGTAGAGTTGGAAAGGGACCTCGGGGGTCATCTAGTCCAACCCCCTGCAATGCAGAAATCTCAGCTGAAGCATCCATGACAGATGGCCATAAAGCCTTAAATGAGGGAGTCTCTGTTCCACTGTCAACAGCTTGTAAGCCCTGTGAACGAACAGAGGGAGGGGGAAGAGAGGGAGAGACCTGTCAACGGACTCAATCACAAAACCACAGGCCCAGTTTTGTGGTTGGGTCAGGGACATAGCTGTCAACGTTTCCCGTTTTTTAAGGGAAATTCCCTTATTCCAAATAGGATTCCTCACAAGAAAAGGGAAAAGTTGACAGCTATGGTCAGGGATGTGTGGCTGGGGAGGGTGTGTGTTTGTTTGTGTTTGTCTGTGACAATCATGAAATAACTCCTTCTAAGTTACCACCACACTACTGGGCACGATGTAAACTTGTTTTCTATTTTGCATCTAGATACGATTGGATTACTTTACCTCCTGGTAGATCAACCTGCTCTCCTCCGGCTTTGGAAAGGGGAAAAAAAAGGTACAGCACTGCAGAGAGCGGAGCCTTCCTTGCTTGGAGGAGGAGGAAAGAGCCTCTTTTTATCCCTGACATAGAAGTTCTCCCCCCTCCTCTAAGAAGCAAAGCTTCGCCCTCGCCTCCCCAAAAATCTCACAGCGACTGAATTGGAGCCCAAGGGGTGCGCCAAATAGGATCCTGCAGGCGAAGCTAGGCAACTGGATTAAGGAAAGCAGCCCTTGTCTTGCACTGAGAAAGCAGCTGGGTGGTGGGATTGGAATAACACGTAGTTTAATGGTGAATTTTGGACATAACGGAGATGCAAAAGATTTGGATTATTACAAAAGATGCAGGAAGAAAAGGCTAACAATAGGACCCACAAAGGGGAGGAGGAAAGTCCAGGAGATTCTGTGGAATCTTGTTTCTATATTGTATGCTGATATGTTTCTTGGGAGAAAAGCAATGACAAACCTAGACAGCATCTTAAAAAGCAGAGACATCACCTTGCCAACAAAGGTCCGTATAGTTAAAGCTATGGTTTTCCCAGTACAGTGGTACCTCGGCTTACATACACTTCAGGTTACATACGCTTCAGGTTACAGACTCCGCTAACCCAGAAATAGTGCTTCAGGTTAAGAACTTTGCTTCAGGATAGGAACAGAAATCGGGCTCCGGCAGTGCGGCAGCAGCGGTAGGCCCCATTAACTAAAGTGGTGCTTCAGGTTAAGAACAGTTTCAGGTTAAGAACAGACCTCCAGAACGAATTAAGTACTTAACCTGAGGTACCACTGTAGTGATGTATGGAAGTGAGAGCTGGACCTTAAAGAAGGCTGATCGCCGAAGAATGGATGCTTTTGAATTATGGTGCTGGAGGAGACTCTTGAGAGTCCCATGGACTGCAAGAAGATCAAACGTATCCATTCTTAAGGAAATCAGCCCTGAGTGCTCACTGGAAGGACAGATCGTGAAGCTGAGGCTCTAATACTTTGGCCACCTCATGAGAAGAGAAGACTCCCTGGAAAAGACCCTGATGTTGGGAAAGATGGAGGGCACAAGGAGAAGGGGAGGACAGAAGACGAGATGGTTGGACAGTGTTCTCGAAGCTACCAGTATGAGTTTGACCAAACTGCAGGAGCTGGTGGAAGACAGGAGGGCCTGGCGTGCTCTGGTCCAGGGGGTCACGAAGAGTCGGACACGACTAAACAACAACAACATGCTGATATGTTACTGTAAATTTTTAATTTGAAAAACCCAAATAAATATGTTTAAAAAAAAGGGAAAGCAGCTGGGTGGGCGCCCTGTTCTCCCCCCCCCCACACACCAAAAAAAGCAAACGCATTGCCCTTTCCTTCCTCTCTTCCTCCTCACCCAAATGCCCCCACGTCCTGTCACCTCCAATGCTGCCCCTTGACTCTTCTTGAAGGCAGCCCTGTTTAGGGAAGCTTTTAATGTTTGATGTATCATAGTATTTTAATATTCTTTTGGAAGCCGCCCAGAGTGGCTGGGGAAACCCAGCCAGATGGGCGGGGTATAAATAATAAATTATTATTATTATTATTATTATTCCTCTTGGCCAAAGAACCCCACGTGGCCGATTTCCTGGGAAGAGATAAGGAAGCCTCCTCCCACTTCGGAATTCCTGGGCGGAGGAGGGAGGCGAGGAATGACGTCATTGCCTTTAACCCTTGGAGCACCGAGAGGGGAAAGCGGTTAACGAGCCCCTCGAGGTTCCATTCCTTCCCCCGTTAAGAGCGTCTCTCCATCATCTCAGCCTTAAGAGGGAGAAGCGCCGTTTCCTTTCATTCAGGTACCTGGGTGCCAAACTTCAGTCATTGGTCCTTCTTTGACAGGGGACATGGGAGAATCGGTATGTGGACAGGAATTCCCAGCTCTCAAGCGTTCACTTACGAATGGATGTTTCTTATTGCGGCTAAACAGCCAGCATAGTAAAACCAGAATTTAAGCATAATTTTTACATAAATATTAAAATGGTCAAAGTGGAATTTAACAATTAGCATACTGATTAAATAGATTTAAAATATGTATCCAAGGAAATATAAACGCCATTAAAAGTTTTTTTTCCTTTTAAATACCAATGACTTAGACTTACAGTGGTACCTCAGGTTAAGTACTTAATTCGTTCCGGAGGTCCGTTCTTAACCTGAAACTGTTCTTAACCTGAAGCACCACTTTAGCTAATGGGGCCTCCTGCTGCCGCTGCGCCGCCGAAGCACGATTTCTGTTCTTATCCTGAAGCAAAGTTCTTAACCCAAGGTACTATTTCTCGGTTAGCGGAGTCTGTAACCTGAAGCGTATATAACCTGAAGCATATGTAACCCAAGGTACCACTATATTTTGATGGGACTCCTATAAATAGGTTAGCAAAGTTGTAGGCATTTTAAACTGAGCTACCAGACCATAATCCCCATCTCAGGGAAGGAGAACCCTGGCAGACCTTTTAAGGTAGCCCTTTCTGACCTCATAACTTCCAGATTATGATGATGATGATGATTTGCTTTCCTCACAAGTGACCCAAAGCAACTTACATTAAAACCAATTGAAAGAAACATGACCAGTAGAAGCAAAAAAACAAACCGCATACAGAGATAAAAGGTGAGTCTTACCTATCCCGCCCAGCTAAAATAAGCTACAAATGCCTGAATCCTTTCAAAAAATAGGGTGCCAGGCATACCTTGGTGGTGGTGAGGGGGACCATTTCACAACTGGGGAGGCCAACACCAAAAAAAGCCTCTTCTCATGTTAGCAATCTCAGAGATCAGCACTGGCTTTCAATTGATTATGGGCCCAATTCAGGGTGTTACTATTGGCATTTAAAGTCCCAGGGAGGTAACTTCGGTGCCGCTAACACAGCAGTTTGAAAAGACACACAGGCAGCAAAACCTGTTTTAGAAAGTGGTAAATGTTCCTCAATTATTGGTATAGTAACACAAGAATGGCTTGTGAGAGCCATGCAGCTAAGGGGGAGCAACCAGCTTAGCCTCTTCACATGCTGAGTTCATCAGGTAGACTGAAGGAAGTCTGCAATGAAATATTGGAAGGGAAAAGGGCACCAGAGTCGTGGAAAGAGGCGTACATTACACTTATACCGAAAACAGAGACTGAAAAGACTCAGCTTAAGAACTACCGCCCTATATCGTTACTTAATGTGGATTACAAAATTTTTGCAGACATTTTGGCCAAGAGATTGAAAAAAGTATTGATGGAAGAGATTCATAAAGACCAAGCGGGCTTTCTCCCGGGAAGACACTTGTCTGATAATTTGAGGAATATAATTGATATTTTGGAAAAATTAGAAGTGAATATAAATACTAAAGCAGTTCTGATATTTATGGACGCGGAGAAAGCCTTTGACAACATCTCTTGGAGTTTTATGAAGAAGAACCTACAGGGGATGGGGGTAGGCCAAGGTTTTGAAAATGGTATAGGTGCAATATACTCTGAACAAAAGGCTAAATTAATTGTAAATAATGTGGTGATGGAAGAATTTAAGATAGAAAAAGGGACACGACAGGGGTGCCCAATCTCCCCACTGCTTTTTATATCGGTCCTGGAGGTTCTGCTGAATATGATTAGAAGGGACCGGTTGGTTAAAGGCATACAGGTCGGAGCCAAACAGTACAAACTGAGAGCATTTGCAGATGACTTAGTATTGACGTTACAGGAGCCAGAATCTAGTACTAAAAGGGTTTTAGAACTAATTCAAGAATCTGGTCAAGTGGCAGGATTTAAACTGAACAAGTTAAAAACTAAGGTTTTAGAGAAAAATTTAACACCGATTGAAAGAGAGAGGTTTCAGAATGAGACAGGTTTGACTGTGGTTAAGAAAGTGAAATACCTGGGGATTAATATGACAGCCAAAAATGGGAACTTATTTAAAGATAATTATGAAAAATGTTGGACGGAAGTGAAAAAGATTTAGAAATTTGGTCAAATTTGAAGCTTTCACTGTTGGGTCGTATTGCTGTGATAAAAATGAATGTATTGCCTAGAATGCTGTTTTTGTTTCAAACATTGCAAATTGTGGACAAGATGGATTGTTTCAAGAAGTGGCAGAGAGATATTTCTAGATTTGTCTGGCAGGGCAAGAAGCCCAGAATAAAATTTAAGATATTAACTGATGCAAAGGAAAGGGGTGGATTTGCCCTGCCAGACTTTAAACTTTACTATGAATCAGCAGCTTTTTGCTGGTTGAAAGAATGGCTACTTCTTGAAAACACAGACATTTTGGACTTAGAAGGTTTTAACAATGTATTTGGATGGCATGCATATCTGTGGTATGACAAGGTCAAAGCGCATAAAGCATTTAAAAACCATATTGTCAGGAAAGCATTGTTTAATGTTTGGATAAGATACAAGGATTTATTGGAAAACAAAACCCCAAGGTGGCTGTCACCGATGGAAGCGAAAGCTCTGAAAAGGCTCAATATGGAGGCCAATTGGCCGAAATATTGGGAAATTTTGGAACAAGATGGAGATAGACTGAAACTGCAGAGTTTTGAGAAACTAAAAAATAAAGTGCGAGACTGGCTTCATTATTATCAGATAATGGAGGCATATAATTTGGACAAGAAAATTGGCTTCCAGGTGGAAAAATCAAAATTAGAAACAGAACTGTTAGAACCCAAAACTAAGATTTTGTCAAAGATGTATAACTTGCTGTTGAAATGGAATACTCAGGATGAAACGGTGAAATCTGCTATGATTAAATGGGCACAAGATTTTGGACATAACATTATGTTTGCTGACTGGGAACAGTTGTGGACCACAGGTATGAAGTTTACGGCATGTAATGCCCTAAGAGAGAATATTATGAAAATGATATACAGGTGGTACATGACCCCAGTCAAGCTTGCAAAAATTTATCATTTGCCCGATAACAAATGTTGGAAATGTAAAGAAAATGAAGGTACATTCTTTCACCTTTGGTGGACGTGCCCAAGGATTAAGGCTTTCTGGGAAATGATATATAATGAACTGAAAAAGGTATTTAAATATACCTTCTTGAGGAAACCAGAGGCCTTTCTCCTGGGCATAGTCGGCCAATTGATGCCAAAGAAGGATAGAACCTTTTTTATGTATGCCACAACAGCAGCAAGAATACTCATTGCAAAGTATTGGAAGACACAAGATCTACCCACTCTGGAAGAATGGCAGATGAAGCTGATGGACTATATGGAACTGGCAGAAATGACTGGCAGAATCCGAGACCAGGGAGAAGAGTCGGTGGAAGAAGATTGGAAGAAATTCAAAGACTATCTACAGAATTATTGTAAAATTAATGAATGTTAGAATGATGTTGGATAGAAATTAAGTGGTTTCCAGCTGTAATGCTTTAAGGGATTATGAAAAATGGGTTGTTAATAGGTAAAAATTTAACGTTACTATTTTAAGACTAAAGATTAGAATAAATAAAGAGGGTAAGGATTTGCTGAACCAACAAATTGAACTGGAATACAAAAAAGGGAGGTATGAGGAGGTCCGGGAAACAAACTAAAGGAAAACAAGCAATGGAAAATCTGTGTGTTTTTAACTATTTTTATTTTGTATTTTTGTTATTTTTTTCATTTTTATTGTAATACTTTAAAAAAGCTTAATAAATATCTTATAAAAAAAACAACAACATCTGGAGGGCCGAGGCTTAGGAAGCCTGTTCTAGTTCTAGCAGACAAAATAACCACTGATAAATGGTCAGGTGTAGATTACATCCCCCACGTTTGACTCTTCTTGGGCAAAAAAGAGGAGAATTGCACCTTCTCTTGGCTATAGGCAGGGCCAATTTGCCAGGATACCAAATTCAGGGTGAGCAATTGGCATTGAAATGGATCTATTGCACAAAAAGCCCCTTAACCCAACCTGAATATATATATATATATATATATATATATATATATATATATGCAAATAAGGACAGCATCAGGAAATACCCCGACAAGGGTAGAATAGCCATTTGCTTGAAGCAATGCCATCACAGCTCTCCACAAATGAATCAAGATGAATGTCCATAGTAAAAAAGAATCGTAGAGTTGAAAGGATCCCCAAGGATCACCTAGTCCAGTGGTGGCCAAACTTGGCCCTCCAGCTGTTTTGGGACTACAACTCCCATCATCCCTAGGTAACAGGACCAGTGGTCAGGGATGATGGGCATTGTAGCCCCAAAACAGCTGGAGGGCCAAGTTTGGCCACCACTGACCTAGTCCAAATCTCTTCAATGCAGGAAGTACAGCTAAAGTACCCCTGACAGGTGGTTCTCCAACCTCACTTCAAAAAACCTGCAACAAAGGAGAATCCACCACTTTCCAAGGTAGTCCATGACTGGCACCACAACTGCGGGACCAAAATAAATGAGGCTTCAGAGTCTGAGTTCCTGGAAGGGGTTCAGCACTGGTGGTATAACAGAAGTTCATCTGGAATAACACTCTTTCCATCTTGCAAAAGAATTCCCTGACCGGGAATCGAACCCGGGCCGCGGCGGTGAAAGCGCCGAATCCTGACCACTAGACCACCAGGGATGTGCAAGCTGATCTCTGTCCCTCCACTCTTTCAAGCGACAAGCTCCATATCAAACTGCTAAGAAATGGTGTTTTGCCAGTCAGACATCCTGCCAAGTGGCAGGTTTTCTTTAGTTGCTGTGAAGAGTTCCAACTCCGTTAGGAAGCTGAAAAGCAGGATTTGGTCCTCCTCATCCGTGGGGAGTTTTTGCCAGGGAATGGAAACCAAGGCCACACTCATTGAAAGTGAATAGGGTGGGGGGAGAGGCAGTGACTGGCCCTGGTCAACCCATGAGTTTCATGGCCCAGTCGGGATTGGGACTGTGGTTTCCCAGATCCTGATCTGACACTCTAATCTAATCTGACCCTGCAAGAATTTCACCACACTAGAGCAAAACCATCCTCTGCTGTTGTTGTCTTTTCCTTTTACTTTGTACACCTCACAAAAGAAGAGGGGAAAGGGCCCCTCCGAATAGCTGAACAGGACACCAAAGCCCCTCCCTCTCCTGGCTCCAAGCCTGGCAGAGTTGGCACCTGCGGGGAGCACAAGGGGCGGCTGGTTGGTTTCAGTCTCTTGAGCTCTGTGTTCTGGGCCCAGGATGTTCCCACTGTGGGTTCTGCCTGGGTGAAGGAAATGAGCTGGGAGTGGCCCATCAGCCAGTTTAGAGCTAGTTACTATACAAACTTCATCCCTCAGAACTTTTGAGGGAGTTTGCTTTCTTCCTCCTCTCTCCCAATCCTTTGTCCTTTCGTGCCATCCCTTTTAGATGTTACGACTGATGACAGGAATGGTCTCATTGCTGATCTTGGAATGAGTCGTGGCTGGTGCATTCCTTCCTCTGCTTTTTGCCATTTATTTATTTATTTATTTGTTTATTTGATTTCTATACCGCCTTATACCCGAAGGTCTCAGGGCGGTTGTCATAAAATATTGAATACATAAAAGCAAAACAAAAGTAACAACCCAGTAACCCCTCCCCCAACCTACTTGTCTTAAAATGAGTGTGGCCTTGGTTTCCCCTTCAGAGAGGCAGACCAGCACACCCCAACAAAAGGGCTGCTTGGATATTGCGTTAAGCTCCTAGAGATACTGAGGGTGGGCTTAATCCCCCATGTGTGCAGAGGGCAACAGATTAGCAATTAACCACTCAGGCTCCTCATTGCAGGTGGATTTCCAGCAGCCGTCCCTGGGTGGGCTCGAACCAGCAACCTTCTGGTTAACAGCCAGACGCGCTAACCACTTGCACCACAGAGACCTGGGCAGAGTGGCATCCCTACTTCCTGTTATGCTCGGTGCTGGGAAAGTTCGTTTTGAAAAGGAACTAGTTCAAGTTCAAGGAGGAACCAGTTCCAGGAGGAATGATGTTCTAGGCCTAGCAGAGAGAATAACCACTGATAAATTATCAGGCCTGGATGGCACCCTCACATTTGACTCTTCTTGGGCAACAAAGAGGAGGATTCCACCTTCTCTTGGCTATAGGCAGGCCCAATTTACTGGGATACCAAAGGAGGGAAGTAATTGTAGTTTAAATGGATCTATTGCACAAAAAGCCCCTTAACCCAAGCTGGATTTATTTATTTATTTTTATTTTGCAAAGAAGGACAGCGTCAGGAAAATGCCCCGACAAGGGTAGAATAGCCATTTGCTTGAAGCTATGCCATCTAAGCTCTCCACAAACAAATCAAGATGAATGTCCATAGAAACATAGAATCGTAAAGGATCCCCAAGGATCACCTAGTCTGGTGGTGGCCAAACTTGGCCCTCCAGTTGTTTTTGGACTACAACTCCCATCATCCCTAGGAAACAGGACCAGTGGTCAGGGATGATGGGAATTGTAGTCCCAAAACAGCTGGAGGGCCAAGTTTGGCCACGACTGATCTAGTCCAACTCTCTTCAATGCAGGACGTATAGCTAAAGAACCCGGACAGGTGGCTCTCCAACCTCGCTGCCAAAAACCTGCAGCGAAGGAGTATCGACCACCTTCCAAGGTAGTCCATGACTGGCACTGCAACTGCAGGACCAAAATAAATGAGCCTTCAGGGTCTGAGTTCCTGGAAGGGGTTCAGCAGAAATTCATCTGGAATGACCCTCTTTCCATCTTGCAAAAGAATTCCCTGACCGGGAATCGAACCCGGGCCGCGGCAGTGAGAGCGCCGAATCCTAACCACTAGACCACCAGGGATGTGCAAGGTGATCTCTGTCCCTCCATTCTTTCAAGCGACGAGCTCCGTATCAAACTGCTAAGAAATGGTGTTTGCCAGTCAGACATCCTGCCAAGTGGCAGGTTTTCTTTAGTTGCTGTGAAGAGTTCCAACTCCGTTAGGAAGCTGAAAAGCAGGATATGGTCATCCTCATCCGTGGGGAGTTTTTGCCAGGGAAGGGAAACCAAGGCCACACTCATTGAAAGTGAATAGGGTGGGGGGAGAGGCAGTGCATTGCTTCCTCTGCATTTTGCCTATTATTATTATTATTATTATTATTATTATTATTATTATTATATTAATTAATTAATTTCTATACCGCCCTATACCCGAAGGTCTCAGGGCGGTTGTCATAAAATATTGAATACATAAAATCAAAACAAAAATAACAACCCAGTAACCGCCCCCCCACCTACTTCTCTTTAAACGAGTGTGGCCTTGGTTTCCCCTTCAGAGAGGCAGACCAGCACACCCCAACAAAAGGATATTGCTTGGATACTGCGTTAAACTCCTAGAGATACTGAATGTGGGCTTAATCCCCCATGTGTGCAGAGGGCAACAGATTAGCAATTCACCACTCAGGCTCCTCATTGCAGGTGGATTTCCAGCAGCCGTCCCTGGGTGGGCTCGAACCACCAACCTTCTGGTTAACAGCCAGACGCGCTAACCGATTGCGCCACAGAGACCTGGGCAGAGCTGTTTCTCTGCCTCCTGTTATGCTCGGTGCTGGCAAAGTTCATTTTGAAAAGGAACTAGTTCAAGTTCAAGGAGGAACCAGTTCCAGGAAGAATGATGTTCTAGGTCTAGCAGACAAAATAACCACTGATAAAACGTCAGGTCTGGATGGCATCCCCCACATTTGGCTCTTTTTGGGCAAAAAAGAGGAGGATTGCACCTTCTCTTGGCTATAGGAAGGGCCAATTTGCCAGGATACCAAATTCAGGGTGAGCAATTGTAGTTGAAATGGGTCTATTGCACAAAAAGCCCCTTCTCCTAAGCTGGATTTTTTTCAAATAAAGACAGCAGGAGGGAAATGCCCTGAGATGTGTAGAATTGCAATTTGCTTGAAGCAATGCTGTCTAACATGTTCCTGATTGTTTTCGATATTATTTCTTTCTACACCTTACAAAAGAATTTAGTAGGCATATTTAAAAAGAAAAGAAAAGAAGAGGAGCACCATGTTTCTGCCTGGTTTCGAACCAGGGACCTTTCGCGTGTGAGGCGAACGTGATGACCACTACACTACAGAAACTCTGCCTGAGCTGAGGCCCTTGTTCCTGCCCCCTGGCCAAGAAAGATCCTTTTGGCTTGGAGTCCTTGGCACTTAGAGAATGGCAGTGCCACATGCTCCAGATGGATGGGGTGGGGCATACCCCTTCCAGCTAAGTGGCGCCGTGGAAGCGTGCTGGGCCCATAACCAAGAGGTTGATGGATCAAAGCCATCGTCTGCCGGGCAGCAGCAGCTACTTTCTGCTTTTGACTTGGACAATCCAAAAATGCAGGGAGGAGATTTTCCTGCTACTGAGTAGGACGCTACAGGCCCTCCCTCCTTTGATTTAGGAGAACGAATCCTGTTGCAGAAGAGATGGGGAGACACTTCTTTTAAGGGAGAAATAACATCTCCCCCCCCCCCCCCCGCCAACGCACAGTACTGGATCAACCAATAGGCAGAATAAGCTTGTGCTTAGAGCACCAATCTTTTTTATCTTTATTTTTGAAGATTGCTATAACCATCGCTGCCGCAATCCCTCTCCTAGGGACCCAAGTGCAACCTGGAGTCCAGTCCTTGGCAACAGCTTCATTCTGTTCTTTGACATAATTCAATGCTGGCCATAGGGCAGAAGCTGGAGCTGCAACACTCCTTCCATTTGGCAAAATTCCCTGGCTGGGAACTGAACCTAGGCCGCAGTGAATCCTAACCAGGGATGTGCATGGTGATCTCTGCTTCTCTATTCTTTTCATGTGACGGACCAACCGCAAGGAAATGGCACTTGACTAGCCAGCCAGCCTCCTAGTCAAGGGGCAGATTTTCCTTCTGTAGGCCTTATCAACAGCTGACCCTACAGAGTGGCAAAGGTAGTAGAAAGGCTTATGCCACAGAGGAATATCCAAAAAAGGCTCACTCACAGAATCACCACCTTGTCATGGTTAGTGGGCTTTCACGTTCCCGTGACCCTTGTGAGTGAAGCCGTCGGGAGTCTTGTACTCCCAGTAGGGTCGCCAAAGGTAGTAAGGCCCAAGGGGAGGAGCTAGACAAAGAATGATCCAAGAAGTCCTCAATGGCAGAACAGGCGGGTGATAACAAGCGGTATGTTACAACGGCTGTGAAGACAGATGAAGGCTGAAGCAGATAAGAATCTACTGGTCGACGTGATACTCATGCCATTGAAATAGAGCCTAACTGCAAAGACTGTGTGTTGGTCTGCGTGCCCTGATCTACACACATAAATTCACAGGCAGGCATCTTCCAAAAACCCATCTAATCCTCAGCATGATCAACTCCTATGGGGAAGCCTATGTCCCCACTGTGGAAGGGCGTGTGGATCCAGAATTGGCCTCCACAGTCCACAGGACCATATTCATGGAAGACAATCCTACTCAGCTACGAGCAATCACCAAAGAAGAGGATCCAAAAAAGGGGCCGACGAGGGTGGGATTCGAACCCACGCGTGCAGAGCACAATGGATTAGCAGTCCATCGCCTTCACCACTCGGCCACCTCATCCAGAAATCCTGCCCGCAGCTGTCCCTGGGTGGGCTCGAACCACCATCCTTCTGGTTAACAGCCAGACGCGCCAAACCATTGCGCCACAGAGACCTGGGTGGTAGCATCCTTGGTCTGAGATCTTATTACTGGAACACTACTGACAGACTAAGGATGGGATGTGCATGTGTCCTTATACCAATTTCCCAGTTTCCATGGAGAAAGGGGAGGAGGAACTGTCCTGCCGCTCAAAGGGTCAGTGGCAGAACTGGCGTTCCCTTCAACAACTCCACAAGTAGAGTGGGAGCAGGGTACTCAACAAGCAAGCCTTGAGGAGTTAAATATTATGGGCTAGAGTTAGACGCCACCCTTTGAACGTTCCTTTGCTCTGCTTTTCAGTTTCAGCAGTGTTCTCCACCAGGCCAGAAATAAAGCGGTAAGAGTCACACGTTTATTTATTCTGCAGTTATGATGAGGAGGAAAAGCAGTACTGGGTGCTTATTGCCAAAGGGTGAAATAAGGAGATAAAGTGATCTGGGAGAAAAAAATACTCCAAGTTCCTCTTTCTTATTTTAAAGCACTCACTATATTCACAGTCATAGTGACTCTTTTTGGCTGCTTGGATAATGTGCTGAACTCCTAGGGAAAAGGGCTACTGAGGGTGGGGGCTTGAACCCCCATGTGGGCAGAACACAACAGATTAGCAATTCACCACTCAGGCTCCTCATTGCAGGTGGATTTCCAGCAGCCGTCCCTGGGTGGGCTCGAACCACCAACCTTCTGGTTAACAGCCAGACGCGCTAACCGATTGCGCCACAGAGACCTGGGCAGAGCTGTTTCTCTGCCTCCTGTTATGCTCGGTGCTGGCAAAGTTCATTTTGAAAAGGAACTAGTTCAAGTTCAAGGAGGAACCAGTTCCAGGAAGAATGATGTTCTAGGTCTAGCAGACAAAATAACCACTGATAAATTGTCAGGTCTGGATGGCATCCCCCACATTTGGCTCTTCTTGGGCAAAAAAAGAGGAGGATTGCACCTTCTCTTGGCTATAGGCAGGGCCAATTTGCCAGGATAGCAAATTCAGGGTGAGCAATTGTAGTTGAAATGGGTCTATTGCACAACAAGCCCCTTCCCCTAAGCTGGATTTTTTTCAAATAAAGGCAGCAGGAGGAAAATGCCCTGAGATGTGTAGAATTGCAATTTGCTCGAAGCAATGCAGTCTAAGCTCTCCACAAACAAATCAAGATGAATGTCCATGGAACACAGAATCGTAGAGTTGGAAGGAAACCCAAGGATCCCCTAGTCCAGTGGTAACCAAACTTGGCCCTCCAGCTGTTTTGGGACTAAAACTCCCATCATCCCTAGGAAACAGGACCGGTGGTCAGGGATGATGGGCATTGTAGTCCCAAAACAGCTGGAGGTCCAACCTTCAACGAAGGAGAGTCCACCACCTTCCAAGGTAGTCCATGACTGGCACCGCAACTGCGCGACCAAAATAAATGAGGCCTCAGGGTCTGAGTTCCTGGAAGGCGTTCAGCGCTGGTGGTATAATTGAAGTTCATCTGGAATGACCCTCTTTCCATGTTGCAAAAGAATTCCCTGACCGGGAATCGAACCCGGGCCGCGGCGGTGAGAGCGCCGAATCCTGACCACTAGACCACCAGGGATGTGCAAGCTGATCCCTGTCTTTCCGTTCTTTCGAGAGATGAGCTCCACATCAAACTGCTAAGAAATGGTGCTTTGCCAGTCAGACATCCTGCCAAGTGGCAGGTTTTCTTTGCTTGCTGTGAAGAGTTCCAACTCAGTTAGGAAGCTGAAAAGCAGCATTTGGTCATCCTCTTCCCTGGGGAAGGGAAACCAAGTCCACACTCATTGAAAGTTCCATGGTACCACTTTAAACAGTTGTGGCTTCCCCCAAAGACTTCTGGGAGCTCCCAGTTTGTTATCAGGGCTGAGAGTTGTAAGGAGTCTGCCCCCTGACTCCCAACTTGGGGTCCCTTCCAACTCTGCAATGCTATCATTGTATGTTTTGTGGGGTGAACTAGGCCTTAGCCTAAAGCAGGAGCTGCCTGCTGTTTACACCTGCTTGCAAATAGTTTGACCTGCTTAGCTGGCACCTGATTGTAGGATCGGTTGGCTAACATTCAGCATGGGTCACTTGGTTACAAATTTGCAGCAAGTGTGAACAAGGGTTTCCAAGGAAGATTTTTGTGGTTTGTTTATAGTGAGACTTGAGGGCTCAATTCCCCTTAAAGCAGGTTACGTGGTTGTTCTGTTTCAACTCTCTCCCTTGTGAACTGTTACGTTCAGACAATACAGTCATACCTCATGTTACATCCGCTTCATGTTATAGTCTTTCAGGATATGTCCTGCAGCGACCCAGAAGTACCAGAAAGGGTTACTTCTGGGTTTCACCGCTCGCGCATGCGCAGACATGCAAAATGACATCACACACATACACAGAAGCGGCGAATCGCAACCTGCGCATGCGCAGATGCGCCACTGCGGGTTGCGCTCTTTTCATGTTGTGAATGGGCCTCCGGAACGGATCCCGTTCGCCACCAGAGGTGCCACTGTAACAGGAACTTTCCAGCCACAAAGTCTGTCCAGGTGAAATCTCTCTTGGAAGTAAAGGCGCCAGCTATGTAGGTCACACTGTTTGCAAGTGGAGTCCTGACTGAGAGAGAAGAAATAATAGTGGCACTTAGGTCAAGAGGGCCTCTCAGACCCCCTACATTAATGCTAGGGTTAGTGCAGGCTTCCTCAACCTCGACCCTCCATATGTTTTTGGCCTACAACTCCCATGATCCCTAGCTAGCAGGACCAGTGGTCAGGGATGCAGGGAATTGTAGTCTCAAAACATCTGGAGGGCTGAGGTTGAGGAAGCCTGGGTTAGTGGGTAGATATCCAGTCTGTGTTTTGTTTTGGGTAGTGCACTATGTCTGTTCCTGATTGTTTTAGATATTATTTCTTTCTACACCTTACAAAAGAATTTAGTAGGCATATTTAAAAAGAAAAGAAAAGAAGAGGAGCACCATGTTTCTGCCTGGTTTCGAACCAGGGACCTTTCGCGTGTGAGGCGAACGTGATGACCACTACACTACAGAAACTCTGCCTGAGCTGAGGCCCTTGTTCCTGCCCCCTGGCCAAGAAAGATCCTTTTGGCTTGGAGTCCTTGGCACTTAGAGAATGGCAGTGCCACATGCTCCAGATGGATGGGGTGGGGAATACCCCTTCCAGCTAAGTGGCGCCATGGAAGCGTGCTGGGCCCATAACCAAGAGGTTGATGCATCAAAGCCATCGTCTGCTGGGCAGCAGCAGCTACTTTCTGCTTTTGACTTGGACAATCCAAAAATGCAGGGAGGAGATTTTCCTGCTACTGAGTAGGACGCTACAGGCCCTCCCTCCTTTGATTTAGGAGAATGAATCCTGTTGCAGAAGAGATGGGGAGACACTTCTTTTAAGGGAGAAATAACATCTCCCCCCACCAACGCACAGTACTGGATCAACCAATAGGCAGAATAAGCTTGTGCTTAAAGCACCAATCTTTTTTATCTTTATTTTTGAAGATTGCTATAACCATCGCTGCCGCAATCCCTCTCCTAGGGAGCCAAGTGCAACCTGGAGTCCAGTCCTTGGCAACAGCTTCATTCTGTTCTTTGACATAATTCAATGCTGGCCATAGGGCAGAAGCTGGAGCTGCAACACTCCTTCCATTTGGCAAAATTCCCTGGCTGGGAACTGAACCTAGGCCGCAGTGAATCCTAACCAGGGATGTGCATGGTGATCTCTGCTTCTCTATTCTTTTCATGTGACGGACCAACTGCAAGGAAATGGCACTTGACTAGCCAGCCAGCCTCCTAGTCAAGGGGCAGATTTTCCTTCTGTAGGCCAAATCAATAGCTGACCCTACAGAGTGGCAAAGGTAGTAGAAAGGCTTATGCCACAGAGGAATATCCAAAAAAGGCTTACTCACAGGATCACCACCTTGTCATGGTTAGTGGGCTTTCACGTTCCCGTGACCCTTGTGAGTGAAGCCGTCGGGAGTCTTGTACTCCCAGTAGGGTCGCCAAAGGTGGTAAGGCCCAAGGGGAGGAGCTAGACAAAGAATGATCCAAGAAGTCCTTAATGGGAGAACAGGCGGATGATAACAAGCGGTATGTTACAACGGCTGTGAAGACAGATGAAGGCTGAAACAGATAAGAATCTACTGGTCGACGTGATACTCATGCCATTGAAATAGAGCCTAACTGCAAAGACTGTGTGTTGGTCTGCGTGCCCTGATCTACACACATAAATTCACAGGTAGGCATCTTCCAAAAACCCATCTAATCCTCAGCATGATCAACTCCTATGGGGAAGCCTATGTCCCCACTGTGGAAGGGCGTGTGGATCCAGAATTGGCCTCCACAGTCCACAGGACCATATTCATGGAAGACAATCCTACTCAGCTACAAGCAATCGCCAAAGAAGAGGATCCAAAAAAGGGGCCGACGAGGGTGGGATTCGAACCCACGCGTGCAGAGCACAATGGATTAGCAGTCCATCGCCTTCACCACTCGGCCACCTCGTCCAGAAATCCTGCCCGCAGCCGTCCCTGGGTGGGCTCGAACCACCATCCTTCTGGTTAACAGCCAGATGCGCTAACCCATTGCGCCACAGAGACCTGGGCGGTAGAATCCTTGGTCTGAGATCTTAATAGTGGAACACTACTGACAGACTAAGGATGGGATGTGCATGTGTCCTTATACCAATTTCCCAGTTTCCATGGAGAAAGGGGAGGAGGAACTGTCCTGCCGCTCAAAGGGTCAGTGGCAGAACTGGCGTCCCCTTCAACAACTCCACTAGTAGAGTGGGAGCAGGGTACTCAACAAGCAAGCCTTGAGGAGTTAAATATTATGGGCTAGAGTTAGACGCCACCCTTTGAACGTTCCTTTGCTCTGCTTTTCAGTTTCAGCAGTGTTCTTCACCTGGCCAGAAATAAAGCGGTAAGAGTCACACGTTTATTTATTCTGCAGTTATGATGAGGAGGAAAAGCAGTACTGGGTGCTTATTGCCAAAGGGTGAAATAAGGAGATAAAGTGATCTGGGAGAAAAAAATACTCCAAGTTCCTCTTTCTTATTTTAAAGCACTCACTATATTCACAGTCATAGTGACTCTTTTTGGCTGCTTGGATAATGTGCTGAACTCCTAGGGAAAAGGGCTACTGAGGGTGGGGGCTTGAACCCCCATGTGGGCAGAACACAACAGATTAGCAATTCACCACTCAGGCTCCTCATTGCAGGCGGATTTCCAGCAGCCGTCCCTGGTTAACAGCCAGACGCGCTAACCGATTGCGCCACAGAGACCTGGGCAGAGCTGTTTCTCTGCCTCCTGTTATGCTCGGTGCTGGCAAAGTTCATTTTGAAAAGGAACTAGTTCAAGTTCAAGGAGGAACCAGTTCCAGGAAGAATGATGTTCTGGGTCTAGCAGACAAAATAACCACTGATAAAACGTCAGGCCTGGATGGCATCCCCCACATTTGGCTCTTCTTGGGCAAAAAAAGAGGAGGATTGCACCTTCTCTTGGCTATAGGCAGGGCCAATTTGCCAGGATACCAAATTCAGGGTGAGCAATTGTAGTTGAAATGGAGCTATTGCACAACAAGCCCCTTCCCCTAAGCTGGATTTTTTTCAAATAAAGGCAGCAGGAGGAAAATGCCCTGAGATGTGTAGAATTGCAATTTGCTCGAAGCAATGCAGTCTAAGCTCTCCACAAACAAATCAAGATGAATGTCCATAGAAACATAGAATCGTAGAGTTGGAAGGAAACCCAAGGATCCCCTAGTCCAGTGGTAGCCAAACTTGGCCCTCCAGCTGTTTTGGGACTAAAACTCCCATCATCCCTAGGAAACAGGACCAATGGTCAGGGATGATGGGCATTGTAGTCCCAAAACAGCTGGAGGTCCAACCTTCAATGAAGGAGAGTCCACCACCTTCCAAGGTAGTTTACACAGAATCGTAGAGTTGGAAGGAAACCCAAGGATCCCCTCATTCAACTCTCTTCAATGCAGGAAATGCAGCTAAAGAACCCCTGATAGGTGGCTCTCCAACCTCGCTTCAAAAAACCTGCAACGAAGGAGAATCCACCTCCTTCCAAGGTTGTCCATGACTGGCACTGCAACTGCGGGACCAAAATAAATGAGGCTTCAGGGTCTGAGTTCCTGGAAGGCGTTCAGCGCTGGTGGTATAATTGAAGTTCATCTGGAATGACCCTCTTTCCATCTTGCAAAAGAATTCCCTGACCGGGAATCGAACCCGGGCCGCGGCGGTGAGAGCGCCGAATCCTGACCACTAGACCACCAGGGAAGTACAAGGTGATCTCTGTCCTTCCCTTCTTTCAAGAGACAAGCTCCGCATCAAGCTGCTAAGAAAGTGTTCTCTGCCAGTCAGACATCCTGCCAAATGGCAGGTTTTCTTTGCTTGCTGTGAAGAGTTCCCACTGCATTAGGAAGCTGAAAAGCAGCATGTGGTCATCCTCTTCCCTGGTGAAGGGAAACCAAGACCACACTCATTGAAAGTTCCATGGTACCACTTTAAACAGTTGTGGCTTCCCCCAAAGACTTCTGGGAGCTCCTAGTTTGTTATCAGGGCTGAGAGTTGTAAGGAGTCTGCCCCCTGACTCCCAACTTGGGGTCCCTTCCAACTCTGCAATGCTATCATTGTATGTTTTGTGGGGTGAACTAGGCCTTAGCCTAAAGCAGGAGCTGCCTGCTGTTTGCACCTGCTTGCAAATAGTTTGACCTGCTTAGCTGGCACCTGATTGTAGGATCGGTTGGCTAACATTCAGCATGGGTCACTTGGTTACAAATTTGCAGCAAGTGTGAACAAGGGTTTCCAAGGAAGATTTTTCTGGTTTGTCTCTAGTGAGACTTGAGGGCTCAATTCCTCTTAAAGCAGGTTACATGGTTCTTCTGTTTCAACCCTCTCCCTTGTGAACCATTTCATTCAGACAATAACAGGAGCTTTCCAACCACAAAGCCTGTCAGGTGAACTCTCTCTTGGAAGTAAAGGCGCCAGCTATGTAGGTCACACTGTTTGCAAGCGGAGTCCTGACTGAGAGAGAAGAAATAATAGTGGCACTTAGGTCAAGAGGGCCTCTCGGACCCCCTACATTAATGCCAGGGTTAGTGCAGCATTCCTCAACCTTGGCCCTCCAGATGTTTTTGGCCTACAGCTCCCATGATCCCTAGCTAGCAGGACCAGTGGTCAGGGATGCAGGGAATTGTAGTCTCAAAACATCTGGAGGGCTGAGGTTGAGGAAGCCTGAGTTAGTGGGTAGATATCCAGTCTGTGTTTTGTTTTGTTTTGGGTAGTGCTCTGTGATTGTTCCTGTTTGTTTTAGATATTATTTCTTTCTACACCTTACAAAAGAATTCAGTAGGCATATTAAAAAAGAAAAGAAAAGAAGAGGAGCACCATGTTTCTGCCTGGTTTCAAACCAGGGACCTTTTGCGTGTGAGGCGAACGTGATGACCACTACACTACAGAAACTCTGCCTTAGCTGAGGCCCTTGTTCCTGCCCCCTGGCCAAGAAAGATCCTTTTGGCTTGGAGTCCTTGGACTTAGAGAATGGCAGTGCCACATGCTCCAGATGGATGGGGTGGGGAATACCCCTTCCAGCTAAGTGGCGCCGTGGAAGCGTGCTGGGCCCATAACGAAGAGGTTGATGGATCAAAGCCATCGTCTGCTGGGCAGCAGCAGCTACCTTTTGCTTTTGACTTGGACAACCCACAAATGCGGGGGAGATTTTCCTGCTACTGAGGAGGACGCTGCAGGCCCTCCCTCCTTTGGCAACTGATCTGGGAGAACGAATTCTGTTTCAGAAGAGAAGGGGAGACACTGCCTGGGATAGAGCCTAACTCCGAAGACTGTGCGTTGGTCAGCATGCCCTGATCTACACATATAAAGTAAATTCACGCACAGGCGTCTTCCAAAAACCCATCTAATCCTCAACATGATCATCTCTCACCCAGAAACCTATGTCGCCACTGTGGAAGGGCATGTGGATCCAGAATTGGCCTCCATAGTCATTTATGGACACAGCATTAAGACCATATTCATGGAGGACGATCCTACTCAGCAATCACCAAAGAAGAAGATCCAAACAAGGGGCCGACGAGGGTGGGATTCGAACCCACGCGTGCAGAGCACAATGGATTAGCAGTCCATCGCCTTCACCACTCGGCCACCTCGTCCAGGAATCCTGCCCACCGCCGTCCCTGGGTGGGCTCGAACCACCATCCTTCTGGTTAACAGCCAGACGCGCTAGCCCATTGCGCCACAGAGACCTGGGTGGTAGAATCCTTGGTCTGAGATCTTATTACTGGAACACTACTGACAGACTAAGGATGGGATGTGCATGTGTCCTTATACCAATTTCCCAGTTTCCATGGAGAAAGGGGAGGAGGAACTGTCCTGCCGCTCAAAGGGTCAGTGGGAGAACTGGCGTCCCCTTCAACAACTCCACAAGTAGAGTGGGAGCAGGGTACTCAACAAGCAAGCCTTGAGGAGTTAAATATTATGGGCTAGAGTTAGACGCCACCCTCTGAACGTTCCTTTGCTCTGCTTTTCAGTTTCAGCAGTGTTCTTCACCTGGCCAGAAATAAAGCGGTAAGAGTCACACGTTTATTTATTCTGCAGTTATGATGAGGAGGAAAAGCAGTACTGGGTGCTTATTGCCAAAGGGTGAAATAAGGAGATAAAGTGATCTGGGAGAAAAAAATACTCCAAGTTCCTCTTTCTTATTTTAAAGCACTCACTATATTCACAGTCATAGTGACTCTTTTTGGCTGCTTGGATAATGTGCTGAACTCCTAGGGAAAAGGGCTACTGAGGGTGGGGGCTTGAACCCCCATGTGGGAAGAACACAACAGATTAGCAATTCACCACTCAGGCTCCTCATTGCAGGTGGATTTCCAGCAGCCGTCCCTGGGTGGGCTCGAACCACCAACCTTCTGGTTAACAGCCAGACGCGCTAACCAATTGCGCCACAGAGACCTGGGCAGAGCTGTTTCTCTGCCTCCTGTTATGCTCGGTGCTGGGAAAGTTCATTTTGAAAAGGAACTAGTTCAAGTTCAAGGAGGAACCAGTTCCAGGAAGAATGATGTTCTAGGTCTAGCAGACAAAATAACCACTGATAAAACGTCAGGTCTGGATGGCATCCCCCACATTTGGCTCTTTTGGGGCAAAAAAGAGGAGGATTGCACCTTCTCTTGGCTATAGGCAGGGCCAATTTGCCAGGATACCAAATTCAGGGTGAGCAATTGTAGTTGAAATGGATCTATTGCACAACAAGCCCCTTCCCCTAAGCTGGATTTTTTTTTTTTTTTTTGCAAATAAAGACAGCAAGAGGGAAATGCCCTGAGAAGTGTAGAATTACAATTTGCTCGAAGCAATGCAGTCTAAGCTCTCCACAAACAAATCAATGAATGTCCATAGAAACACAGAATTGTAGAGTTGGAAGGAAACCCAAGGATCCCCTAATCCACCTCACTTCAAAAAACCTGCAGTGAAGGAGAATCCACCATCTTCCAAGGTGGCCCATGACTGGCACCACAACTGCGGGACCAAAATACCGGTAAATGAGGCTTCAGGGTCTGAGTTCCTGGAAGGGGTTCAGCACTGGTGGTATAACAGACGTTCATCTGGAATGACCCTCTTTCCATCTTGCAAAAGAATTCCCTGGCCGGGAATCGAACCCAGGCCACGGCAGTGAGAGCGCCGACTCCCGACCACTAGACCATGAGGGATGTGCAAGGTGATCTCTGTCCCTCTGTTCTTCCAAGCAATGAGCGCTGTAAAGGCTGGTGGAACAAAGTTTTTTGTGGGGGAGTCTTGAGTTGGAGAAGTTAAAGGGTGGAACAGACGTTTGAGGGTAGTCAAACTGAAAAGTACATTTGATGGTACATGGTGCTCTGTCATAACTTATGTGATCCCACAACTGGGTCATATTCTACCTGACCCTAAAAAAATATCTGTGGCCAGATTTACCCAAGCAAGAATGTACCCAAGCAATATCGGCAAACAACATATGAGGTGTGTAATTTCGTATTGATTTTTCTTGCGAGACTTTAAAACGATTTTCAAATCTCTGGCTTCCATTGTAATGCTCAAGTTGTGAGTAGCTATCCAGTCTGCTTTGTTTGGGGTAGTTCACAATGTTTGCTTTAGATGTTATTTCTTCTATATTTTACTCAAAAAATTATTAAAAGTGGAGCACCATGTTTCTGCATGGTTTCGAACCAGGGACCTTTCGCATGTGAGGCGAACATGATAACCACTACACTACAGAAACTCTGCCTTAGCTGTGGCCCTTGTTCCTGCCCCTGGCCAAGAGAAATCCTTTTGGCTTGGAGTTCTTAGCACTCGGAGAATGGCAATGCCACATGCTCCAGATGGATGTGGTGGGGCACTGGCCCCACAACTCCTTCTGGCTGCAGCACCTCTGGGGCTGTCCCTGCCAGCCCTTTGAGTTCAGATTCCTCGCCTCACTTGATGAAAAAGAATCGGCTCCTGGTCCCTGACAAACACACATTCATGCCCCATCCAGCAGAGTGGCGCAGCGGGAGCGTGCTGGGCCCATAACCCAGAGGTCGATGGATCGAAACCATCCTCTGCTAGGTGGCAAGGGCTGCCTTTTGTCTTTGACTTGGACAACGCCCAAATTTGAGGAGAAGGGCATTTTCTTGCTCCCGAGTAGGGTACTCTTCCTCCTTTGGCATTAGGTCTTGGCCAGAGCATGAGTTCCTGGAAAAGGTTCAGTACTGTTGACATAACAAAGATTTGGCTGGAATGGCCCTCCTGCCATATGGCAAAAGAACTCCCTGACCGGGAATCGAACCCGGGCCGTGGCGGTGAGAGCGCCAAATCCTAACCACTAGACCACCAGGGATACGCAGTGTGTTTTCTTTCCCTCCTTACTTTCCAACTACGAGCACGGTATCAAACTGCTAATAGATGGCTCTTTGCCCTTTGGACATCATGCCAAGTAGCAGGGTTTCCTCAATGGAGTTGAAACATTGGCAGGGAAGGGCATGGACTGGCGGGATACAGGCAAGTCTGAGACGGGGGAGGAGGGCTGCAGTCTCACTTGTAGGAAGGGGCCAGTGATTTGTGGGAACTGTGCCAGCCTGGAGGTAAGAGCTGGAGGCAGGGGAAATGTCAGATATGGAGCACAGGCTCAGTCAGTAGAAGGGGAAGAAGAGTAAACCAGGAAAGTTAAAGGCCATTTGTTTTCCCACCCTCTCCTGCACAACTGTCTCCCAGAACCAGAAGGGGATTGAAGAGGGATGAGCAGAGGCAGTTTCCACGCAGGCACAGTCTCTGGCTGTGTGTGTGCAGCCCATTGGGGGAAGATGCATAAATTCATGGAGTGGTCCCCTGTTGCTGCAGCTGCTCCGGGGAATAACTACCTAGACTCTAGACTGGTGTGCCTGGGTATTCAGAGTTGTAGAAAAGAGTGTCAAGTGTCAGCTTTGACAAATAAGAGTTAACTATCTACTATGTGCATTCCTTTGGCTGGAAAGTGCAATGGACAGAGTTGAGGGAAACCTGCCAGTCGCTAGGACATCTGACAAGCAGAGAGCCATATATTGGCAGTTGGATACAGTGGTCATCGCTTGAAAGAATGGAAGGACAGAGATCACCTTGCATATCTCTGATGGCACCACAGCACAGGTTTGATAAAAAATGAACTTCCCAAGCAACCGAGCATAACAAGAGGCCAATAAACAGCTCTGCCCAGGTCTCTGTGGCGCAATCAGTTAGCATGTCTGGCTGTTAACCAGAAGGTTGGTGGTTCAAGCCCACCCAAGGACAGCTGCTGGCCTTCTACCTGCAATGAGGTGGCTGAGTAGTGAATCTGTTGTCCTCCGCACACATGGGGGTTCAAGCCCACTCTCCGTAGCCCCTTAGGAGTACAATATCTAAGCAGCCCTTTTGTTGGGGAGTGCTGATCCGCCGCTCTGAAATGGCTCCTGTGTGGACCCTGAGATCATCTTCTGAGGCCCTCCTTTGTGTGCCTTCAGAGGTCTGGAGGGTGGCAACACGAGAAGGGGCCTTCTCTGCAGTGGCTCCCTGTCTATGGAATGCTCTCCCCAGGGAAGTTCACCTGGTGCCTTCATTATACACCTTTAGGCTCCAGGCAAAAACACTCCTTTTTAACCAGGCCTTTGGTTGATCCGATTGACATCCTCTGCCCTTTTAAAAACATGTATTTTGGAGGGGAGGGGGTGTTATTGGGTTGTTGTTTTTATGTTGCTTTTATATATTGTGGTTTTTATGTTGATCTTTTCTGTGAACCGCCCTGAAACCCCTGGGTATAGGGTGGTATATAATTTTTTTTAAAAAAAAAATTAAAGGCAGAAGATGGAAGGTACCAGTCAAGACTCAAGCCCAGATCGGTAATGAGACAATTTCTGTCATCAGTCTTATGATCTAAAAGGGATGACATCACAGTCCTGCCCAGCATCTCTTCCTCTGCCTTTTGCTCAGTCAACAAGCAAAAACAGTGCAGGCAGGCAAAAGTCTGCAAACAGCTGAGGGTGGTGGGATTCAAACCCACATGTGCAGAGTGCAATGGATTAGCAGCCCACCCGTTTCACCAGTCATCTGCTTTATGAGGGATGCGGTGCCCACAGCCGCCCTCCAAAGTAACATCCAGGTGCACAGACCTATCGTACCACAGAGACTCTGCCCCTCAGCCTCTTTTGGCCTGAACATTCCCAGAAAGGGAAGGATGGCTGACAAACAAGGCAGTGATCCACAGCCAGCCACTTTCTCCCACCCAGCCAGCAGAGTGGCGCAGCGGGAGCGTGCTGGGCCCATAACCCAGAGGTCGATGGATCGAAACCATCCTCTGCTAGTTGGCAGTGACTGCCTTTTGCTTTTTCCTTGGACAACCCACAAAAGAAAAGGGAAAAAGGGATCCCTTTTTGAGTAGGACAGGACAGCAACTCCTTCCTCTGGCAAAAGGCCTGGCAGAAGGAATCGCCTCGAAGGAAGATGGCGTGCTGCTATTGCTTTGGTCCAGCCTGCTAGTAAGGTGCTTGCTATGCTTTGATAGTGTTGCACACACCCCGGTCTCCAAGTGGCAAGAAATTCCAGGGGTTGCAGTGTTTTACCCAGGGTTCAGTTTCTTTTGAACAAAGCTCAGTGGAGGCTGTGGTGTCTTTAGGATATATGGCTTTAATTGAAGCTATATACCAGGGGTGGCCAACTCCCAAGAGACTGCGATCTACTCACAGTGTTAAAAACTGGCAGTGATCTACCTCCTTTTTTGGTGTTCAGGTCAAAGTTGTTGACCTTTTTTTAGGAAGGAAAACCCTGTTTTGGGGGGTTCAGGAGCCAGTGATCTACCACAGACGTCCAGTGATCTACCGCTAGATGTGCCTCTTGGACATGCCTGCTATATACAATCTGAGCACCAGATTTAGGGGTTTGCAGCATTCAGTCTGCAGTAGAAGCCCCAAGCCACAGTTCTATATGCCTCTGTCTCCAGTTTCCAGCATCCATGCTATTATTGCACCCTGCATTGTCAGTCTGGCATTCAACATCAGGCTGGACTAGAGGACCTCCAGGACCCCTTCCAAGTTTCACATTCTGATTCAAAGGATAAACTAGATAGGCACACAGCTTTTTCTCAGCAGCCAACCAAGATGATCCACCTCGAACCCCCTGCCAAGGTAAGGAGAAGGAAAAACTGCTTTCTTGCTGGAAGAGAATAAGAAACATGGAAAGTGGCGGTAGGATCCTTTCTCCCAGGCCTTTTGCCAGAGGAGGGAGTTGTTGTGCTGTCCTACTCAGCAGAAGACAAGGAATCCTTTCCCCCTTTTCTTTTGTGGGTTGTCCAAGGAAAAAGCAAAAGGCAGTCACTGCCATCTAGCAGAGGATGGTTTCGATCCATCGACCTCTGGGTTATGGGCCCAGCACGCTCCCGCTGCGCCACTCTGCTGGCTGGGTGGGAGAAAGTGGCTGGCTGTGGATCATTGCAGCTAGGTATCCAGTCTGGGAATGACTTTATTTGGATTCTCCAACCTGTAATGAGGCAGTATCATGCCAGCATCCACTGTCTCCAGTTGCCGTGGCTATTTTTATTCTACAAACGGAAGATACAGACTTTCCCACCTGGGCTATCGCAGATGGTTGACATCCACCCATTTCAGGAGACAATGGAGGCGTGTGTCTTTGGATCCTGCTAACATCTTACAGCAAAGCAATATTAGCATGTCATCTCTCTCTTCTTTTCAACAATATTCCTTTTCCCAGGCTTGTTGCCAGAGGAGGGGGGCACAGCAGCTTCCTAGCTTCCTACTTAGTAGCTGCAGGGAAATAATTTCCACTCACACCCACAAAAGTAAAAGTACCTAGCAGAGGATGGTTTCGATCCATCGACCTCTGGGTTATGGGCCCAGCACGCTTCCGCTGCGCCACTCTGCTGGATGGAGCAAGAAAGAGCCTAGTGCGCATCATCAGTTCGTTTGTTATCTGTCCAGTTCTGGCAACAAAACCACAGGATAAAAGAGACTGAGGGGCAGCCCTGCCCAGGTCTCTGTGGCGCAATGGGTTAGCGCGTCTGGCTGTTAACCAGAAGGTTGGTGGTTCGAGCCCACCCAGGGACGGTTGCAGGCACTTTGTCCAGTATGAGACATCTGTTGTCCTCTACACATGTGGGTTTGGATTCTACCTCATCATCCCTTTTCCCCATTAATTGGACCCAGGTCAAAAGATTGGGAACCTCACATGATGCCTCTGGTCTACAGCACTGGTGCAGCTGATGCAGGTCTTTTCCTTCCAGGCGAGTGAACCTGCCAAAGGAAAACCTGTGGGCTTGCCTGGCCCACAGCAGTTATTTGCAGAGCATAAAATTGGACCTTTTTCTTTTACATGGCATCAAAGGAAGCATAATAAGAGATTGAGGGGCACCTTTTTCCAGGTCTCTGTAGCGCAATGGGTTAGCGCGTCTGGCTGTTAACCAGAAGGTTGGTGGTTCGAGCCCACCCAGGGACGTTTGCAGGCATTATGCCCATGATGAGGTGGCTGAATCAGTTTAGTTTCCTTCTTTGCTAGCCCTTTTCCCCACTGGCTGGAAGTCCTAGAGCAGTGGTCCCCAAATATTCCCCCCCCCCAAGGACCACTTGACACTTGCTGAGGATCTTGGTGGACCACTTAATACGTTTCCTGCCTGTTGTAGCAGCTGTAATGCGCTGTGCTAAATGATTTTTAGTTGTAACCTTACAGCACTCTGCGGAACACCTGAATGAAGCTTGTGGACCACCAGTTTGGGAAACCCTGTCTTAAGGCATAAACTTCTAGCTGGCAGGCTGAAACTGTCTTCAACTCTCTGAAAGGAAAAACAACAACAGGAAGGTATGCACCAGCCGGGACTCGAACCCGGGTCACAAGATTGGGAACCTCGTATGATGCCTCTACACCACTGGTGCAGACGACGAGGACCTTCTCCTTCCTGGGCACAAGGTCTGCCGAAGAAAAACCTCCTGTGTGGTTGGATGGCCCAGAGGAGATTTTCAGCACCCTGACCAAAATGTGTAGGGACCTCTAGCCTTTTGCATGTTGTGTCCAGTGCAGAAGCAAAAAGCAGCAGCAGAATAGCAGGTGATATTTTTCTTCTATCAACCTCTGGGTAATGGGCCCAGCATGCTCCCCTTCCAGTTTGGTAAAAGGAATCTGAAATGGCTTGTATAACTGTTTTTCTCTTAGCTGAGTAAAACCTCAGGCCAAGAGGGGTGGAGATCTCTGTGATGCAATTTTTAGCACATCTGGGCTTTAGCTGGAAAGATGCAAGGCCACTCAGCTGCGGATATCATGTTCCGGATGACATGGTCAAGTGGTGAAGGCCGTGGACTGCTAATATGTTGTGCACTGTGCTGTGGGTTTGAATCCCACCCTCACAGGATGCTTGCAAGCTTTTGGCTGCCTGCGCCTTCTTTGCATGTCAGCAGAGAAAATGCCAGTCTGGATTCGCACCCAGGTCACTCGCAGCACTGGCAACGTTGAATGAACGCCATACACAGGATTGGCACTGTTGCATGATGAGGCTTCTTTCTACATCAGTGGCGCAACTGAGCGGTCCCTTCTTTGGCATAAATCCTTTCAGGCAAACGGGTAAGCAGCTCCTTAGGTTCCCTCAAGCCCTGAGGATTATTTTGCACACTTACACAGTGGTACCTCAGTCAAAATAAAAAAAATCCTTCCAGTAGCACCTTTAAGACCAACTAAGTTAGTTCTTGGTATGAGCTTTCGTGTGCAAGCACACTTCTTCAGATACACAGTGTGCTTGCACACGAAAGCTCATACCAAGAACTAACTTAGTTGGTCTTAAAGGTGCTACTGGAAGGATTTTTTTTATTTTGACTATGGCAGACCAACACGGCTACCTATCTGTAAGTGGTACCTCAGGTTAAGTACTTAATTCGTTCCGGAGGTCCGTTCTTAACCTGAAACTGTTCTTAACCTGAAGCACCACTTTAGCTAATGGGACCTCTCGCTGCCGCTGCACGATTTCTGTTCTCATCCTGAAGCAAAGTTCTTAACCCGAGGTACTATTTCTGGGTTAGCGGAGTCTGTAACCTGAAGCGTCTGTAACCTGAAGCGTAGGTAACCCGAGCTACCACTGTACTTTTTTCCAGACGACTAGGAGTTAACATAACAGAGTTGCGGATCCTAGAGAGGCTGGGGAAAAATAAGTACACAGCGCAGGGCATCTTCCTCTTCCGCCTCCCGCTTCTCTCCCTCACACTGTGCTGCGAAATAGCCTTTAGGTCTGGAGCCTCCGCTGCCGGTTGCATTCCTGGCTGCGGGTGCAATGCAAAGAAAAAGGGCCGTGTGGAGCGGGTAAGCTAAAGCAAGGAAGGAGAGACAGAAAGCTTAGGAGGAAACAGCTGCTGGGCGGCAGCGGGGCACAGATTTCTGCAGCCGCCAAATGGAGACAAAGAGCTCTGTCTGCATTTGGCGGCTGCAGAAATGGGGCTGGAAGGGAGCTTCTGAGGGAGATTCCAGGCAGGTGTTTGTTTTCTTGGGGAGGGGCTGCAGCTCAGTGGTTAGAGCCTCTGCTTTGCATGCAGAAGGTCCCAGGTCCAATCCCTGGGGCTGGGAAACAGCTCTGTCCGAAACTGCGAAGCTGCTCTAGGAGGTCCCTTCAGCCAAGGTCCCTTCAGCCCCCCCCCCTAAAATATTTGAGGGCCTCCTCCCTAAGTTGATGGGCATTGTCATTCAAACGGTGTGCGCGCGCCATGTAATCAGTTATGTGGGGTGGGGCTTATCTGTCGTCGTCCCCCCCCCCCCATATTTTATTCAAGCTGGTACACCTGGAAGCTGCTGTCAGTGTTGACAATAATGAGCTGGATGGACCTGACTCGCTATAAGGCAGCTTACCATGTGAGATCATGGCTAGCAGCCACTGACAGCCTTACCCACTGTGAATTTGTCTTTTCAAACCATTAGACTGTGGCTTTTTTGTTTTGTCATGGCAAAGTTAATTATTTCAGTTCTGTTTTAGGTTTTGAATCACATGTGCACGCTGCCTTCGGATGGCTTGTCCCGAAAAGCAGCAAAGGAATACTTGAAATAAAATAAAGAGAGCAAAAAAAAAAAAAGGGTGGGGCAATAACATGGAGGTAATGAAACATCACAAATAAACAACTGATACAAATGCATCTGTGGTGTGTTTTTTGTCATTTTTCTTAGCAACAACTCTGGAGAGGAAACATCTAATTCTAGATATTGCACTCCAAAAGAAAAACAAATGTATAAAAACCAGGAACTCTTCAACTCAATAGCTGTTCCAGTTTAGTCCAAACCAGGAAACTGTGGTTAATGGTTTCAGAACAAGCAGGGTATAAACCCATTGTTTGAAGCTGGCTAAATATCTTGGTTTGTTGTGAAGCTTTTAATCATGGCTTCCTGGTTTCAGTTGAAATGGAAACTATAGTGAGTTAAAGAAATCCTGACTTATTTGCTGGCTCCTGCAAACAGAGGAGTAAAGAGGCTGCCCAAAGTTTTGTTTATATCACCTTTGTTAAATCAATATATGATCATTGGAAACATCTAAATGTAAAGCATCGTCCCGTGTTTTCTGTTTTGTTCCAGAAGGTGATGACTTAGACAAGCAGGAGGAAGATCTTTCACTAGAAAGGTGTGAGCTTCCCCAGCCTATTATCATCCAAAAGCGGCAAAAGTTCTGGAGTTGAAGAGATGCCGGGAAGTCAACAGGGACAAAAAAGACAACCTGAAAAGGCAACAGAAGGAGCTTTCCTTTGTGAAGATGGAGATAGTAGTTTAAATGAAAGTACATTACAAGAAGGAATCCTCATAAGTAAAGGGGGAAATATGGGCACAGACTGTGGAAAAAGCCTCCATCAGAGTTTTGAGTTTCTTGAGGATGAGAGTGTGGAGACAGGGGGACATCAATATAAATGCTCAACATGCTGGGAAACTTTCCATGACAGAACCCACTTGGATACACATGAGAGAATCCACACAGGAGATAAACCATACGAATGCACAGATTGTGGGAAAAGCTTTAGCACGAGCTATGGGTTTATTGATCATATAAGAGTACACACAGAGGAGAAACCATATATGTGTTCAGACTGCGGTCAGTGCTTCCATCTGAAATCAAACCTTACTGCACACAAGAGAACCCACACAGCAGAGAACCCCTACGAGTGCTCTGAATGCGGGCAAAGCTTTGGTAAGAAATCACATCTTGTCACGCACGAGAGGACCCACACTGGAGAGAAACCCTATCAGTGCTCAGATTGTGGGAAGAGCTTCAGCCAGAAAGGAAATCTCGTTTCCCACATGAGGATCCACACAGGGGAGAAGCCATATAAATGTTCCCAGTGTGGCAAATGCTTCTCTCATTGCACTTCACTGATGATGCATGTGAGAACTCACACAGGGGAGAAACCTTACAAATGCTCCATCTGTGAAAAAAGCTTTGTCAACAAGGGAAACCTTGTTTCACATGTGAGAATCCACACAGGGGAAAAGCCCTATGAATGCAGAGATTGTGGGAAAAGCTTTAGCACCAGCTTTCAGTTTATAGAGCATAAAAGGCTACACACGGGGGAGAAACCTTACATGTGCTCAGACTGTGGGCAAAGCTTCAATTCAAAATCAAACCTCATCACACACAAGAGAACCCACACAGGAGAGAAGCCCTATCAGTGTACTGTGTGTGGGAAAGGCTTCCGGGTTAAATCATCCCTTACTAAACATGTGAGAATCCATACAGGGGAGAAGCCCTACAAATGTCCTGAGTGTGGGAAAAGCTTCAACACTAGCTCCCTGCTTGTGAATCACAAAAGGGTTCATACAGGAGAGAAGCCGTATAAATGCTCAGGATGCGGGAGAAGCTTCCGTCAGAAAGGAAACCTTGTTTCACATATGAGAATCCATACAGGGGAGAAGCCATACCGGTGTACTGACTGTGATAAAAGCTTCATTGATAAAAAGTCGCTTATTAAGCACAAGAGAACACATACGGGAGAGAGAGTTTATGATGGTAAAGATGGTGGGCAACGCTTCAGGTGCAACTCGGTGCTTTCGTAGCACAGTATAATTCACTGGGCCTGACTGGACAAAGCCTCTCCTTGGTCTGACCTACAAATGCAGGGTAGGAGGGAGACTGCAGACTTGGTGCTTTCTCACTGACTCAGCATTTCTTCCCCACCTCCGGCATCACCAGACGTCCACATGGGACCATGTATTAAAATATGGATGTATACTTGGGTTGAATTTGTGTGGTCAGTACCCAGATAGAGTGTGGTCCATTTCTGACCTACATTGGCCATAGAATTGTAGAGGGCAAAGGGACCCTGAGGGTCATCTAGTTCAGCCCCATGCAATGCAGGAATTTCAGACTGCATTGGAAATACTGTGTATTTCCAAGTGGGATGTCTCTAGAGGAGGGGTCTGGCAAGGGGTCTGAAAATCAGGACACCTTCAGGAATAGCTGAAACATCCGGGTGTGCTTAGCCTGGAAGAGAGATTGCGGGAAGAGAGATATTATACCAGTCTTCAAATAACCACACAGAATATGGAACAGGCTCCAGAGGGCAAGATTTGGGTGGAAAGTGCAGGGAAGCAGATTTCGGCAAAACATTTAGAAGACCTATTCAACATTGGGGCAAAATTAATCAGGAGGTGGTGCTAGGGTTTTTAAAATCTGAAATACAGTGGTACCTCCGGTTGCGAACGGGATCCGTTCTGGAGGTCCGGCCGTATCCCGAAGCTTTCACAACCGGAGAGACCGCTTCTGCGCATGCGCGCATGGCGGTAGACCGCTTCTGCGTGTGTGCGAGCGGCGAAACACTTCCAGGTTTGCCGCTTTCGCAACCCAAAGTTTATGTTACCAGAGGGTAACGTAACCCGAGGTTCCACTGTATGTCATCTGAACCTGTGCACTCTGGATATTCCAATGTTACCTTTTACCTTAACTGTCAGAGGCAGCGCACGCCTCTGAATACCAGTTGCTGGAAACCACAGAAGAGGAAAGGGCTCTTGTTCTCGGGTCCTATTTTGGGCTTTCCATTGGGGCAAATGGTTGGCCACTGTGAGCAGGATGCTGGGCTCTTCTTATAGTCTTATGCCACACCACCACACGGATAGTTTCAGAGGTCGACAGCTACCCAAGTGGGCAGGAAGAGATGGTGTGCTGCCAGCTACACATGTGGGCAAGATCAGGGAGAGGTATTGTCCGATCTCGCTGTGATGCCACAACACATCCCATTAGAGCAGCCTTCCCCAAGCTGGTGCCCTCCAGATGTTTTGGATCACAGCTCAGTCTTAGGCCAGCATGGCTATGCAGCATGAAGAGGAGGGCAAGGGGGGAACTTCTGTTGCCATTTAGAGCAACTTCTCAGTTGCCCTTAAATTGGCATCGCCAGCCACCACTGGCCATAGGCAGAAGTGCGATGGGATGAGAGATGGGACGCTTACCTTTGTACAGTAGAGTACATTTGACCCCACAGGCCTGGGGTTCCCCCTCCTGTTTTAAGACCATGTTGGAAACATCTGGCGTGCCATGGGTACGAGCTTGCAGAAACGCAATGGTGGTAGGGATCTGAAATGCATATTCTGTTCTTGTTTATAATAATTTGATGCTGCCTTTTTAAAAACGTTGCTAACAGGAAACACAGTATTTTTCTGGTCTTTTTGTTCAAAGTGCATAGCTACTAAGTGAGAAATAAATAAATCTGGCGCGTTGTAACGGAATGGCACGGCTTAGACCGGGATGGGGAACCAGCAGTCTGCCAGACGTTGCTAGACCCCAGCTCCCCGATCATCTGTGGCAATGCTGAGTGGGGAGGGAAGGTGATGAGGCTTGGGAGCCCAAAACATCTGGAAGGAGTCAGGCTGAGGAACATGTTTTACAGAGAGAGAGAGAGAGTTCAATTCCCAGTCTAGAGCAGGCTAGAAATGTAAATGCATCATCTCACAACTTAAAATTTAGTAGATTTATATGAATTGAACTGTAGGTTGGATGTTAAAACCTTTGTTTTCCTCATTAAATTCTACATTACAAAATATCTGTTGCTCCATGCACTGTCTCATGTACGGCTGACCACTGCCCCGTGCAGTGAACTGCAGAACATCACCCCTGGAGGCACACTCCATTGTCTCTCGAGACAAGACGGATGCCAATGCGAGTCGATACCAGTGATTCATGCTCTTCTGGTGAGGTATTTTGCTCAACCAAAAACTCTCTGCAGACAAATACTTCAAAATAATAAATAAAAAATAAGTTTTTATTATGCATGTATATTTCATGTCAGCTCTTGGGCAACTAACAAACTCCAAAAGATAAATTAAAACACAGATAAATTAAACACAGTTAAAACACGGCGAAAGACGCTAGAACTGATATCCCTCCAACACAATCAAACGTTAACTTTCCTTATGGCTGAGTGTATACATTCTCCAACAGAGCTAGAAAAGTATTTCAAATATCTGTGTGCCCCGGCGACCCAGTGCCTGGGATTCCTCTAGCCCTGTTCATCCAGATAAATATTTGGTGCAATGTCAGAAGGTGGGAAGGGCCAGGGAACTGCAGCTGTTCTCAGCTACTTTGCTGACTTCTCCAATGGCAAGGACGCTGGGGGCGATCATGGCATCTTCTGCCCCCGCCAAGGTCTCACAAGAGTCTGTCTGAAGAACAGCCAGAGGATGGGCATCAAGGGGATACTTCCTTTTTTGCAACTTCCTCTGCGCATCCTTTTGCCTGCGAACCGCCGCTTGTTCGGGGGTTTCAGTAGCCCGGCGCCGCGCGTTCCTTTCAGCTTCGACGCGCCGACGCTGCAGCCGCTGCTCCGGGGTCTGCCGCGCTCTGTGGCGTCTCTGGCGCTGCCTGGCCAGGAGCCTCTTCCGCAGTTCTCGAGTTTCCACGTTGAAGCACACGTTCATCTGTATGTACCGATCTGCAAGGATGTCAAAATTGATGTGGGGCGAATTGTGTTTGGGGTTTGTGTTTGGAGGGGAGGGCAGGAAGAAATTGCTTGGATCATGGAAGGTTGAAGTAAGTGAGAAGAGGCAGGGAAGAGGGGCCTGGCGATGTGAGAATGTTCAAGTCACATTTGTGGCAGAATTCGCTTTACATAAGAAGCTGCCTTTTGCTGAGAGAAACAATCTGCTTTGACTGGGGCAGCTCTCCAAAGTTTCATTCAGGGGACATTCCCAGTGCTACTTTGAGATGCTGAGTTGGGGACCTTCTGCACTCAAAATAGATGCACTGCTACCTGGCTATGGCTCTCCCCTTATTTGCTATCATGGTTCGTCAAATAAACGCTCTGTCTGTCCTGAACCCAGAATAGTTTCAATTAAACTCGGACTTGGAGAAGTTGAAACCTAGTCCAGCACTTCAGCTGTTAACATAGTAAAAGGTAAAGGTTAAAAGAAGCAGTAACCTGGAAAGTTCAAGTACTGTCAGGCTTTTGAAGGCTTCAGATGACTGAGCCAACCTTCCTGTGTTCAGCTAGCAGAGCTCCCTGGGAGCTGTCCAGAGTCCAAATTTAATCTTGCTTTAGCGACATGGAAGAGGCTGTGGTATTCATTTGGGTGGCGCTGTGGGTTAAACCACAGAGCCTAGGACTTGCCGATTGGAAGGTCGGCGGTTTGAATCCCCGTGATGGGGTGAGCTCCCATTGCTGGGTCCCTGCTCCTGCCAACCTAGCAGTTCGAAAGCACATCAAAGTGCAAGTAGATAAATAGGTACCGGGAAGGTAAATGGCATTTCCATGTGCTGCTCTGGTTTACCAGAAGCGGCTTAGTCATGCTGGCCACATGACCCTGAAGCTGTACGCCAGCTCTCTCAGCCAATAAAGCGAGATGAGCGCCGCAACCCCAGAGTCGGCCACAACTGGACCTAATGGTCAGGGGTCCCTTTACCTTTACCTTTACCTTTACTGACATGGAAGAGGCTGTGGTATTCATGGCCACTTTCCTTTTGGTCTCTGAGCCAAGAGTGAATTTTATTAAAGAACGTTTAAGCACTTTCAGTTGCTCAAAAACATTCCAAAATATTTTTTTCAAAAAATGTTTTGCATGCAGAAGGTCTCAGGTTTAATAATAATAACCCTAACCCTAACCCTAACCCTAACCCTAACCCTAACAATAATAATAATAATAATAATAATAATAATAATAATAATAATAATTTATTATTTATACCCCGCCCATCAGGCTGGGCTTCCCCAGCCACTCTAGGCAACTTCCAACAAAATATTAAAATACAGTAATGCATCAAACATTAAAAGGTTCCCTAAACAGGGCTGCCTTCAGATATTTTCTAAAAGTCTGGTAGTAGTTGTTCTCTTTGACATCTGGTGGGAGGGCGTTCTACAGGGTGGGTGCCATTACCGAGAAGGCCCTCTGCCTGGTTTCCTGTAAAAGTCCAATCCCTGGACTCTTCAAATAGGGCTGGGAGAGGCTTCTTTCTGCAGCCTTGGAGACCCCAATGGGCTGACTTGTTACAAGGGAACTTCTGATGTGCCTATGTGACTCAAAGAGAGCAGCTGGCCTGGGGCAACCCAATGACCTTCACGGAGATATGGGGACTAGCTCTGCAGATGTGGACTCTCCTTCCTTGGAGGTTTTTCAGCAGAGCTTGGATGACCATCTGTCATAGATGCTTTAGCTGAGATTCCTAGATGAGCCTTGGGGGGGTACTGTCCAACTCTATAATTCTATGAGAACTGCAAACTAGGGACTTCCTGGCTTACTACTTGAACCTCACATCCTTGGGGACAAACTATATGATCTTCAAACTCCCACCATATCTATCTATCTATCTATCTATCTATCTATCTATCTATCTATCTATCTCCTGCCCACCTAGCAGTTTGAAAGCATGTCAAAGTGCAAGTAGATAAATAGGTACTGTTCCAGCAGGAAGGTAAACGGCGTTTCTGTGCGCTGCTCTGGTTCGTCAGAAGCGGCTTAGTCATATTGGCCACATGACCCTGAAGCTGTACGCCGGCTCCCTTGGCCAATAAAGCGAGATGAGCACTGCAACCCCAGAGTCAGCCACGACTGGACCTAATGGTCAGGGGTCCCTTTACCTTTATCTTTTTATCTATCTATCTATCTATCTATCTATCTATCTATCTATCTATGTACAGCTGTGGGAGACTTTTCCTCTGTGCCATAGCCCCAATCAGGTCACACCCCTCACCGCTCAGGAGCTTCTGTTAGCTGCAGAGAGAAAAATATGTACCGTATTTTTCACTCTATAAGACGCACCAGACCACAAGACGCACCTAGTATTTGGAGGAGGAAAACAAGAAAAAAAATATTCTGAATCTCAGAAGCCAGAACAGCAAGAGGGATCACTACGCAGTGAAAGCAGCAATCCCTCTTGCTGTTCTGGCTTCTGGGATAGCTGTGCAGCCAGCTCCATAAGACGCACACACATTTCCCCTTACTTTTTAGAAGGGGAAAAGTGAGTCTTATAGAGCAAAAAATACGGTAGGTTTACATTTTTCCTTCTCTGCAGCTAACGGCAGCTCTGGGGAAAAGCAATCTACTTAAGGGTTGCTTTGAAGGGGACAAGGTTTAGCATCCCCTCCTCACACACTCCTACTTCCCCAGCACAAGTGCAAAAGCCATGGTTTAATGACCTTTGAAATGTTGAAACATCAATGAATCAGGCACCAGAAGCCTTACTTAGTAAGTTGATGTCCACGTCATCCTCCGTTTTGGCCTCCAGGGGGAGCCTCTGCATCGTCTTTGGGGAATCTGAAGGGGCTCCAGATGACTCCAGAGAATTCAACTCATCCTCTGGTGGGAACAGCACCTGCAATTCAAATAGGCATCTCTTGTTCAGTGAACAAAGTGCAAATGACAAAGGACTAGGACCTTCTCTGGCCTAGAGGAAAAATCAAGTGGCAGTCACAGTGCAAATCAGGAACCAGGGTCAACGTCGGATGGACTTTTGTGTGATTACAAATATCTAAACAAAATGACTAAATTGTCTGCTGCTCTATTTTTCCACGGGAAATTTCACACTTTTAGAAACACACCCACCCCCCTCAATTAGGCAGTAATGTAATGGATGAATGAGGAGGGACTCAATGGTAGAGCATCTACTTTGCATGCAAAAGGTTGCGGATTCAATCCCAGACATCTCCAGGCAGGGATGAGAAAAGGATCCCTGGCTGAAAATTTTCAGAGCTGCTGTAGAGTCTGTGTAGACAGGACTGAGCTAGGTGCACCAACAGCTTGACTCAGGAAATAGCTGCATAAGGCTAACAAAATCCCAAACAAACTGGGTGTTTGGGGTGGATTCAACGCCAATTGAAGCTGCAATATACCTTTTTTCCCAAGGGACTCTCCCTAAAAAGTACATCTATTTATTTGCAGAGCTCTTCAAGCATGCTAAAGTTAGTACGTCAATAGCTTTTAGTGTCTCCAACCTCTACCACCCGCCCCTTAAAATGTGAACAATGGAAGGGAAATCTGTTCTATTTTGCCATTATGTCTCGGAAAACAATACAATAAAAATAATTTCCACATAAAGCTTTGAAATGGTCTGAAGGTAACAATTAAGCCTGCTTTTTTTACCCTAATCAGACATTCGAATTCAATTACGTTGGGATATTGAGAAATACCTTTGAGGTCTTTATACAGCACATAGAAACATAATGTCAAGCTAAGTTAATAGTGGATGATATGAATATGCCTGTGGAAAACGTTAAAAGTTTCAGAGGAATCTATTATTTTGAACAACATGCCTGCTATATGGAATTTGACAACTGGACAGCTCCATTTAATCAGTAGATATGACTAGACGTGCAAGTTATGAATGGATTGTTTACGGACGTAGACTTTGCATGGACAAGTGGAATGACATTTGGAATGCATTTATACAAAATATAGCAGGTTAAAAATAAACATATATGTATATGGATAGTAATAATAGTAATTAGATAAGCATTTATATGGAACTGGAACTGTTAACTCTTGCAATGATATAATACTGTATAGCTTTATTTTTATTTGACATTTGTCAGGGGTTCAGGAGCAGAGGCAAGGGCAAGGGAGGAAACAGAGAGCGAGGGGGAGGAGGCAGAAGAAAAGATGAGTGATGACGACGACCCGAGATCTCCGAGTCTTTCCAGTGAATCAGAAGATTCACAGAAAGGAGCACCAGTGGCCAGGGCAAGGGGGGAGCCTAGGGGGACACCCCAGGAAGATAGAGCCAGAGGGGACTCAGAGGGGAGCAGTTGGAAATCGGGACCAGCGTCACCGCCAGAGAGCAGGGAAGAGGAAGGGCGCCAGGGATCAAGCGCTGGCAGCTCACAACAGGGGGGAGGGCACGAGTCAGGAGTGGCCACACCTCCATCGGGGAGCGAAGAAACGGTCAGACGGAAGGTGGAAGGTTGGGCGCGCGCCCAAGTTCAAATGCACAGGAAAGTGGCGCAGTAGGCAGCCCGGAAAGGGAGCCAGGTCCTAAAGCCCGCCGAAAGGAGGGAGAAGAGTCAGGGGGGTCAGCGTCAGCGTCAGAGGAATCCCGGAAGGAAGAGACCCCGGGGGGCAGAGGGACCCAGAGAAGAACAGTCAGGCGGAAAAGGTGGAGCAAGGCTAGGATATTAAGTTGGTGTACAAGGGGCGGAGACTCAGATGGAGCTACGCCGATCTAACCATTAGACGTAGGGTTGCACGCAGCAGCTTGAGAATGGAAACTGTAACTCAATAAAGACTTTTATTTAATGATCGCTGGCTAGCGTGATCCTCTGTGAGCTAGGATCTGGAAGCAACTCTGACAACATTGTTCAGTTAAACTTTTCTTAATAATAAATAATAATAAAAGCTATGTGGGGTGAGGGACTTTTTTCAGCCCAAGGGCTCAAATTCCCACCTGAGCAGCCTTCTGAGATCAGTGGTGGGCGGGCCAGAGGCAAAAGTGGGCAGAGCAACCAATACAAATTTTACCTTTGTAAAGTAAGATTCTAGCCCTCAAGGTTCTAGATAAGGCACTTGGAAGCTGCTTTGTGCTCTGGTAGCTCTTGCCCTCTTCCCACACAACATTCCTCCATCTGGGGGCTATCTGAGGAGGAAAGTTTGTAAAAGAGGCGGGCATGCTATTAAGATGGGAACATACAGTGCTGCCGTATAATGAGTCAGACCATTGGTCCATCTAGTTCAATACTGTCTACACTGATTGGCCACGGCTCTCCAGGCAGCATACTCTCCAAGCCACACTGGGAGATCTTTGCCAACACTATACTGGACAAGCTAGGGACTGATGCTCTATGACTGAGCTACAGCCTTTAATGGAGGTGGCTGGGGTGACCCCAAAGGCTGGCACACCCACCTTGGGCTCCTGTCTCTTGGGCTCCTGTGGCCTCAGGAGGAAGACCTCCGCCAGGGCCACCGCCTGGGCACAAGTCTCTGGACGGTGTTCCCTAACCCAGCTCTCCATCTCTACAGGGAGGACGCTCAGAAACTGCTCCAGGATCAGCACATCCAAGATCTGCTCCTTTGAGCGCCTCTCCGGCTTCAGCCACTGGTGGCAAACCTCCCAGAGCCTCTTGCAGACGTCTCGGGGCCTCTCAGCTTGCCGACAGCGGAACTGCCGGAAACGCTGGCGCAGAGCCTCCACGCTGACAGCGTCCTCCTCGAGAAGCCCCTCCTCTTCTGCTTTCTCGGAGGAGTCCACGTTGTCAGAAGCCTGCTGAGCTTCTCTGCTCAGGCCTGTCTGCCTTTGGGTGACCCACAGTCCTTTGGGCCACTGGCTGACATTGCTCCTTCTCGTCGCTGAGAGGACCCTGCTGTCCTCCTCTGCAGGCTTCCCCGAGGCAGGTGGGGTCTGTGGGTTCTTCCACCCTGAGGGAGGAGACTGCATTGTCCTACGGAAGTCCTGTAACTGGGCTTCCCAGAGCTCTCGCTGCCCCTCCTCAGGCTCCAGTTTAATTGGCTGCAATGCTCCTGCCCCTTCCAGTAACTCCTCTGTGGTCTCCATCTGGACCACATGAAGGTCTCCTTCTTGCGCTGCCAAATCCTCCCCCGATTTGGCTTGTCTTTGGTCCTGCATCTTCCTTTTCGCTTCGGGCCGCACCTGAGCTGGAAAGGAGAAAGCAATGGGTTTTATTTGCTAGCTCCCTTAAAACATCAGCACAAGCCAGGCGTAGCCAATGTCGTGCCTTCCTTCCAGTGCTATACCAGCTGCACTGGCTCCCGGTGGAGTATCAGGTCAGGTTTAAGGTGCTGGTTTTGACCTTAAAAGCCCTTTGTAGCTTAGGGCCCTCGTATTTATGGGACCACCTCTCATGGTATGCCCCGCAGAGGACCTTAAGGTCCATAAATAATCATAGTTTAGTGGTCCCGGGCCCTAAGGAAGTCAGATTATCCTCTACCAGGGCCAGGGCCTTCTCAGTGATGGCTCCAACCTGGTGGAATGCTCTGTCCCATGAGACCAGGGCCCTGCAGGTTTTACCTTCCTTCCGCAGGGCCTGTAAGACAGAGCTATTCTGCCTGGCTTTCAATTTGAACGTAGCCTGATCTTTTATTCCCCTTCCTTCCCTCCCCCTCCCCTTTTTTGAAGATTACCCGCTCTGGGATCCCACAGCTAATTCTCACCTGGTCTCCTCACTGGCCCAAATAGGACTAATTTAGCCAGCTAGCCCTGGTGATCATCTAATGTTTATGTATTTCCCCCCTAAATTGATTTTTGAATTCTGAATTTATTGTTATTCACATTTTATACTGTATTTTATGCTGTTTTTTGTTGCATCAATTAAGTGATTTAAATTGGTTGTTAGCTGCCCTGAGCCCAGTTTTCTGAACCGAGAAGGGTGGGGTATAAAAAAAAATTATTTATTTCTATATTATTATAATATAATATAATATAATATAATATAATATAATATAATATAATAATATTATTATATTATATTATATTATATTATATTATATTATATTATATTATATTATACTGCCGGACTCCAACTCCCATCAGGCCTAGAAGGCATGGCCAGTGATATGGGATGGTGGGACTTGTAGTCCATCAAGATCTGCAAGGCACCATTTTGAGTAAAGGTATAATTCTCATCCTAAAGATCTAATTCTCACCGAAGTGGTTGGCCTCTGTTTGGGCTGTTTCACTTCAGGCGGTGGGTGGAGGGTTCAAACAATAGAATGCTCCTCCATGCGGAGTGGGGAAGCCACGCACACAGAAAACTAGCATGTCAGGGAAAAGAGGTCTAGCCTAGCCTTCCCTCTGACGCGGTAGCTTTTTATACGCAAGGATCTTTGGGAAGAGACAGAGGGGCATGTGCTCATGAAAGCATCCTGTCTGTCAATTTACACTTACATTAGCAGCACAGCACAGAACTGGAGTCCCCAACCTTTTTGAACTAGTGGGTACATTTCGAATTTTGAGAGGAGGTGCCCGTTACAAAATGTAACTGGAGAGGGTGTGGCATAACATAAAATGGCTGCTGTTAGGGGTTCTCCTTTCACAGAAGCTGCTTAGAAAGTACCTACACACTTTGCCCCATGATGGTCTTCCCGCTAGGGTTAAAAACTTGCTTTTTAAAAGTGAAAGCTCAGTGTCCTGAACACCTGTCCAGCAGCACAACTGAGAGCCGTCGTGATCACCATGATGCCCATGGTCACCAGTTTAACCACCCTGGTGGAGAAATGAGCAGTGACTTGCCCAAGGTGCTCTTCTCTATCAGAGGCAGTATACCTCTTAGAAGCCGTTTTGGCATATAAGTGGCATATTTTTATGTTTTTATTTATTTACTGAATTAATATACTGCCCTACACCTGGGGGTCTCAGGGCGGTTCACAGAATAAAATCAAGATATAAAACCACAAAATACATAATAAAAATAAAAACAACAACCCAATAGCGCCCCCCCCCCGCAAAAAACCCACATTTTAAAAGGGCATAGGATGTAAATCAGATCAACCAAAGGCCTGGTTAAAAAGAAACATTTTTGCCTGGTGCCTAAAGGTGTATAATGAAGGCGGCAGGTGAACTTCCCTGGGGAGATCATTCCACAGACAGGGAGCCACTGCAGAGAAGGCACACAAAGAAGAGCCTCAGAAGATGATCTCGGGATCTGCATAGGTTCATATGAGAAGAGGTATTGTGGTCCTGAGCTGCTTAAGGCTTTGTAGATCAAAACCAGCACTTTGAATTGGGCCCGGAAACTAATTGGTAGCCAGTGCAGTCAGACCAGGGTTGGTGTAATATGCTCAAAGCATCTTGCTTTGGTGAGCAACCTGGCTACTGAATTCTGCACTAGCTGAAGTTTCCGAACCATCTTCAGAGGGAGCCCTATGTACAACGCATTGCAGTAATCTAACCTTGAGGTTACCAGAGCATAAACCACAGTAGTTAGGCTATCCCTGTCCAAACAGTGGTGCAGCTGGACCACCAGCTAAAGCTGATGGAAGGCACTCCAGGCCACTGAGGCCACCTGAGCCTCGAGTGACAGCAAAGGATCTAGGATCTACCCCCAGGCTACAAACCTGCTCCTTCAGGGGAAGTGTAACCCCATCAAGAGCAGGCAACCTCCCAATCATCTGGTCTAGGAAACCACCCACCAACAGAGCCTCTGTCTTATCTGGACTGAGCTTCAGTCTGTTGGCTCTCATCTAGTCCAATACTGAGGCAAGACACTAGTTTGTTGGGAATCACAAGTGTAGAGAGTGGTGCAGTTATGCTCAGGTCCTGCTTGGGGTCTTCTCGCAGGCGATTGATTGATTACTGTGAGAAGAGGATGCTAAATTATGAGGGGCCTTTGGCTTGAGCCTGCCAGGCTCTTTTTAGGGACTTATGTGAGCTTCGTGGCCAGGTGGCGATTTGAACCCTGCTCTCCCACGTTGTAGTCCCGCACTCTAACCACTACACCACATTGAGGAACAGATCTTTACCCAACATGATGGCTCTACTTTTGCCTTTCCACAGTCCCTCTGTGTAAAGTTGTGCCATTGGCTCCTCCTCTGCCTCTGGCGAGCTAGCAACCTCCTCTTCAAACATCAGGTTAACCTAAAAATAAAAAATGAAGGATTTATAGAGCATGTTAAGCAAAGCACCCAAAGCGGTTTGTGTGATTTTGACAACTCTGCAAAATAGGCCAGTATTGTTATTTTTATTGTTTAACAGTTTAGAAGCAACATACAGTCGTACCTTGGTTTTCGAATGGAATCTGTTCCAGGAGTCCATTTGACTACCGAAAACGTTTGAAAACCAAGGTGTGGCTTACGATTGGCTGCAGGAGCTTCCTGCACTCAGTCGGAAGCCGCAGAAGCCACGTCGGATATTTGTCTTCCGTAAAACGTTCGCAAACTGGGACACTCACTTCTGGGTTTGCAGTGTTCGGGAGCCAAAACGTTCGAGTCACAAGGCGTTCAACAACCAAGGTATGATTGTATTACAAAATGAAATAGGGAGTACAAACAAAGAAAAAACAATAAAATTTGTTTCCTCTAAAATTTGTATCCTGAACTGCCTTGTATATAGTAACATAGAATGACCATATGCAAATCAAAAGTGAAATGAAATGAAATTATAAACTGAAGTGGCAGGTACCTGGAAGTGTCCTCTGCAGCCTCCCTGCAAAGATTGTCTCTAGGCCCCTTGAAGGATTCATAAAGAAAGAGATGTTCTCACCTGCTGATTCTGCTCCTCGAGCTCCTGCGACCCAAGCAGGAAATCCTCTGCCAGAATCACTGCCTGGGCGCAAGTCTCTGGGCCATGCCCTTGAACCCAGATCTGCATCTCTGGGGGCAGGATGGCCAAGAACTGCTCCAGGATTACCAGCTCCAGGATCTGCTCCTTGGTGTGATCTTCTGGCCTCAGCCACTGGTAGCAAAGCTCCTGGAGATGCCTCCACAACCCCATGGGTCCTTCGGCTTCTCGATAGCAGAAGTGCCTGAAGTTGTGGCAGCATGCCTCCAAGCTGCCTAGGTCTGGACTCTCTTCTTTCACTCTTGCAGGAGAATCCAGGCGATGCTCACAGACCTTGAGGGATCCTCTTGAAAAGTCTGGCAGGGTTCGCTTCGTAAGCTCGCTCCGAGGCCACTGAGTGGTGTCTGTCACTCCATTCGCAGACAGAATGAGCAAATCCCTAGGGCCCTCTTCAGACTCAGGATCAAGCAAGCATGGATCATCATGTTCTGTGTGAGGGGGTTGTGCCGGCTGCATGAAGCCTTGCCAATGGGTTTCACAGTACCCGCCCTCTGGTTCCTCCTTTATTGGGAATGGAGACAGCCTTCTTGACAGCTCTTCAGTGGTCTCAACCTGGACAACACGCAGGTCCCTTCCTCCTGCCTCAGGCATCTCCCCTGTTTCAGGCTCTTCAAGGTCCTGGTCCTCCATTTTGACATCTGGTGGTATCCAGTGCCCGGTAAATAAAAGACATCTTAGATTAGGCACATCAGAACTATGTACAGTGGTACCTGAGTTTTCAAGCGTCTCGGAGGCCGAATGTTTCGATTTTCGAACGCCGAAAACCTGGAAGTAATTGCTTCCGTTTTCGAACGCACCTCAGAAGTCGAACGGCTTCCGCAGTGTTTTTCAATTTTTCCAATTGAACTTGTAGCCAGCCCTTTGTGCTTCTGTTTCTGAACGTTTCAGAAGTCAAACGGTCTTCTGGAACAGATTGCGTTTGAGAACTGATGTACCACTGTACTCCCATGGTTAGAGCTTTAGACCAGGGATGAGGAACCTTTTGTTTTTTCCTAGCAAGTGTTGAATTCTCTCAGTGGTCATCTGTCAAGGGCTGTGTACTGGTAGTGGGCAGGGAGGGCTGCAGTAAGAAAGCCAAAACTGGATGGGGCCCAAAAGGAGGTGGGGCACCCCGTTTTATTTCTCTCTCTTTCTGCCACATTTGTTTCTCTTCACTTTCACCCCTCCTTGCACATGGAATTCGACTGAAGACAATTCTGAGCTCAACAGACCAACAGTCTGACTAAATATTTCTTCTAAAGTAGGCCACGGTAACAGAAAAATTAAACGCACTCATAATAGCAATCTGTAAAACATAATTTAAAACTCACTCCCCGCCCTGCCAGACAGAGTAATTGCCACACACAGGAAGAACAAGGATATAGGTTTGAGTGCCTCACCTGTAGTTTTATAAATAATTTAATGTGTCAATACGAATGGAAATTGTTAATACCGTATTTTTTGCCCTATAGGACGCACTGGCCCATAGGACGCACCTAGATTTGGGGGGGGGGGGAATAAAGGGGGGGAAATTATTTTTCCCCCCCGGGTGTGGGGCTGGGGTGGGGGAAGCTCGGGCTTCCCCCAACGCCAGCCCCCAGAACAGGACCCAGAGCGATGCCGAAGCTGCATGCAGCTTTGGCATCACTCTGGGAGCTTGCGGGGCTGGAGAAGGGGGAAGCCCTCCGCCAGCCTTCTAACCAAGTCGGGGGACAGCGGGAAAGGCGCGCTGCGCCTCCCGCTGCCCCCCAAGTTTGCGGGGCTGGCGACGGGGAGGAGCAGGCCTCTTCCCCCCCCGCCAGCCTTCTAACCAAGTCGGGAGACAGCGGGAAAGGCGCGCTGCGCCTCCCCGCTGTCCCCCGAGCTTGTGGGGCTGGCGGTGGGGCTCTCCTGAAGCCTGGAGAGCGAGAGGGGTCGGTGCGCACCGACCCCTCTCACTCTCCAGGCTTCAGCGAAAGCCTGCATTCGCCCCATAGGACGCACACACATTTCCCCTTCATTTTTGGAGGGGGAAAAGTGCGTCCTATAGGGCGAAAAATACGGTATTTCAATTGTTGTATAAGGGATTGGTATTTTGACCAGAGTGCAATTGAAATTAATAAGATTTTGGAATGCAGAAATAAAGTAAATCATCAAACCATCAATTCTAGCACGCGGGGGCCACATAATTATCTGAATGATTGGTATTAGTAATTGTATTATAATTTGGCATTGTTATAATGAGGCAAGTATTGGATTATTGTAACTGAAAATTAATAACAATTATTATAAAATTAAAAATAAAACTCGCTCCCCCACCTGCCTCCTGGCCACCATTAACAACCAAAGTGATAAACACCCAGGGATGACATTAAACTCAACCCAGGAAGAGCCACGGAAATGCATTTCTGTAGCTTTTACCAAATGTTTGGTGTGGCGTAAGCGGCGATGCCTGAGAGGACCCTGCCTTCCTCAGCACCTCTTCAGCATCTTTCCTCCTTTGCCTCATGAGGCGCATCCTCTTCCAAGAGTCTTCCCTGTGCTTCTTTTGGTATGCGCTGTCCAGCTTCCGCTCTTCCCTTATCATCTTCATTGCTCTCCTCGCCTTCTCTCGCTCAAGGAGTCTCTGCTCGTCGCTTTGCCTCGCCCGGCTCTCTCTCTTCCTCTCGGCGGCGCTCTTGCTCATTGTGCAGAAAACCGACACCCTCCCTTCAGCAGTTGTTGCGTGGAGTTTTATATATTTGAAAATTCATGAAACGACAGGTGACTGGGCTTCACATGATAGAGGCTGGCTCCCACCATTTCCTGACAGGGTCTTTGTCCCGAAAGGCAAGGGAAGGGACTGTGTTCAGCTCCAGCGTGAATCCATCTCTTTGGCCTAGTTGGGAAGAGTCAGATAGGGAGAGAAGCTTCCGGAAGAAGCCTGTAAATTTCTTCTACAGTTGAGGAGAAGCTGGTGGAGTATAAGACCTATATGGGCAATCTCTGGAAGATAAATTGTACAGTATTTTGAGGAATTAGTGATCTAACAGTTACCCTTCCTGCCTCTGTTTGCTTTCCCTTCTCTATCTCTTTTTGAGCTCTTTGATGGCTGAGAACAGCCTTTAATGCCCTAATCCGTTGGAAAGAAGTGATATTAGTGGGTACCTCTTTTGATGTTGGACATTGTTTGAAGAAAGTGAGGCATTGGGAGAGGTGGCTAATGAATACTGTCATACCTCGGGTTACAGACGCTTCAGGTTGCGTTTTTTCGGGTTGCAGACCGCCAAAACCCGGAAGTACCGGAACGGGTTACTTCCAGGTTTCGACGGTCGTGCATGTGCAGAAGCGCTAAATCGCGCTTTGCGCATGCACAGAAGCGCTGAATCACAACCCGCGTGTGTGCAGACGTGGGTTGCGAGCGCTGCTGGTTGCGAGCGTGCATCCTGCATGGATCACGTTCACATCTCGAGCATCCACTGTGATCTGCGCATAGCCAGTCAGGCAACCAACGCGGGCTAACAGGCTAGCTATTTATAAATCAGATGGTTTTGGGCCAAGATTTTTGAAGCTCGTGCATGGGCTGATCAGCAAACTAAGGCTACCTGGGGAGTCGCTTCGCCACTTCTTGAGGGCTTCCAAGTGGCAGAAAGAAGTGCTTGCTTGGTATGTATATATTGCATGCTGTGTAGAATAAAATCTCTAATCTCACTCACTTGTATTTTGTATTACTTCTGGATCTCATTTTAAAAGAACCACCTTGCATTTGGCAAGACAAGACCTTAAGAAGTGTCCACTTGCTGGACCAAAGGCCCAGTTAGCTCACAGGCCGACCTGGTAAGGTAAGAGGTAAAGGACCCCTGGACGGTTAAGTCCAGTCAAAAGCGACTATGGGGTTGCGGCACTCATCTTGCTTTCAGGCCGAGGGAGCCGGCGTTTGTCCACAGACAGTTTCTTGGTCATGTGGCCAGCATGACTAAACCACTTCTGGCGCAACGGGACACCATGATGAGTGCCAGAGCACACAGAAATGCTGTTTACCTTCCCGCCACAGCGGTGCCTTTTGATCTACTTGCACTGGCGTGCTTTCGAATTGCTAAGTTGGCAGAAGCTGGCAAGGAGCAACGGGAGCTCGCTCCGTTGTAGGGATTCGAACCGCTGACCTTCCACTTGGCAAGCCCAAGTGGCTCAGTGGTTTTATACCACAGCGCCACCCGCCCAATGGAAAGCCCACAAGAAGGACCCGAGTACAACAGCACTACTTTTCCCCACTTGTGATTCCCAGCCATTGGCATTCAGAGGCATCCTGCCTGCCTCCGACAGTGGAGGCAGAACCACTGGCCTGCTGCCTATTTTTTTGGAGAGGTCTCTGACAGAAGAATAGAAAATACTGAAAGAAATTTTGCCCTGTCTTACATGGTTCACATATAATATATTGTTTTGAACATAGCATATCATCAAACACTGAAAAAAATGTTTAAAATTATGCATATCAACTGTACGTTATAGGAAAGAAATGGATTGTATGCTTGGTGGGGATACAGGAGCGGGGAGGGTTAGGCTTTTGCCTTTGAGGCGTCCCTTGAATACTTTTTATGCTGACAGGCCTAGGCTGATTAGCCAGTCATTTTAATGGATATGTTATTTTGTTTTTATTGAATTTTGTTTTGTTGTACTTGGATGCACACACACACACACACACACATATATGCATATATTATTATACAGTGCTTTGATATTTTTTATACAGGTTGGTGGTATACTAACAAACATTTATAAAGAAATTGACTTATTAGTCACTTTTTATATAAAAAGCTTCTGAGACTTGCAAAAGATTAAGAGGTTGACATTTTCATGGAATTACCCCCATGGATAACCATTCAAAATAAGGTGTATTTTAAAATGCTATATAACAAATAGATAATTGTAGTCATTTTGTGGGTTGCATTTTGTTTTATGATTTCATCTTACTTTGGCTTATGTTTTGTCTAATCCTTGCCTGAGACTGGTGTTTTTCAGTATCAAACGCCTCTTTGAACATTGGCAGAATAACATATATATATTTCTAATTAAATAACCCTGATACTTAACATTGGTCATTAAGAGATAACAGAGATAAGAGATAATACTGCTTTTAAAAAAATGTTTAAATATTGCTATATACATTTCCCTGATATTTTATGTGGGGGCAGTAAACAGTTCCTTTTAAAAAATAAATAATGTGATGAAAATTATCTCCTAAACATAATCTGTTTAGCTCATACTGTGTTTGTGTGCCCACAGGTAACAGATTTATATTTAAAACCAACTAAAAATCAGCTTTTATTAACCCTCACTTTTTAATAATCCTTTTTTAAAAAGAGAAGCTGAATATGAAATAGGGCATTTGATTACAATAGATCTGATCATTAATCCCCACAATGCACGCACACCTGCTTAATCTGTGTAATCTGCTCAGAGGCTGCTTGGCTGTGGTTGCCATGGAAACCAGGGAACATCGAGGCCTAAATCCTGCTAAAGTTAATTTGGACGAAAACTTCCTTCTCACAAGTAGCGGAGGAGGTCATGAAACCTTTTCTGAGTCTCCTAATGAGGAGGTGAACTCACATGACACACACACACACACACACACACACACACAAAACAAACAAACAAACAAACAAACAAACAAACAAACAAACATAGCTTGGACACAGAACAGTAGCTGGTCAGGAAGAAGCTTCTGGCCTAGACTTTTCCCTGACATACTAGTTTTCCCACATACAGGTAATCCTGCTATATTTTAATGGAGAAACATTCAGGCATGTGAGCCTTCACCTGTTGTCTAAAGTGGCAAAGTTAAGGTTTGCCTCCTTGTCTGATGTACGGGACTACCAATGTCAAACCTTTAAAAGTAGTCATTTGACCACAAAGACCAACTCCAACCCCATTGCTGTGAATGGGGAGCTCATCACAAACTCATTTTAGCTCAAACTGGGCCTAGGGTTGAGATAAGAATTAGAGACCGCCAGGTGTATAATTCCATTATTTTAATAGTGCTGCTTTAATTGCATTTAACCTTTTAGATTAGCCTTGAATTTCGTGTGTTCTGCATTTGTGAGTCTCTCCCTCCTACGCCATCTCTCCTTATCTACAGTATTTTTTATTCATTTTATTTCATTTACTGAATTTATATGCCGCCCTGTAGTTTTGTGAGGGGAATGAGGGTCTCCCAGCAAACTACAGCTCCGACAATTCTCGGGGGGGGGGGGGCATGACAGCTGGGAGCAGTATGACGCTGCTTGAAATGTGCAAAGCAAATGGGGCCGTGTGTGTAAAAGCAACTAGATTACCCAAATACATAGAACAGGATTTGTTTTACAATGTGCAAAAGAGGAAAGCATCCTGGCAAGCCACGTGCTTGGACGCAGCTGTTTCAAGGGGCAGATGTCCCCCCTCCCCGCCTGCCCTCCTGATTCCTCTTGTGCATCTGCTTCTCCTGCTTGGGGATCTCCTCTTCTGAATCATGCTTCCCCCCCCCCCCGCCCCCCGACACACACCCCACAACCTCCTTGAACTCACCCTCTCCTTGCAAGGATTTCCACCAGGGGAGGCGGGCAGGAAGTCCCCGGGCAACACTCCTTGCACGATTATGATCGCAGGCTGGAATGTGCAAAAGGGAAGTTTTTTGGGTGGGGGTGGGGGTGTTGTGGGGGGTGGGTTCCCCTACCGAGAAAGAGGAAAAGAGGGGGGGCGGGACAGGAAAGTGACATGCATTGCTCCCTTTTCCCATTTCAGGATCTCTCTAGGCAGGAGAACTCTCTGCATTTAACCCGTTCAGTCTCTTTTCAGGAAAGCTGGCTTTTCCTTATAGAGCGGGGACGTCAAGACAAAGGCCAACTAAGTCCTACTGCAGATGGTGACAGCAGTCACGAAATTAAAAGACGCCTGCTTCTTGGGAGAAAAGCAATGAAAAACCGAGACAGCATCTTAAAAAGCAGAGACATCACCTTGCCAACAAAGGTCCGTATAGTTAAAGCTATGGTTTCCCCACTAGTGATATATGGAAGTGAGAGCTGGACTATAAAGAAGACTGATTGCTGAAGAATTGATACTTTTGAATTATGGTGCTGGAGGAAACAAGATCTTGAGAATCCCATGGACTGCAAGAAGATCAAACCTATCCATTCTTAAGGAAATCAGCCCTGAGTGCTCACTGGAAGGACAGATCGTGAAGCTGAGGCTCCAATTTTTGGCCACCTCATGAGAAGACTCCCTGGAAAAGACCCTGATGTTGGGAAAGATTGAGGGCACAAGGAGAAGGGGACGACAGAGGACGAGATGGCTGGACAGTGTTCTTGAAGCTACCAGCATGAGTTTGACCAAATTGTGGGAGGCAGTGGAAGACAGAAGTGCCTGGCGTGCTCTGGTCCATGGGGTCACGAAGAGTCGGACATGACTAAACAACAACAAAGTCCTACTCAGAGTAGACCCACTGAAACTAATGAACCTAAGTTAATCTATTAACTTAGAATCATAGAAACAAAACCTCTACAATACCTTGGATAGCTCAGTTGGCAGAGCATGACTCTAGGCAAAGGATATTCCTGCGTTGCTGGGGATTTTACTAGATGACAATTGTGGTCCCTTCTAACTAATTCTACAATTCCATAGGATTGTCAAGTTGGACGGGACCCCAACGGTCATCTAGTCCAACCCCCTGCAATGCTGGAATCAACTAATGGACTCTTACTGTGAGAAGGTTCTTCCTGGTGTTCAGCTGGAATCTCCTTTCTCGTAACTTGAACCCAACGGTTCTGGTCCCACCCTCTGGAGCAGGAGAAAACAAGCTTGCTCCATCTTCCATGTGATAGCCCTTTGACCAAGTCCGCTGCATGCATGAAGAGCACATGCTCGCCAGCTGAGATACTGCCCTCTCTGTGTGGTGGCTTGTACCAGGCTGAAATACCTTCCCCTCCATAACACTAAAGCTGACCAGATGAAACTGGTCTAACAATAATCTCTTGTCCTAGTGGCCACTAGTCTGCTTCACAGCAGCCTTGTGAAGGCTAAAAAAGGGCAGGGGAGCTGAGAACCACGCATGGCACCCAGAGGGCTTTTGAGGAAGGTGGGGAGAAAAAAGAAAGCACTTGCACTGCAGGCAGAAATTCAACATGGTGTGTGGTATAGTTGTAGTGTCTGACTACGACCTGGGAGACCAGGGTTCAAATCCCCACTTGGCCATGAAGCTCACGCCCAACTTACCTCACAGGGTTGTTGTTGGGATTAACTAAGGGGTGGGAGAACCGTTTAAGTCAATTTGAGCTTCTTGGAGAAAAAGGTGAGACGGCAACCCCCCTGGAGGGTATGAAATCGAGTAACCATTTGGAAACCCAATGTAGCCATCTGAAACAAGTCTGTGCACTTAAAACCCATTCATTCTCTTTAGTACTCGTCTCTTCTTTTTTATTTTTTTCTGGCAGCGGTTCTTAGCCTTTTTTGGGTCACGGATTCCTTTGAGATTTGGATGAAAGTTGTGGACCGTGTCACCAGAAAAATGTACATAAAAACATTTTATGCACATCTTTCCATTTTTTTTTTTGCTCCTGGTTTACAGACCATGTGAAGCCAATCTGTGGACTTTAGGTTAAGAACCCATGGTCTCCAGTCCTAGTCCTGCTCACCTTACCTGAAGAAGCGTCTCCACCCCCATCGTTCAGCCTGGATGCCGAGATCCAGGTCCGAGGGGCTTCTGCTGATTCCCTCACTGCAAAAAGTGAGGTTACAGGGAACCAGGCAGAGGGCCTTTTTGGTAGTGGCACCCACCCTGTGGAACGCCCTCCCATCAGATGTCAAGGAGATAAACAGCTATCAGACTTTTAGAAGACATCTGAAGGCAACTCTGTTGAGGGATGTTTTTAATGGTTGAAGTTTTACTGTGGTTTTATAATTTGTGGGACACCGCCCAGAGTGGCTGGGGCAACCCAGTCAGATGGGTGGCATATACAGTGGTACCTTGGTTTCTGAACGTAATCCATTCCAGAAGACTGTTCAAGCTCCGAAACATTTGAAAACAAAAAACTCAATACAGAAGCCTCTACGGAAAACTCAACACGGAAGCAATCTGGCATGTTTGACTTCCGAGGCGTGTTCGAAAACCGAAGCATTTACTTACGGGTTTACGGCATTTGAAAACCGAAACGTTCGACAATGGAGACGTTCAAAAACTTAGGTACCACTGTAATAATAATATGTTGTTGTTGTTAACCCATCAAACTTGATGGCCATGAGTAGAACTTAGTTGGAAACAAAACAAAACAACTTGTGCAGGATTTGAATCCAATACCTTTTGCATTGCATTTATTGTTGTTAGCCGCTCTGAGCCTGGCTTCGGCTGGGGAGGGCGGGATATAAATATTTTTTTATTATTATTAAGAGAGCTAGCCCCCCTCCCAACGCCAAGCCTCACCAGCATCAGAAAGGAGCATAAAACAAAACCACACACAGACGCTTGGAATTAAAACATTTTTTTTAATATAAAAAAGAAAGGAAAGAATGAAAAAAGGTCGGTTGATGTCTCTTCTAAACCCACCTCTCTATGTTCTACCCACATCATGTAGCTCTATCCCTAACGTTACCCACCCAGGCAAAAATATCTGCAAAATCAGAGATGGGGAACCTTTGGCCCCCTAGAGCTTCCTGGACATGACTGGCCACCGTGTTCCCGCGCACATCCTTGGGAGGCCTGCCTCTCACACGTTCTCTCCTGTGTGGATTCTCATGTGCGTCCGGAGGTTTGAACTCTGGCTGAAGTTCTTCCCGCAGCCTGAGCACTTGTAGGGCTTCTCCCCGGTGTGCATGCGCCGGTGCACCCTCAGGGCAGAGCTAGAGTCAAAACTCTTGTCACAATCGGGGCACTTGTGCGGCTTCTCCGCCGTGTGGGCCCTCTGGTGCTTGAGGAGCTCGGGCTCTCCGTTGTAGCTCCTGCCGCACTCGGCGCACTTGAAGGGCCTCTCGCTCCGGTGGACCTTGCGGTGCCCCGTCAGCGCGGAGATGCAGTCAAAGCACAGGCCGCACTCCTTGCACTTGAAGGGCTTCTCCCCCGTGTGGGTCCTGCGATGCTTGATGAGCTGAGACTCCTTGTCGTAGCTCTCGCCGCAGTCCGCACACTCAAACGGCTTCTTCCGGGTGTGGTTCTTGGCGTGCATCTGGTAGTTGCTTTCCCAGCGGAAGCACTTCCCGCACTCCAAGCACTGGAACGGCCTCTCTCCCGTGTGCGTCCGTTCATGGAGGTCAAGCACGGACCTCTGGGTGAAGCTCTTCTCACACTGCGAGCACTGGAAGGGCTTCTCGCCCGTGTGCGTCGCCTTGTGGCGGATCAGGTGCGAGGACTTGCCGTACCGCTTGCCGCACTCGGAGCAGGCGTACGGCCGGTCGCCGGCATGGTTCTTCATGTGCATTTTGATGCTGCTCTCCCAGCGGAAGCTCTTGCCGCACTCGGCGCATCGGTAGGGCTTCCCTCCCATGTGGATCCTCCCGTGGACAAAGAGCTGCGAGCTCTGGCGGAAGCTCTTCCCGCACTCAGGGCATGGGTAGGGCTTCTCTCCTGTGTGCGTCCTCTCGTGGATGAGGAGGTCGTAGCGCCGGCTGAAGCTGTTCCCGCAGTGCGAGCACTGGTGCGGCTTCTCTCCGGTGTGGATTCTCTTGTGAGTGATGAGGTGCGATCCTTGGCTGAAGCTCTTGCCACACTCGGCGCACGTGTACGGCTTCTCCCCCGTGTGGCTCCTCTTGTGGGTGGTCAGGAGGCTCTTGTCGCCAAAGCTCTTGTCGCACTCGGAGCACTTGTAGCGCTTCTCCCCCGTGTGGGTCAGCTGGTGCCTCATCAGGTGGCCCCTCTTGATGAAGCACTTCCCGCAGTCGGCGCAGGTGAAGGGCCTCTCTCCCGTGTGGATTCTCTCGTGATCGGAAAGGATAGTGCTGGTGCTGAACGTCTTCCCGCACGCCAAGCATTTGTACGGCTTCTGTCCTTCGTGGCTCCGGCCGTGCCTCACAAGGAGCGCTTTGTAGCCAAAGCCCTTGCCGCAGTCCACACACTGGTAGGGCTTCTCCCCTGTGTGGATGGTCAGGTGGTTCGCCAGGACAGAGAGCCGGTCAAAGGCTTTCCCGCATTCAGAGCACACGTGCGTTTTCTTTCGCCTGCGGGCCAGCCGCCTCTGTGGGAGGTCAGAGCTCTGGCTGCGTCCTTCTCCGCGGTCGGGTCCCTCTGTTTCTCTCTCACAGGACGCAGCTGCAGGGGAACCTCTGCCACCACAAGGGCTTTCTCGAACCCGCTGGTTTCCAAATGTTTCTTGTGTGTTTAGTCCTTGAGAAATAATCCCGGTTGCTCCATCCAGTAATACCCCATTGAGTTCACATTGCTCGGGTCCTTTTGCCAGCTGAAATGTCTCCACCTCATCTTCCTTTACTTGCTGGTCACCTGAGAACAGAAAGAGGATCTTGGTTTCAGTCAAACATGGTCCACCCTGAGGGAAACGACAGTTGCTTCTATGGATTGTCTATTGTTCTTATGAATCGTGTCCAACGGTGTCGTCACTCTGCCGGTGGAAAATTTGTTTCTAGCCCACATTTCCCCCGCAAAGGCTCCCAGGGTAGCAAACACCAAATTGATTAAGGAGTAAAATTAAATATAAGCTAAAAGCATATTTCAACCGTTTAAAATCAACTGCTTCTGCCTCCTCCCTCTCCTGCCTTGCTGTAGGAAATGGGTGGAAGTGGGAGAGGCCTGCTGGGAAGGGAAGCAGGAAACTACAAGGCTGGCCAGACAACAGAGCTGCCAGCAGTAGTCACTGCTGCCAGAGCCCCCTAAGTGCACCCCCCAAAAAATCATGGGGTCTAGTCTGTACCAGTAGTAGGCTACTTCCTAGGCAAGGTTAACTACTCCCCCCTCCCCCAAAAAACTTGCTAGTGTCAATTTTAAAAGCCAGATGTCTTACAGAAAAAATGAAAAGCACACAACTTGAAACTGCTAAATTTATTTTAAATTGCAAGAATAAGCGATGCATCTTTGATGAGCTTTATCAAATAAGAAAGAAAACGCTTTGGCACGCAAATCATTTTAAATAATCTTGTGAATTGTGATGTTGAAATTTACGTAAAAGTTTCACACAGTTGGAAGTGTGTGCTTTGTGTATCGTGGAATTTTAAGCAGGGAGATCAGAAATGCCAAAAAACAAACCACCCCAAAACGTGTTACAATGACATCAAAGGCTAAATATATGGAAAACCCTTAAATAAAACAAGTGTTGATGAGAACAGGAACATCTTGGCATTAACACTCCAGGTGTTAGTTAGCTTCCCAGTGCTGGGATGTGTGTGCTATCATCAAGGGTGCTTTGATTTTCATTTCCACAAGTCTGATTTCTGCGTGTACAAACTAGGGACAGAGGTATTTTAATTTTTTTGGTCTTTTTGCAAAAACCGTCAGCACCCATCATAGCCTTTGATAGCCATATCCTCCCTGAATTTACCTAATCACCTTTTAAAAGCTGATGAGCATCCCTACAAGATGTTATGACTGCTGTACAGTGGTACCTCGGGTTACAGACGCTTCAGGTTACAGACTCTGCTAACCCAGAAATAGTTAAGAACTTTGCTTCAGGATGAGAACAGAAATCGTGCTCCGGCGGCAGCACAGCAGCAGCGGGAGGCCCCATTAGCTAAAGTGGTGCCTCAGGTTAAGAACAGTTTCAGGTTAAGAACGGACCTCCGGAACGAATTAAGTACTTAACCCGAGGTGCCACTGTAGTTTAGCACAGAGCAAGGCCTCGGATGTTGGTCCGAGTGACAGGAAGCAGACAGGGACAGGAGCTGCCGAAGCCAGGTCCCAGCTGCCATCCCAGCAAGGAGGCTCACCCAGCAAGCAGGCTGCTCCCGTGTCTTCTTGCTTGGCCTCCACTTGGACGTTCTGATGAGGGTCTGATGGGTTCTGCTCCGAGAAGGGGAAATCAACAGAGTCCTCCTTCAATGGTCCTGGGGGCTGAAAGAGAAGCAGGCAGGTTAGGGAGTTTTACAGGGATGCTGTGGGGAACCCCCAGTCAATGCTACAGATATAATAATGTCTAGAGTTCAAAGGTCTTCAAGTCTGGCTCCACCCCCACAGGGAAGACGCAGGAAATTGGCTGTTCTGTGGCATCATTCTGTGTGAACCGGAACATTAAAGAATGTTGGAGTCTTGTCTCAATGGCCAGGTTGAGACATAATGTCAGATTTAAAGGAGGGGGCAAGACAAAAGACAAGATAAACTTTCAACAAACTGCAAGCCGGTTTATTGAATATAGTAAATATTTGCAGTTAATTAAGACACACGGAAGTTTTTAACACCGTTTTAAGATTGAAGTTTGACAAAATCTAATCCATTGCCAAAAAGTTGTGCTATAGATTAATATTTCCCCTCTTCTTCCCCAAATACATTTGTGGCACACCCCAAGAATCCTGGGAAAGGTAATTTGTTAAGGGGCCTGGGAATTGCTGCTCTGTGAGGGGTAAACAACAGTTCCCATAAATCTCTCCCCCCAACGTATATATTCATTTATAATAAAACACAACAAAATCTAATAACAGATGCTTAATAAAATGAAATAGATGTGGAGTAAAGGGGATATATAGAGCCAAACATATAGGAACAGAATTCCATACCAAAATCACATGCAATGAATTAATATCACGAAGTTCCAAGTAACACAAACAGGTTTACATTCTCCTGCCCTTTATTCCTACAGTACATTATAAAAAGGCTCCACTTCTCAATGATTGTCTGTCTACCAAAAGGTCAACAACTTTGGTCAGCCCCCACAGCCCTTCACTTCACCAAATCTGGCCCTCTTTGAAAAACGTTTGGACACCACTGGAACTATGCCCCCTCTGGTTCTCACCATATATGTAAGCTAAGCATACATACTGCGCCCCAAATTTTAGTTATCCATTTTCTCATAGATGGTTTTTCTAGAGGATAGACAAGATAATGCCTTCTTTGAGAAATTGAGCCTTTTCATAATGTACTGCAGTAATAAAGTGCAGAGGAATGTAAACGCCTTTGCGTTACTTGGAACTTCGTTCCCATGATTCTTGGGGCGAGTGCTACATGTGCATTTAAATGGATGGCGTGGATGTGATCTTGTTCGTTCGTACTAAGCCACAGTTTATTTTAGCATCCGGTGAGAAGCAGGGCAATATATGTGCCTGCTGAGGAAAAAGAGGATGGGGGATAAATCCTTGGCTCTGGCTTTCATTGGGAAGTGGCGCCACCTACTGTCGGGCTCCCTGCCTTCTGCCCTACCAGTCCCAAAGGGGCACCAGCCACACCGCTGAAACTGCCTCACCTTTTGCTCCCACTCTTCAGAGAGGAGAGGGAAGCCTTCGGCCAGTGCCATTGCTTGAGACATATTCTCAGGGCTGCGTTCCAGCACCCAGTGCTGCATCCCTTGGGGCAAGACGGCCAGGAACTGCTCCAAGATCACCAGCTCCAGCATCTGCTCCTTGGTGTGTCTCTCGGGCCTCAGCCACTGGCAGCAAACCTCCAGGAGCTGCCGGCCATTTTCTCGGGGGGTCTCCGCTTCCCGGTAGCGGAACTCCCGGAAGTGCCGGCATCGTGCCTCCAAGTCTTCTTCGTCTGGAATCTCTTCCTTCACTTTTCCGGAGGCTTCTGGGCTCATGTAGGCCTCGGGGAGGCCTCCCCCTGGATCTGGGGCCTGCTCTCCTCTAGGCCACTGGCCAGCATCAGCTGCCCCCTTGAAAGAGGGATGGAAAGCAGCAGCGTCGTCCATCAGCTGGGGGTTTCTCAGCCCAAAATTAGGAGACTGCATCATCTTCAAGAGTTCCTGCCACAGGGGTTCCCCCATCGCTCCCGGAGGCACCCCTGTCCAGAATTCCCGGACCGCTCTGATCTGGATATCGTGAGGGGCCAGCCCACCTTCCTCTGGCTTCTCCCCAAGTTGCGCTGAGTCCTGCTCCTCCATCTTCGTTCCTTGTGCTGCAAACAAAATCAGCACTGAAAAGTGTGGAGTCATAATAATAATAATAATATTAAAATTGTATTTATATCCTGTCCTCCCCAGCCGAAGCCGGGCTCAGAGTGGCTAACAACAGTAAAATGATACAACATTCTAAAATCATTTCATTATCAAATCAGTTCAAGTCAGATAATAATAATAATGCATGATGGATGATGGGAGCTCCTCATTCAGGGAACTTAAGAAGAGAAGCTCTGCTGGGTTAGACCAAAGGGCCGTCTCAGACAACATCCTGGTTCCACCAGTGGCCCACAAGCTAATAGGAAGGCAATAGCCGCTGAAGCTCCCCAGTGGCTGGTATTCAGAAGCAGGCTGCCTCTAGAACAGCGTTTCCCAAACTTGGGTCTCCATCTGTTTTTGGACTTCAATTCCCACCATCCCTGACCACTGATCCTAATAGCTAGAGATGATGGGAGTTGTAGTCCAGCAAGAGCTGGAGACCCACGTTTGGGAAATCATGCTCTAGAACATAAGCAGAGTCCTGCTGGATCGTGCCAATAGGCCTTCCAGGGCAGCATACTTCCTCACAGTGGCCGCACAGAGACCCCTCAGTGGGAGCCCCGCAGGCAAGACCCGAGTCATTCATTCGTTTAACAGTCAACCTGGCAGATTCAAAAGCTCACTGATCATTCTTGGGAGTTTTTTCGCTTTTTATAAACTTATTATTTTTGCGGACAGTGGTTTTCAAAGGGTGTGGCAGGAGAGGATGGCAAATGTAGTGGGAAGAATCAAGGACAATCAAATAAACATCTAAACATTTCGGTGTGGTATAATACGGTATCAAAATAATGCTTGTTATTTGAAGAATACAGATAGAAATATTTTCAAAACAAGAGCAAGAGCATCAAGGGATACTCCTATAAATCAATCTCTGCTAGGAGTCCCGCCCCCCCATGTATTTATTATCAATTAAAAAAAATTGTGAGCACATTTTTATTCTGAAAGTGTAGCCCAGAGAAAAAAAGTTTTGAGAACCACGGATTTACGGGGTTCGCTTTCACAAGGGGTAGCAGTGGCAGGCTTTAAAGAAGAATTAGGCATCTCTTCACCGTTTGGGAAGTTGCCCATCAAATCAAAAGCAGCTGCAATAGCTAAGCAAAACCTCAAGAGCTCAAGGCAGTGCAACTGTGATTTCTCCATGCTAGAGCGGAGAGCAAGTCATGGGAGAAGAACATTGCAAGCTGCCTAATACAGAGTCAGACCCATTGGCCTACTTAGCTCAGTATTGCCTACACCGACTGGCAGCCTCTCTCCGGGGGTTTTAGACAGAGGTCTTTCCCCAGCCCTACCTAGAGAGCCAGTGTGGTGTAGTGGTTAAGAGCGGTAGTCTCGTAATCTGGGGAACCGGGTTCGAGTCTCCGCTCCTCCACATGCAGCTGCTGGGTGACCTTGGGCTAGTCACACTTCTCTGAAGTCTCTCAGCCCCACTCACCTCACAGAGTGTTTGTTGTGGGGGAGGAAGGGAAAGGAGAATGTTAGCCGCTTTGAGACTCCTTAAAGGGAGTGAAAGGCAGGATATCAAATCCAAACTCTTCTTCTTCTTCTTCTTCTGGGAATACCAGGGAGCTTTTGCATGCATAGAGGGAGACATTCCGCTTCCTGTGGGCTTGCACAGAATTCGAACCCAGGTGCAACCAGTAGTGAGAATCACACCAGCCTTCCCAGGGGTGCCAACCTTTATAAAATATTGGGGGAGAGGTGTGCAGGTAAGAGCCCCGACCCGCATAATCGATTGCATGATGAGCTGCACGCACAACATTTGAATGGCAATCCATCAACTTTGGAGGGGCACAGCCCCCTCAAATATTGTGGGGGCTGAAGCTCCCACGGCCCCCATGAGTTGGGTCCTATGAGCCCTCCCTGGACCGACAAGCCTGTCTTATCAGAAACAGGATTCTGGGGTGAGAGGGGAACCTATCCAGCAGGGCTCTCTCTCCTCCGGGTATCCCATATAGTGGTACCTCTGGTTAAGTACTTAATTCGTTCCGGAGGTCTGTTCTTAACCTGAAACTGTTCTTAACCTGAACCACCACTTTAGCTAATGGGGCCTCCTGCTGCCGCTGCGCCGCCAGAGCACGATTTCTGTTCTCATCCTGAAGCAAAGTTCTTAACCCGAGGTACTATTTCTGGGTTAGCGGAGTCTGTAACCTGAAGCGTATGTAACCTGAAGCATATGTAACCCGAGGTACCACTGTATTTCCTTCATCTGGAATTCCCTGGGGAAACCAAGGCACTACAAAAGCCAAATAGTACCATGTCCGTCCCCCCCAATATCCTCAGTGCTGGTACCATTTCCCTTCTCCCCACTAAACAGGCTGAGATCTCTTGCTGGGAATAAGCCGCCTGCTTGTCTCTCTGACCTGCCACAGGTGAGAATCCTTTATTTCGGAGGTGGGAGATGCCTCTGCCTTCATCTTTCCAGCCGAGGATGCTTCGTCCCAGGCTCAGCCCTCCTTGGTTTGCACTCACCTGATCCAGGAAGGCTTTGCATGGCGCTAGTCCTGCGGGTATGCGCGGCTCTCTCTCCCCCCTCCCCTTTTCTTTTCTTTCTTTTTGCAAAAATAAATGCAAAGAGTGCGAGTGCTGATGGGCGGATTTGGAAATGCACCTCCTGGAAGGAGAGACCGGGCTGGGGGAAGCAGCCAACCTCCTCGCGGCTCCTCTTCTGCAGCCGGCCGCGCCTGTCTAGAAAAAAGAGCTCGGTGCGTTTAACCCCTCTCAGTCCAGCGCCTCCTCTTCTTAAAATCGCCGCCCCCCAGAAGCACCGGCGGGGGGGGGGGGCGGGAGGATGCAGCGGGGGGGGCATCGGATGACTAATCCGGTCCGCGTCCACATTCCCCGCCGTGTCTTCATTTTGCGCGGAAGAAGCTGCACCGGTTGAATGCCCGCCTGCCCGCGATGCACAGAATGCAGGTTGGCCGGGGGAAATTCCACAACAGGGCGATGAAACATTTCAAAAAGGAAGTTATGTCATACATAGGAAAGATAAGGTGAAATAGTGAAACCAGTAGAATTGAAACAAACCTCATAATGGGAACTACAAAGAATTTTACTGGATAATAATAACAATAAGAAGTGAAACATACAATGTGACCAATGTAATAAACAGTAGATGGAAATGGAAATAGGCAGACAACAAGAATCTATAGAAGGATTTATTTGTTTACAGATATTTTATGGACAAATGTGGAAGAATAACAATATACAAAATGGATGAGCAAAATGCGAAAGATTTAGAGACGATATAAAAAAAAGCCAGAAGAAGGAAGGAGGGAAGTCAGCTCCTAGGAGCAAGTATAAATGTAAAATGTAATGCAATATGTGTATGTAGAGTATGTAATTAAAAAACCAATAAATATTATCTTAGGGTGGGGGGAGAGAAAAGAACAAATTTCAGGTTGGCAGCAGGGCAGGCACCGCTGCTAAGCTGAGAGCGGTCGCTTAACTTCTGCAAAGCGTGCTCAAACGCCCTCACACGAACACACGTGAAAGGCCCTGTCCATAGAAAGATAGCAGCAGAGGTTGGACGGCCATCTATCACAGATGCTTTAGTTGAGGTTCCTGTATTGCAGGGGGTTGGACTAGATGACCCTTGGGGTATCTTCCAGCTCTGCAGCTCTATGATATTTTAAGATAAGGCATTGCCGATAGAAAACTAGCCTGTCAGGACAAACAAGGCTCCTGATACGCTAGATGTCTGTGTACAGGGATGGTTTTGTGGTTAGGAGCAGTTCATGCATACAGATGACTTAACCTGTTTTGGGGCACTCCTTTTATTCTTCTTCCACCTTTCTTTATTACAGTTCTATCCCGCTTTTCCTCCAAGGCTCTCAAGGTGGCCTTCATGAGCCTCTCTCTTCCCATTTTATGCTCAGATCAACCCTGCGAGGTCGGCTGGGCTGAGAGAAGACAGTGACCAGACCAAAGTCACCCTGTGAGCTTCATGGCTGAGTGGGGATTTGAAACCCAGACTCCCAGGTCCTAGTCCAGCCCTCTAAGGCTTTCTACCAATATATGGATGAGGTTCAGAGCCGAAAACAGGCTTGAGAGGACTGAATATTGGCCCATAAAATCACCGATCTGTATAGCTGGAAGGGACCCAAAGTGTCATCTAGTCCAAACCCCCAAAAGGACATGTTTCCAAAAGGACATATTTCAAAACAAAAGAAATTCAAATGTATAGACTGAATTTAAAAGCCAAATTTAAAACAAAGGTGCAATACAAAATTCCTAAAATGGTCATCCAACAGCACCATAAGAAGGCCAATTCCTTTAAAAATAATAATAATTTCTATTTGATTTTACAAGTGTAAAGTTATAACAATGCCAAATACCTTTAGAGATTTCTCTGAATCTCCAGACTTCCTACCATCCCCTTCAAGGGTCTTATTGTTAACACTTTCAGCTGCATATTATTTCGTAATCCATATTTTGTATTTCTTCATATTGTCCATATTGTTACATTACAAGTGTTAAAATCCTGCTAATGTTTTCATATGCTTACAGTGGTCTCCTAAATAAATTATAATTTCCCCCCCATTCTTTCTTGAAGTTTTTGTCTTCTGTTTAACCCTGTTTAGGAAAGTTTTTAATGACTGATGTTTTAATGTATTTTTAATCTTTTGTTGCAAGCTGCTCAGAATGGCTGGGGAAATCCAGCCAGATGGGCAGGGTATAAATAATAAATTTATTATTATTATTATTATTATTATTATTATTAGAACCAAGAAAGACAATTCCTAACCCGACTCCACTAAAAGATGAAGAGGCAGAGCTTAACTACCAAAGGGATGGTTAAATAAAATGTCCTAGTCTGGTACTTAAAAGCTGACAACATTGGTGCTTTTCCCCTGGGGATAGCATTCCAGATGCAAGCAAAAGTGTTTTGTCTTTAAAGCATTCTGGATCAGCTTCCCTGGGTTTCACAAAAGAATGCTAATATCTCTGAATGGCTACTGGTGCCTGGTCTGGGGCACTGGCTGTGAAACAGTGCTTGGTACTTGGGAAGGCACAGGAAGCAGAAACAAAAGAGAGAGATCTTCCCAGTATCTTTGGGAACAGAGGGTACCTGTCCACTGAGAACCTGTTGTGAGGTAGCAGGTCTGCTGTCAATGCACCAGCCATTTAAAGCATGTTTTCCCCAAATAATCCCAGGAACTGTAGTTTAAGAGCACTGGGAACTGTAGTTCTATGACAAGTAATAACAACAACAACAACAACAACAACAACAACAACAACAATTTATTTCTACCCCGCCCATCTGGCTGGGTTTCCCCAGCCACTCTGGGCGGCTTCCAACAAAGACCAAAAATACACTAAAGTGTCACACATTAAAAACTTCCCTGAACAGGGCTGCCTTCAGATGTCTTCTAAATGTCAGGTAGTTGTTTATCTCTTTGACATCTGATGGGAGGGCATTCCACAGGGCAGGCGCCACTACCGAGAAGGCCCTCTGCCTGGTTCCCTGTAGCTTTGCTTCTCAGAATGAGGGAACCGCCAGAAGGCCCTCGGTGCTGGACCTCAGCGTCCAGGCGTGGAGACACTCTTTCAGGTATACTGGGCTGAGGCCATTTAGGGCTTTAAAGGTCAGCACCAAGACTTTGAATTGTGCTTGGAAACGTACTGGGAGCCAATGTAGGTCTTTCAAGACTGGTGTTATGTGGTCTCGGCGGCCGCCCCCAGTCACCAGTCTAGCTGCCGCATTCTAGATTAGTTTTAGTTTCCGGGTCACCTTCAAAGGTAGCCCCATGTAGAGCTCATTGCAGTAGTCCAAGTGGGAGATAACGAGAGCATGCACCACTCTGGCGAGACAGTCCGCGGGCAGGTAGGGTCTCAGCCTGCGTACCAGATGGAGCTGATAAACAGCTGCCCTGGATACAGAATTGACCTGCACCACCATGGACAACTGTGAGTCCAAAATGACTCCCAGGCTGCGCACCTGGTCCTTCAGGGGCACAGATACCCCATTCAGGACCAGGGAGTCCTCCACACCAGCCCGCTCCCTGTCCCCCAAGAACAATACTTATGTCTTGTCAGGATTCAACCTCAATCCATTGGCCGCCATTCATCCTTCAACCGCCTCCTGGTACTCACAAAGGTAAACTACAGTTCCCATGATTCTTTGGGAGGGGGAGTTGGGTGCCTTAAATGTATGGTGCTTACCAGGGCTTTTTTTCAGCCGGAACTCAGGTGGGCTCCACTGCCATTATAAAGAACAAGGGATGCGTTCTGGTACCTCTTTTTCTAGAAAAATAGCACTGGCATATACAGCCTCAGGGATGGGAAACTTGCAGCTCACCAGATGTTGGATTCTTAGCTCCCATCATCCCTGACTCATAGTTTGCATTTCTTATTTGTCCGCAAGAAGACCGCAAATAGCAATTTTGTGCAATAGTATCTGAAGATGTTGTTAGCATCTTAAAAAGTAGAGACATCACCTTGCCAACAAAGGTCCGTATAGTAAAAGCTATGGTTTTCCCAGTAGTATGGAAGTGAGAGCTGGACCATAAAGAAGGCTGATCGCCGAAGAATTGATGCTTTTGAATTATGGTGTTGGAGGAGACTCTTGAGAGTCCCATGGACTGCAAGAAGATCAAACGTATCCATTCTTAAGGAAATCAGCCCTGAGTGCTCACTGGAAGGACAGATCGTGAAGCTGAGGCTCCAATACTTTGGCCACCTCATGAGAAGAGAAGACTCCCTGAAAAAGACCCTGATGTTGGGAAAGATGGAGGGCACAAGGAGAAGGGGACGACAGAGGATGAGATGGTTGGATGGTGTTCTTGAAGCTACCAGCATGAGTTTGATCAAACTGCGGGAGGCAGTGGAGGACAGAAGTGCCTGGCGTGCTCTGGTCCATGGGGTCACGAAGAGTCGGACACGACTAAACGACTAAACAACATCTGAAGTGTTGGGCTATGAGCTGGGTTTGTACCCAAAATAAGTCACAGGGGCTAGCACCTTTAATTCTGCCATTTAATCTATAGACAGAGAGCAGAGAGGCTGTACTTTCTGGGGCTGCTGGGAGTTGGGGCCATGCTAGTGAAGGTTGCTGTACGACACAGCAATCCAGGGAACTTCCTTATCCTGTTGTTGGAATTGCTCCAGGGCTCCCAACAGTCTTAAAGATCCAGATAAGGCCAAGACAGGATCTTTTATCTATTTGCCTAAATTGTCACATATCTGGGCTTCCCCTTTTGTCTTTTGTTCCCACTATTTACCCCCTTCCACTTCCTTATGTATATCACTTTCCCACTTGAGGATAAAAATTCAGCCCTCTGACTGAAGAGGGTTCCAGTACACAACTGCTTTGTAACAAACATGCCAGTCTTAAACTGTGATTACTCTTTTGTTCATGCTAATGCTGAGCGAGCTTGCCATTCTTGTATCTTTAAGCAGCTGCATGCAAAGGCGGATATTCAACAGGTACGGTTCTGCCCAGGTACAGCAAACCAACCCAACGGCTGCAGGGATTACACTTCCAGCTATTGG